GCCTTATTATTTCTTTTGTAGTAGCTAGCATCTTATTCAAAATTTATTCCGTTTGACTAAAGCTATGTAAATATTACAGATGTATTAAAAGAAATTTTGTAAGTACTTCGACCGACTTGACACGCAACTTTCTTTAGGAATTAGAAGTAAAAATAATTGAATTTTTTGTTTAGCAGGCAAACTAAAAGCAAACGAATAAACTCTATATGTTAAAAAGGGTTTCACTTAATTACCTTAACTATGAAATAATAACAAAAAAGAGGGGAAATCAGGTAAAAAAAAAATTAGACGAGTGGGAAAAAGGGGAATGGAAAAAGTCGAACGAGCGTCACGATATAAATATTTCCATCTGCTTCTTGACATTTGTTTTTTCTTTTGACAAGTTGCAAATGTAGGTGGAATTAGAATTCGCCTGGGTAGTGCTGGGAAAATAACGTAGAAGGAGTTGATGAGGGATAAGAACCCTCCTACGGATTTGTCTAAAATAATACTGACAAGGATTTTACGACAGGAAGCGAGTCACTTGAATTATTTACGGTATACACTTCTCAGAGTATGTTGTTAAGTAGCTAGAATCGCCAAATACATTTCCGGAATGGCAATTTGAATTCAAAGGCTTTTTCGGAAGACTTACCAATTCCCCCGGTGAGAAGAAATGTCGTGACCTAGCATAAATATTCCATATATGGATGAATCTTTTGTATCTTTGACGCATTATTCCTACTGAATTAAATCGATAAATGACGCGTAAATACGTTTTATGAAATCAATGCCAACATAAATCAATCAACGCTACTAGTCATGGCCGAATGAATACGGAAATTGAAATGACGACCATTCGCTATTTTAATACAACCATATATACTATATTTCTCTCTACTTATCTTATTTATAGCAATATATCAATATTAGCTCAAATATAATTCCTTATCAATACTCTAGTAAGTAATATTTTTATTAAATATCTTTTTATTATATGAATCTATATATGTTTAATTAGTGGAGGAAGGGAAAGGGAAAAATTTTCTCGCGCCTAGCGTCTCGTTGCGTAAAAATTCACGGAAACGCTGGTCGCATTAGACGCAGGAGAGGCGACTGCGCGCGCTGAAGAGTGTAGACTTGTTCCTGAAGATTTTTCTTTTCTACTTCTTAACTTATTTTATAAGTACGTTTTAATTAACCTACTCCTTTACTCGAGCATGTTTATATAGGATAATATTAGTGGATTATTTGGCAGCCTGAGACTGATGAGTTTGTATTGAAATGTTTGTAAATATGTGGATAAATTATTGATATGTTCTCAGTACAGTACAGAAACTGTGTATTTCTCTGTACTTTATATTATTAGCTAGCTATAGGCCGAAATATCATATACTTGTATGTATATATATATATATATATGTTTTTATTCTTTAAGGATATATCAGTATATCAAATGCAAGTTTCTTCTTTTATATATTTTTTATATGATATATTATTCATGAATTTATTTATACTTTTCATTTATATTTATTTACAGGATTTATAAATAAAGAAACGCGGCCGTCTTGTTAATAAATCTCACTTTAAAGAGAGAAAGAAAGAGAGTGGAAAGGACGACTTCCTTCGCGTGACTCGGCCAATATTTATTCGAGGAAACATTCGAATCCGGTTACAACAGAGTCAGGTAGGAAAAAAGCACGTCCGTAGTACGAAAACGGCTAACAGAGTATCAGACCATGAAATAAGGATATAGCTAAGCTCATTTGTAAACGAACACTCGTCTGTTATAAGTACTCTTCTTTTCCTTAGATTTTTCCTTTTCTCTTTTCCTCTGTAAATCCATCGAATGAGCTAAAAGTTAATGCATTTAACTTTACATAGTTAATCGTACATAAAAGTATCACAACACACGACATAAAAATATTTGTTCGGGCGTTTGTGCATTTATGTTCCATTTGTAGTTTGTGAAGTAAAAAATCAACCATTAGTCATTATCTTGCGAGCCCTCTCAGAACTAATAGGAGAATATATTGTACAACGTCGATATATTAATAAGGCTGATATTGTTATAGTGAAGGACGAGGGAAAGAGAGGTAAGACTTAAAAAAAAACGAGCAATTCGACCAGACTGCTAACAAGCTAAAGACGTTTAGTCAGCTCACGCAACAAACTCATTCTATTAGTTGGCCCATTAAAATACTCTTATGTATAGTGTATTATATGAAGCGATAGGATACAATTTTAAATCTTTTACACGTCTTTGTTAACTTATTTGCATATTCAACGTCTATGACTATTTATCTCTATCATAAATCGCTATAGAGCCTTCTCTCTTGCGATTTGAGCAACCTAAGCATAATAAAAGCGTTCCACTAATTTAGCGAGGAATTTTCGCTTTATCCGCTCTGGCTTTTAGACGAACTAGCTGTTTTTATGGGCGTCTGTATATGGAGCGGCGTAGATAAAGCGGTCTTGCCTAAATTCAATTTGCAAACTGTAGCAAGGCTTGTTTGTTATAATGACCTATACGCTAGCGGGTTTCGATCGAACAGTGCCAGAAGCCTCAATATACATACTTTCAATGTTAACCCGTCAACCGATCCTACTAATTTTAACAAACATCGCCTGAAAACATCTCATGTCAATAAGAATTAGGCCTATATCACTCTGTTCATTCGCCCTTCAAAAACCACAAATAAATAAATAAGTGAACAAATAGATTAAAATGTATTTTTGAAATAGTGGAAGCATTTCTATGCGGTCTAAATACTTTTTTCTAACAGCAACAAAAGCAGGAATCGGGCTCGTATGATCCCCCATAAATCATGATTGATCGCAAAAAAGCAAGCCGCCGTAATATGACAGGCCAATTCGACGCCGGTGAAAAAGTATTCATATTCCTCTACCTCTCTTACTTTATCGAATCTCATTAATTAGTTATATTCAGAGATACAGAAATGACATTGCCGTTTATAGAAATATTCGCAACGGCGTCGTTTGATTAGCTATTGAATATATTTGCAATGCGGATGGCAAACTGCAATTTAATTATTGGCTGTTTAGACGCTCTACGCTTACGAGTGCAGTCGGTACTAGTTATTAATTATTAAAAGCATCGACTCGTCTTCTGTTGAGAGATTGCACTGATTAAACGAAAATCCCTCCATCAACTGGGCTACTATAAACGTTTTTATGTAGTAAAAGTATTTTGAAAAGGAAAAAAAATCAATATAGGAAGTCTTTCAACAGCAAATTACACAAATGTCTCTTTTAAGTAGAATATATAGCTTCCAAGGGCGTTCCATTTAACAATTAACGATTTTTCTCCGTTCGCTTTGATGAACCTTACTTTATTTTACTTGTATAAAGTAATTGTCCAGTGGAATGTATCGCAATCTGCTTAACCATTTTCACCCTCTAATGGAAAGCAGTTTCGTTACTCATATCTTGTTATAAAAACAAGCATTTCTAACCTGAGGATACCGCACTTTATGTTACTTAAATCTACACTTTTGTACTTGTGTATATAAATATGTATAAGTGCGATTCTTAGTTAATACCTCCTATAGTTTATGCAGAATGCATCCAAACTTTATACTAGTTTTTTCGCAGTATAGATCAAACTGACGTATTTGCCGTGTCAACAAAGTGACGCTGTAGCATTTAAGCGATTAAAGGTCAGCTGCTTCTAAGTGCAGCAAAAAATATAGCTGTGATTAATTGTCGGCTAATAGCATTTGAAGCGTATACAGCCCGATAGATTTATGGTTTTGCGCCCCTTTTTCCCCTCAATTGGGTTTTTAAGTATAGCCCTGTCTTTAGATAAAGCTCTAAAATTTTCCGTCATTAAAAGAAGCTAAGAGACCGAAATGAAAGAGCCGAAAAGATAGAAATACGGATAAATAGATGGAGAGATTGAAAGAGACATAAAAGAGTGAGCCGTAGAAAAACAACAAGGGAGCTTTAAAGTAGAGCGAAAGTAAAAGAGAGAGAGAGAGACGCCCAAAAGTGAGAGAGTGAAAAAGAGAGAGAGAGACAGAGACAGAAAGAGAAATACCGTTGCTCGTTTCCTCACGACTGACTATCGATTTTACGATTTGCTCTTCCAAGGGTGTCGCTTAAAGTAAAAAAAAAACAATCGGCTTAGTCTTTTCTCAATTTTGGCTATTGAGCCTAAGAATAAAAAAATCACAGGCAGAATGAAAATAAAGCGGATGGGTAGACGTCTAATTTTTCCGGAGCTAAACGTCTTTTGAGTTTGCCTTGCAGTGATTGATAAAGAAAAGAATGAAGCGAAAGAAACAATTCCGTAAAATCAATTAGATGTTTCTCTTACAGTTTCTTTTATCCGACAGAGTATTAAGAAAGATTTTTGTTCGTTAAATGCAATTAGAGATAAAAGTATAGCTTGAGGTATATTAATACATTTTATTTTATATCAGCCAAGAAATGAAACTCAAAAGTAAGGAATGACGACGATTGAAAGCGAGGAAGGAAATTTATTGCAGAACGTGAGTGGATTTCATATATGGCAAAAAAAGAAAAAAAATATATATATATATATATATATATAGATATAACTTTTTATTGTTTATGATTGTATAAAGCTTTGGACAAACAAGACTGTGGAGTAAATGATCCGTTTCCCTACAGTACCAAAAACCAATCAGACGCTCGCTTTGCTCGACTATACGGCACCATCCTCATTGGAAATGTTTACTCTTATCTCTTCTTGTTAGCGTTTGTATTGGTGCAGTCATTTGGTGTCGGTTGGCAACTGTATCAAAATTTATACTTAGGTAAGTCTTTAATCTTTTTCTTGTTATGTAATATCTTGTATTGAAATGATTTATATTGTAATGTTTTAGTATCTATGACCTTCCGAATATTCGGACAAATACTGTCTCTGCATGTGATGGAGGATATATGTACATCCCGTTGGCTTTCATCTTCCTTTTATATTTCGTGTATCTGTTAGAATGTTGGTACTGTCAAAGTAGGAATGAAGTTAAGAATAGGATGAGCGTTGAAGCTGCTTTTGAATTTTTGCAAGATTTAAGAAGTGCCATACCAGTTGTTTGGTGGAAAGTTCAATGCTATCACTATGTTCGTAAAACTAGGCAAGTGACGAGATATAGGAACGGAGACGCTTTTACTACCATGCAGGTTTATTATGAAAGAATCAATTCGCAAACAAGAAGCGCTGCGTTCAATTGGAGTCACTGCGGGGCAAGAGACGCCTCAAAGACTCTAATCGGTCTAGAGAACTTCTTTGCCACACGTATTAAATTTACAAAAGGTTTCTCCTTCTGCAGTATCGATTCAGAAGTCGAATTTGATATGCAAAGATCTTCGTTCTTCCATGCTCAAGAGCGTAACGACGACTATATGGAGACAAGGGAAGGATTAGATTTATTACACGTCCCCTTCAAATCGAATTTGATGGTCTATTCGAGCAGAACGCCTTGGTATATTTCCCAATGCGTTTATTGGATATTCTCCTTTATTCTCCTTTCTTGGCCACTAAGGATACTCATTGAATATAATACAGCTTACGTTCATTACCATATTTTGAAAGTGTTTGGTTGTTCCAGTACTCCCCACTTGTCCCGAGAAGCAACAATGTGCAGCTCGGATCTAGAGCATTTAGTACAAAGGAATTATGATATAGTTCCGAGCTACTCAGAGGCGTTACTAATTGACAATTCTACAAATCAGCACCGCCATGTAGCACGTATGCATAATCCTGCAGACGCTTTAGTCCTACAGAATCCCCATGCTCTATTGACTAGTTCTGTTAGCGTACCAAATGGTATCCTTTTCGACTATGGCTCAATGAAAGGGCGAAAGAAAAGTTTGAAGAACTGTAGCGGAAAATCGAATAATTCGCTAACGACACCAGCTTCGGGAAGCGACTGTCAAATGCCGCCCGGCTATGAGGAAGCTCTGAATATGCGTTTGATTAACGATTACGCTACACCAACTTCGAATAGCACCAACAGTTTAGGAGTTTTCGAAACGGAATTATGAAAGTTAGGAATAAGAAAAGTCGAGAGATAAATCTCTACTTTATCTTTCTTTCATCTTCTTTTTATTGTTTTTTTTTTAGAATTGTTATATTCTGTTGCATTTTCTTTACATACATTTCCGAGATATTCTGCATATAAATATAATATTAAAAAATATGATTTTTTCCGTTATTTATATACGGCAAATATATCCATATATATAATTAAATATGGACTGTATATTATTTTATCTCTTTATATAAGAGACGGTAATTTTCTTTTTATCTTATAACGTTCTAATGCATAAGACTTAATGTATTTTGGTAACTTTTCTTTCTCTTTCTATTCTTTTCTTTTCATTTACATCTTTTAAGTATTACCCGACAGATGGCGAAAAAATTAATAAATAAATCATAAAAAAATCAGCCTCTTCTTCCATGTCTTTAATATTGCTTTTTATCTCTTTCTTGAAAACATTTACTCGAATACAAAATATATATGAATAAATGTATATATATATATGCAATAACAGTATACTGCATATACATTCATATATGTACTTATATACTGTATATACTGCATATATGTATTATAAATTTATATATAACCGTATACAGCATACATATATGTTATATACAGTATCTCTATTATTAATATATATGTATACTCGTAATGCCCTTGTATTTTCTTTTATATTCTTTCTTCTTTTACTCGCTCAATTTCAAACATTACTTTTTTCCATCATCTTTTTTCTCTGTTTTAAAACAATTTCTCCTTGATTTTTTTCTCCTTTGATCTTTATCTCTTTATTCTTTTTAGCTCTTTCTTTATATTTATATAATATTGTGTTGACATGAGGTAGAAATTATGAGAATTGCAATAAACGCTATCAATAACTTTTCCAATCACTTACTTCTTATCGCTTTCACTGCCAATCTCCTCTAATTCGGTAACGTTCGACTCTAAGTCAGGAGACGATGATAAGGATGCTAAATCGGCCAATTCGATATCTAAATTAAAATCGTCAAATGTTAAGGGTGAAACGGATGGAGGGCTTGATTCGGCTGATTCTGTAAGGGGATACTTAACAATTTTTGGCGGTTGGGGAGGGCCAGTTGTGTTGTGATCACGCGGAGGAAAAACCAAATAAGAAGTTCTTTCGTCTCTATCAATTGATTGAGTTCGAAGTTTAGTATCGGTTAGATGATTTTCTTTGCGAGATATTTGAGATAAATGATCAGAGCTATATGATTTTTGTTTATTAGAGACATTTCTTATGGGCGGTAAGGATTCTGACTTCTGTGTAGTCAGCGGTGGTAGATCTATTGAGTAGTCTCGTTTGAGTCGATTACCCACTGAATTGCACCTTGGAATGAATCTTGGTAATTTCGAGGCTTTTACTTTTCTACCAGTAGACATAATCTCAAAGGAAGTAGACTTAGTTAAAATTCGCTTATCTGCTTTCTTCCTATGAATTTGTTGGTTTATTCCTTTCAAGCAATTAAGGAAGGTATCAATGTTGTACGCTGAATTCGTGAGAGAATTGACGTCGTTTACCTGATGAAATGTTGGTAACGGATATAACAGCAATTTCTCTAGTTTGTTGTAGAGTCTGGCTATACAGGCGTTGTGTAAATGAGATGCGTAGATAACACTTTGAGATATAGCTGTATTTATCACTTCTTCCAGGCAAACACTTTCTTCGCTGATAGCTTGGTAATACGGAACGTCTAAAGACGATGGAGGAGATGAGAGAGATTTTGGACTTGTTGGAGTAACTCTAATGTCATCGTCAATAATTTTTCTCCTTTTCTTTATTAATTTTCTCTTTTTTAGATTATCCGGTATTGTAAGTTGGAAATTAGGATCTCTGATGAAAAGGATTGGTATTTCATTTTGCACTGCTTCACATAGTAAGTTAATGCACTCTTCGTCGTGCAATGTACTTCGATTAATATCTAGTATAAAGGTGTGGCAGTGTTGAATGACGTCATTTGTCGATGTGACGTCGCAAACTGTTGACGTAAACAAGGATCGGTTTGTTCTAACGAACGTAACGTTTGAAAGATATTTCTCAGTAACTTCTAATCTAAGAATATCGGGTGAACTGAGCTCTTCAATCTCGGGTCTGCATAGGTAAACCAGCTTTAGACAGTCATCCGTACTGGACTCAATATGTATTGATGGAAGATGTGGAAATAATGCTTCTTCTTCAAAACTATCATATCTTGAATGCTTTTTAGAATCGTTTATTCTTAAAAATGGAAGCATAAATTCCCAAAATGAATCTAGAGATTCGTCATGAATTAAATTCGGGTAGATTCGGAGTAAGGTTAAAAACATTTTTAGATAATCGGTATGAGAGCGTATCCATTCCAAAGCACCTCCAAAAGCGGGAAAAGAGGTTTCATCTGGGGCGGTCAGGATTGCTCCTAAGTAATTAAGTAAGGCTTTATCTTCACGTTTGGAAGAGAACATGTCGATTAGCTTTTGCCTTGTTGCCGATAGATTCAACATTCTTTATGGTTGCTATGGTAACTATGAGATGGCGTCGATGCGTAGGCATATAGGTTGCTAGGCTTTTTACTGTATGTAATTATCCATACGTTTATGAGCGCATGATTCTACTTAGCTATTTATTTGTCGGTAAATATTATGCCTCACGACTTTTTTATTAGCAGGTGAAGTTTTTGCAGTAAATTTTATTTGAAAAACTGCAAAAACTACATAAAAGTAAAAGAAATTATAAAAAATGGAAAAAATAGGTAAAAAGCCCGGTGAAAAATTTTCTGTAAATATTCAATATAGTAGAATTCTCTTTCAATAAATCGTACAAAATAAAACGATTGTATGAATCATCAATAATTTCAAATGAATCAACTTGGTAAATAACATAAGCATATCTTATAATAAAAGAAGCAAAAACAAAAGAAAAAAAACAAACAACTATTATCATAACTAGCTTTAATTGGGGGAAAATATAGATGTAAAGGAACATCTATTCGCACTATTATGCAACCAAATTTCTTATTCAAACAGAAAAGTATAAGGGAACAACAGATAATCGATTGGCGTAGAGAAAACTCCTGTAAATCCGATAAGGTAAATGCTTTTTTCATGAATTCTTTGATGCTATTTACATCCATTACAATTTATTTCTCTCAGGACTGACAACCTGAGAAAGTCATTTTAAAAATATGTAAATATCGTTGAACCAAAGAAAAGTAAATTAATATCTTAAAAAGATGATAATAGATGGAAACAGTCAAAAACTATAAGTACAATTAACCCTAATCATTTCTATACTATAACTATATAGAAAGAATAATATATACAATTGTAAATAGATACAATGATATTTAAAAAAATATTTAGGAGTTTTCTATTATCAATAACGGCTTTATTTTACTTGTTATAGTATATTTGCTCTAAAAACTATAAGAATATAAACCTGTAAAAATATAACGTATATATTAAAGAAGAATAATATTAGCAATCCGAAAAAATCGCATAGTCTTTGTTTATATGACAAGGTTTTTTAATATTCCTAAAGTAATGTATCATCATCAATCACGCAATCCATAATGCATATCAACAGAATCGATGTTACTCGGAAATTCTTTAGATTATTAATAAAAACAAAGATCTACGGAAAAATTAGTTCTTTTCTCCCTCTTCTTTCCCACTCACTTCCTTTAATCCTTTCCGAATGTTTTCCGTCTTCTCTTTTTCATGAAAATCTCTGTCTATTTGCTTCCAAAACAGTATCAGAGAGAAAATTCAGAAAGAAATACAAACATACCCCTCTCAATTCTACCTTGTCGAAAATGGTTTAAGCATCAATTACGTAAAGAAGATCTAAGTGATGTTTCATTCCCAAAAGCTTTTATCAAGACGGAAGGATTGAACAATGGTAGGATTGAGAAAAAAGATTTATGTCAAAGTGCTATTTCGTATCAAAAATCTAAGAAAGTAAATGATGCAACCGTCAACGAAGATAGGAAATGTAAATCAATATACCTCAATGTAAATGATCAATCTTTAATTATGGAGAATAATAGGCAGCATTCAGTAAAAGACAAAGCAAGAATTCTAGAGACCGATATACCTAATTTTCTGCAATTTTTAAGAAGCATAGTTGTCAATATGTTTCATGGACAAACCTTGTTTAATAGAGCGACACGTTGTAATTTAACCGTTAACAAGACCATGAATAAATTTGCAGAATATAAACTAGATTTAGACGCTAAAATCGTTTTAAAACTCTCTGAGAGAAAAAACAGAAAAAAGTCTACAAAGATTGTAAACATTTTCGCCATTTTGGCCAAAATCGCTTTATTATATTTTATAGAGTTGTTCACCTCTAGAACGTCTCAATTCGGAGATCAAGTATCGACTAATCTTTTATCTAATATTTCATCAAATATACTTTACTCCCAAGAAGGAATCCCTTTGGATGAAATTATTGATAATAATAATTCAAATGTGGGGGAGAGAGGTCAAATCGATGGACATCAATCCCCTAGCGTTTCTTGCGAAATTGTTCCTGAAAGGAACTTTAGTGATAATAATAGTAATTTTCAACTAAAAAATTGCACCTTTTCAAATCGAAACGAATTTCCGGAATCGAAATCTCACGGATATCTAATTAAATTATCGGGACTTAATCATCTATTTAATAAGAATTCTATTCAACACACCGGAATTAGGCTCTGCCTTAAAATTATTGCTAATTACTTAAACTGGCCATATTTTAATCATACAAATTTCTGCAGTAAACATTCAAAAGATAATAAATACATTGATTGGGAGTCTTATGGGAAAAGGCAAGATAGCTTAAATATTGTTGATATATGGAAAGCTGATTCTTTCCCCTCTCTGTCAAAACCAGGAAAAATCAATATTCAAGATGAGAATACGTCAAAAATGAAACAATTAATGCGCAATTCAGTAAGTGAGTATAATAAAGGAGAGACGCTACATAACAAAGATAGTTATACTCTTTTGAGGGATGAAGAGAAGAATGATGAAAGAAAGGTAGAAACGCGAAGTGAAAGCTTTTCTCAGCAAAATAGACGTAAGACAGAATTTTGTGATACTTTAACGAAAGGGAAAACTAACAAAAAGCAACCAGAAGCATCTCATAGCGCTATTGTTTTTGAATCTTTACCTGTAGATGGCAAGATAGAAAGTCATCGGGGGGGGGAAATGTCAAATAAGTTGATAAAGACGTCAGAAATAATTAAAAATTTCATTGAGTTATCTAAGAGTCGTTGTCAATTAAGAAACTCTGATAATAGAAATCCTAGAAATGATCAGTCTGAGCAGGATCAATCTTATAGTTCTTCCGAGCTAGAAGTTAACAACATTACTATTGATCAAAGCATCATATCTAGGCCTATTAGACAAACATTAAGCAAAGCTGAAATGTTTAGAATAGGAGATAGTATAGAACGAGAACTTCCATCATTAACTATGCTTAGTTATCTATCTAAAAGTAATTTATCGCAATCGAAAGTAGTAACAAACAAGGAGAATAAATCAATTCAAATTGAAACAATGGCTAAGAAAGCTGACCAAGGAACTCAATTAGATGAAACGTATTCATATGATTATATCTATCCAACTTTGACTGAATCAAATATTTCACATAACACTCTTGTATCGATCGATTCTTTAGTTAAGGAGTCATCGGCCTGTGACAGCTACTTACAAGTTCCAGACGACATATCTGTCGAGTATTTCATTCCCAATTTGATATTAAGCAATAAATTCGTTCTAGATGACATGATACTAAAGCCAATAAGACGAGATGTTTCAACAAGTACGATTGGCTTAAATTTAACTAATAAAATTGATAAAGCTATATTAGTTCGTATAAAATCTATTGATCCATCAGTTTCTTGGAATAGGTGTAGTAAGAGCGAAAAATTGAAAGAAAAGTTTAAAAAATCAATAATCGATTGTAAGAGAACGAATTGCCTACAATACTGTAAGTCAGGAAAAAAGAAGATTGCACATATTAATTCAATTTGTAAGAAAGAAATCCATAGAAATGATTTATTTTGTTTGAGTAAAAGATGTCGTATATCACATGGTTATTGTAAATTGTTGGCAACTCATTGTAAAATTATTCATCATTGTTTTAATAACAAGAAAACCTGCGGTAAAGAAACGAAACTGAATACACAATACTCAAGAAGGAATCGATTAGGAGGCAAATAAATTTTCAAAAATAAATAATATAGATTATATTAGATTGAACATTATTTGTCTTTTATTATTCAAACGCGACAAATTTAGATAATATAAAATTACAATTCTCTTGAACAAACGATTTTTTCATTCTTGTTCTTATTATTTTTTCAAGACTATAAAACGTTTAAGTTGCACAAAAGGGAAAAGGACAAAATCTTCTTGTTCGTTCTCTCTCTTTTCTATACGTGTCTTTCTTCCTTTTTCCTTAGACTCCATATATTTCATATTTGAAAGAAAATCAAGATTTAGAATATTTAGGTTATTCTATTAAATGAATGATAATAGAACTTAGCGGTCAATCGAACATTTATTAGCTTTTTGAAAGGAGAAAAATGGGAAAATAATAAATTCCATTCAAGAAATGTCTTCGGTATATCTAGTAAAATGATTTTCTGTAAGAAAACCCCTCATTCTGTTCTGGAGAGAAGGCCTAACTTAAACTATTGAATGGTAGCATTGTCAACTAAATCTCATGCCATGCTTGACTGCGTCAAATAGTGATCGCCTAACTTTATACTCTAGCATTGGCCCTTGGTTAGGGCGGATTGTGTTATTCGCGCCTTAAAATCTTTCAGGATATTCAATTAAGTTATTACTGAGTTTTCATTAGATCTTTAGTAGGTTCCATATTCAAGATGATGCGATACATTTCAAGTATCGCTATCTCTCTAGTCATCATCGCTTTAATCGAAATAATTGGTAAGTTACACAACTAATTGAACATTTTGAATTTGTCCCCTCCCTTTTTTTTCAATCGTTATTCTATTCTCCATTTTATTTCGCTTGTCTTTTACTAATTATGCTATTCTTTAGAGAAAGTGATTGCTTTTGTTATACTTATACACAGAATGTTTCTCTACTTGACAAACCTTAACGTGGGCGGGCTGTATATGCCTAAGTACAACTCTTCACTAAGGGTGAAGTCATTCGCCGGCAAGTGGGCGCTGCTATATATTTTTAGCTTACATACGCCTTATGCAGATCGGGTTATTTTTATATTGAAAACGATTTTTTTATTGAACTTGACCGTGTTTTGACCCTTTTTAAAGTCATTTTTTTCCTCCTTTCTTCAATAATATCTCTTCCTTTTACTTAAGTGATATACTTTCAAGCACGCTTATGTGGTTTTTTTGGTTACTTATGTCGGGTTTTTTTTGTTAACAGGAATAAGAGCACAACCAACTCTGAACTTGCCGACAGGTTTGTATAAAAATGATAAAATTTGAATAAGAATATTCTTTTGTTTGAACTTGCTTTTTCTTTTATTAAACTATAGGAACGTGCACAAGGCCATCATATGGGCGTCGTTTTGTAGTTCCAGTCCTCTCAGAACCAAATCTTATTCAGAATCTACAGATCAACATACAAGTTACAGCTGTCAAAAGTAATACGAACTTTAATGTTCGCTTGAATCTTAGTGGCTCAACTTTGGCGACGCAATCCATAACCGCCAGCAAGAGGTATATCGACTTTTCAACTGGTCCAGCGGGAAACAGAGCATTTGAAATCGATTCAGATGATGATGTTGCAGTTTTAGTTAGATACAGTTATAACATCCCGAATGTGAATGAAAAAGCTTATCATGTCGTTTATCCTATTGAATATATTGCCTTCAACTACTTTATATTGTCTAGACCAAATAGAGGTAATGCCATTTCTGTTGCTGCAACTGAAGATAATACCAAGGTTTGTGAACTACTTTTATCATTTTCAAATAGCGTGTGAAATATTTGACTTTTGTACTTATAGTTGACAGTGACCTTTTCTAGGCCGTTCAACTACAATGGCAGACAATACCAGACTGGAGAACAGCTGCAGGTCACGCTAAATAAGTATGAAGCTCTATCTTTATACGATGAAGTTTCAAGTTTTTCTGGAACAAAAATTTCGGGTGATAAACTAGTTGCTGTTATAAGCGGTTACCTGACTAATGGCCAACGACGCATCGCTGCTGTGGATATGATATATCCTCTGCATTCTTACGGTAAAGGATATGTCATTCCGCTAATGGCTGGAGGAACCGAAATTATAGCTACATCGAATGCTCCTGGAATAATATCTGTTTATAGCGCTCAGAATGTTGTTAATAGGCAATTGACTTTACCGGGTAATGGTGGAGTTGTTACGGCAAATTTCGACCAGCAATTCTATTTATATTCTACGGCGCCGATGGAGGTTGTGGTTTTTTCAGCCACATCAGAATCTTCGCTTTTATTACCCCCAATTGAGCAATATTATAGATCAACATCTTTGGAGTCTGTTGCACCACCACTGGAGCCTACAGTTTCTGTTGTTGTTATAACTTCTAATGTTGGAAATTTGAGATTGAATGGAAATCTTTTCAATCCTATAACTCAGTTCGAGATCATCGGATATTTTATTGTTGATAAATCCTTGACAAATGCTCAAAGCATATCAATATCCTCTGTGTCAAATGAAAGATATTATGCATTCTATACGATAGGGAACAACTGGATGGCTTCAACTCAGATATGCTTGGATGATATTCGGGTAAGCCATTTTTATTTGATTATTAAACAATTTTTTATTGATATTTCTTTTATATTGCAGAATGTTGTCAACCCAGCTCCAGGTATATATTTTACAAATAAAGATTGAGACAGTGAGAAGGTTCTATATTTTATAAATTATTCTTTCTTGTAGCTCCTGTTCCATCTCCTATACCAGTTCCCGCTCCTGCGCCCATTCCAGTACCTGTTCCGGCACCTGTTCCTGTTCCTGTTCCAATACCAGTACCTGCACCTATTCCAGTGCCAGCCCCAGTACCATCTCCTATACCAATCCCTGTACCAATACCTGTTCCGGCACCAATACCTGTACCGGCACCAATACCTGTTCCGGCACCAATACCTGTACCCGCGCCAATACCTGTACCGGCACCAATACCAGTTCCAGCACCTATACCTGTTCCGGCACCAATTCCTGTTCCGGCACCAATACCTGTACCGGCACCAATACCTGTACCGGCACCAATACCAGTTCCAGCGCCTATACCTGTTCCTGCACCAATTCCTGTTCCAGCACCAATACCTGTACCGGCACCTATACCTGTTCCAGCGCCTATACCTGTTCCGGCACCAATTCCTGTCCCAGCACCTATACCCGCTCCAGCGCCTATTCCAGTTCCTGCTCCGGCTCCTACACCTACTCCAGCTCCTCAGAATCGTTAGTGCTGGTATTTCCTTTTATTTGAATTATTTCTCTTATTTTTGTCTACAGCTAATGAATGTATGAGAAGTAACAATGGCAAGAAATTCTTAATTGCTCATTTAGATAATTCTGCTGGACAAATTTACATATCGATTACGAGACTAACAGATGCAGCGACTACGGTTACCGTTGATTCTCCATTTGGCAATTTAAACAATCGAATTAGCATCACCGAAAGATCAAGAAGAGTTTTAGTTTCGACAAATTACTTGATCAGAGATAGTATCATAACTAACAAGGTTATACGTGTAACATCGGACTTTGACATTTCCGTCATGGTTTTCGTTACTGATAGTTCAACAAATGCCGGCTATACTATGGCATTGCCTGTTGAAAATATTCCATCAAGCCCAACCTATTATATAACCAACTATGCATCTTCTGACAAATCTGCTCAGTTTGCTATTTTGACTGACGTTCAAGCCAAAGTTACAGTTGAAATACCATCAGGGAAAAGAGTACTTTTCAATGGAGCTATTCAAACTTCCACTTTTACATTTGATCTTGCTCCACTAAGAGGGGTGCTCATATTCAATGCTCTCTCTGATGGGACCGATATATCGGGAATAAAAATTTCGGCTAATGCTCCCATAGTTGTCTATAGTGGAAATAACAATCCAACAGTGGGACCAGCAGTGTCAACAGATCATCTAATTAGCGCCTTACCTCCCTTGGAAACTTGGGGAACAAAGTTTGCAGTCATGGCACCTTTGAATAGAAGAGCGGGGTAGGAAAATACTAAATTTTTAATTTAGCTTAACTTTTATACTATTTTATATCTTTTATAGTTATATTCTAAAAGCTGTAGCAAGTATGGACAATACTTTCGTACAAGTTGCTACCAAACCTGTATTAAATTTGGCAAAAGCGGGTGATAGTAAATTTGTTGAATTGGATACGAATGAGCATGTTCAAGTATTATCAAATAAGCCCATTTTACTATCACAAACATTATTAGGATATCAAAATCCTCCTGATACATCCGGTGCTGCTATGACAATTGTTCCGCCAATGAAGCAATGGAGAATGCGCTACAGGTTTAATACATTCCAAGGGCAAATTTCAACATACTATACAATTATAATAGACGGAAACAACAGACAAAATGTGAGTATTAATGGGATGTACAGAATGGTTTATCTATACTTTTTTTTATCCATATTAGATTATTGTTAATGGAAATAGGGTGCAAACCGACTGGACCAGAATTAATGGCAATGAGAATCTATATGGTGCCCGTTTAACATCCACTTTAAAAGATTTTGACATATATGCTAGTGTACCTAATGTCAAACTTAGTGTTTTTCTGCATGGTTCAGTTGTAAATGATGGATCTCTTACCTCTGCAGGAACCTGTTTAACATTAGCACCAACAGTTCAAACTACTGTTGCACCTTTAACCAGTGCACCACCTATATCAGCAAATATTCCAACGTTTAGAAAATGTAGCACAAGCACGGAAGGTCGCATCTTTTATGTTTACTTTTTACAAAATTCTCTCCTAACCACTCAGCCACAATTGAGATTGTCAGTTGGCAGTACCGTTAATTCCTTCGTTGATTTAAGAGTAACAACACCGGGTAATCCAAGCATTCTAACCAATTCGTATAGGGCAAACAGGGGTGAAATGCTTACAATTGATCTGCCATCAACGATAATGTCAACTGGAACTGGAATTAGACAAAATGTTCTTAGAATTCAGGCAACATCTCAATCAGATATAACTATTGTTGCGTTTTCAAAGACTGGAGAATCATGTGGCGCTTTTATGATTTATCCTGAAAGAGCATTATCCAACAGCTATTATATAGCTGCCTGGTGGACACCAACCCAGAGCACGCAATTCTCCGTTACTGCAGTTCAAAGTGGAACTACAGATGTTTCCATAAAATTCCCTCAATATAGAGGTATTCAGGTGAATTATAATGGAAGAATTTACACAGCACGAGAAGTTTTCCAAGTAACCTTAAGCCAATATCAAACAATCCAAGTTCAAGCCATGTCGAAGGGTGACCTTTCTGGTACAAGAATAACCGCCACAAGTAAAGTTGCAGTATTCTCTGGAAACGTCGATACTAGTGTTGGTTATACGGGTATTACTGATCATATTGTTGCTCAAATCCCTCCATCTTCAGTCCTGGGTAAGAATTACGTTCTTCCTACAACGCCTAAACCAGGTTCTAAGACTGTTATAAAAATTGTTGGTCATGAGGACAATACATATGTTCGCTTTGGAGAATATGGTGTTTATCTTAGTCAACAAGAACATCATCAACAAGTCTTACAATCTAATGATTTCATCAGAGTCCATTCAAATAAACCAGTTATGGTCTCTGTAATGGCAGTTGGTACTGAAATACCTTCTAATGAGGCTGGAATGCAAATTATTCCTTCGATCAGTCATTACAGATATAAACATATATTTACAATTCCCCAAATCTTGGGTGCTGAGCATTTTCTATCTCTGATTGTGCCAAGTCAATATAAAGATAACGTAATTTTGGATGGAAAAAATATTGGTGGCTCTGTGGCCTGGAAAATAGTTCAACTCTTCAGCGATATTCCTGGGGCTAATATGAGTGGTGGTCATTATAAAATAAATGCCGGTTTCCACTTTGTTTACATCCAAACGACTGGCTCGAATGTCGCCTTTACTGCATCTATATATACGACAAGTTCGTTTTCTAAGTGTGGTTACAGTTTTGCCGCAGGGTTCTGCGTTGAAGGCACACCTGAGGTTGTACTAAGATGATTAATCGTTAAAAAAGCAATTAAACGCTAATTTTTTTAAAATAGCCGCAAACATCAACAGCAGCACCCCCAACTCAAACTACCATAGTAAATACCCCAAGTGGAAATTATCCACTACCATCTATCAGTTCGTTTTTAGCATTTATTTCTCCATTACTTATTTTCAATCTAATTTCTCTTTTTAGCCCAGTGTACGAATGATGACGTGGGAAGAAATTTCGTTATGGTTTTCTTAGACACTGAAAGTGTTTCTAATAGTATCATGAAACTTCACCCAGTCCTTATCTCAAATGCAAACTCTGCTATTATAAATGTTATAGGTAATGGGTTGAATCCAGCTTATTCATCACAAACAACACTTCGGCCAGGTACCGTTGAAGAATTGACAATACCACAAAGAGCAAAATTAGCATCTGACGGGCTTTCAAGTAATGTTGTATCTATAAGTTCTAATCGAGATATTTCACTCTCTGCTACGGTCTCTGGTACTGCTTATTGTGGATCAAGTTTAATTTTCCCCACCGATGTCTTGGGAAGAACATACTATGTTGTTGGATGGGAAAAAGCTACAACTGCTTCCCAGTTCGTCATCGTAAATCCCTTTAACAGAGAAATTAGGGTTGAAATTGCTTTCCCTAACTATATTGTGAATTTGAAGGTGAATGTGCTTGGAACTGAATACACAACTGGCCAAAAAGCTTCCAATATTGCAATACCTGCTCTTAATGCTCTACACGTGAGAAACACAAATGGGATCGATCTCTCTGGAACCTATATCGTAGCTAGTGCACCAGTTGCTGTTTTTGCAGGTAATAGAAACGTAAATGTTCGCTATGGAAACTTAGATCTGTTAATGGAGCAAATGCCACCTACTCAAACCTACGGAAATTACTTCTTACTAACGAATTTTCCCAAAAGGCATTCTCCCTATTATATAAGAATAGTTGCTGGTTTCAAGAGAACTTCTATTAGGTATTCAAGGGATGGACATGTAGCAGAATATATATTGCAAGAAGCTGGTAGAATGATTATTTTAGAATACAGTTCTAGAGAAACTGGCTACATACAAGCCGATCAACCAGTTATGGCTGTTCAAATATCGCCAGGAGCAGTTTATGAAAATGATTATGGAGCCCCAGCAATGATGACCCTAGTTAGCAGAGACCAGTTTAAGAGAAGATATGAATTTGTTGCAAACAACGCTACGAAAACAACATTTATCACGATAATTGCTAGAAATAGCGATAGAACAAAAATGGTTATAAACGAAAAGTTAATAGTCGACAGATGGAGTTCTATTAAGGGTTCAGATTTTGTATACCGATATGAAGAGGTAAATGAGGGAATCCATAGAATATACAGTGCTGATGGTCAAGCCTTATTTGTTGCGTACGTATATTCGGCTAGTGAAAGAAGCTGCGCAACAGCTTGGGCTGCAGGATCATGTGCTAACATCAACCAGCAACCAACTATAACGACGCCTAAAATACGTAATTATTTTAATTTTTAACATTTTAAAAGAGAAAATACTAAAACTATGTTTATTTAAAATTTAAAGCAACAACTCCACAAGTGAATGTCCCTAAACCCGGAACAAGTAAGTAGTTGATATTAAAGAAGGAAATTTCATTTTTCCGAAACTTTCTTTCTTATAATTAATAAATACTTCAATTTCAATTTAGTCGAATGTGCTCAATCAAACTACGGACAGCGTTTTGTAGTCGTCTTACCATCAGAGTCTTATGAAATAATTGTTACAACTGGAAATAATGCTGCTGACGTTTCTTTCTCATCAAACATAATTTCTCGAACGACAGTTAGAGTTGGGAGTTTAGAAACTTATGTTTTTAACAATCAAAGAAGTTCTTACACGGTTCGTTAACTGTAAACTTTCTAAAACATAATGTTCTAATATTATTATAATTATGAAATTAGCTACCTCAAGGTCAAAATTCAAAATCGGATGCAACTTTAACAATTTCATCAAATCAATTAATAACCGTTGCGCTTAGAGATACATCTGCCCCTAATTTATGTTCATCGACAACTGTCATACCTGCCAACTATTTATCTAATACGTATAGAATAGTCGCTCCCGTTTCTGGACAGCTTATTCTTACAGGAATTTCAAATACCGCTGTGCTAATCACTGCCAATCTTCCGACAGGAATGATTCAGAATTGTATTATTCCAAGTCCAGGAACCAGAATCCAAAACAGAGTTGTTGTAACACTAAATCCTGGTCAAGTTTATAGACTATTCTGCACAGGTCGTGTTGCCGATCCCTCTGGCTTACTTTTAACAGCTGATTCGCCCTTTTCTGTATGGTTAGTTGATAATACCTACTTGGGTCATGTTATCCCTGTTGACCGATTAGGCACTGAATATCTTGCTCAGAGGGTTAGAGTAGTTGCTCACTACCCTGATACAGTTGTTTCAACAAATCTAAGAACATATCCTGCTCTAGGTCCAGGAGATATATTAGATATTCAGACTGAAAATTTCAAAAGAATATCCAGCAATTATCCAATTGCAGTGGGCGTTACAAAAGTTTTACAGAATCCAACCAGCAGATCAGTTAGAGCTTCTATACCTTTGATTCAAGCTAAATCATCATATGTCTTTGATGTAGCTCAGGAGGGCAGCTCCTTCATAACAATGTATGCTGAAACCGCAGAGACTAGAAATATTGTCCTAGATGGAAGACGGGTAGAATTAGATTGGGCACCTATTGATGGTAAACCTAGCTGGTCTATAGCAACATTAACTATTCCTAGAGGAGGAGTTCACGAATTGTATCATGCAACACTTGATAAAACTTTTATAGCTTATCTGGATACACAAAAGACAACTGTTTGCAGTTCATCTAGACCTGTAGGCTATTGTATGAATCAGGTAAACAAGAGTTTATCATTGCTGTTGATATAGAATAAACATCTTTTTAAATATTTAACAGCAAGAAATCGTAACAACTCCTGCTCCAACTCCACCACCAACTCCACCACCAACCCCACCACCAACTCCAACTCCAACACCAGACCCAACAATTCCCCCAGCAACAGGTACCGATTGATCCTTTTTTATCTAATTTGATATTTTTATTGGGTGGTAATTTTACTTAGCATCTCATTTCTAAAAATATATCATTTATAGACAATTGTCAAGCGTCTTCATATGGAACCGAATTTATGGTAGCTCTACCAGCTGATAATTATGAAATTGTAGTTACAGCAATATCACAAACTCAAGTAGCTTTCAGAACTCCATCTAGTTCAAGTTCAACTTTCTCACTACCACCTTCTACCTCAAGAGTTTACTCAGCTAATAAGAATATTTATACAGTAAGAAATCTGTTTTGTAAATATGAATTTATAAAGAGAGACTTTTTAAACTTTTTAGCAAACTGAAATCGGAACAGTTAAACAAAGCGCAGTTCTCCTAATAACATCAAATAATCCAATTACAGTTGCTATTAGACAGACTGTTCAAGGAACAATATCATGTGCATCTGCTCTAATCATTCCCAGAGTATCCTTAGGAACAGTTTACAGAATAGTAGCTGCAGAAAATTCTCGAGTTTTGATAGCAGCCAGCCAAAATGCGCTTATTTCTATATCAGTTCCATCGACACTAACAAATGCTAAAATCATATATCCCGGTGGCGTGGCTAACGCTGGACAAACTTTCACAGTAGTACTTAGCCAATATGCTACAATTTCATTGGATACTGGAATTAACAATGATGGAGATTTCTCTGGACTATTAATTAGATCAGATACTTCGTTGGCTGTATGGGTTACTCATTCCACTTACATTGCTCAAATTCCTTCTGTGGATTTTTTCGAAAAGGAATATGTTCTCTTCCCCGCAAAGATTGTAGCCCATTATCCGAACACAGTTGTTCGAGTAGGAGCCAACACTTACAATTTACAACCCGGGCAGTTTAGAGAATTCCAACCAAACGAAGTTACTGTGGAAACCTATGTTTCAAGTAATCTTCCAATAATTGTTGGAACTGCTGGAGAAACTCTCTCGGGCAGTTTAGCTATTTCTCCTGGTATCCCAATTGTTCAAGCCAAATCGTATTACATCATAGATACAGTCGGTAGTAGTTCTAAATACTTCCTTATTTATGCTGGAACGTCTCAGAGAGGAAATGTAATTGTCGATGGAAAAAGAGTTCAAGCACAATGGAGACAATTACCGGATAAACTTGACTGGTCTGTAGCAATTGTTCAATTCAATGATGCTGGAGTCCATCAAGTGTATCACTCAGTCGCCAACGAGTTGTTGGTAGTTTATTTTAATACAGTAACAAATGATTGTGCATCAATGAGACCTGTAGGATTCTGTTACAAAAAGGTAAACGTGTATGCTTGTATCCAAAACACATACTGTATTATTTTATATTTCTATTAAATTCTAGCAACCCATAATACCTACTTTACCACCTTCAACCGCTCGACCACCCACCCCCGTTCCTACACCTTTTCCCAATACCCGTTTGTGTTTTTGTCCTAGATAAAGATAACTCATTTGCATAGTTTATAAACTCTTTAAAATTGCAGCTGATTGCTCTGGAAGTACTATCGGTAGACTTTTCATCGCCGTTTTTCCTTTTACAAATTGTCGGGCGAATATGATATCAATTGGCTCTGGCGGTTCTGTAACAATTAGACACCCCTCGACAGGAGCTAGCTCTTTCCTCTCAACATCGGTTTTAACAAATCAGGAATATACACCTAACACTCAGGTAGCTTGAAAAAACTGCTCGAACTAAAATGTTCTTTTTACTATTTAATCTATTTTTCTCTTTCAGCTACAAACTTCTGGAATTGTACAGAGAGCAGTTTACAGTTTTTCATCCACAACAGATTTGACTATGGATACAAGATGTTATACTTCCAGTACCCAAAGCTGTGGAAGTTCGCTTTTATACCCTACAAATATGCTTGGCTCATACTATAAAATAATCTCTACAAGAAGGAATGAAGTCATTATTGGAAATAGCGCAAATCCAGTTACAGTAACTGTAACTATACCTTCAACTCTCGGCTCTGTTTCAATAGCCCATCCCCTTGGAAGAGCAAGCGCTGGACAAAGCTTCACTATTAATTTGGGATCTTATGAAGCAATAAGATTGCAAAATACAAATGGCGCTCAAACTCTAGCCGGTGTAACAATATCATCAACGAACATTGTTGCCGTTTGGGTCTTTACTGCAAACTTTTTGGATCAAGTTTTGCCTTTCGATAGAGCGGCCACAGAGTACCTTGCTTGGGGATCTTATAGTTTATTGACTGATACCCTTCCTGATAGCATTGTAATAGACGGTTCAAGTCGAAATATTAACACTATGCCTTATTTGGCATTTAATCAAGCAGACACACAAGTTTCGAAAATTAGGGCAACAAACCCAATTGGATTAGTTAACTATATAAACTTGGATTCAACTAATTCTATTGCTAAATCTCTACAAACACTTATACCCATCGAACAAGCCAAAGCACTACATATCTTTAACATACCAACAACAGGGCGAACAATCCTTCGTATATTTGTTCAAACTGTTGCTAGAGATTCAGTTGTAATGGATGGATTAAGATTAAACTTAAATTGGCAGCAAGTACAATGGGATAGTAGCTGGTCATGGGCTGTAACCAATCAGATAAATTCAGGAGTTCATCGTTTGTACAATGGCGATCTTAATAGACTCATAATAGCTTATATAGAGCATGACGACAATGTTTGTTCCTTCTTAAGGGCTACGAGTCACTGCATGAGAATTGTATGTTATTTCAATTATATTTTAAAATGATATAATTATATTATTATGCACTTACAGATGAATGCAATCACAACACCTCAACCTACACCACCACCGACACCATCTCCTACACCTGCTCCAACTCTTCCTCCATTCCGTATGCAAATTTTTAATGAGTTAAGCATATACTACATGATATTTCTTTAAAATCTAGCTCCACCTTGTCCGAGAGAGAATAGAGGTTTGAGATTTGCTACAGTGTATATGCAAAGCGATAATAGTGGACGAAGAAGATATTTACATGTTGCTAACGCAGGAAATTTTAGAACAACTGTAACAGTTCGAGCCCCTAGAATACCCAATACAGACATTAATCAAATCATTGAAGTAGGAAGCTCATTCAGGTTCGATTTGGCAAGTATAGACGCTCATATTAGTGGATCGAGCATTGAAAATAAAGGATTAGATATTGTTTCAAGTTCATCCCCAATAACTGTTCTTACTGAGAACAAGGACTCTAGAGGATGTTCGGCTTTCACAAATATACCATCAGCATATCTTGGTAGAGATTATTACATATTATCTGGATCAACTTCAGCTCAAGCTACAATTTTGGCTACCTCAAGTGACTCAACTGTAGTAACCGTTACTGTTCCGAGCTCATCCGGTGTTAGAGTATTTTACTCGGGTGCTACTTACACACAGTCATTTACAATAGATTTGTTACAATATCAAACTGCTTCCATAGTTGGAGCTGGAACAAGTCTTTCTGGAGTAAGAATAGTTGGAAATAAAGACATTGCTGTTTTCTCCGGAAACAAAGGAACAAATTCTGCCAATCCCATTATAGATTCATTAAGCGAGCAATTGTATCCAGTTGATACTTGGGGTAAGGAATTTTGGGTATATCTCCCCAACAATGCTCAATCAGCTACTATAAGAATAATTTCTATCGAACCTGCTCAAGTTAGAATATCCGGAAAATCAGTTCTTAATATTGCTGGACCGCATGACGAAAAGACCGTTCAGTTGGATAGTAGTTCAACTGAGAAGGGAAATTACATTACAAGTAATCAGAATATTCAGATTGCTCTAGAAATAAGGCCACAATTTTCATCCTTGGCAACTGCCTTGGCGATTATTCCACCTGTTTCGCAATGGAATTATCAACATACTTTTGTTATCCCACCTGAATATGATCCTTTAACGTTTGTATTGAAAATTACATCAAAGGGCCGACAGGTTTATCTCGACGGAAGATCTTTAGATTTATCCTACAATGGTAATCAGCAAGTAACACCCCAAACCACTCTTCACTTCTGGATTAATAGCCCAATCACTCCTGGAAGGCATATTATTCAAAGCACTGAACCAGTCTTCGTATCCATCAGCATGGAAAATTCAGGAGATACTTGTTCGATATTTTACTCGGGTGGACAATGCTTGAATTCCATCTATACACCACCTACAACGATTGCTCCAACACCTGCACCCACACCACCGCCTACTAGGCCACCAGTTCCTGTTGTTGGAAGCTGCAAATCAGGAAGCACTAACTTGGGAAGAGAGTTTTATGCAATTTCCGTAGTATCTGATACGCCAGATAGAAGAACCCCGAATTATGCCAGTTTAATTTATACAGTACTACCAGAAAGCTCTACATCTGAACGTGTCACATTCCTTATCGGAGAGTTTTCGAGCGCATTTGTCAGAGTTTACAATAGACCATTTAGAACTAGATATTCTCCTGTTGCAATATTCCAGAGCAGTAAAATGGAAAATTCCTATGTTGGTCCAAAAGTCTATAAGATTAGTTCAGTATCGGATGTTGCGGTTTTCGCTGTAAATCAGGCGCAAGATTCTTGTGGAGGTTATATGTCCCTTCCAACAACTGTTAATGGCAGAGATTTTAGAGTAGTAACTGAGATCCCTAATTCTGGTACTGCCTTCCTTGCAGTTGTTGCTAAAAGTTCAACAACAGTTAGTATACTCCTGAGGGCACCGGTGACATTTGGAGGTAGAACTTATCAAGTCGGAGAAACCTTGACGCAGAACGTGATAGGAGATAATATTCTATACTTATCGTCCAGCGGAGATTTAACGGGAACAAGAATACAAACTAATAATCCAGTAAGCGTATTTTCGGGTAATACATATACAATTTTTGGATCAGTCGGCAATGCGGATCATATGATTGAAAGCATTCCTCCGACTTCATTATGGGGCATGACATTTGTCCTGAATCCGTTACCCGAGAGAGCTGTAAGCTATAACAACAAATATAAAGTCATAGCCCGAGATGACGATACAATTGTATCTGTTGATGGGCAGACTCCTTTCTCTCTTAGAGGCGGCGAGAGCCGTACCATTACAACGTCTTATTCAACTTGGGCGTTTATGTACAGCAACAAGCCAATTCTTGTTGTTCAAATGTCTCAAGGAAGAATTAATTCGGCAGATAACGGCAGTCCTACAATGATTATTCTATCACCCGCAGAATTATGGCTAACGTCGTATGCTTTTATGACAACTGTTGGCAATCTACTTGATGCTGACAAAGATTTCAAAGGATATGTTATAGTGACAATTGAGGACGGAAAGCAGAGCGGCTTAAGAATTAACAACGGCCTAATACCCAATCAAGTAACATGGACAAAACTTAGCGGCCGGCCGTATGTTGGAGCTTTTGTAAGTACTTTAATGCAATAAATCTAATAGATTTTAACTGTTAAATGGTTTTTAAGATACCAATCGAAGTTGTTCGTCAATATTCGCTTAAACACATTGAAGACGGCGTAAAATTCGGTGCCATCGTTTACGGTAATAATGATCTTAGTTCAAATAGATGTTCTTTCGGCTTTCCTGCTGGATATTGTACGGACGTGGTAAGAAAAATAGATAATTTAAACGTACAAACCATAAATTTTATTAACGAATAACGTAAATTTTCGAACAGCAAACATAAAAAAAGAAAGAAGGAAGAAAGAAAGAAAAATATATCGGAGGAATGCAATTATTTTTTTTTTAAAACAAAAATTTAACATTAAAATGTTTTATTCGGAATATTCTCTTTTTTTACATTAAATTAATTGTTTAATTATTCAAGAAATGTGCTTTTTTGTATATTTAAAAAGAAAAAAAAAACACAAAAATGAAGAATTTTGTCCAAATTATTTTATCGTCTTTATATATTTCCAAAGCAATAATTGTATATTTTATAGCAAAGTGATTTACGGTTACGGGGAAAACAAAGGGCAAAAAATATAAAAAACTACAATAGTTTGTTTTGTTTTTACATTATTTTTGGAAATTTAGTGTTTCATACTTTTTTTTTCTATCAAGTTAGTAGATTTTGTTTCTCTGAAAAATTCTAATATAAAATTCGTTTTTAACTGCTACTTAAAAAAGGAAAATAAACTATTTTTAAAATATAATACTATACAAATAATAATCTTTTTTATAATTAATTAAATAAAGTATTTATTTTATTAGTAATTTCATCAAAACTATAATTTTTAAATGGAAAGAAAGCAAAATTGCACCTGCAGTTTTTTGACGCTCCTCTTTAAAAAAAAACAATAGACTTAAAATAAGTATAATCTAAGAAAACACATGCAAATATTTTTAATAGATTCAATAAAATCATAGATGACAATTCGCTAAGATTAACGGATTGATAGGATTGCGAATATACGACAAATAAAAAGGATAGAGGAGTTTTTAGAGAGAGGTACGAAAGAATTAAAGAAATTTGATGAGGGAAAACATTATTACCAACGATTTTTCTTTAATTCGATAGTTCGCCTATAAAATTTTGTAAAAGGGACACAGAGCAGTCGGACAATTTGTCTCTACCCATCGATTCACTTAGTGAGGCCTCGTAAAATTTTCTATATATTCTTCAAAAATTTTCCCCTTTATACATCTCTATATGTATCAGAAGCTTCTCTTATGTCATCAATTGTTTTCTCCCATCTTTTCATCCTCTCTATCTCTATCTCTCTCTTCCCTCCTTCCTAATTTAGTGCTCTTTACGAAAATAAATAAACTCCAACTGTAGAACTATACGTAAAGAGAAAACAAAATAATAGGGAAATTAAGCAAGAATCATCACGATTATCATATCCGTAGAAAAAACGTTCATCTATCAGATTAACGGAATATCATACAAAAACATGTCTTTTTTTAAATATTCAATTATTACAATATCTTCAATACGAAAAGAAAGCTCCTTTTAATTTATTATTATTATTATTTCGTAGTGGAATGACTTTCATATTTCATATTTGTTTATTTTCTTCCTTTGGCTTGCTCATATTATTTTTGTAAACATTTTTTTTTATGCCAGAGAGTTTAGTCGTAGTTGCCTTCTTCTAAAAATATTCTATATATATATATAGATATCCTTGCACTTCTATACACATCTTCTGTTTCTTTTTTTTTTTAATCTTCATCCATCAAACTTTTATTTTCCAGGTTTTTCTTTTTTTTTTTGCTAAGCCATCCAGTTTAGTCTGGTTTGTTTGTTTATTTTCATATTTTTTGTTTATTTCTTTTGTGAAAAGTTTTTGTAAATGTTAGAAAATGAGCAATTAAATCAGTTTTTGTGTACGTGCTTTTATTTAAATTGGTAATTTTCTATTATTATCTGTTATGGAGTTTAGTACTGATTTAGTTTCTTTGGTATCTCTTTGGAAGTCATTTCCGTTGGTGACAATAAGCATGAATCTTCACCGTCATCACTCATCATTTCCATTTCCGTACTGTTACATGAGGCAACAGCCTCAGATTTTTTATCATTCCAAATTTCATCGTCACTATCCTCCTTTCTCATTGAGCCATATTGATGAGTCAATGAGTCGCCTGAAGAGAGAACGCTGGTAGCCGAATGCGTTTCAGTTTCTGAGTCAACAGATGAGTGTACGTCTATGGTTTCCTGTGTAAATTCCTTTATTGGAGGAGTTGGAGCAGGCCTATATATTTGTATATCTGGATTTGACTGGATTTTATCTTCTGTAGGCCTGTCTGATTCAGAAGAGGGTCTTTTTTTAAGAATTGGTGGCGGTAGATCACTGACTGCTTTAACGTCGGTTGCGGAAGCACAACGATAGGTGACCTTTTTCTTCTTAGACCTTGAACTTAGATCAGACCAATTTCTTTGGATAGGTTTCCCTACTTGTGTTGTGGGCGTCGGAGGTTCACTCTGTTGTTTGTCAACTAGAATCGAACGTAATTGGGAATGTTTGCTATCAAGCTGAATAGCTTGTTCCGCCTGTTCCGTTTCCGATTGTATTTGAACGCCTTGAGAACTAAATCGTTTCCGGTCTTCTTTATACATATCTAAGAATAAGTCTAACTTGGTTTCAATATCTTCAACTTGCCTCTCGACCTTAACAACCCTCGCCGCTAGGCAAATTTTTGACTCATAAACATCTGGTTTTTTTGAGCCCGCCTTACCAAGAATCTGGTCTAATCTGGAAAGAATATATTAGAAATTTATTTTCCTTTTTCTTAAGCATGTCAACAGAGGGCGTTTGTAAAACACCCTTAACATTATTTTCTTTACGAGAGAGATAATATTATTGTTTTTTATTACCTTAGCTGTAAATTCTTAATTCTACTTAGCATATCAATATGCCCCGCCGAATATTGCTCGATAATATCCTTGAGGTCGTAGGGGCGAAAAGCCTCTTTAAATTTTCTTCTAGCGACAAAGTATTTTATTTTCCGCATGGCCCGAATCGCATGTTTGTGAGTATCGGTTAATTGCGTCACACCTTCCACGTATTCATCTAAATCGTCTGTGACAAGAGAAATGTATTGATTGATTTGTTAGAAACGTGCAGTCTAATACTTTTCTTATGAAATAAAATATTAGCATCAAAGGAAAATCTTATATTGAACTTAGAGAAAACAAATAAATAAGAAATACTTGCTACCTTCAGAATCCTTAAACTCTCTTTTATTTAATCCGGTGAAGGCAGATGCTTCCTTTCCTGAATTGTTCGCTGTTGTTTGGTCGGTTGATAAGCTAAGATGACTCCTTTTAAGAAAAAGAATAGGTATAAGAACCCTTATTATACAGCACACTTTCTATCGGAAGAGGTAATAGTAGGTCAATGATATATAGATATACATATAAAGATATACATATATATAAAAAAGGAGAGAGATAAGATTGGGTGATATGATTATGCTAGCGCCATTGTGCTACTTTTCTGTACAAGTTTATTTCCTCATAATAGACCTACGTGCCAAATGTGTAAGCTAGATATAATGAATATATAAGAATAAGCAGGTGTAATAGGTTAAATATGTAAATGTCTACAACGAAATATGAGGACAACGCGCTAAGCTTACCAATTTCTTGTTAATAAGCTGCTTAATTATAAATACCAAAGTTATTTTATCAATTTTCTCTTATAAAATACAGTAGGAATAACAACGGTTTATAATTATAATATAAGACCGTTCGACTGTAATAACTGTGTTCTTTTTTTTTTCAATTTATCTCTTACCGTTGAAGCGCATCAGGACTGTCACATTCCTGTTTGTCATCACTTTGAGATGATAACGTCCTCCTAACAGGCCTATGGATGGCTGGTGAATTTTGAGTGTTTGTAGTGTTGGCTGAACGATCTTTTCTCCGGATTGACATTCGGCTCATAAAAGAAGAATTGTTCTTAAACTTGGTCTGCTCTCTGAAGTTAAAAAAGCGAAAATGTAAAGAGAAGTCCACAAACTTTTCTAATTTTTTCAGTTGTGTTGCGAGTGATAGAGGCCAAATTGCTTAGGTTAATGGTATACATGTACACGCTTATACATATATATACAGCATAGGTTATATATATTAGTCAATTTATCCGTAAATTGATGTATATAATTTACATAATTTGCTAATTAAAATATGTTAATAAATGCACATATTAACAATTTCTGTTAAATTTACACATTTATATAACTTCGTACCTTACGCTGTATATATAGTATCGAAAAAAAACATATATGTAAATTTGTATTTGATATATATATATACATATATATATATACTATATACTAGTGTTTATAAAAATATATAGTATACATATATGTAGTATATACATACACGAATATATATATATAATATATCAATGCATATAAAAAGTTTGCCTCAATCTAATAAGATTTTAAAGTAGAATCACAAATTGCATCGTGATGGGATGTATGATGTTCACATCAAATAACTCGAAAAGTATAGGAAAATTAAATGAACTTTTTCGGTAAATAAAATCAAAATATGAGGAAATAATATAAATAAAAATTATTAAATGCTTAAGTTTATCCGATAGTGACATATTTTATGTATTTGCTTTCTTCCTCATTTTTTCCCTTTTTCTCTTCTTCTTTCCTTCTTCTTTGTCTCATATTTTTTTTTTTCGTTAGATAGAGTGTGTTAGTAAGAGTTGGACTATTGAGATATTTTAGAAGGCGAAAGTAATGAAATGTTATTAAAAATCTATTAGTTTTTCGACTTGCAAATATCTCTCGTGTAGCCTTTCTTATTTTTTTTTCTTTCTCTTTATCCGAAGGAAGATTTTTTAATTATCGAAATAACTTAAAAGTTTGTTAAATGAATATTAAAATTAAAAAATACATAATAAAATAAATTAATAAAGAAATTTGTTATCATTTGATCAAACAGAAAATCAACTACAAGAAGAGATAAAGAAACGGCATAAAGAGATGGAAAAAAGATAGAGAAAAATGAAATATTGAGGATAAAAAAGAAAAACAATTCAAAGTTATACTACTCGTCGCATTCTTGCTGGATGAAAAGGTCCGTTTTAAAACTGCAACAACTATCTTTACTCTCCTGAGAATTTTGTCTAAAATTCGTACTATGTAAAGTAGCCTGGCTTATAGCACCCGGCGCCTCCTCATCCGAACTGCTAGATGTCGTAAATGACCACTTGAACACGTCCCGGACACGACCCCAAGCTATTGAGCCAGCCAACTTGTGTCTAGGGGTACTGCAATTATGTTCACTTAACGGAATATCTACTGGTAATTTTCTCATTTAATTAGAAAAGGTTCGCACTTGACTAATGCTAATAAGAGCCGACATGTAAATTATAAACTACTTAGAATCTTATTCATAAATGTCAATTAATGTATAGTAAATAAAAATACAAACATATATTTTTATGTACTATTTATAAGTAGGATATACAGCATTACCTTTGTATACTATATATACGACCTGTATAAATATATATCTAGATCTTAATAGTGCTTTTATTCTAGACTTGAACTATATATATACAGCATATACTGTATACATCTCTAGATGACTATTTGGATGTATGTATGCATTTATATGTATAAATATATACAGCATGTAAAAATACATATACTGTATATAAATACAAATATATATATATATATATATATATATATATATATATATATATACATATTTCTACATATATATATATATACCTGTATATATATATCTATATGTAAACGGTATATATGAAATATAAATGGACCGAATGTTTACCGATACTCACGCTGGCGGGCTTCTGCAAGGCTTCAAATGAATCTTCCAAGTTGCTTCACTTAAAGAGTGTTCGTCGGCAGCGTAGCATCGCCATAGGCATTGAATGAGAGTTGCTGCTGGTACCCTTCGTCGAATCAAGTGTTTCTGACGTTGCTGCTGTTGAACTTTGAGCGCAAATCCAGAACCCATTATACCCTGTAAAGTACGTGGTGATCGAATGGCAATTAGTCAATCAACGATTTACTTCAACGTGTATACAGTTACTAGGGAAAAGAAGGTGACTTGGAGCAAACAAAAGAAAATATCGTAGTTAAACGTTTGAGTGGTATGGCTATATGCAAGATATTAATACACGAATTAATACTTACTGCTGGAAGAGCGAAAAAAGAAATGCCTAAAATAGCACAGCATGCAGCAATTAGTTTTCCGGCCCAAGTTACTGGAACCGTATCTCCATATCCCACAGTACATAGAGTAATCTTTGAAGGAAATAATTTTTTGCATTATTAGTAATGGCACTTAGGAAATAGATTGAAAATTAGCTTCGTTTTTTAACGTTATCAAAATACTTACTACTCCCCACCATAATGCGTCGGCGTATGTGCCAAATTTTTTGCTATTTTTATCCTTTTCCGCCAAATAAACGAGAAAGGAAGCAAATATCAAACCGAGAAAGCCAATGTATAAAGTAGTAAACAGCTCTTGTCTATGAGCCCAGACAACAGAACCTAATAATTTCCAACTACCACCCCTTCGATCCACCCTAACCATCCGTAGTATTTGAAAGAAACGAAGTCCCCTGAGGGCGGAAGTGGCAAACACTTGTCCGTTGGAGCCTAAACAAAGGATGACGATACTTGCCGCAATCACGATGAGATCTGCAAAAGGATATTTCATTTATTTAGGTTTGCCTAAAGAAAGGATTAATAGGATTTACTAATGAAAACTATGCTTTGGGCATTATAGTAGTGAGCCTGTTAGATAGAAGACTTTTTTGTCACTTGTAGAAATTGATATAAGTTTTTGTTTTTTATTTAAACAGATAGAACTATTTCTTGCTTTTACTTTGATGACTATATGTAAAAAATATTTAATCAATCTCTCTCTTTCAACTTTGAATTTTAAGCAAAGACGTAGAATTAGTGTTGCTGGATAGAACTATTGGAATTAAACTGCAGGTAAAAAATTCGACCAAAGGAAGTAATTATTTTCTTTAAGAAAGCTACAAATAACTGATTAACTCTTTCCTAAGAGTAAGGCAAGATTGTTGTACGTGTTGGATAAATTCCTGTTGATCTTAAAGAGTAAAAAGCGGTGTCTGTATACAAAAATAAATCAACTAAATGCCCTACGTGCTTATAAAATTCCCATCACTTCAGTCTTTCTCTCTTCCTATTAGCAATAGAAATATTGATAATGCTTTTTTAATCGAGATAGTCAAGAGAAGAGGCAGAGAGGTTAAGAAGATTTGTAGTGGATTATACATAAACTAACAATAGCATAATATTTTTCTTATTGTTGGCCGTTTTATGTTAATGGTAAGTGTGTTTTTCAATTTTAAGCATGATCAGAAATATAAAACTCAATCTAGAGTAATTAACTTAAGTTTGGTTTTGCCGGATAAAAAGATAGAGAAAAGTATGTTAGAGTCTTATACAGAGAATTAAAACGACGGAGCATAAATCAAGTAAATACACTATTTGCTCTATATGCACGCAGTCGACAAATAGCAATTTTTGCAGATGACTACTTCCGTGTGTGGTTTATTCAATTATATTATTACAGTATCTACTGCAGTTTGTCTTGATTGTCACGTCTGCCCCCCTATCCAACTCCTTTCTCATTTCTTTTCATTGAAAGAGAGGAATTGATCCATTTAAGCTTTATTGAAAGAAAAAAAACGAGTCAGGCTTGAAAAAGAGACTAGCAAACATCCCCAAGCATAAATTCACTTATGCTAAAGACACTGCTCGATTGACAAACTATAAAAGAAAGATAGGGGAAGAAGGACGTTGATCGTTCGTTTAGCTCGATCGATATTCATATATACCTGCAGTTTTTTTTGTTATTTTATCTTAATAAATAAGTATAAGTTTATAATAAACAAAATTTTACTAACCGATCACACATAACGGTTTTCTAGCAAATTTTCCTCGTCCACGCCATCCCTGATATCTATATCTACAGCCTGCAGACCATAACCTCAAAGTATATTCGCTCATAAACCAAAGCACCATAATCAATTCCTGTTGGTAGATAGACAATATGTATATATAGTTTATTTAGATACTGGTATATATTGATAATGATGTTTTAGTTGTCTGCAGGAGATATAACTCAAAACTACTAAATTCTTACCAAATAGTATAAAATATTCGTTGATGCGTTCTCGAATGCAGGAACCGTTGAGAAAATGCTTAAGAGAAGGCACAGAAAGACCATTAAGAACCTGTAGAGTAAAAGGAAAAATAGTTAGTCTTTATTTGAAGTCTTTCTACCCTCAAGAGATTATAAAGAATCACTCCAGATAAACCTTCTATACGCGCCTATATCAAGAAAATCATCAATTCTATCTCATTCTCCGTATAAATCACGAACCGTTTCAAATTACGCCTGTTATTTCTGGCTAATGCGTGTCAAAGCAATCGAGGGTAACAGACTGTTACAATTAAGTTAGCGATCGGCGGAACTTTGGATGGATTTATGGTAGATTAACCTCGCTTTTTTTCTGAATCTATATCTAGAGGTTTAAGAGTATTGGTTAGTTGGCTTAATTGAAGAGATTGTCGCCTACTCGAGACCGCTATTAACTCTCTATCACTTACAATATATCACGCTACTACTACGAAATTTTCCGTTTAAAAATATATACGAAAATGCACAATTGCCAAATTACCCTAGTCATGTAAGCCTAGCAAAAAAAAAGAAGATAATTGCAGGAATATACGGTCGACGTCTATCAAACAAATTTAATCGGATGGTTAGCGATTAACGAGCATTTTATCTACAGGAATCCAATATTGTTTTCGTTCATACAAATAAAGTATGGAATATAAACAGAATAATAAATACTAAGTGTTACACTGGAAAGTGTAAGTTTTTATGAAGTAAGGAAAAAGAAGAAAAAAAAGGAGTAACTGACCACAAAAATATCTATGTATATGTATTTATTTCCGTAGGGTAAACAGTCTTGTAACTAGAGGGTTTGGTAAATAAATAAAATGCTGTTTATATAAAACGCCCCATCCGTGAAGCATATACAATTTTTAATATTAACGTCAACGAGGATGACACCTGACTAACCACAAGTTTAAAAGAAACAAAATCTTTCTCAAATATGAAGAACCCATCCATCAACAATATATTCTTGGTTATGAGTTCAGTTTTACAACTGATAGACTGTGTAAACTTGTCAAGTTATATTATAAGCAAAAATAATTAAGTTCATCTTCAAGATATAGCTAAAAATTTCATAGGCAAAAGATATTAAAAATGATGAAATAAAGTGGAAGAAAGTTGGATATATATAGTATAGCGATTCTTCTCTATATTGTCTATATATATTTTTCATTTTTTAATATTTTTCTATTTCTTCCTTTCTAATCTATTCAACTGTATAATAATTATCGACTTTGCACAAAATTTATCTTCTTGGGGACTGTAAACTATCAATTATTAATCCTCAGAGTACGCAAACGTGCGGGAGGCTAAATAAGATTTTCCTTCATCTCCTGTCTAGCTTTCCTTTGTTAGACGCCAATGAAAAGATTGGTAATACCGCTGTGAAGGGAAAATCTATACTAAATAACGAACTTCACACTTCCTTATATACAGGACATAATCAGTAGACGGTCAGAGATGCTTGCTTGACTAGTCAAGCATTCCTAATTCTGAAACCTACAAACGCCTAAGGCGACCTCCTTAGGAAGGTGAAGTGAATGCTCAAAAGTGTAATTCGACTCTTTAATTAGGTGATTGACACCTTAATTCAAAATGATCGTTTTCGTATCAATTATTTTAGCTTCCGTAGTTGATCAAACCGGTTAAAGGAAAAAATGTTTTTATGAATTCAAATGCAACTGTGCTTTTTTTATATTAGAAGCGTCTCCCATAAAGCTAATCCATTTAACTGACTTTGATGTTACAAAATAACAACATATAGTAGATATATAAGTATCATTTAACATACAAATATATAACTTCTAAAATGTTTTATAAATACACTTGTAAATTTTGCATAGTAGAGAATGCTAAATGAAATATATCAAATATAAAAGATGCTATAGGGTTTATCTTTGCATAATGGCAATACTTTACGCAGATTGTAGAAATGTACAGTCTATATTATCCTAGAACCTATACGACTTTGTTTATATTCATTTACGTGAAATTCATTTAATACAAATCTAATATATCTAAGAGATGAACGAAATAGACGGTAGACTAGAAGGAGGAAATGCCTTGAGCATATGGTGTTTTTCACAATCGAATTTCAGATTGCATAGTCTCATGAATATTGTATATAACAAGACAGGGATGGATCGACAATCATATCAAGGCTTATACGTTAGCTGTCAAACTATACCGTCATACTTTAGCTATTTGAGTGTATCTTTCAGTATAAACGATATTTACAATATTTAAAGTCGCTAAACTTTCTTTTTTTGTGGTACTTTATAATATAACAATACATAATGCTAAAAAGTCATTAATATGCACTCCAAATTTATTCTTTAAGTATGAAAATATTTATTCGAACTGTATAATAGTAACATTAATATAATAGAAGGGCTATTGATTGATTAGTATCCTGAGCTCTGTTCGCTTAACGTTTATTTAAAACTTTTCAACCTGGCTTAATCATTAAATTATGCTTTATGAAACGTTAAAAATGAATTGTTAGCTACAAAGTAAAAGTATTAAATCATATTACTAATATTCTAATCAGGTACAAGAAAGGTTAAAGCGGAATTAATTGACAAACAGTGTTTTATGTAAACGCTAACTCGACCTCTTGTCGAGAAACACTTAAGAAATGACAGGACAAGATGCCGTCCGAATAGACGCTATAAATAAATGTGGTTGGGAAAAACTGGAGAGCAAATAAGATTGATTAATACCGTTCCAACTGTATCTAACTACCATTTAACCAACAATAATCTGGTAATGAACGCTATGGTAAACGCTTTTCGGACGATATTTTCTCAATAATATTGATTTTATCACACTTACCGATTTGTATACTGTTGGGTGGGGGTATTAATCAATATTAAAAAACATTATGAAAGAGTGGCCGCCAATTTAGGATTTCCGTTATGTAGTTTTCTAATTACTTTGGTTAACGAATCGTTCAATTTCATTCTTTTGCTTGCTTAAAACAGTTTTCTTGGTCTATATTTCTAACTGTTTGCTTTATTAAAAGGCTGATCCATGTTGAGAATTTTTCTTTATCTTTATTTAATATTTATTGAATGTTCAATAAAAGCGAAAAAATAATAAGAAGACTTATTTATCAATATTCTAGTTGAATATATGCATACTTGACCTTGCCAACTATTAACAAATGAACTAATTTGAACAAATTTATAGTAGGCTTTTATGTCTAAAGTGAACTTTCGTTAATAATAGAACAAGCTCTATCAATAAATTGAAGCTCTCTACTAGGTATATAGTTGAATGGGTATTGTTTGTCGTCGAAGGGGAAATTTACGTTTTATTATGAATGATTATTACATCGGTCCTTTTCTTTATTAAACAATAAAATCGATTATAAATAAACGATTTTCCCTTAACAAGTTTTTATTTCTTAGTGTTGATTTTCTCTATCCAAAAGCGTTCATAAGCACAATTTATATAAATATAATAGAGCACCCTGCACAATTTACTAAACAATGAATGAGATAAAATATTGAAAAGTTACCAGTCCATTAATTCTATATACGTAATCATTTAAAAATAATCTACATAACAAATAAAACTATAGTTGGTAATAAAGTCAAAGCATAAAGCAATGAAATGATTATTGTACTAAATTGCGAAAGATAAAGATACTTACACAAGTAAATGATAGCTAATTGATCTCCAATTCTTTGGTCGTTCCAGGAAGTTATAAATCCTAGCCTGAGCTCGTCTATACCTAGCATCCCGTCTGTGGGCTTTATAATTTAATGGCTTGCCGAGGAGAGACATGCGAGGTCTTACAAGTCGGCTACCACTTTCCATTGCATGAATATTCTTTCTATCGTCAAATTTGTCGTCATCAACACCGGTAAACGCAACGCGGGGCTTCCTTCTTGTTTCAGTTTCAGGAGGAAATGTCCCTAACTGAATTTCAGACTGCATTTTTTTTCCATATACTAGAGAAAGCAAAAACTTAAGCGTTCTCTGTGACCTTCCTGCATTTTATACGCTTTACTTTAGTCCCTTATCTCCCCTTCTCACTCCTTTTCCTTTGGTTAATTTAGTTGCACAAAAAAATTTTCCGGTCTCTAAGTATGCTTGTATACCGTCTAGTTGATGTCCTTTTTCATATGTTGAATATCCGACTCTCCAAATTTCGTAATCTTAATCACACCACTTGCGGGGGTTCGAATACTCTTGACTAAGCTTAGCTAACTGCCTCGCGCCATCTATTGGCGTGACGTCATATCGAGTGTTGGACCCCCACCCTCCCCTAGCAATTTTGCTCCTCTTTAACGTGACGTCAGGACTTTGCACGAGACTTACCCACTACTGAAAAGAAAAGGGTTTTAATTGCTTGTATCCATAATCTAATGCCTAAATAATAGGCTAATTCTCTAAAACGTTAAAAAAAGGTCTCAGAGTATGAAATTAGTCCCGAAATCTTGACACGGCAAATATATATTTACAGGTACAAACAATAATATATACGAAATTTTTGCTATAACAAGAGCAAGGGCCGTTCTAAATTATTAATTTATGTACAATATAGAAATTTCAGCGGGGAGAGTAGTTTCTATAAACCGATGTTGATATTTAACAGTCACGACAAATTTAAAGCTCTCTTATTTTCTCTGGTGATTCTCTTTGTTTTATGTTCCCTAATAACAGATTTTCACATATCACGAAGAGAAAGCTATTACTATAAACTTTTCTAAATAGTTACTATCAATCTTTTATAATGTGAATAAATATTATTTAAGCTACACAGCAGTGATCGAATAAAAAATACCAGTTTCTCTTTTTATATACAGTATATATTCTGATATATAAAACACTACTGCTATTTTATTGTTACACAGATAGTAGGAGTATATATTTTAAAAGGTGAAATTCATTCTGGAAAGGGTTTTCTCCATTTTCCTAATTGTATTTGTATACAAAAAGATCGCCTATAGAACTGTAATCATTAATTGACAATTTCTTTTCTAATCTGACTAAAAAGAGGGAATAAGTTAGTTGAGAGAATTGAAGAGGACTCTTCAACTGATTTAGCATTACCGATAAAAGTTCAGAGCGAATTATTTAAATTGTTTACGGGTTGTGATGAAGGAAGAGAAAAGAAATCTGTGATTATAAACAAAACAGTCGGGGCTAGAGCGGCGGAGGAGTAAGGGAATAAGAGGAAAGATACGAGAAATTATAAATGTTGAGAAAGGGAAAAAGTTGGTATAATAGAGGATAAATGAAGGTTAAAAAGATGGAAAAGACAACTAAGAAATTTTACAGTAAAAGGGCTTTAAATGAAAAAATAAAATGAGGGGGAAAAAATAAGGTAATAGTTTCTACTGTTAATTGAAATTATTGCAATTTCCGCCGATGCGTTTTCGTTTCATATCGAAGGAAACAAAATACAACCCAGCTTAATGAATATTTTTCTTAATAATATATTAATAGAAAAAACTAAGAGAGTATTTTAAAAAGCAACTTCGCCATCTATCGGATTTGATTAGTTGATTTTTGATCTGTTGTCACTTTAATTAAAGATAAAAATAGATTATTTCAATTTACATGATTAAAAGGATTTGTTAACTGTGCCCTGTAACTCATATTTAAGCTTCACCGACTAGCGGGGAGGAAAATGACATACAGATTGTTCATGGGGAAGATTAGCTGAAAAAAAATAGACTCTACACAATATACTATCTCGTAAAAGAAGAGAAATTATGAAAGATATAAGACTTTTTGTATTATTTCTTTGACGGAAGATAATATGCCACTAGTGACTTTTCTTTATTCCCGTGAATAAGCGAATGCGGTTTTGAGGATATGATTAAGTCTCAAGTAATACACAGAGAGAGTGTAAGAGAAAATGAGAAAGAGAGTACCAGCAGAAAAAGAGGGAGAAAGCCGTTTATTAAAATTTGAATAAAAGATTCTCTCTACCGATACTTATTGATTAATCTTCACGTGGGGAAAATATACTTGACAGCTCACTAAAACAGAGTAAATTTAAACGATTATTGATTTTAACTCAATTGTTAATCCCTAATTCATTTGAAGTGGATTAACTAATTTACTGTTCCTCGTTGCAACTAAATTATATTAATATCTCATTCAATTCTTTAAGAAAAACTAAAGGGATGATTGGTGGAGAGAGTGCGATAAAACAAATAATTTTTCAACTCAAGCCCTTCTACATTTGTAGTATTAGTTAGTACGATTAGATCGTTCTTGCTCTACTTCTTTAGTTATAAATAAACCAATCAGCGCACGCTCTGTTCAGTAATGGCAGTTATTGCATCTATAAAGAATATAAATTACACTTTTTCATTTAAGCTCAGCACTAGTCCTTTCTTCTCTTGCATTCTTTTCTCTTTTTCCCCCCACCTAGTAGATTCGTATCATGAGCGCAAAGATTACAATACTCAAGGCTCGTAAAATTGCCAATCTAACAGCAAAAAATATTGCATTGTCCACTTTTAAATGGAAAAGATAGGAAGAGTGGCGAGGGAAATAACGAAAAAATGATTAGGAGGAAGAGGTATTTACTTATTGGCATTTCGATTTGGTTCGAGGTGAACAACTAATACTTGACCCTTGAGTGTTATTTATAGTAGTTTTTCACTCATTTTGCTCGATAGTTCATAAGCTGTAAAATATATTGTAACAACGTCGTATATTAAAAGAAGATAAGATCTATTGTAATTAATTTACTACCATTAAGTAATAACAAAATATCCTTGTATATAAATCAATAAATTAACATTATTTTATTAATATTTTTGTATTAATTAACAGTCAAAGAAATGAGAAATAAGGTAAATATAATAAATATTTCATACTATTAATAGACTCCTGCTTGATTAATAAAAAGCATGAAGAGTTTTTTTTAAATCATTATTCAACATTACCAGAAAAATCCATTCACATAACACTTTGATAAGTATTACTGCAATTGCAATCCGTTAATAAGTTACTTATGACTTTCCTATTTAAATTTTAATAGCGAAAAATAACATAAATTCCTTCTACTTTTCTTATAAATAAAGGCTACTAACCGGTTCTACTTGAGTTGAATTACTTTAAGGAACATTAATCAAATAACCACACTTTTCTATAATTTCATTAGTGATCAACTGCTGCCCCCCACAAGCGGTAAACAATCCTGAACCTACTTTTTCAATTTTTTCTAAGGGTTGTAATTGTTTGTTTAGGATGCATTTGCTTTCGTCAAAATTAAAAGAATAATAATAACAGCCGAACGAGTCACATATTGTTCTACATTTTGATAAATTGTCCGTCCCATTGAATACAATACCATTTGCTAATCCCATATTCCAACCAATTAACTTTGAGTATTCTGTCGTATTTAACAAAGAAATTGTCACCTATCATTTAAAATAATAATAAAAATGTATATACTCTATATATATATACTACAAAAGCACTCTATCTATAACTTAATGCTTATATATAAAACGTTATAAAGAGTAGCAGAATGATTGTTACTTTTATGTCGAAGGTGACCATAAATTTCTATGGTTATATTCATATCTTTACTAGATTTTAGCCACAAAAAACGACATAAGAACGGTTCAGATAAATCAAAAGCATTTTTTGTGCCGTTCTTATGATCTCCATAATCGCTGTGTTTGTAGTGAAAAATTTGGGTGTATTTCTCCTCAGTGTTATTAATTGCTGCCATAATGGAATAGTCTTCAGTAATTGCTATGAATGAAATAAAAATAAGATAGCTTTTCGTTAACACATTGTTTCAAAATGAAATATTTTATAATATTACTCTCAAAAGCAATCACATGGATTGAAATTACAGAAAATTGACAAAGCAGCTCAACAATAGAATCTCTTGTTAGAAAATGGCTGTTTCTGAAAGAAGTCACTCTAGTTTCAATTGAATTAAATCATCTCATAGAATTCCAGATATTGTAATGATTTACAAGATTCCTTTTACTTTATATTTAGCTAGAGGTCTTTAGTGATATAAATATATCTATATACTTACGGTTTTTCTATCATTGGTAGACGGCTTAGTGAATAATCTTTATTGTATATACTACCAAAAACTGACACTTCGCATAGTTGTAAACTTTGTTGTTCTTTAGCAGTAAATATCAGAAACTTTCCCCGAGTTTCTTTTACACAAGTAATTAAATTACTCCACGAAATTTCTAAATTTAATTTACACACTCTTCTTACTTGATGTAATGAATATTCACTATAATTTCTAGGTATCTCGTAATCTGTTAGAGTAACGTCTAAATTTGTAACCCTTGATAGAGTTACAAATATATATGACACGTTATAAACAGCATCTAAATCAATAGAAATCCAAGGGAAGGTTTGATAGTAGGAGTTAAAATATGCTGTTACGTTTGAACAAACTCTAGTACTCCAGTCTTCATCAGTTAAGTTTTTTAAAGTAGAGTCAAGTTGATTACTACTCGTAATTTTCCAATTACTATTATTAATTAAGTTTACATTTTCGTATGGTAAAAGGTTTCCGTAGATTTCTACTTCACACACTGTGGCTTTCGTTGTTTCTTTAACGCCAATCTCATCGGTAATCCATGTAATATTTCTTAGATCAATATCGTACGTTCTGTTAAAGTTGTTTTCAGATAGTGATATCGAATAACCATTTATACCGACTACTTGAAAATTGACTGACCCAAATTCTTTCACTTTAAATCGTATAAAGAAAACTTTCAGTTTTCTAACATGACAAAATATTATGGAAGGATTCTCAGATAAATTCCAGGAATTGTCGCAAGTTGTTATATCTTGATCTGTCCATACAAAGTGTGACCTATCTTTCAAATGAGATACAATCATGAGTTTTGGAGCAATATTTATGTAAGAAGAGAGATCTATTTTATAAGTAAAATTATATATATATTAGTATATATATATATATTTATATACAGTATATACAGTATACATTGTGTAGTAAATAATTTAAAAGGCTACCTGGTCCAGTATTATCTGTATATTCTACATTGTAAATATTTGGATTATTGCTATCCGTAACATAAATTTCTAATTCTTCAAAAGAGAATTTATCTTGGTTATTTGTTATTCTAATCGATGAACCAACTCCGGTGCAAGGTAATTGTAGCCAATTGAAATTAAAACTAGGTAAACTTGACTCATAAGGATTACACAATGGTGTAGGATTATCGTCTATTTCCACCAAAACGCCTAAATCATTCTGATACGACAGAAGGCCTTCCAAAGGGAAAATTGTTTATTAAAACTCGATATACATTACTAAAATAGCATACTTTTCACTTGAATCAAAATTAGATTAATCATATATATCATTTTAAAAGATATATGAATTTTACATTCCTCTATAGGCTCTGCAAGCTTAATGCTGGAACTCAATATCAGGCTAGTAATACTAAGTAAAGAAGAATCTTCAGCATCGATTAAAGCTTGCAGCTGACTCGATTTTCCACTTGCTCCAACATTAGATTCACCAGCTTCATTGCTTATTATAGTATTTACAGCCATATTAAAAATTTTAGGTTTAATTTCTGATATTTTCACAGAAAATGGCAAGGGAAAATAAAAATATACACTCACGAAAAAAGCAGCCGAATTTGAGTTAAAATCATAGGGACAATTATAATCCACTATATTTGGGCTTATAATTGAAACGTCTAAACATTCCTTGGACAAACCGTCGTATAAAAATACTTTTGGTATTACACTTGAATCTTTATTTAATAAAATTAATTAATAATATAATAGACTTTATTAATTATCTTAGGTTCTAAAGACTAACTAATTGCAGTTCCTGTATAAACTCTTACTGATTCAACCCATATTCTACGTGAAGTAATTTGAATACGAGCGTATCTATAATTATTTGGAGAACTCAACGGTTGTAATTCGTTATACGTTCTTAAATCTCCATCGTTTATTAATGTAGAATAGCTATAATAGAAAAAAATTATTGAAAAAATTCGAATAAGATGAAGATTTAACCAACAATTCTGCTCCATTAGACGCTTTCACAAAGCCTGATGAAGTTATTAAGTAAAACTCATCTTTAGCCGGAATTGTAGATATGAAGGGCAAATATTCATCAGGAGTAATAAAATAGCCTACTGTCTGCCATTGGTTAAATTGATCAAACAAGTTTTCAGCAATAAAAAATCCTGCCCAAGGAATATTTTGATGAAATAATTCCAACTTCTTGACTAATTTGTAAAATTCTTCGTAATTTTCTAACAGTTGAAGGAAAGAGAACAAATTAACTTGGCTATTTAACGAGGTTTAGTTAAAGGTTCTTTCTTACCATCTTTATCTCTAAAAACAAATATTAATCCAATAGCTCTTTCATCACGTAAATGATTGAAAAGGGATATGCATGTTGAAGGATTATTTGTATCCAAATCATTGTTATTATTAACTTTATAGAATGCCAACTTATGACTTTCTTTGATAGCTGTTGAATATGAGCAGGGATTTTTCAAATTATCTAAATTGATTCCACTGCTCCTTAGATGGGATTTTAACCATTTTTCTTCATAGTTTGACGGTGTTATTATAGGAAAATAAGTTCCTCTAGGAATAACGCGAATTTGAAGAGTACTTAAACTGGGTAATCCATCGATGTTATCTTTAGGGGTATGTTGTTCGATTTTCTTACAAGTTAAAAGGGAGAGGCGAGAAACTTGAAAAATTACAAATAAAGTTGATCTTATCATTGTGATAACAGAATAAAAAAAATATCTTATGAAAAATCGTTTTATACTCTTGGTAAAGGATATTGAAAAGTAATAAAATTATTATAAATAAGGGATTATCGATAAGTTTATGTTCCATTTCACTCAAGGATATTTCTGTTCAATGTAACAAATATAGCTTTGTTGTATTGAATTTTAGCAGTATAGGCCAATAAAAGAATATTTAAAGTTAATGGAATAAAGATAGAAGGCTAACTTTAACTATGCATTTATTTTACTTATTATGTATTAACTGAGCTATACTGCTTCAAAATGGCGAAAGATAAGATAAAACCGGTTATATGTACTGCTGTTTTCGACCACGTGTAAGATGTTTACGAGAAGATATATAAAGTGAGGGATTATCAATAGTTGTACAGCACTCGTGCAGAACATCAATTAATTGTTTTATTCCTGTTTTTGCCCTATATATTTTTCTTTCTTTGAACGTCTAGACTAAATAAACAATGAATGCGTTTTTTAAACACGTGTTCTACCTTTTAAAGATAATTATTGATTATTTGGGTTCATTCCTATTTAAAATAACCGGATATCAATTAGTTAATTTAACGTATGAAAAATTTGAGAAGCAATTAAGTTCTGAATGTAGGAAGCAGATAAAGGATACGATCGCTGAGAAGGCCATAAAGATTCTCTTGAATGATTTGGACAACTGCCCAGATTTATCGATTGTAGGCCGATTTCTATTTAAGGAAAATTATCGGCAAGTAATGGAAAACAGATGCAATCTTTATAGGATAGTGAAAAAAGATCAATCTATTAGACAAGTGGCCATAAAAGATCCCGTTGCAATACTAACGCTTCCAAGAACTGGTTCAACTTTTTTTCATTGTTTACTGGCTCAAGACAAAAGATGGAAAGTGCCGGAGCTTTGGGAAATGCTCAATATCACTCACCTTCCAGAAGATCCTCTTACTTTGCAAAATAGAAGAACGATAGCTGACACAAAGAAAAAATTCGAAATGATATTACGGCTATATTCAAAAAACTTTGAATTAGCTCATCCTCTGAAAGCTACAAATCCAGAAGATTTGCTATTTATCTTGTCTACTCAAGGAATCGATATGATGCTTCCAATTTTTTTCAATGTGCCTAATTATGAGAAATTTCTTCAAAATTTGACCTACATCGATTGGTTAGAAATTTACAATCATGTTAAATTATACTTTCAAGCTATGGGTTTTAAACAGAATATTGAACGTAGGCGATTATTATTTATGGTTCACTTGTCTAAATACTGCAATTTAGAAGCCTTGAAAACTGTATTTCCGGATTGCAGATTCATTACATTACACAGAGATCCGGTAGTCACCTGCCAGTCTTGGTTTTCCTTGATGAGTTTTGCTACTGGTGTCACTTATGTATTTCCGCAAAGACACGAAGATTTCCATCATTTGTCTAATTCTGCTATAGAAAATTGTATTCAAGGATGTAATAAATTAGTGGACACCAAAGGCAATTGTGGTCACATTCATCTTCCCTTCTCTGAATTGCAGTTGAATCCCTTAAAGTTGATTAAAGAAGTTTATAATCAATTAGAAATAGAATGGACTGCAGATTGCGAAAAGGCGTTTCATGACTTTATAAAATATCAGAGAGATCATCGTTGCGGTGTTCATAAGTATAGATACATGAAAGCAGATTTGAGCAAACTAAGAATCGGAATAGAAAATTACATCAGAGTTTTTAATGAATATATTAAATAAATGCAATATATCAATCAAAAAAAGTGAAGAGAAATTGCAAAATTTTCATTAATTATATAAATTGAACTCGGAAAATTATTTAGTTGAGAAAATTAACTGCTAAAAATGACTTATAAGAAGTCAACATTGAGGCAATTTCTCTATTTTTTTTAATAGGAAAGCTGCACTATTCTCTTCATATGCAATTAGAGATTCGTAATTTTTTAAATTATTTACATTATCTACGTAAATATTACAAATTTGATTTTTTGTTGAATAATCAAAGACTTTACAGTTTTTGTTATCCCGACATTTCTTGAAACATAACATAATACTTGTGCTTAGGGAATAAGATTTTAACTTTAATTTTCTCTCTTTTTTCGCCCAGAAGGATATCAAGTTTGTCTCCAACATCGATTGATCTTTCGTTGTTGATTCCCTAACGCTTGTCGTAAAATGGACATTCTCTGTCGTTGTCTCTAATGTTGTTTTATCTTTGGTTGCTGAGACAGAGAATCCGGTAGTTGCCTCTTCTAATGTAGTTTGAGCTTGAGTTGAAATCTTATTAATTTTTGTAGACTCGTGATGGGCTTGTGTGTAATAGAATTCAATTTCCGATATGATTAAAGCGTTAGAGTGTTCATTAGTAATTATTATGCTTTTACCAGTTCCCATACAAGGAATATAAAGCCAATGAAATTTTGCAGCTTTAGATACTAATTGTAATTCACATTTTCCAGTTGCAGTACCAGACGAGCTATCTTTAAAAGTTATACTAATACCCATCTTTTCTAAATTATAAAAAAGAACTTTCCCAATATATTCATTAAATAAATTGTATCGTATTTATTACCAGGTTCCAGGCACTTTTTTTTGTAGTAACTGCAAGAAGACGCCTTTTCAAGGTCATCAACTGATTTAGTCGTTGAGCTTCGATAACACCAATCCGAATAGAATAGGGAAAATTTTGCAGTAACTGACCTGTTGATTTAATTAGTATAGTTTTGTATCAAAATATTTCTTTTTTTTTATTAAATCGTTAAATTTTTTTAATTTAAGCTGACCAGCAATCAAATCCATCTCTGTTTAGTAAACAAGAGGTTTGACATTCGTTATTGTTTAATTTTTCCTCTGTCGTTGATAGCAGACAATATCCGGCGGTTTTCTCTAGAAAGCATCCTTAATTGCAACAATAATTTTTTTTATTTTACTATATCCAGAAGTATACAGCAGACTAGTATATATATATATACCTGTAGGGTTTGCATAAATTCTTATTAAGTTAACAATCTCCTTTTTGGACAGATCTATGCTAAAAAATGCGTCTTTTGCAAGCATGCGATACGTTTCTAAGTTTCCATCAGTAACTGAACTTGTATATGATATTATTCCATAGTATGCTCTTTTATTTGCAGGAAAGTTTGCGCTAATCGTTAAGTTCCCGCTTCTTGTTAAAGTTATAATCTTGTCATGGTCTGCATAAGTTTGATCAATCAACTTCGTGAAGACATAGCCAATTGGTATTTTCAAAGCATTTCTAAGTACTGTCGCATCTTCACTTTTCAATAGATCTGCTTTGTAATTATTTCATTTGTAAAAATAAACAGAAAGGTTTATTGAAAAGGAAAATTAACCGTCCTCATTTTTTAAAACTATCAGAATAGCTGTTATGCCCTTCTCCACATAATTTTCAAGGGCTTTAACGCATAATTCATTAAATAATAAGCTTTTAAATACTTTAATCATTAAAATTTTATTGGCTGTTTCTCTTATAGAATTATCTTTGATAAATTGGCAAGTAGAAGATATTTCATTAATAACTAAAGATCCTCTTATCTGAAATTTAAAAAAAGATAGCTATTGTTAGAAAGAACGCTATCTATTCAACATATAATAGTTATCTAATACAAAAAGAACAGTAAAATAATAAAAGATTTTTAAACCTTAAGCCAGTTGCTTATGCTATTCGGAGAAGTGAATAATTCATAAACGTGTTGATCGGGGATAACATGTAGAAAAAGTTTTCCTCCAAATTCTGTACATATTACTGATTGGCTAAGATGAAAAAGTAAAATTAAAGGGAATAAATTTGTTTTTGAAATAAGTAAAGGCATTAGGATAAAAGAAATTAAGATTTGCGTTATAAAACCTCCTAGCGAAAAGCTAGACAGTAAAAAAAGAATATCAATGAAAGTAGGAAGAACTAAAAAGAATCAAAAAGCCAGAGAAAGGACGGAGAGCTATGAGTCAAAAAGGCAAAGATTATCTGAGGACTTCAAAAGAAATGGTATTAGGAAATAGGAAAAAAACGGGGGTGGACGAAGATAATTGAATGGAATAAAAGAGATTATCGATCATTAATACGAAAATCGTAGGCTAAAGAAAATTAATACAATATTAAAATTTAAATGATCTACAACAGCTTATGTCAACTACATTTCATTAAGAGAATATTTGTTCAATGACTAAAATTAAAGAAATTCTATATTTATCATCTTCTATGTTATAAAGGAAATGACTTATAAGCGATATATACAGCTTTCTTTGTTCTATATTGTGTTTAGTTTGCCAGAATAAGATAATATTGTATTTAATAAGTTTCATTTTTATTTCCAAACAATTTCAAATTCATTCGTTATCGTTAGCTCCAAAGAAGTGATGATAATTTTCTGAAAATATCGAAATAATGTTAAAGCTAATTGAAATTGAGAATATAATTTTTAATAGACGCTGCACAAAACTGTATAAATATACGTACAGTACACATTCTATTATAAATGCTATAGATATTTATATAGATTATTATATCAAATTTATAATCATAAGTAAAATATAAAAGTTTCTATAAATAGATTGTTTAATTTAACCTTAGTTGCTCCATCTTGTTCCCAATTATTAGGGTTAATTGAAACTCCGTTAACATTAATTTCACTGATAGTTAATTCTTCGCCTAATATTTGTATATTATTAAAAGAGCGTCTATTAGCCTCGTTGTAAGTATTTTGAATAATTTCACTCTTTAGCGTTCTTGAGTTGTTTCCCTAGATAAAATGTTTTTTTCAATTGTGGTAATTAGTGCAAAAAGGATTCAAATTTTCTGCTTTATATTTAAGCTTACTGAAGAAACTTGATAATTGGAGTAAAAATAGACGCCTTTTTCGTATGTATCTGCAAAGAAAAAAGAAGAGAAAAGATAAAGTTTTTGAAAGATGAATAATGGGAAATGGGAGAATATAAGTGAGGTGGGGAGTAAAAGGATTTAACCTTTGAACTATTTAAATAAATAAAAACAATAAAAAGTAATAACCTTGAGACTCTCCGTCGTCCCAGAACAGATTTCCAACCGCCTTAAAATCATCATCCAAAGCCACGATCAACCCCATTGGGTTTTCTCGGCTATATTAGACAGAGTTTACGTAATAGTTTAACAAATTGTAACTATTATTAAATGTTTCTAACCTAAATACTGTAGAGTTTGCAGGTTGTTGAGTGGGTAATATATATCCTCCCCTAACATGTAATGGAATAAAATCTAAGGCAGCTGATAATTCCGTTTCGCCTCTCCTTACTGGTAATTCCCCACCCTGATACGGAAATAGACGATAAAATTAACGGGCTATAAATGGGCGTTTCTTGATAAATTACATACGTCGTAATAGCTGTACCATCTAGCATCTGGAATGTAAGCTTTAATCGATATCTTGTTCTAAAATCCGATTTAATTAGACTATATATAATTTTTATAAACCATCCAAATGAAAAAAAAATTACTTTGTCAAGGACTGGTGATATTAAAAAGGCCGAACCCCATAAAAACTGATCAGTAATATCGTAAGTAGTATCATCATTTGTAAATCTTAAATGAAAATGCATAGACTGTTAACATACTGAAAAGAAATTTAAAAAAAAAAAGAGATAAAAAAAATCATTTCTTGTTACTAACTCATGCATAAGACTTCTTACAACACTAGCTCCATCTTTGTGGGCTTTATGGAATAACGTATACAAATAGGGTAAAAGAGTATATCTTATGTGAAGCGTTTCCCTTGTTGTCTTAGCAACTTCTGGCCACATGCCTGGATCTTGATCCTATATAAAATTCAAAAAATGGAATCATAATATGTATTGGCATTTCCCAAGATTATTTTTCATTTTAGATCAAAATTGACCTTATTATCTCGGCCATTATGATTCCTGGAATACGGATAAAATGCTCCAAGCTGTTGCCATCTCTGACATAATTCTTCCGTTGCATTTCCAATAAAACCACAAATATCTGCACCGACGTATGGGAAACCGAACCAGTTGAATTCAATCATTCCTTATGAGTTTTAGTAAGAAAGGAATTAGTAGAAAATTGATATTTTGTGTATCAATTTATTTTTACGGATAAAAAGAAGATTAATTTAAAACTATCATTACCTATAATAGACCAACGTAGATTGCTCCAAGCACTCCAGTTGTCACCAAGCCAATGTTGACCGAATTTACCAGCACCTGGAAATGTTGACCTTGAAAAAACTATACTTCTTTTACCAGTAACTTCTCGAGCAGCGCTGTATTAAATTTTTTGATTGATTAATTTAAAAGCCCTCTGTGTTACTTAATGTCACTCAACATGTAAGTTGGTTCCACTTGGCTCCATCCGTATAATGAATGAGTGTCATAATGACGACCTAAAGAATCTCGACTATCTAAACATAAAGTCTTTTGGTACATGTTGTCTAAAATATTTGGGATGTAAGGAGGGAATGTATATTCATCATTTGCACATCCATCAGGAGACCCATGTACAAAATTTGCAGGTTCGTTCATATCCTATTGGATAAAATACAAAACTGAATCGTTTATACTTAAAATTATATACAATATGTAATGAATTTAATCTATTTACAATCCATATTCCAGCATAATCTAGTCTTTCCTTAAACCTTTTACATTCGTCAATCCACCAAATAGTTGTATTTTGTTTAAAATAATCTGGAAAATACGTTTTTCCCGGCCATACTTCTCCTTGAATGGGTGTTACACCATCAGCTTTTTTTACATAAACATCCATTTCTAAACCTCTCTCGAAAGGCAAATAAGCACCTTGAGGATCATCCATTTTAATAGCTGGATCCTACAGAACACAATAGCGTGAAATTTTGGCAGTAATTGCTTCCTTATATGCAAAGTACTTTATTTTTTTCAAATATAAAGAATATTTTATAAAAAAAGAGATATCTTACTAGTATAATGATAAATCTTGTTCCTTCAAGGTTTAGTTTATTAACATAGTCAGGAAGGCCGGCAAAATTGACTGGATCGATTGTAAAGTCTCTCTCGCCATCCATATAATCAATGTCGCCATATTGAATATCCTGTTTAATAAGACAATCTAATAGTTTTTTTAAGTTTCCTCTTATACAATTTAGCCTACGTGTGGAATATTATATTTTCTCATTCTATCAACTGCATCGGTTAAATGCTTCAAGTCTCGATAACCCCATCGACATAATTGAAAACCTAGAGCCCAATATGGAACCATAACTGGATTTCCTATTGCTTTCATATATTGTTGTTGAACTTCTTCCATTGTTGGCCCCATGAATATATATATATCCAAAACACCCCCAATAGTCCTGTAAGTCAATGCGGGTGAAGGGGATATCGTTACATCTTGTGCATTAGCATTTTTAAAGAGTACTCCATGGGCATTTTTAGATTGTTCGAGGTTAATATAAAAAGGGTGAACGCCGTATAAATTTCTACTCTGTATAAATAGAACATTTTAAATTGATAATAATATATGATATCTCTCATTGACTAACAGCATTAACAGCAACGTCTCGAGCCCACATACCAAGTTTGAACCAATTGGTTGAATGTCTGAGTGAATGGTGTTCATGTTCGCCAAAACCGTAAATATTCCCAGTATTTAACTTTGTTACAATTTGCAAAAATTGATCTTCAAAAGTTAGTCCATTTAATGAAGTGTCCCAGCTAATTCAAAAAGATTCTATTTACTATTAATTTGAAAATTTAGATAATAACAAACATTGTTTCCCCAGTTGTTTTCCTTATTACTTTAAAAGCAAATATATTGTCTGTTGAGAATTGGATGTCGTACAAAGGGTTAGGAGCCTTGGTAGAAGATTCTATATTTAAGGGAACTTCAAATCGATTATTATTGGGATCAAAGATCTAATTGATAAAATATTAGGCATTACTTATTATGTCAAAACAAGCTTTAACAAGAATTTAATAGCCTACCTTAATTCTTAATCTAGTGCTTTCTTGAAATTCAAAGTTCACTTGAAGGTTATCAACAGATTTTGCAAACCATGATGGTCTTGCAATTCTTTGCAGTTGAACAGATATGCCTTTTACAGTTTCAACAGGTTGACCTACTATTCTATAACCGTGCTGTTTTGGAAGAAAGCACGCTGGAGAGGATCCATCAGAACCTGGACACCAAAAACAGCCCCTGCCCAAGCACCTTGAAACAGTTGCATCTGGCTCCGGATGACAGTCAATCCTGTCTTTTTCTAGAATATCATTGGGACAAATTTGACCGCCTTGGGAAACCCTTTCATCTCTAAAGCAACTAGGAACACCTAGAAAAGAGAGCATTTATAAAATATATAATTAATTTAAATTCATATAATACAAATATTACACACTTGGTAGGGAACCTCTACACCAAATACACCCGCGAGCATTGCATTTTGGTCTAATAACAATGAGTTTGTAAAAAAAATTAATACAATAATGATTCAGCAATCATAAAAAGTCATGTACCTATCGGCACCTGGTTCTGGGAAGCAATCTTGTCTCTCATTTTCAGGTATTGTTGAAGGGCAAATAGCGTCATTATGAAAACAGAAGGGAACATTTGGTGTAGTAGTTTCACACCAAACACATCCTTTTGCTTGACATTTCTCCCTTGTTGGATTGTCCCATCGAAAGCATTCCCTTCTTTCGGCTTCAGGTATATCAACAGGACATTGACTTTGCAAAGAAACTGAAAATTTCGCAATATTAAAGAAAGGCGAATGTTAAACGCATGATCAAAAAAAAACACCAACGTGCTAGATTAAGCAAGATCGTTAAGTATAACAATCTGAAAATCATGTTACCACTATATGAATCTCTCAGCATATGTCATACAAATAGTTGAGAATAAGTCACATTTTATTTCTAGACTAGAGAAGATATTCTTATCCTGCGTTTATCATCAATCGCGATAATACGATATCGGTAATGTGGTCAAGGATTTCGAAAAAATTTGACTTAGACATGTATGTTATATTATTATAATTTAAAAAAATAAATTTTGTGTTATCATGAAATTGTAAATAATCAATTACGATAAGATGTGAAAAGTTGGTCAATAAAAGGGCCAACTCGCAATCATATTTTATTAGTAAATTATAATTAGATAGCATGAAGAATATCTATCTGCTACTGCTTGTTGTAGCTTCCCTCTCTTGGAAACTTGATTCCATGAGTAAATAGTATTAAACAGTATTTTAATCTTTAGTATATTTGTATACTATACACAGAAATTCATGTACGTGATCAACACAAAGAGACCTTGTCTGCCAAGAATTGTCCAGCAACAACCCCTCCAGAGAGTAGAAGACAGTGCTATCCCTGGGCAGGTTTGACTCAGGAAAAATGCGAAGCCAGAGGATGCGTTTATTGCGTTGATAATGGAAACCCAACTTGCTTCTTCAATGACAATGTGTGTCCTTCAGAAATTCCAGAGGATCAAAGAGTCGACTGTTTCCCAGAACCTGGATCGAACAAACAAGATTGTCTAAAAAGGAATTGCATATGGTGTAGTAATAGTAATCCAAATGTTCCAGCATGTTTTAGGGACGAAAAGGTTTCTTTGGGAGGTGAATTCTGTCCAAACAATATCAGGGTTGAAGAAAGAATTGATTGCTATCCACTTGAGGATACTAACAAAGACAAATGCATTTCTAGAGGTTGTTATTGGTGTGGTGAATCATCAAAAGGCGAGAAGCAAGATAATTTCCCTTACTGCTTTATTCCAAAATCTCACGGTTACAAGCAAATCTCTGTTAGCGACACGAACAAAGGCCAAAGAGTCACTCTAGAAAGGCGAAATACACCATCATGGTTTGGTGAAGATATTAATAGAGTTGTTATAGACTTTGAATTTCAGGAAAACCACCGCTTAAGAGTTAAGGTGAGGAAAATAGTCTTTAAGCTCCAAAAGTATCCCAATTAATTTATATTCATCGTTAATAGATCTTTGACCCTAGTAAAGAAAGATTCGAGGTTCCTTTAGATATTCCCTCACCAAATACCAAGGCTCCTAATCCTCTCTATAGAATTGAACTTACTGAAGAGCCTGCTTTTGGTTTCAAAGTTATACGTACAACAACCAATCAAATTTTGTATGATAAAATAAAATAGTAAAGATCAAAACAAATTTTTCTCTCTTTCTACAGATATGATTCTACCATTGGAGGAATGATTATATCTGATAAATTTTTACAAATTGCCGGAAAGCTAGCATCTAATAAAGTTTACGGTTTTGGAGAGAATGAACATCCCACTTTTGCTCATGATACTAATTGGAAACGTTGGGGAATCTTCGCAAGAGATCAACCAGTATCCGTAAGTACTCTATCAAAGTTTTATATTTATTTATCTTATATATAAATGTTTTCGGGAATATTCATTTATAGCCCACTAATTTGTATGGTGTCCATCCATTTTTCACATCTATCGATGGCAGTAATATGTTTGGTGTATTTATAAAAAACAGTCATGCACAAGGTACTTATTTATCAGTTTTAAAAAGGAATTTATTATCAAAGGACATTTTTTTTAAAGGCATTCAATTGACTCCTGCTCCCGGAATTATTTACCATACAATTGGTGGAATCTTAGATATGTACTTCTTTCTTGGACCATCACCGAGTAACGTTGTCTCGCAATTTACTGAAGCTATCGGCAGACCTTTTTTCCCACCGTATTGGGGAATGGGATTTCAACTTTCCAGGTTTCTTTACACATATATATCATACATATTTTATCGTTATTAAAAAATTCCTGTTATAGATACGGATTCAATAGTCTTCAGAATATGAGCCTTGCTGTTCAACGAACCAGGCAATATGGCGTTCCCCTTGACGTTCTTTATGGGGATATTGATGTCTTTAGGGACAATCTTGACTTTACTTATGACGAAGTTAGATATGCTGGATTACCTGAGTATATTAAAAAAATTAGAGGAGAAGGAATGAAATACATTCAAATTCAAGATCCTTGTATAAGTAATGGTGAGCCAGCAGGCAGCTATCCACCATATGATAGAGGACAAGCAGCAGATGTGTGGGTGAAAGAATTTGATAATGTCACTAACGCAGAAGGAAAAGTCTGGCCTCTGAATAATGTTTTCTTTCCTGATTATTCAAAACAATCTTGCCAGGAGTGGTGGATTCAAGAAAATATTGAATATCGTAAAACAATTGAATTTGACGGCATTTGGATCGATATGAATGAGCCAGCAAACTTTGCCAAGGGTTCAACTAAGGGTTGCAGAGACAATCCATTGAATAGACCATTATTTAAACCAAGTATGAATATTAGTATTTTTAATCACTGTTATCTACTAGAAGATCACTATTATAACTTATACAATTTTATGATCAATTAAATTACTCTTCAGAAATTATGGGAGATACTCTCTATGATAAAACTGTTTGTATGGACTATGAAACAGTCTTAGGATCTCAATACGATACTCACAGTCTTTACGGTTGGTCTGAAGCTGAGCCAAGTCTCAGGGCTATGAGACGTGCTACCGGCAAGAGGAGTTTGGTAGTTAGTCGATCTACATATACAGGAGCAGGAAAGTACGCTGTCCACTGGTTAGGTGATAACAAATCCCAATGGGATGATCTTGCTCGTAGTATAATTGGTAAGGGAACAGTGCTTTAAAAAATTTGATTATTCCTCCTTTTTAGACTATTACAATAATTACTAATAACAGGATGTCTCGAATTTAACTTATTTGGTATACCATACGTTGGAGCCGACATATGCGGATTCTTTGATGATACAACTTTGGAATTGTGCACTAGATGGCATCAATTAGGCGCTTTTTATACATTCTCAAGAAATCATAATGCTATTAGGCAACAGGTATTAAAATATCATAACAAAGATAATTTAGTAACTATTACACATATTTTGACCTAGGACCAAGATCCTGGAGTACACCCTACTTTAGCAACTTTTACAAAGGATGTCTTAGAAATTAGATATACACTGATTCCGTTTTTATATACCCTTTTCTACGAAGCTCACACGCAAGGACACACAGTTATGAGATCCCTAATGGAACAGTAAGGGTTTATCATTCTTTGTTGATCAACTTAACCTGTTTATTTGCAATACAGATTTATCAAAGATTCAGAAACTCATAATATTGATAAGCAATTTATGTGGGGTTCTGCTATTCTCATTAATCCAGTTTTGGAACAGGTAAGGAGTGAAGTTTATGTGTTTTTTTTCGTATGCACTTATTGATTATTCACATAATATCCATTAAGGGGGCCTCAACTGTCGATGTTTACTTTCCCGATGATAGATGGTATACTTGGTCAACGGTATTTAATTTAGACCATTGTCCTTTAGCAAAGGATTTATTAATTACCGCTAATAACTTTTCAGGGAGTAGAAGTACCTTTTAGGAAACAAAGATCTATTATAAGCGCACCACTGAATGTGATACCAATCTATATGAGAGGAGGTTCAATTATTCCCACACAAGTCCCTGCCAACTCAACATTTTATAGTCGAAAAAATCCTCTTGGAATAATTGTCAATCAAGGAGATCTTGACGATTCAGTTAAAGGAACTTTCTATTGGGATGATGGTGAAAGCTCAGGTACAATTTAATATATACAAGGTATTCATAGATTACATTTTTTTATTGTCTCTCTTCTATAGATTCAATCGAAAGTTTGAAGTATATATATATGGATCTTGAATTTAAAGATAATTCAATTGTTGGAACAATACAACACAGTAATTATAGTTCGGGTGGTCTCTTTTTTGAAAATGTCAAAGTGAATGGTTTACAAGTCGCTCCTGTCACCATAACTGTTGATGGACAAGCTCATACGGATTTTACGTATAATCAGAATAAGGTATATCGTTATTTTCTTAGCTGCTAATTTGAATTCTTAATTAAATTATTAATTTATCCGATAGGTTCTGGAAATCACTAATCTAAGATTATCAATTGAAAGAAGCTTTCGTATCGAGTTATCTTTTAACAAAGCTCCGAAGAAACCAATTAAAGAAAAGCCATAAATAAAAGAAACCTATTAATTTGTGATAATAGATATGCATAACTGTTATAATACAATTTACGTTTTGATGATAGATTAACTAAAAAGAAATATCACTAATTGACAATAGAAATATGAAAGAGAAGAGAGAAAGTCATTTTGAGTTGTTTTTTTTTAAATTATCTTTAGAGTTTAGCTTGGAAAAAAAAGCAGAAAAGGCATAGGGCGATAAAAATAGCATACAGAAACCCTTACAGAATATAATTAACCAAGTACAAAGAGAAAAACCAGAGATTTTGTCAGAAGTTGTTTTTAAGTTGAACCATAGCAAAAACACCCAAGAGCAATGATGAAAAGAGAGAGAGAGCATATAACTATCTATTTTTAAATAATTTCCGTTTGTTATAAACATAATTCAATAAATATTTTAAGCAAAAACTTCTATAAGAAAAGTAAATGAGAAGCGGAAAAAAGAAAGGAAATGAGATTAGCTAATATATACTATAAGAACTTCCATTTGTCTAGTATAGATCAAAAAAAGAGTCTATCTTCTTTCTCAAAGTGTTATAGTAAACCATAGGAATTATAGAGAATTTGATAAATTTCATAATAAAATCTGTAAAACTTATATGCCCACTTAAACTATCAAAATAAGTCGTTTTACTAAAAAGTAAAAGTGATCGTTAAATAGGAAATTAAGCTTTTCCGTAGCGTAGTTTTGAAATTGCTTATCATGCAAAAAACGGGAAGATTAATTGAATTCTTAGCTAGAATGAGCTTATTTAAATTAAATTGATAAAATGGGTAATAAAATGGAAAAAATGTTAAAATAAGTCATTAATATTAATTATATACTATTCTCTATACAAAGACACGAATGGGAAATTATTAACAGAATGAAATTACATACATCTCTCCAAGTATCGCAAAAATTGATTTTGTTACGGTTTAACCGTTTTGTTCGGTTGTTTTAAGTATTTGTATGTAGAAGGTAAACATAACTACGCCGTTTTATCCTTATTGACCACCAGATTTTCTGCCTTTTAGATCATGTAGTGTAAATAAAGACAAAGATTTTATTGGAAAACTCTTTAATAGAATCGTAATTTTATATTACTTGAATAAAAATGAAAACCGCTATTTATCCATATAAAGAATCATGTTATAGGCCTTTAAGTCGATATACTAATCTGCATTGCTAAAACGATTAGATCAATGACGGTGGCACGTTACCAAGGCCTGTTTATATAAGGAATTTCAATAGCAACAGACGCCTCGTTTCGTTCAGTTCCCCCGTAAACATGGCTGCTAAAATAGCAGCTTTATACCCAAATCCTAGTTGGAAAATGATGAGACCAACATCTACCCCTTGTTCATTTGAATTATGTCATAGAGAGAATGAAAGCAGAAATTCTACCCAAATTAAGAGACCTGCTTCGACTAAGGTATGTTTGAATTACAATTTTAAGCAATTTACATTCATTAAGTGCTTGTCATTTTATGTTTACTAAACACTCTTGGACTATTACGTATATATGGCCTACTTATATGCCTTATCTTTATTAACCGGTTTATCCGGGTCGCGATAAAGTAGCTAGGTAACATAGTATAGGCTACCTAAATTGTCAACTGTTACGAAGAACTTTAAGAGCTCCGATTTTGTTTCGTCTATCACACTATCACCCTTATAGATTGGAGATTTTCTCGTTTCCGGCTCAATACGGGATCAAATTCAAAACTACTATAGTAAAGCATCTGAAGAGGATAAGACTAAATGCTTAGATCTCTTGAAAGCCTTAGATATTAGGGAACAAAACCGAAGTTCTTCCGTAAACTGCAGACCTTTATCACCACAATCTAAAAGACCAAGAACCGCAATGGCTTATTCAGCAAAACGAGGAGGTATAATATACATTTGTAATTAACGAAAAATTTTCAAAAATTCCTTAATTATAGCTATATTTTCTTTATTTTAGAAGTACCGGTGAGGGAGGAGCTATATGGTCCCTACGTAACTTCTTACAAAAGGCAATTTAGGCCTAAATCATGTGTAGAAACAACAGCCGAAAGGTAGGGTTAGATTAGAGTTAATAGAACTTGTTGCTTATCCTCCTCCTAATCCGTATGTTTTTCTCATAACTTTTTAAACCTGTTTATCTAAGAAATATACTAGGGAAAAGGTGCTAGTTAAAGAAAAATATTGCTTTCTATTGTGTACTGAAAGATATTATTGATCCTATCGAAAGGCAACAGTGAAGTCAATATTGATTTCCTAATGATTGCTTCTAATTGCATTATACTATTTCAATTAAGCATATTAGTAATTCCAAATCTATGAAAGCTTAACAATATAGCAGCTCAAACACAGGAAAATAAAAAAAAGGACTTGCTCCAATATTCAATCCCCTCTTTTCCACTCCTTAAAAAATTTCCATTTAGCGTATTCTTATTTTATATGTCAAACTTTTACATATAAATTATACTTTGAGAACTTTTACACTTTATAATGTTACATGTGTGTCCATTCGTTTCATTGTTTTTCATTGTTATTTGAAAAGTAATCTATATAAATAAGCTATTCTTTAGAAAAAAAATAAAAATAGCAGAAGTTTGATATATTTGAAAGCTTTGATAGAGAAGAAGGAGAGAGAGAGAGAGAGGAGAGAGGAGAGAGGAGAGAGAGAGAGAGAACAGATAGCTTACGTACGTGTATATACTATATATACAGTATATATATCTATACACGTTTGTTTGTGCGTGCATACGCACGCATTTATTCGCATGTGTACATGCATTTATATCGTAAATTTTACATCAAAGGTCAATTTAGAAAAATGCTACAATTCCATTTATCATAATTAAATTAATAGAAAATTTTGCTGTTATATTCCCATTATTTAATCTTTTACTCTCATCCAAACCCCCTCCTACCACCCTTCTTCTATCTTTTTATCTATTTATCGCTTCCTTTATCTATAGAACTTCCTTACTCTTTCTTTTCTCTCGCTGTAAACTAAAGTTTGCATAGGCCTACTATAACCTTGTTGTATAAAAAAAAATTTTTTTAGTTCTTATTGTCTTTTTGTAAATAAAGTATATATCTTTGTATGGAGTAGTTGCAACTTGTTCAATTTGCATGCTATTAAAAAGATTTTCAAAAACATATTAAAATTTACTTTAAGTGCAATATGAATATTAATATACAGCTGATTTAAATAGAGAAAAGCAAAATTTAATAAAAGAAATATACAAACAAACAGAAAAAAGAGAATGAAATATAGTACATACTTGTATATTGTATATAGGACTATAGCAGAGTAGTTTAATCTTTATAATTTTCCGCTTTAAGCATAGTTAGAAAAGTTTGCGCTAGTCTTTTAAAAATCGATAAAATCGAAAACGTGAAGAAAAAAAACCAATAAACTGTTTTGCCCGTTGATATAAAACAATAAAGAAAGAGAGTCAGAGAGAAAGGTATAGAGATCAAGAGAGAGAAGGTGGAAAAAAATACAATATATTTATTGGTATACAAAGTTTTTCAGTCACTAATTCACTTCAAATTTTGTCTTTCATAGACCTCCCTCAACTCACGGGACTTATACGTTACCATCTCAATTTAAAGGAGCTACTGGTATGACTCATTACGAAGATGAGTATTGGCATAAGGAGAATGGGAGGCAAGAACCAATTAGATCGGGTTCATCGACCGGCAATAGAAATAACAATCCTCATCCTGGAGAGGTAATTGATAAAGTTTAATTTACTGATAGTAAATATTAAAAATGAAGACCATGATTATAATATAGCTTAATTTTAAACTCAGACTTTTATGATGTGGAAATTCCCTAGAAGAATGCAATTCGAAGCTCAAACTGGTTCATATCCCGCTGATTTAACTAACGAAAAGTTTGACGAAGTGATGAGGGGAAAACTAAAATCAACTTATCAGCAGGACTTTTTGGGTTTACCGCAAGGTTACAGCATTAAAAGCGCTTTTACGGAACCAGATCATGATCCTAGATCTAAAGCAAAATATACCCTGGACTCGACAAGCAGAGAAACGTATCAGGTTTAGGCAAAGAAAAATATGAAGCGTTTAATCAATCTCTATTGCATTTCCGCAGGGTGGCCGTGTAGTTGAACCGGAATTGGCAACGTCGAACACTAGATATGCCTGCAATAAAAATAAGCAAAAAACGTCAGCTGGCGTTAGTAAGTAGGGGTTTTTATAGATGGCGATACAGACTATTTCTTTGATAGATGGCGCTTAAAAAAGTTTTAAAACTTTTAATTAACTTTTTTAACTTTTGAAAGCCAACATTTTTAGTTAGTAAAAAAAGATAAAGTCAATATGTTACAATAGAAATAGTTAATTAATAAGTTAATTACTTGACTAATTTATTTGCTTTTTCTTTTCATTTCCAACAAAATCAAAAGTACCTAAAGTACCAACTCATTTTTTAAATGTTGGAACAAGAACAACATACGATAGAGAATACGATAGTCCCATAAAATCACAGTATGAAATGAAAGAAAACGTTTACGTACAACCGCAAACTATTTCTGCTCTTGCTAATAATTTGCAAAGCAGCGCTGAAGCGCTAGGTCAGGGTAAGTAGGCCTAAATTTGAAGGGGTGTGTGTATATATATCTATATATGTGTGCGTGTGCGTGCGTGTGTATGCGTGCATATGAGTGAAGGACTGAGGGAAAGTGCGTATATATGTATGGCTGGTTTATATGTGTGAGACTTTATGATAAAAAGATGGAGGAAAAGTTGCTTAAAATTACTTAAGAAGGAAAATTTCTCAGATACCGACACGCTACGAGCTATGTTGGCAACTGTAAGGCAACCACGACCTCCGTCTAGCTATCCTGGATCTCGGGTTTCCACTAGGGCATCTTCGTCTGTCTGCTCGAAAAAAGGGTCTTCAAGGCGCTTCGTTCCACCCACAACTTGCGTTTCCAGCCCTTGTCCAAGTGGATGCTCTAATGGCTTAAAAGCTGTGGGAGAGTGAATATTAGATTCTATTCGCAGGCTTTTCAAATACATTAACATTTTTGTAGACAAAATTTAAGAAAACTTTTTTTGCTTATAAAATTACACTTTGTATCTTTGTGTTAAATTATGCAAGTTCCAATTAGTAGCTCATGCATTTTCTTTATGTAATGATAACTATAATTTCAAATTATTACAAAAAATCATAAAATGATATAAAAAAAGACATATAAGTAAAACATTAGAATGAAGAAGATAAAGATAGACATTAATATTAATTGAAAATAATTTATATAGCGTATGTTTAGGCTATTTCGTAAGAAGCGGCTGCAGCCGTACTGCAAAAGCTATATTAGTTTCATGACGCAGGCGCATTGGACCTAGAATCGCTATGGAAACAGTTAGAGAACAACGCATTGGCAAGAGATAGCCGATAGCCAATGTGCGATTCTTCGATTTTCAGAGTTCGAGTGCAGAGTTCAGGCTGAGGTCCGCCTAGGCGCGGCTAATATGTTACCATTGGGACAATTCATTTCATCAGAGAATTTTACCATCAATGGATTTATAGGCTAAATTAACGCCGTATTTACTTTCATCTAACAATGTTTCTTCGAGTGTTTTAAATATTTCATGATCGATGCTCATTGGATATAAACGAGACGTTTTTTTGTCATTTTTGTCAACATTTTATATCTTAGTGGATTAATTCCGCGATTTCGGGCGGAATGGCGGAAAAACCTCCCAAACTTACACTTAGTGACGGTGAGTCAGTTTATACTTTTCTTCATTTTTCTTTCAACTATCGCAACGTGTATTAAATTACTGCATAGTGAACTACTTTCTTTCCTTTCTCTATATATACAGTATGTATGTGCTCTGTATATATATATATATATATATATATATATTTCGATACTCTTAAGCAATATTTATCCACTTATGTATGATCTAGACCAATTTACAAATATATACCAGGGTAATAATAATTTTAAATTAACGACTTATTCTAGAAAGTTATCTCTGGGCCTAGCTACTCTAAAGCTAGTATATATATATATACTAGTATATATAGATATATATATATATATTTCCTGGCAAAGATATATATTATAATACAAGTAATATATATAATCTAACTTAAAATGAGAAAACATCTTGTTAAATTTGGTTTAACTATTTCTTTGAAAATAAAAACTCAAAGAAATTTTTAATTATGGAAAGACAAAAGGCGTGGCGATTACGTAATAATGGATATTTTACACCCTTCAAGATACTTTTAAGCTAAATATATCTAGTTTGGAAAAATTGGAATAGATTTATCTTTTTCCTTCTTGCTCCCGATTAATCCATGAATAATTCGACCGGAAAACGGTAAAGTACATCTGCCTGGAAAACTAACGAAACCTGGACGCAAGAAAAACAAACAAAATTCGGGGCAAGAACATTGTTTACATGTACACTTTTTTATTTACATGAATGCATAGTTGGAAGCGGTTAAAGAGTCAATAATTCAATCCTTATCTTCATCAAAACTGATAAACGGAGTAGATAACGCACTGTTTGGTTAGATAGGGAAAAAAAGGAAAAAATAGTTGGAAAGGAAAGAGAGAAAGAGCGTAGAGAGGAATTAAAAGATAAAAACGTACATCTGATATTAGGGCTAAAAAAAGACAAATAACATAAGGTCTGAACTTTTGCCTTATGGTTTATCGTTCTAGCATTTATTCTTAATTTTCATCAGCCTCATTATTTAGATTTCCGGCTACTTTAACATACGTCGATTTTCTAAAAGTTCAAGGGGTTTCAACCAATCAGAGATCATATCCTTTTGAAAGCTTTTTAACTATTGTTGCGCCCTCTGTCGCGTGCACATTGTACTACAAATCAAACATTGTCACGCTGCTAAGGGGCTCACAACTTACCTTGATCGTATTGAAAAAAATCACCTGTGTATCCGAAGATTTTTCCTCGAAACTTGATATAATTTTTTTAATTGAACTTAATTTCGGCTACAAGCAAATGGACGCTGAAGTCCTATCTAACAAATTCTACAATCTGCAAACGCAGACGGACCGGACACCTCCAAAACAAAACCGAAGTGCACCTGGATTTTATGACGCAAAGGATGACGTAACTAAACGACCCGTCTACCTACAACGTTTGAGTAGTTTACCCGAATATGCAACTTGTAAAGGCGAAATATTTAGAGCTACTAGAGTACGTGTAGCACGAAACGCCTCCAACGGATCTGATAGTGGATTACAAACGTCTGATTCGCCTAGCTCGAGTGAGGCATCAGAAGGTCAAGATAATATATTTAGCTATCAAGAAACGTCGAAGAGCTCAATGCTAAGGAGGAGATGTAGCGTTGATGAAATTCTAGCCCGGCATGAAGCGGCTGCAGCCGCTTACGTGAACAAGAGACGTTACAGTGAGCAAATAACTCCAATCGAATGTCCCCTGAGCACATTACAAAGATTTCGACGCTTCAGCGAGCATTTACGTAATCCTTTCACAGAGAATGAAACATTAAAACTTAGAAGAAATACATCAGTAACGCAAAAACGCCTGTTTAAACGTAAAACCGATCTATCGAAATCCGATGGCGATTTAACAGCTATAGATGATTACGATTACGGTTTCATGAACGACAATGATTCACCTACAGATACGATTAAGGATAAACCGCCTTCATCGCCGTCGAGAAATCTTATCTTCACGAAAAAGTGGAAAAAGAAGCCTAAATCGTCCAATTGTAGTTGGAAACCGGAGGTAGGTGGTTCCTTTTCAATTCAATTTCCTTTCTTCGTCTCTTTTGGCCGTGTCAAATCTTTTGATTTTAATTATTTGCATTGTTTACCACCTGCTTAAGCACGGCAAGAGTATCCGCTCATTAGTTATGCAAATTAGTTTACTGTCACGCATAAAAGAGTTACTATATGCTATTGGTAGCGGATGCCGCGTGCCCGCTTGAATACTTAGGGCTATACAGGTGTATTATTTTCCGGCGTTAATGGCAAAACCTCTTAAAAGGGCCGTAACCGAAAAAGTTGAAAAGTTCAAACAACTTCTTTTGTCTATAAATTCTATTACCGGAAAAGTTTTACGATTACAGTTTTAAGGCCTATAGGCTGAAGCGATGAAAGGAAGTATTAAAAATTAATCCTTGAGCTTATTTCAATGAGTTTTTACAACCGTCAGAAAAGAACCATCCATAAGATTGTATTTTAAAGAGAGAATTTATTGTCATTGAGAAAAACTGAAGAACTTTTGTAGTATTCAGTTATTTCCTTTTTTTAACACGTAACATTTTAGTCAAGTTGCCTATTGAACACGATCCGTTCGATCCCTCCCCTTCTCTTTATTTATTCCCGCTCATTGAGGAGGAAAATATATGAGAGAAGAAAATTCATTGATTTTTTTTCCCACCTCTCTTTTCATTCTTCATGCCTTAACTCATTCCCGCCTTTTTTTTCATTCAAGTTTTGTGAAATCACACAGAATTCTACATTTGCATATACTTATCACTTGCAATTTTTTGCAGTACAAGTCTAAACGAGATTAATTAAGTCGTTTTTCTCTCACTAGGATACTAGTAGCAGATGTTAAACGATTTATAGTAAAAAGAGAGAAAAAGAAAAAGAGATAGATAGGATAAAAGTTTCTATTTGCTCTAGATATAACTATTATTATTATTATTATTATTGCTACCAAGAATTCTAGTATTGCGTAATTTATAAATAGTATTCACTGATTGTGCGATTTGTAAAGGGGAGGAGGCGAATTCTCATAAAACAAAAAGATTGCAAACTATACGAAGAAAGTATTGCTAAAGTCGTGTCAAGGTCAACAAGCGCGTTCCATTTGTTTATAATATTCATGGAATGCGAATAGCCGTTCCAGATAAATGAATGCACCTGCGCTTGTTCGCTTCTCTTTGCCGAATTTTGAAGCGCCGAAACGTAAGATTTTCGCTCAAGATAACCTTTTGTCCGATCCTCTATTATAATAGATACCGAAGACGAGCCAATTTAAAATATAGCCCGTTTTAATAGAACACCCAACGGGCGATTCAAACACACTAATCTCGTCAATTAACCCAATTATCGTGGATTGCCTTTTTTAAGGTAAAAAGCACCTGGACTCATTCAAAATTTTGTATAACTTGTGTTTACAAATAATATCATATTAGAAAATCGGACTAATAGAAGAAAAAATATCATTAGTACTTCATCCAACCCCCCGCCCTCGTTCCCTTCCATTGCCCACCTCATACCCCTATTCTCCTTCTCCCCCCTACGTTCCCTTCGCTATTTTTTCCGAATAATTACACAATTGTATGCCCACGTTTTTTCCATTATACATGGCCCAGTTCTTTATAGTATTTTTTTAGACGCCCACGCAACAAATTATGAACGCTTCGATATTTTCAAAAACATGAAAGAGAAAGAAGACTAAGGCAAACATTAACTTTATATAAAAAAAAAAGATTTTTCTATGATTAAACTAGAAATTTCACTTTTAGAGAAAATCTTATTGTTTGTTTACTAATTTTATCAAATACGTTAAAAAAAATTATGGGTAGTTGAATTAATGATTAGTTTATTGTTTTATTATGGACTTATCATCGATTAGATGTTGGGCTCTATTTATTTTTCTTCTTTTATTACTTACCACTTTTTTATATATATAAAAAAAGGGAGGAGTAAGGCGTAAGAGAGAAATGATATCGATTAGATAGAATTATATTGACTTTATGAAAGCCTATATAACCGAGTCAAATATGTGCATAATACTTTTTAAAGTTGGGACATAAGCGTACTCGAATACTTATAGCTTTACAACGTAAATTAATTGGGAATCGACGAGGCAATAAAGCCATTAATAAATATTATAAACGAGAGTGACCACGTTCACTTGAAGGGTTTTAGTACATACAGTCTAATCTACGAAAATCTCTTTTATTTGGCGTTAAAATAGCTATATTTATTAAAAGGCCTAATTCATTTCGTATTCCTTGTATCTGGGTCGAGTACGGGTATAACTAGATAACTTATATTCTTTTGCTTGTTTTGCGCTTTTGTTAGGCTGTGTATACGTAATTCTAGAAATTTTCAACGAATACTAAGTCGTCGTTATATATATTTATTTAAATATAATTCTAACTGAAGAATAAATGTATACTATATTTATGCAATTGAGACAAGATTTGAACACCTTTGAATGGCCGATCTCTTGAGTATCATTCATAAAGACGGGGAAATAGATTGCTGGTCGTGATATCGTTCGGAAGGAACAATCGCAAGTGGTATTTTATAGTATACGTAATTCAGTGTTGCTTTGAAATTATTGCTTTCAAACACACTACCTCGTGACAATAAAGATGTATGAATAAAAAGTTTCCTACCCTAATATATATAAAGAGGGAAAAAATTGTGCAAAGAATTCCTTGTTCCCATTTTCCTTTCGAGTAATTTTCTGACCGCGTTCACAGCATTACTTTTATTATAAATGGCTTTGTGGTTTGAATTTCCTCGGGAGTGAAAGGTTGACATTCCAACTTCCTCTTAAAAACATGGTCACTTTATCTAATAATAATGGAGGGAAAAAATGAAAGATTGGCGGTGACACTATTCATTCTGAGGGTTCTTTATTTTTTACCTTATCATCTACCATTTAAATCTACCCTTAGGGCATCGGCACAATTGAAGTAAAAGAATTTTAAACGCCTATCATGACTAGATGACGTTGATCTTGTCTCTACTCTTTAATAATATTAGACAATGGCATTTTTACAACTATAAATTAAAAGCTGCTGAAGCAGCAAAAATAACAAATTCTTGAATGAACATTTTATATTCCCGAATGATAGAAAAAAATTGAAAAAAGAAAGGGGAAAGAATCTTTTTAGATAATGTTTCATAATAATAATAAGGAAAAGAATGAGAGAAAAATATTGTAGTTTTCTCCCCGTAATAAGATAAGCGATTTGTTTAATCAATCCAAGTTGGCGCCTTTTTTTACGCTTGATGATTATATGCTATTTTTTAGAAAAAAGAAATCCCCTACTCTCTATTTTTCTTGTTTATTCAAATATTTGAAAGGAAGAAGAAATGAAAAGAAACTTTCTTTTTTTAATTAGCGTGAAGAATCACGACCAAACGGACACAGTAATTATTAACCAAACAACACGTGCTTGAACAAATTATATCAAGTTGATCTAACATTCCGACTTTTTCGGCATCCTTTTGATCTACTAATGATCTAATTAGTAAGACAATTAGGATGGTCTTTTCTTTTTCAAAAGATTATAAAGAATGGAAAAACTTTCAGTATACAATTAGAGTATATAAGAAAGAACAAAGATATTATGTTTCTTGAATGAAAACACCCGGAGCTAAAAAAAGAAAAAATAAAGTGTCCTTTTTTACTCTTTTCTTATCAGTAGATATTTTCTAATTTATCTAAATGTTTTTACACTATCTTAAATAAAATGCCTGTCCTCAGGCTGATCCACTAGATTAATTCATTGTATAATAAATCGTTCTTTGTAAAGAATAAAAAAAATAGGGAGTATTTAGCTTCGGAGTTTTATTGTTAAAGAATTTTCTGTAGACTGTCTAGCTTTTGGTAACTTGAATGCTTCTTTATGGCTCTATTTATTGGTTGGTGTACTTGTAATTAAACATCTGTTTGTGCCCAATACGTAACAACCTCATAAGAGAAGTCTTGTTAAATAGGAGAAAAGTTGGAAAGAATAGTTGTCAATAGTATTTCTCGTTTTAAGAGCGATAAAAGTGTCACAAGTAATGAATTCCAATTAAAATTCTGTAGAGGGAAAGAAATTGAGTAAAGAGAGAGAGAAAGTGTATGAGAAAAAGAGGAGAAAAAGGGTGAATGAGTAATATTAAAGAGCTTTTTATGGATGTCAATACTGCGGTTTGCGGGAGAGCTTATTAAGCATATTTTAAATTGTTGTTATTGAAATGATTTTATCTTAATGCTATATTATAGGTTGGCTACCTATAATAAAAATTTATATTAAATTGCAAATTAGACCTACTAATTAATCTGCCATTAAACCTTTCCATTAATAGGGTATCGTAAATTTTTTAGAATAACCCACAATAGATTCGTTTAAAGGAATTATATAATCTTGACAGTTTTCAACGAATATGCCATTCATAAAACTATTTATTACGGTATTATGTATACTTAATTCGAATATATAAAATATAATATTGTTAACGCCCAAAACATAGGTTTATGTATAAAAAATATAGGAGTATTGAAATGTTATGAATGTGCAACCTTTCATTATTTATTTAAATCATCAGGACAATTGCATTTGGACACATCAAGAAGTATCACCCGACTCACCTCCCCAGCAAATATCACTTCAGTCAACAAGCGTTCTACGATTAACAGACGTAGAACGAATTGCCTTACAAAAAATTGCGTTTAATAAACTTCAAAACGCAAATTTAAGCGTTTCCGTTAATATTCCAAAAGGTGAGAAAGGAGCTTTAAATGAAAATATAATATAAATTTTTTTCTGCTCAATAAAAAGAAGTATATACAATTCAACCCTCCCCTTTTTTTCATTCTCTCAATAGACCCAAGTAGGAGACCACAAAAGAAAGCGGGCTTCCTTAAACGACGAACCATATCGGGCATATCTGGTGATTCTAAGCATAGGGCCAAAGGTGAAAATTTTTATTCAGTTCATAAAACACTTTCATGAAACTTGACTCTCTTTTTAAATATATCAGATGGCGTGATCAACACGACTTTCGGTCAGCCAATACATAAATGTCTTCTAAGAGATTTCGAGGGACGTCCTGTTCAAAGATTAAGGAGAGAATCTTTGAATGTGGAAACAACGTCAAGACCGTCAGTTAGAAAGTCTAGTTCGAGTTCAGTGAGTAAATTGAAATATCGCGAAGGTAAATATTATTATTATCGAACTTTTTATAATCTAGGGTGGCGGGATAAGCTTGGATTCCGAATCCGATATCAGTAGATCGACTCTTGTAGACGCTTTGAGTTTACAATCGTCTCCTAGCTCTTCGGAACATTCTAGGAAAGATTCCCGCTTAAACTCTCTCATTCCTCACGAACCGTTGGTGCCTTATATAGTACAGAGGTGTTGCTCGCACTTGAAAAATAATGGTAATACTCGATAGTAACAAACAACTTTCTTATGAAATAAATTATTAATTTAATTATTTACTTGATTAAATTTGAAACTTATGTTTCTTTGTATTTCCTTTAAAAAAAACAGGTTTAAATGTTCTGGGTATATTTCGGATAGGAAGTTCAATGAAACGAATTCGTCAACTTCGAGATGAATTCGACAGAAGTGGAAATGTAACCATAACAAACGAATATACTCCACATGACGTGGGCGCAGTACTAAAGGAATACTTTCGGGATCTTCCTGATTCTTTATTAACTAGAGTTCTTTACCCAGCCTTCTTAGCCACAACAAAACTTGTAGGCGAACGGCGATTAGAGGTTTTACGGTTATTAATCGCCCTTTTGCCGGTTGTCAATAGGGACACTCTATACTTACTACTCAATTTTCTGCACACTGTTACTTTACATTCCAACGATCGTTTGGATGAATATGGTAAAGTTCTGCAGGGGAATAAGATGGACAGCCATAACCTGGCTAGATTATTTGGACCCAATATTTTACACCAGTCGAAGAACACAGAATTCGCTGTTGAGAACGAAGGGGCCAAAACGGCTTGCACAGATATAATAGAGGTCACCGAAACCCTAATAGACAATTATTCCACGCTTTTCGAAGTAATAATGACATATATTATCAAATATTTTGAATTATTTCTTTATTCTCTATCTTTTCTATAGATATCGAAAGAGGAGCATAATGAGATTTTTAAATTTCTAATGGATAATAACCCGGATGCTGTTAACTTTCTCCTCGTAAAAAAGTATAGCGAGTTAAGGTGAATATTTTCATTAATAATTGATTGTTACACCAGACTGTATCTTAATTGAAATTATTTTATTTATAGGAATAAATCAGAAATGAATTCAAAAAGTGATAATGGTAGATTGGAATCATCAACACCGATTTCGCCTATTATATCGCCTTTGACGTCCTATCTTCAAGTACCTCAATTAACGGCGGCCACACCGTCGCCGAGAATATCGCCAAGTCCTAAATCATCCAGACAGTCTTCCGAATACGATCAACATCGGCCAGATAGGAATGAGCACTCTTCTTCAGTTCGCCTAAGAAAAGTTGCTATTTCAACACAACGGCCACCTTCCGAACCATTGTACGCCTCGAGAGCTCCAACAAATGCGGAGTTACGAGAACGTTGGTTCATGGAAACACCCCAAACATACTCTCTTCCTTATCACATAGTCGATTGTTCTTATACTCCTGCAGAACGTGCAATGACTCTTCCAAGTTCTGATTCGTATCGAACGTGGAACCTTTCGAAAAGTAAGAGTGTTAAAGAAGAACCGGAAACTCTTGTCTAATTTAAGAAAACAAACAAACAATTTAATATCAAAATTTAAAGAAATTATATCTTCTCTCTTCTTTTTTTGCATCTAGTTTCTTGTATTATAGAAAATTTTTTTCAGTAGTTAAATAATATTTTATCTGAAATTTTTTATGATTAAAAAATGATTCAAATACGAAATAAATGAGAAATTTTTCTTTTCTCTTTTTTTCTTCATTTTAAATGAAACTAAAATTGAAAATTTGTGTATTTTTTCTATTGAATAGCAGAAAGTTATTCAAGCTATAGGGTATATTATAAATAATGTCATACGATTTTACTTTTCTGCCTTATTTAACGTCTGAATGAGTTTTGCACTATTATATATAGGGGTTTATTTTTATTTTCAATGTATTCTCATTTCCATTCAATCAAATTTTTTCTTTTAAATTCTGCCAATAGTCTTTTAACCATTGTTGAATAATTTCAATTTCTCGCTTTCTTGCCTGTTTCACCGAATCTGGGTCATCCTTGTTCGAAAATCGTAAATCTAAATGGTGAGCGCCATCTTTTATCAATATTACGTGTATTGAAGGGTTTGGTGAATTCAAAACGCCACCTCCCGACCAGGGGTCAAGATCACCGTTACTGAATAACAAAGAAAATATGAAAATATGCTCTAATTGTTCAATACCTTTAATGTATTACCTAAAAATAATATTGGAGGCTGCTGAAATATTTCTTCCGCCATATTGAGAAACAACAAAAAATGGACGAGTTTTTACTTTAAATTTATTGGTGCACCCGTCACAAAATTCTTTTAAATTCCAATCTCTTCTTTCAAACATGTCATCAATCCCATTAGAACACATTGGCATGACCATTTCGGTACATGATTGAAACCACCTAATCAATTTCATTAATGATTACTAATCTATTTGTCTGTGTATTAGAAAGTTTGAATTGTTACATTAACTTACCATCCGTAATCTCCAAGTAATTTACTACCCTGCTGAGAAACATTTAAGCAATTGGCTTGTCCGCTTTTATTCATAAAATTAACCAGTCATTAGCTTCATTTAAAAAAAAAGATCTTCATTATTATAGTTATTTACCTGTAATTATAGTATAATTTAACGGCTTTAGCAATTCCATCAATTAACACTTCATGATCTAACGACTTGTTAAGATAGCTACAGGCTCTCTGATTAGAAGAATTTGTTGTAATATACATACTTACTATACATTAAAACAAACCTTGACAGGCCAAGCAGGTAAGGGTTCCATAAAATTGCTTTTATACGGATAATTCATCATAGCTAAATTGGTCCATGTATTGAACAGCCAACCTTTAACTACAGCAACGTCATTAACAGTTGTCAATGGTTTGCATAAGGAAAATTTTTTGGTAATATATTTCCTTCCTTCCGTTGTGCTACCTATTTTGTTAATAACTTGCCAAGACTTTCTTATATTAGAAACGCATTTCATCGAAAATCTTTCATAGGCTTTTGTAACAGTTTTATAGAAAACTCCGCAATCAGTTAAACCTTCAAATTGAAATATTGGTGCTGATGCAGCTAAAGCACTGAATAAAATGGGTAATAAGGATTAATAAGAAACTATAGATTATCAATGGAATTTTATAAACTAATATACCCTATTACGGATGCAGGATATTTCATTCGCATCCAACTTGCAAGCATTCCTCCATAAGAACCTCCAAAAGCTATAAATGGACTTTTGGCAAAGTATTTTCCATACTCATTTCGTAAATAATCAATTAGCACTGAGTAATCGGCGAGTGCTTGTTCAGAAGTCAAGTGACCCAAATGTTGAGGATCTTTATAGGATTGATTACCATAAGGTAGTGATAAACCATAGTATCTATGTTCGGCAAATATTAGAGCAGCATTAAATTCTTCGGCAATATCCCAAAGAAAACCCTGATAGTTATTTATGAAATCTCGAATATCTCTTTTCCATTAACTTAATAATAATAAAAAACAAACTGTATTATTGCAAAACCAGGTAATATCTCCTTCATTTCCAGTATAGAAGAAAACAGGTCCATAAGGCTCGAAATAATCGGAATTTATCAAAACACGCTGATCAAATACATCATTATTCCCGTAAGAAAAATGATCAACCTAAACAAAAAGTGACCTAATAATAGAAATATCCAAAACAATAGCAATAGTGTAATCAAATCTTAGATACACGAAATTATCCCAATTAGTAAAATTAAATCATTTACCTGTTGTTTAATAAAGACAGTTTTGTATCTTATTGATTGTTGTTCCGGTATAGATTTCTTTGAATTTATTTGCAAACAATGACCGTTAAACATGAAAGAAATCAATTGTAAAAAAATAATTAAGACAATCATATTTCTTTGATATGTCTTCATTAAAATATAAAAAAGAATACCAGGCCGAACAATACATATTTTTATCAATATGTATTGAAAAATACAGGCTTGGCGCTTTCAAAAAAATGAATGCGGTCCCCAAACGCAAAGTAGAAAGATGTCATATCCGTTGTTCAAGAGGAAGTAGTTTCATAAAAGATAGATAAACCATAAAGAAAGGTTTGACAATCTATTGGCAAAACTATTTTCCAATTATGCTTATTATTATTATTATTATTTCCTTTATCTTGCAATTTGGCTATATCTAAAACTATAAATAATTGCAAAAACAGGTATAATAAATCATTAACAAGTATAGAAAAAGATAGAAGATGCTTGAAAGTTAGTTGTAAATAGTTATATTTTTTCTGCATCAATTAGTATGTGTGTAATTATATCTTTTAAACAGGTGAATATACTTTATACTGTATTGATAAAATGTAGATATCATCCTTATATAAATTAATATAATAATCAGAATCTTAGAAAATTCAATATAAGATTTACACTATCTTAAAACATGTGTGGACTTATAATAAACTATACTACTCATTCGGATTTGTTTACTAAACAGATAGTAATGATTATTTGAAGCGATATCAGTCAAACTTTTTATTTGTAATTGAAATATAAAAAATATAAAAAAATTTCAAAAGGAAGAATATCTTTCTCTTAAATAATTATCTAATCTTTAATATGATTTAGCAACTTTCCACAACGTTCAATTCAATAGCTTTCTACTTATGATTTCAACATCCACTATTATAAATAGATATGTTTGTTTAGAAGTATTGTCAAACATCGAAAACACAAACGGATATACTGCAATAAACATAATAATATACGGAAATTGATGGGCGTGTTTTCAATTTTGGTAAACAAAATAGTACCCTTTTTTAATAGGATATACAAGATATACTGTGTAAATTTATACTCTATACTATTTGTATACATTACCTTAATTATTATATTGGCGGTTGTTTACTATAAAAATTTTTTTTTATTTATTTTAATGTGTTTCATTCATAAATATCAAAAATTTAATTTAATTCTGTTTTAGACGTTTGATGAATATTGTACCTTGAATTTATAACCACTGGTGGTTTTATGTATAACCTTGACTTTATCCAATAAATTCACACATGAGAGAAAACAAAATATGATTACAAATGTTATGGAAGTCTTAGTACTAGTTGTTTTTGTTCAGATCACATGGTGTGAGTTGTCTTTTACATAGTTTTTAAATTTTTCATAATTTTAATTGTTTTGCAATTCTCTTCCCGCTTACAAAGGCTTGTCTGCTGAAAATTCTCCCAAACAAATACCAAAACAAGATACCTTTTGCGGGGAAAACACATCTTGTCTGATCACAGAATATTGTGATGAAGCCGGATCCCCAATATGTTTGGGATGCTCTGAACTATGTCTAACCAACAGCGACGAATGTAAAAGGTCCTGTCCTTATGTTTTTTTATTTGCCGTTGGCTTATTGCAAGATGAATTGACGAAAAAAATACAGGACTTTATAAACAAAAGTAAGTACATCAAATAATTGAAAACGTCCAAGTTAATGAAAATGATGTTCTTTAAAATAGATGATACATGTGTCAACACTTGCAAAACTGAGAAAGATCCTCCTTACATGATTATAATTCTTATAATATTAACTATTTGCCTCGTTCCAAGCATTCTGATAAATATTTGGACATCAAAGGAGAAATGTTATGCAGTAAAGCGTAAATTATGTAACAGTGAAAATAAACAATTGATCACTGAAGAAGGGTCCAATAATGAAGTAGTAGCATTGGGAGAACAAAGGATACCAGCTGAGGATATATTTACAGAAAATGTGGAAGAAGATGTGAAAGCACCTGCGGAAGATAGCAAGGAAAGTGGTTTTAGTTCAAGTCTTCAAGAGCGACAAAGCGTTATCTAAATCTTCTACAAGGAATGTCATTGTTTAATAACTCTTTGTAAATTGCGTGCTGACATCTGCTGTCTTTCGTTTACCAGTTTTTTCTGTTTTTGTAAAACACACAAAACTTGATACGATACAATACACTATCAAATTAATGTCTGAAAGATTAGTAATTACTCTCCTTTTCTGATGAAGATAAACAGTTAAAATGTCTTTAACTCTATATTATGGCTTAAAGACTCCTGATTTTCTATTCAGTACTTTTCGACAACTGTAAGCTATTTATTCATGCAAAATTTACTTCGATTTATTGTTCTGTGTTCTTATTTAGATGGAAAAAGAAAACAGATTTTAGTTCAAAATCAGATTTAATGAATAAGGTTGTCATAGTAACTGGTGGTAATAGGGGAATTGGTAAAGAATGTGTAAAAGATTTAGTGAAAAGAGGAGCAACAGTAATTATGGCTTGTAGGAATATAGAAAAAGGATTAAGAACTAAAGAAGAAATAGAAAAAGTTTGTGGAATTTTTGAAAAAATTGAAATAATTAAAATAGATTTGTCATCCTTAAAAAGTGTACGAGAATTTGTAGAAGAGTTTCGAAAAAGTATTTAATTAATTCTTTCTAAATTAATTAACGAAAATATAAAAAATAACTATTTCTTTCAAAAGAATACGAAAATTTGCATATTCTAATTAATAATGCGGGAATTATTAAGGCGGACGAATATTTTACTTCGGAAGGTAACGAAACTTTTATTGCCTCTAATTATTTGGGACATTTTCTTTTGACAAACCTACTTGTGGATCTTCTTAAGAAAAGCGCTCCAAGTAGAGTGATAAATGTATCGTCTTCCTATCATTATATTGTTAATGATATGACGTTTAATGATTTTCAATTGAAAAATCATTGGGTAAAACCAACTCAATTGTATAGATATGGCAGAAGCAAGGCTGCAAATGTTATGTTTTCTAAAGAATTCAATGACAAATATCAAGGTTTTTTGCGACAAAGTTGTCGATTTTATATGATATAAATCCTTCATTATTTACAGAAAATGGTATTACTTCATTTAGCTGCCATCCGGGAGTTGTAAAAACTGAACTATTCGATAGTTATCAATGGAAATCTGAGTTAATGGACTACTTTTTTGTGAAAGTTGCATCCTTCTGGATGAAATCTGCTGATGAAGGAGCGAAATCTATACTTTATTGTTGTTTAGCTCCTGAATCGGAAATTATTCCTGGAGAATATTACGAGTAATTATTCCTTATTCAATCTTTGATAAATTAACCTAATGTCTTTAACGACAGCTCAACAAAGCTCGTTCAAATGTCAAAACTAGCAAAGAATAAGGAGAATCGCGAACGATTATGGGAAATTAGTTCAAAGCTAGTGAATCTTGCCTAAGCCATTTATCTATAGTAGTTTTTATTCTTACTATAGATATATACAGTATATATATTTATCTAGTATTACCGAAGATAGTTTTTTACATAATATTCAATTTCGTCTACATGTCAATTCTTAGTTAAAATTTGAAATAAAGAAAATAATAAAGATCTATTTTTTCAGTAATATTTAAATATGTACTGAATGTTTATATTTAGTAAACTATTGATAAAACGAGTTTCACCTTACTAGTATGAAAAAAAAACCTATGAAATAGACCTACATTCTTTTTCAATACAATCGAAAAATACTTTGATTGTATCACTAGTTGTTAAGATGAGTGCCCTTCTACGTCATTCTCTTTTCGATAGCGAATTTAAGAAACTATTAAAAGAGGAATTTAAGTATATTGATTTAAAAATGTAAATCTTTGTATTTTCTTTAATTATGCTTAAATAATAGAGAAGAATATGAAAAGTGTACTGTTGATTGTGATATGCATGGTAAAACAGTTCTTGTAACTGATGGATGCGATGTTATCGGTAAGGAATGTATCAAAAAATTTTTATATTCTGGTGCAAGGGTAGTTATGGGTTGTGAAGTTTGGGATAGAGGAGTGGAAGCTCTCGACAAAATTGAAAAAGAAACAGGCATTATAAATCACCTAGAGATCATGGAATTAAGTTTTATGTCGTTTAAAAGTGTTCGTGAATTTGCAAATCAATTTAATAATAGTAAGTTCTTATTTCCTATAGAAAGGATTAATTATAATTTATATTATTATTTCATCATGTAAAATTAAACTTAAAAAGGAGACTATAATCTGCATATATATCTGGACAATTCAGAGGAAACAAAAATATCACAAAACGAGAATAAAACTGGTTACGAGTCATATATGTCAATAAATTACCTTTCTCATGCTCTTTTGATACTACTATTGTTAAAAAAGTTAAAGAGATCCACCCCTAGTCGAATAGTAGTAGTTTCTTCAGCTTGGCATCAGATTTGCAAAGATTTAAATTATAAAAATTTTCATATTTACAAAAATTGGTTTGGACCAGACGAGATAGAACGATATTGTCAAAGTAAATTAGCATTGGTTTTGTTCATATCGGAACTAAACAAAAGGATATTTCGTAAGTTTATAATTAGGAAAAGAGCATTAATATTGTAATTTCTTATTGTTAATAAATTTTAATAATCAATCAGATTTCGGTATAACATCATACTGTTGTCATGTCGGGCCTATTGAATCAAATTTTCACAAGAACTCGCTATTTTATAAAAAAATTATGGATATGCTAGGAATTCTATCGTCAAAGAAAAAATTCAAAACAGCTGAACAAGCCGCACAAGTGCCTCTGTTTTGCTGTTTATCACCATTAATAAAATCTTTCAGTGGCAGATTCTTTCGGTAATAATATTTTAAATAAAAATACTGTACTAGTAATTAAATGATATTTTATTAAAATGCCAAAAAAACAGGGAATTTGAAGTGATGACACCGCCAAAATTAGTTGAAAATGAAACTAGCAGTAAAAAGTTTTTAGAAGCAACGAAAAGGCTAGTTGGAGCTTGAAAGATATATTATCACTATTGACTATTCTATAGTAAAAATCTACTTAGCCTTTCTTAGTAGTTTTTTCTCTAAATAGGCTTTTAATCAGGTTATCTGTAGTGTTAGCTCGTTTTTTGATATTATAAAAGAATTTCACTTCCAATTGAAGTTAAATGAAGGCTATATACGAAGCTACAGATATCTATATCAATTATTAGTATATTCTATATAGGCATTCATATGTGATAGAATTTTAATTAATTATATTTAACTAAATAAGTCAAATAATTAATTAATATTTTAGATTTTAATAGATATTTATTAAATAAATAAAATCGAATAAATTAAGATATAATAGAAAATGGTTGTGAAATTTTTTATAATTTATAGTTAGTAAGAATTGATTTTAAATATTTCTAACTGTTTAATCATGGGAATCTATTAAAACCTGCATAATTAAAAACACCTTTTCGGATTATTATAAATAACGAATAGTTAAGATACTTTATTTTATTATCATTACAATATGATTTAGATTATTAAATAGGTATGATTCTTCGTTAAATAGAGGAGCAGAGAGAAAAAAACACATTCGAAAGACAGTTGATGCATAAGTTTTAACCTAAGATTTGCTTTTAATCTATGAAATTACTTAAAGGATAATCTTAACATTCAATGATAATAAATAAGTCGTTGTGGTAAGTTTAACATTCCTTTTAATGTATTGTTCTAAAAGAAACTATACTTTAAATATTACTTTGTTATGTAATATTTTTATCATTTTTGTTATCTTTTCTTTAGCTATTAATACCATTTGTATCATTATCATCTTATGTTTGAAATTGTAACGAAACTGATATTCATAGAATTTACTCAATAGATGTGAAATAAAAGTAAAAATTATTAGTATCTTTTCATATCTCATTTGAATATTCTACGTACAAGACGCCATCTACGTGATATATCTATCATAATCAATCGCCGATAATTTTTCAACTACATTCCAGTTTTTGTTATTCATATTTAAGTTAGAGCTAACTTTTAGTATGGCATAAAGCTATTGATTTTCTATTGTTAACATTAGAAATACAACCCAAAAATGTTTATTATTCATGTTATCTCCGACGTAATATGTACCTGTATTTATTCTATATGAAAGTACATAAAAATGCATAAGTGACCATTTTCGATATATTTACAAAATAAAAGATAAGTATACACGGCAATCCCAATTGTTTAACTTGAATAGAACTTGGACGGGCTTTAGGACTGATACAATAACAAGGCACTACAATTTTAATAATGAAAGGAAAGATGAATATACAAGTATAGTCGCACAAAGATAATTTTCTGTGATAGCATTATAACCTTATTAATTAGACCATATTGTTAAAAAAAAAAGGGTATTTAATTTTTAAGTAGGTTTTTTATGATTGATAAAACAAAGTAAAAGAAACAATTTAAAGATAAAAATGTTTAGTGCTCTCCCTCAACGATTAGAAAGGTGACCCAAAGCAGCGAACTTCATCCTTTTTTGCTTCTGGCGTTGATTGCAAAACCATACTCGAACAACGCTCTTTTTTAAGCTCAACTTATCTGCGATTTGAGCTATTTTCTCACCGGAAGGTCTTGGTTGAACGGCGAAGTAAGCTTCCAAAGATCTTTTTTCCGGAGCTGCAATAGATGTTCGCTTTCTCTTTCTGTCGGCCGCCGAATGAAATATTTCTCTTGTTACGTTGTTTTCGCGAGCTTGCCTCTCAGCCTCATCTAACCAGGCAGCTAAAACTGGTTTAAGAGCGATCATATTGTTATGACTCAAAGTCAAAGACTCAAATCTACAGATTGTACTCTGACTGAGAGAGCCGACACCAGGCAATTTCAAATTACCCAAAGCCTTTCCAACGTCAGCTTGAGTAACCCCTAATTTTATTCTCCTTTGTTTAAAACGCTCGGCAAAGGCTTCTAACTCTCTTGGATCGCAATCCAATTCCTGAATAGCAGAATGAGAAATTGAAGAATGGGGAGGAGCTCCGAAAGAAGCGTGTCCAACAGGATGAGGGGCTTGGGTACTATAGGCCTGGGAATACATCATTTGATGTTGCATATGATCGCTTAGATGAGGAGCTGGAAGAGAGTTAGCAACAGCCCCTAATTGATCGAGCATTGCTTGATCATGCATACCAGAATTTCCCATATAATGAGTTTGAAAATGGTGCATCTGATGCTGAGACCTTGAAACAGGTAGATCTCCGGAATTTCCTGTTGGGCCGTGACTTCCCATTCCAGAATAGAATGAATCCGGTTTCATTAACGGCGGCGGATGTTGCGCATTTGTTGAATGCTTCGGCATATCCGCAACTAAATCCGGTCTAGCCGTTAACAAAGCTGAATTTTCAAATCCTGATCCGAACAATTCGCTCTAAATGAATTTATTTTATTATTAGAAAATGAAACAATTTCTTTTATTCAAGTTAGAAAGTATAATTTTATAGACTGTATAAAAGTCTTAAAAGCGTTTATTTATACAGTAATGATAGAAAACTAATGAAAATTATTTACGTATTTGACAAAAGTCTTGTTAAATATCATATAGCGAACAATATATTAAATAATTAGAAAATAATGAAAAATAGAAATATCATTTGGGGTAAAAAATTTGACAAATTATTTAACAAGATACCATAAATTTATTCAGAATATATTCAACGTTATCTATAGAAACATTGCAATTATACTATTTATTATATATCTAATAAGCACAGAGCAAGAGAAAGATAAATGTTTTAAACGACTTCGTCATAAGTTTATTAAATTTGCATTAAACAAGTTATTCTTAATTAATTAAAATATTTACCAAATTAAAAACCTACTTTCTCTCTTATGTAACTTTTAAAAATATGTTTAAAAAAGAAACACTCACCATCATATTGACAGTAGACGCTTTAAGTGACGTCGAATGACAAAGTGACGCCCGCCTCGGCTGAAGGTGTTTCAAATATGTATGAGTATTTGAATAACTGTTTGGTATTCAGCAGGAGCGTTGTTATTCTCCTAAAATAATCGTTAAACCAGGTTAAAAAACTTTTCAATAAATAAAACTAAACCTATAATTAAAAGTTTAATGTAAAAAATGTCTGGAAAAAGAAATCGGTGATTTTAATGACACTATTTATAGAATTATGTTCCTGTATAGCAGATGCAACACCAACAAAAATAAATAACTTTTATTACCTTAAATAAAGTAAAATCCTATTCAAATTTCCAATAATAAAGTCTTTGTAAGAAAAAGTGTTAAACTATTATACATAACAAACAATAGAATATATACCAGATATATACAGTTATTATAGCGTGATATAAATTAATATCCTATATTTTTCTATATAGACAGTATTTTGTTCCAGTAAACAACAAAAACAGGTAAAAAGAAAATAGAAGCTTCTTAGCCGCAGTAGTAAAAATTCTCTATATTCTAAACTTTGAAGTTGTTACATCATAGATGAATTAATAAAAATTTCTATTTATATAATTTAAATAAATAGTATATATGTCTTTTGAATAGTTTATATATTTTAACTTCATTAATTTAATTTCACTAATTTGTTTAATCTCTATCCAGTATATACACAGTATATATATGCTGTATATATCTATATATGTATATATTAATTTAAAATCATTTTTTGATACAGATATATAGATATATAGTAAATTATAAATAGATGAATCTTTTTTTTTTGTTTGTTCTTACTGTTTGTTTATTAGTAATATTCCTTTTAGTTTTTTAGAATTAATATTTAAAAGTAGATTTTTATCATGAAGAAAAAGTACATAAAAGGTTTTGTTTTGTTTTAAGCAACTATTGATACGGATCTGTAAACAAGTTAACCTTTTCAATTGGATGATTGCAAGTTAATGACTTTTAGGCAAGTTGAAAAATGCAAAGGATTGATAGATCTCAATAGAAGGTTGACTTTTAATTATTCTACAGGTAAAATTTGAGGGAGATAGTCCAGCTTTTTAATAATTTTTAATGTGGTGTGGATGCACTTTTTTTGAAATAAAACACGCAACAGGTGCTCGAAGACAAAGGCTTAGCAATTGTCAGTCATCAAAGCGAAGTAAACGAACAATGGAACACTAGAATCGGAATAAAAGCCTGAGAATACGCAATGAGCTAGATTGAAGGAAGAACAAAGAAGTAGGCGGAGCGTTGACCGGATCGTTCGAGCATGTCGTTCTCAACCACATCAAATATGCACAAGGCGACCGCCATGTTCGCGTGAATGTCGAGGGAACGCTCCCCGAAACCGTCAACACCTGTATTGCGGTGAATTCTAATTCGTATAAAGTAGAGCCGGCTAATTAAAGCTAATTTGAATAGATTTCTAAATAAAAGTTTATTACTATTTAAAGAACATCGTCAAAAGAGGGTAGAATAGATAGCATTTGTCCAGACAATAGTAAATTCGTTTATTTCAATAAGTCTATGGTTTGCAATAAGTCACAGCCGACTGGCGATATGTTTATACCAAGACAAGAGCCCGTCACGAAACGGTAGCTCGATTATAAAAGCCCCCGAGTGAATTGGAATGGCATGAAAATTAAATGAGATGTCGTTGAGAGTTGGAGTTCTCTTCTATCGACTTTTACCAATATGGTAAACATCCAGGTATTTTATTACCTGACGCACTTCCCCCAGAGAATTTTCAAATAATCCATAGACAATAAACTATATCTTCCTCAATTTTTTTCGGTGCAGTGTCACTGACAATAAAATAATTAATTTCTTTCTTACTTGAATGAAATTTATGACGTTTTTGAATTGATTAAAATCTCTCCTTTGCATGACTTTTATCAATTTGTGAAATTTATCAATTACCCTCAAATAAATCCGTATCTTCTCCCTTTCGTTTTCATTGCCTATTTTAGTTTCAAGCCTCTATCTTAAAAATGTATAAAAATACATTATTTCTTTTGTTAAATTAATTAAAAGGGTAGTTAATTAACCATAGACGTCTAATTTTATTAGACTAAAAGGTTTATTACTATCAACTTTTTTTTCCCTCTATAAATACATGACTTGAAATTAACTTGTTACAAATTTTGCTTTCAAAATATCATGATTTTCTCAACCACCATTAAGTATACTTAAAAATTAATTGTTTAAGCTTTAAACATATTAGTTACATATCACTTGATTCCTCTCTAGCCTTTTCGTGAACGTAAATAAACCGTATTTTATGTTAAATATTTACTAAATTCATTCAATCCTAGTTTAACCGTATACTTTCACTTTCTATAAATCTTATATATAATAAACTGATATTCTTATATATTTATCTAATTTAAAAATAGATGATATCCTATTCGTAAATTTTATAAATTTATTTATAAAACACAAGAAATTCTTTTCGTCCTCGACTAGAATCTGTGTCCGCGTTATGAATTGTGTAAGTACGTTTCGCTCTTCACCGCAATAAGCGTTCTTAGAGAAACTAAAATTCCATTTGTGGATATATGTTCTATTGAAAAAAAAGATAATAGGAATATAACTCTCGATCGATCATTGAAATATTTATTGGGAGCTAGTTATAAAGATATATTTAGCGAAAAGGATTCCATTTCATTCGTTTTAAATACTAAAAAATAGCTAGCTTGTAAAAAAAGATTAAGGACCCTCGAAGCAATGAAAGTTATATTAAAATCGATAATATTTTATGGGAATTTTATCGAATTTTAACATGTAAGGGCTCTTAATTAAATTATTCACGAATCTTCCATATGACAACTACCAGATGGTAATCAGCAATGAGGTAGTTGGCACCTTTAACGCTGTAATAAAAGAATATTTGATTCCTTTATACTTTCTCTTTCCCGTTGAATGAAAAATCAAAATTCAAGATAATTTTAGAACGTCGATTAAACTTTTTCATTTTTTTTTCAATATTTTACAGGTGATTCTTTATGTTTTCTTGATAAAATTGATTTTCTCGTTGCATTCAACAAGCTCCCTTTGTCATGAACTTTATCAAAACTCTTTAATAAAGAGTCAATGATATAAATTGAATAGCTTTAAAGATCTTTGTAACCTTTTCAACAAGCTATAATTCATAATTATTGCGTATACAATTTGTATTGGCATCATGCGCCACCTGGTAGATATAGCTTCATTTCTGTATTCATATACTGTTTATATACATGACTATTTATAGTGTAGAGGGCGTCTCTATCGCGTTGATATAGAGCAAATAAACAACAGATGGAGTTTTAAACGTTTCTCTCCATTTTCTTTTCCTCTCAATTTAAATTACTTTCTATAAATCGTTCAAGAGTAATTCTGTCGAATAATTAATTAAAACTACAATTTCGTTAATCTGTTGCTTTTTCTATAGAAAGAGAAATCAATAATAAACTATAAAAGTATAAACAATTGATTCTTGTGAATCAACTAAAGATGGCCACTTGAAAACAAAATGAATTTATATAAAAGACAAACATAGGTGATAAAATAAAGCTTATAAATTATCGGATATTGCTATAACCATAGTTCCTTTTTCACCGTCTTTTCTAACTGCAAAAGGAAAGAACAAATGTCATCCTCCCATAATCGTTATCCTCTTTGATGTTGTCGCGCTAATCTGAGTCTTTGCTGTCATGCTGAGATGTTTCAATGATATTCCTTTATTGTACAAAATCGTTGAACGAAGGGAATAAGAGAAAGAATTCTTGTTAAAGTTCCCCTTTTGTAGTCCGTGATTGATTTAAATGCTAGAAACATTAAACGATTCAGTAGCGAAATATATTAGATGTCTTTCACCGTTCAACGTCACCATTGATGATAAATGAAAGATAAAATAATCAGGAGAAAAAAACGTTTTCAATACTGAAACATCTCTGCCATCGTTTCTTGCATTGTAGTTTCTATAAAGATTATATTACGGACAGCATTATTTAGTAGTAGCTTTTTACGACATAAAAGCTATGGAGGAGCGGCGTCTATATGAATAGAAAAATAGGAGGGCAATTTATATATGAAAGTTTAATGAAGGAGGAAGGCATTTACATAAATACAAGGTAATTCTTGTCTTACCCAAAAACGAGGCACGATTACCTGACATTACACGCTGACAAGGCATTATATTATTCATGTAAAACTGTCGTTCAACAAGACATGTTGTATTCTGTATTTTTTTTACAAGAAAACAAACAAGTTAAAAACGTTCATTTGCAGAATGTCTCGTTTCATTTGAAATGTTTGTCAAGGTATTGTATTCAATACGACGCCCAGTTTACCTGGCAGTTGGCAAACAGAATCGTTCTTTTCGCAGACATTTTACGGTCGCGTTTTCCCATATGGCACCTTTTTTCTTTTGATATCATAAAAAGCGCTCCAGGTGGAGATTAAATTCAATTCACGACTACATTTCTTTTTTATATGATATTGCGTAATTGTTGGTAAAGTAAAAATAGCTTTATTATACTTGATAGATATTTAAACGAAGGTGACTTTTGATAGATTTCCTTCTTTCCGGTAAACATTGCTGTTATTTTTTTAAAACTTGTAGACTTTTATTCTTAAGAATAAATATTTTATAGAGAAATGATTATATATAATTATATAGTAACGGAAAACAGATTACATTGATTTATACGGTGCAAAAATCGAAGCTTTAATAAGAGTCGGGTAAAGATTTTCGATAAGCTCCGCCCTACGCATGCGCCGTTGCATAGTTACCTGCTTGCTTCGAAATTGCTATAAGAGAGAATTAAGGGATTTGCCCAGGAGAGACGATTGGGGTTTAACCCCGCCGTCTCGGCAGAAGTTTTCAAAATTTTCTTCCAAAGATACTTCCCTTGGAGAATATTGTCCTCAAATAAACTTGAAGAAGAGAAGAAGAGATATATCTACAAAGATTTTAAATTAATAAATTCCTATTTATAACTGACTATTTCTACATGTATATATAACTATACATGTATACGTATAGATATTTATAAAATAGCTAGTCCTTATCGAATCCGTCCATTAAAAAGTCACAAGAATGTTTGATGTATGAGAAAACAACTGATGAAAAAAAATATTTATAGAAACAATTAAAAAAAACTGGTAAGTGGAAATTTTCTTTATTAATATTATTATTTTGATACGATTGTCAAACACTTAAAAATAACTTGAATTAAGGAAAATTATGGCTTCCTTTAGAACTTCCTTCGCCTTACATTATCCCTTTTACCGCAAGTTAAATAGGATAATTAGCTGGATGCACGCGTTCTATACTTGATATTTGTGTAAATAATGTACAAATATAGTTTACTTAATCGCTTTACAGCGTAATCAGATAGAGTGTTTCAATACTTTTCCAAACATGTAAGTGTGTCCATATACATATTCATGTATATATTTAAAATAAAATATGAATAATTAATAGTCCTTCAGAAAGAGGCTGGACACAATTAAGCTTTTAAAAGACTGTATAAATTTATATATATAACTTGAATAGAATTTTTAAATAGGTTAAAAAAAGAATAAGACTTTTTCATGAAGACCGTAAATAAAAGAAGAAGCGGCGTTACTTTTTTTTGTATTGTATGAACACGCAAAAGTTATTATGTGTAATTTTTTGAAACGATGATTTTTCTATGCGTGTCGAATCTGGCAGTTATAAATACTTAATTTCATATAATTATAAAAATTTAAGAGAAAAGGTTTTAGAGGGAAATAAAACAGTTTAAAGCTATAACTACTTAATTGGTAAGTTCACACAACAATATACATTTATAGAAGGGGAGGATAGAAAGAAAGAGAGCATCACTCTTTTTTTTATCCTAGTCAATTGAACAATGTCAAGTTCCGCTTCAGTTCATACGGCGTTTTAATTTCCGTTTTACCTGGCTCAGAAAGTGTCAAGCTCGAGTAGTTTGAATGATAAATGAGAATGAATTGAGAAATTTTTATTGATTTACACCGTTGCCGGGATTCATTATTCAAATTAGTTTTTCACGTGAGTTGGATGCTGAAATATTTACATTTTTTTCCGTTGAACATCAAAATTATTTTATTACTCTAATTTCCTTGTTGAATGAAAAAGTACTTGTAAAATTTCTGACTTTACATTTAATTATACCTATAAATGTTTCGCATCACTACACTGTAATTCTCTTTTCATACAAGATACCCTAATATAACCTTATTAATGTCAATATTATTTATGCAAGAGGCGAAATTCATGAATGAAAGAATATTCATATAAATATAGTCAATAGCATGTTTGTTAAGTCTAGTTATGGCAGGTCGTGTAAACATCTTATCAGATATCAGCCTAATTAAATACACCTGGAAGGTTGACAAACAAACTTGTTTGTAATATCATTCATTATCAGTTAGCAAACAGTTTGTTTGCCGCGTTTCCATGGAAATTGTTAGGAACTGTTGGACAAACCGTTGCCGCAATGTTTATGACCACATCTCGCATATTAATACATAAAAAGAGTATTTATTTCCATATTTTTATCAATAACCTGGTACGCATCTGACCATTCAGTGTTCATTCTTACCACTTAACACGCACGGTTGAATAACTAAGAAAGGTGATCTAGCAGTAATTCGGCATGTGTGTTCAAAAATTCATGTAAGTAGCAGATGTTTCTGTGTTCTTTGCATCCAAGTTATCTTTTTCTTCTGAATAACGATTACAGCTTAGTTGAAAAATCTAATACATTCCTATTAATAAAAATTCTGTTCACACCCACAGCTTTATTCCCAGAAACATTAATCGATCGACAGTAAAGCTAATATTTATATAGAAATACTGTACACAACCAAAGGGTAGGGATATAGATAACGGGGATTTAGACAACTCTGATAAGATTATTGGACAAATGTATTATGACGTAATTGGTGATTAAATGATTAAAAAGCTGATCGTGAACAAGACAAATAACATTAGGGGAAATCTTTTGTGATATAAACGGAAGGAAGCGAAGGAAAGAGTATGTTTCAAAGAATGCGTGCATATTGCATATAAAATATGTATGTATAGTAAATTCGATACATTCTTTCTTCGCAAATGCATTACGATTTGGAAATATTTCTAAAGGAAGCTCTAGAAATTGATTAGCTAGAATCTAAATACATTATCGCAATCTAAAACTGTCCAATTAGTTGGATTTTATTACTAAACTTTAGAGCGAAAGTAAACGATATTCCATTGGAAGTCAATATAATATATTCATTCACTCCTCCCCTTTCATTCATTAAGCACTCAATGGTAAGGATGGTGTTACAATGATTTCCTTTCTACCATGACGTCATACTTTTCTGACGTCACAATGCAAAGGTATTAACGTAAACTGCTTGATTGTGCTTGAAACGCTAGAACGAGAGAGGAGAATGCTTGATGAACAATAAACAGCTTAGTTGTTTGCTGTGTTTGCCAGGTGCGTTCATCCAAGCGTCCCTTATATTTATACTATATTGTATATCATTCGGAAGTTTTAAGCCTCTTTTTTTGCAGTAGAGATTTAATCCAATATAATCTTAATTGTCTTACTAATAAACTATATTATTTTTTCTTGATTACAGACAAAAACTATGAAGATAAAAAAAAAAGAAAAAAATGTAAACTTTAGTTCAGCGAAATACTGAAAGAATACTATTTTTTATTTATATATACAGTGTATACCTAATATATACAAGCGAGATCTGTGATAACTTATGTATCTATATGTATTTATATATACAGTACAATATATTGTCTAATATATTCAGAGAATATTAATGTACGAATATTATGAATGTTGGGGTAGAATATGAAAAAAAAAGTAAACAAAATGGTATGAATGTAACTTACATATTTTATTACGAAAACAATTATTATGCTATTCTTGTATACATACGAGTGTCAAGTTATATTTATTACCTCGTTTTTTTTTCAAGTTTAATCTCTTCTAGTTTATTTAACTATCTTATTATTTAAAAGAACAAATTCTATATGTTGTATTGTGTGAATTAAACAATGAAAAGATCACATTATATTCACTCAAACTGTCAATTTATTTTTTGTTTCCATGTTTAAATTGATGCTTGTCAATTGAAATTTGAAGAGCAAAAAACGAATGAAATGGTTTCTCACAAAGAAGAGGATGATTGAACAAGAGTTGTAATAATATAATAATAATATTAAAATATGTATGAAGAGTGCAAGATGTTAATGAACTTTTTATCTCTATCTTTTTTTTAAAGAAAAAAAAGCTTATATCCAAGCGAATTGTGATAGTATTGTATTTATTATGCATGCTTTGGAACACACTTTGTTCAATATTCTGTGTTTGTATAAAGAAAATAAATTAATTTCTGAAAAATAAGTGACGAAAACCTATTACGCCTCTTTAACGTAAAATGACGTAATACAATTCTAAAATGTTACTTAATAGGTAGAATTCGACAAAGTAGTGTGTACACTAAACGTTCCTTTAATGTACACACTTCATAATAAAATTTTTTTCTGGGGGGCGTCACGTCGGTCGTCCAGTCTGATATTGACGTTGTATTGTTGTATGAACAATACGGTTGCAATGCTGTTGTGAAGACATGCTTGTTCAAGCCGGAGGATATTTGACGTCTTAGTTTGACATTTTTCATATACCGTATAAGAGTAATTTTATTGTTTATCCTCAATTACCTTTTTGCATAGGGTACACTTCTATATATGTATATATTAGTATATATAATGTTTTAGCTAAATGAAATTACTATTCTTAAACGCCTCTCTTAGTAATTCAATCTGGGAATTTTCTAACGGAAGAATTGGGGTGCGTGTTGGGCCGCCATATAGACCGAACATATCCATACCACTCTTCAGACCAGCTATGCCAAATCTCTTCGTAATAGCTTGATTAGGGGCGACAAGCCTTTGTTGAAGAAGTTTAGCTTCTTCGAATTTACCTTCTTTAAAAAGTTTTTCAAGATCGCAACAAGCTTGACCTAGAATATTTGCTAATGCGCAAACACCACCTACGCAACCTGAGGAACAATGAAAATATTCAATTGATTTAGTAATTTTAAACATTTTTTTGATAATTAATTTAGTATTACCAACAACGTATGAGGGCAGGAGAAAACTAGCTGAACCGGCCAATAATTGAAAGTTATTCTTAGATGTTCTAAAAGCTAACCCAGCAAGTTTAGTAATCTATTTTGATCGATAATAGATAAATTAGATTTATTCGTTTGAAATTTTGCTTCACCTTACATCTCCTCCACTATCTTTTAGACCTATAATGTTTTGATGACTGCTGAGTTCAACTATCACATTTTCCGGCAATTCTAAACCTAAATAGAATATTGATAAAATAAAAATATAGATAATATACTATCTATGAATTTATGACAGAGCTATATAATAATTATTTTTTGAGATTTTTCCTGCATACCTGTGTTTGCGGGGACGCTGTATAATATAACTGGAATATCGCAATTATCTGCAACAGTCCTATAGTGTTGAATTAAAGCTTTATCAGTCATGGATCCTTTATAGAAACAAGGATTTCTGACTAAGACAGCATCAGCACCAACTTCAGACATTCGCTGACATGACTCTACTGTCTCCTTAGTAGATTCACACCCTGAACCAGCTATAACTAATTTCTCAGACGGAACATTTTCTCTTACGTGTTTAACGATATTTACTTTTTCATCCAATTTAAGATAGGCCGTTTCGGCATTTGAACCTTGGACAACATAGCCCCTGAAAGGAATCGCCTCCCATACTTTAAGATTTTCATTTAATTTTCCATAGTCAATATTCTCTGAAGGATCAAATGGCGTTGCAATAGGTGGATAAATACCTCCTATATTAAGATTAGCTGTTTTCGACGCTGTTACGCTGAAGCGTCTCAAAAAAATTGAAAGTTTCGAACTCAACATAGATAATCGTCGTTCAACAGCAGACATATGTTCGGCAACGCCATCTGTTGTGTATAAATTTTCAAACGCTATTGGACATATTATGAATATTCAGACTTATTCAGAAGTTAAAGTATTTTTAATTTAATTAAGACAATAGTACCAAATGAATGGATTATTTTGTATAAAGCAATTTTTTTAAAACATTTGTTTTTGTTTACATAAAATTTGACCTTTGGCACAAATTTTATGTATCGTTTTATGGATTATATCTTTTTCAAGGTAAAATGTAACAGAAACCAGCCTAGTAGAGGAAACGACCATTTTTTCCAAGTGCGTTTTGAAAATTAATTTAATTTTACTGGATGTTCGTTCTATGTGACAAATTACTATATTTTTCAAATTATATTAATTTTTACTAATGTAAAGTTAACTATTATCCAGGTAATATAAAATGAGAATATTTAATATTGTCAGATATCATACATTAATGACTCACTAAATTCAAATCTATAGTCCGCTCTCTTTATGGTCTATACAACAGATAATATGCAGTATTAAGCTTTCAAATTTTATACAGAAAACTTATATCAAAATACAGTTATTAGTTTACAACAAAAGAATAGGACTACGTGTATTTGCATATGTTTTAGACTCTTACGTGTGTTAAAAATATTAATTATACGTCGTTCGAAGTTATCTTCGTATTTCTTTTTTCGTATTTCTCACCTTTCAATTATTCTCCATTTAACACTAAATAAGCGTAATCTATGATAGATCTATTATTAGTGAAAATGGACGTACAAAGTCAACTACGTATGAAAAGGAACAAAAAATATTCTAAGTTTGATGCCGCCTCGAGATGCTCCGAAAAGTAAGTTGAAAAATATTTCGTTAGCAATAGGAATCAAGATTTCATCCATATTCAGCGACTACAAATATTTTGATAAATCAACAAGAACATGCGTATATTGCTTAAGATGTCCTGTTGGTTTCAACGATAAGGTTTGTCCTGGGACAAGCTATAATTGCTTTGAACTTCGAAGAAGTAAAGGAGGATTTACGCCAAGTAAGAAGTCTGTACAATTTATGTAAGCAAATATTTAAATTCATTTTCTTAGATTGCACTCTCTTGTATGGTATGGATTGCAATGGTGTTGCTTTTATTGGAAGCAAATGCAATCAAACGTGTCGAAACGGAACTGTAAATGAGTATACCTGCAAGGATAGTGATGTAAGGAATGGTAAACCTGTATGGATTCCCTCAGGAAATGTAGTACCATGTAACTCTTCAGAAGGTATTTCTTCATATCATCATATAATTTGCATTTGCATAATTATTTATTTATTTTATTTTAATCAGTAGTGTCAGAGGAAGTAATCAGCAACGGTGGTGCAACCAACTTAATAGGATACAGTTTTTTACTTATAGCCTTTTTAGGGTTGTTAATTCTGTTCACCATCTGGATCGTTAAAAAGATATATAGAAGAAATAAAGAACATGATCCAGGTGAAATACAGCTACAACCTATGATGGAAAGACCGGAAGCTCAGGAACAACTGGAAGCTCAGGAACGTCCGGAGTCTCAGGAACATCAGGGAGCCCATAAAATGAGTGTCATAGTTAATACTGCATCAATGCAACGTCATAATAATCAGAATGATACATTTTCAGAAAATGATGAGAATTTAGAAAGGCAAAATATAGAATTTGATTATTATAATTGAAATTTATAAATTTACTTTTTTAATTTTCTTTATAGAAATGTTTCATCTTCCCCTTCGCCTTCACCTACGCCTTTTTTGTCTTCGCGTACATCGTCATTAATTTCTTTCAATATACACAACAGTAAGGAGATAGTAAACTAACTAACAGACTAAAAGTCTAATTGTTGAAATATATTTGTGATTATCTTGTTTTGTTTTATATTTTTACTTTTAAATATAAATTTGCTATAAAAAATGAAAAGAACTCTATAAATGGACTAATATTTCGTATCAATATACGCTGTAATTGACAAAAGTGAAAAAAATTGCGTCAAGCCTTAAACAGTCCGCGGTATGTAGGCTTAAAATTTCTGAATGTTTTTCTAAGTAATCGTGTGTGTGTCAGAGAGTAATGTACAAAATTTTCTTGGTTATCGTCTTTATTGAGACATTTGGAATAGTGATACGGGGGTATGATCTTATATTTTAATTTCTAAAATATATGAACTTTGTTCAAGTAGGCTATGTTCAATATTATATTCTATTTTATTCAGTCATGTATTATCGCTCATTATGAACAGTCGGCAACAATATACACCTGTGTATTCTGTTATATAGAGCAAAATATTACGATGTTATGCATGGAGCCTACAAAAACTGTTATCCTTGTGATGAATGGAAATATAGAGATGACAAATGCACAGGACCTTTATACGCCTGCACAGAAGAATATGGTAAAACGATGCTTTGTATGTATCATATTTTAAACCGGATTTCTATGAATTACTTGTCTATTGTGTGGATGAGGCTCTTTTTATAGATAAACAATTTAGTTAAATATCATAATGTGTATTTTAACGTTAAAGCCAGCTAAAGAGAAAACCCCCTTATACAAGAATATATACTTTTCAGTTTGCGATGAAGTTCTAATGGAGAATAGTAAAAAAGAATTAGCTTTTCAAAGGCTAAAGATGTTTGAAACTGCGACTATACTGTGCTCAAATGGAAAACGCTTACAGGCAAACTGCGTTCCACAATCTGAGCACGATCTAATTCAACATTACAACTTGACGAAGGACTGCAAAACTATATCTCGAAGAATTTCGGATGAGCAAACTAAGAAAAATGAATACAATGGCACTATTTGTTCCGTAGATTGCAAAGTGGACGATAATTTCATTGATAATCAGCTTTGGTTTTACGTCATTGCCGTTGGATTTTTTGGAGGGATAATTTTAAGCACTGTCGTTGTCATTGCTTATTGGATGTGCCAGAAATTTAAATATAACACTGGTGGTAAGTTATAGATATTTTTATACTGAAAATTGACAATGGAAACTTGGTTTTACCAGAAGGGTCAGTTTTACGCGCTTCAATAAATGGTACAAACGATACATATCAAAATGGAGATGCAAATTATGAAATTTCCAGCCAGTCCTTACTAGCCTCTGAGAGAGTGGACTCTAGCAACTTTCGAAGACAAATGTCATCAGATAGTGAATCTCGAGAAAATAGGCAGAATTCCGTGCAAACCACTTGTACTGGTCCAGGTCATTCAGCTTGCGATAACCCATCTGACATCTGGCATGCCTTCCCTGTAAATAGATCAAGAGAAGATTAGCCTGGTACCAATTTCAAATCATCAGTGCCAGTTACACTTGAAGGGATAAATTTATTTTAGTTCAAATTTGTTATGTTGAAGGCTAGTGTTTCTGAATTTTTACTTATGCAGCATATATATTAGTACGGGCCGTTGAGTCATTGTGTTATACTTGAAAAAAGATATATTTTTTTTGTTTTTTCTCTTTCTGACTTAAAGAAACAAAACAAAGGATATTATTATATTTAATAATATTCTTCTCATCATTCTCGTTTTGCTTTAAATCTCGTAAGCGTGGTACTAGGAAGATGTTTTTGATAGAAAATGAGATGAATATAACTTGTCTATCTGCAAACAGCAATTATGAGTTAAGTGGATGTGACAACCAGCAAACCTGGGCTTAAATCAAGCCACGAAACAAAAAGAAAGAGTTTTGTTAAAGGATGCAGCGAAAGGACCGGAAAGAGATCTGTTCGAATAAAAAATGGGGCAATATCCATCTGGGTATGCATCACGAAGAGAAGTTAAACTCTATGATGACTATATGGATAGCAGTAGATATCAGGAGATGTTAAAAGAAAAACTTTCTGTCATACAAGAAAGTATGCCAAAGCATGAAATTGTCAGTAAAGATGATTTATGGAGAGCAGTGGAGGAGGAATTTTACGAAATACCTCATTGATTCAAGACTTGAGCTGTGCATAACAGACAGTTGAAGATAGATAAGTTATGTTCATCTTATTTTCTATCAAAACATTTTACTAGTGTCTCATAAAAAATAAGAGTTAGTATTCACCTATTCTAGGTGATTCGGTACTATATATATATAGATATAAATTTATAAGTATTACTATATATACCCTTTTAATACAATTATACAAATATTTAAGTACTGAAGAACTATTTCTGCTTAATTTATAATAGCCATAGTTTAAATTAATATTTTAACAATATGTCAGTCAAGTAACATAATGCAAAGCTTTTTATTTATGACCGATTACTATGATAGTGCAGATTTTGGCACTCCCACAAGTGCATTGACCGAAACAAAAGGTAAGAACAAGAAGTACTTCATTTTGGTCTTTATATTTATGTTAAGTATTATATAAAAAATTATAAAGGTATTAGAGTTGAGCAGTCGCATGTAAATCTCAAGAGATTAACGTTAAAAGTTCCTTTTTCTATCGTTCTTTTTTTTTCTTACAATAATATGGTAAAAATATTTTTATTTATTTAATTTTAATATAATTGACACTAATATATTCTTTATATAAATGTTGATGCATGTGTTTTTTAATACTTTTTCTCCTATTTAGTTGCGAATTGACAAAATGTCCAGCAAAGTTTTTGGACATCATAATATTCAAACACTTAAAGAAGCTTTGGATAAATTTTTTGAAATATTACTATGCTCAATAGTCCCTCCAGAAAAACATGATATCATGTCTTCCAAGGAACTTTTAGAAAGGCTTAGCGCTTTAGTTTGTATTTACTATATGGAGGCGTATTGTATGATCATGACTAATATACAATCCTTTCAGGATGAGAAAGAGTGGGGTAGTGTCAGAGATATTTTTCTTCTGGATTCTTTCCACGGATACTCAGATGGAAACTTTAAACCGGAAGAACTTATTGACCCAAGTAAATTACTTTTAGATTTAGTATCAGCATTAAATCATATGAATTCGGAAATGTGTTTAATTTTAAAGGTATCCTATTAACATTGTATAATTATTTATTAAATTTACTCTGTAACTCTGTACTCTAAGGAAAATGAGAAAAGAGAAAATGACTTGAAAAACAAAATAAAAGGTCTTCACGAAAGACTTTATACATTAGAGTCGGAATTGTTAAACGCAAAGAGGTCGGGCTCACAATTAAATACTGATCGAGTTGCTTACTTAGAAGCGAATTTAGAAGAAAGGACCAAAACAATAGAAAGGTATAGTATAAAGTATTTATTATTTAAAAGGATATTGATTTAGAATTATAACTCAAAGACTTCAAAGAGAGTCAAATGTTTCTTTATGGGGTAAGGAAAAGGAAAGATTATTGGCTGACACAAAGAAAAAGCAAGAAGATATGGAAAATACAATTAAAGAAAAGTCGTCTAGAATCGAGGCACTTACTAAGAAAATTCAGGTAATAAATAAGTTTTGACCAAATATTTATAACTTGTTTTTGTTGACTAATAGAATTTAGAAAATAATCAGAAAATGCAGTTGCTAAAGCAAGAATTACAAATAAAATCAACAGACGAATCTGGTAAAAAATTAGATGAAATGGAAAAAAATGTATTTATGGTTAGAAAAGACATTAACGTACTACAAGCTGACATTTTTAATTTAAATAAATATATCATCGGTATTTGTGCCGGGCTTCGGAGTGATATTAGTCACACTGTTGATCTTGTCGAAAAGTGGGATAAGGAAGAAGTTACTAAACATATTTATAATTTAATGTCCAGAGTCGAAAAAATAAGACTTGCTGCTAAACAAGGTAAATTAGGAGCCTTAAGAGCGGATTTACCGGATACTTATATTGCTATTGACAGGGTATGCCTTACTTAAAAGTTTATTGATAAGAATCCATTCATAAACACTAAATATATTTCTTTTGAACAAAAAAATATGTCTAAAAATAGGACGTTGATGTTGTTCCTGGTAGAAAATTATCCGTGATTGGAAGACCCATCGATATACAATCATTACGACGGCCAAAAACGCCCGACGATGCCAGAAAAAAATTATTAATTACAGAGACTGACGAAAAATCTAAAAATGAAGCTGATCCAGCCAAACCGAGTATGTAAAATTATTTTATTGTCTATCTCTTATTAATATTTAATTTATATTGCCTTTTAATTAGTCATTGATCATCCATCTGTTCTAAGAGACGACGGTTCCGTAGATTATACAAAATGCATGAAACTATTTCCATTTATAAAGCAGGCGGATGTAAGAATTTAATCAATAATTTCTTTATTTTGTATCAAGCATTTGCTAAATACTCTATTAGATAGATGAACATTTTCAAAATTTTCGACAATATGATATAAACGGAGACGGAAGCTTAGATTTGAGCGAGGTAAAAATAGAACATTCTCATTCAATCTGTTGATATGACTAATAATAGAATAATCTTATTTATTATGGTAGTTGACTACAGCAATGAAAACAACTGTTTCCAAAGACTTTACTGCTAGAGATTTAGCCGATGTCATGTTTGAAGTTGATGTTGATAACTCTCAAACTATCGACTTTTATGAATATTTATTAATTGTAAATATGATAATTAATAGACAAGGAAAATCAGCTATATTTAGAAGTGAAAAATTACGGAGAGAGGATAAGCATGTATCCAAGCTATGCGTCATTCAATAAAGATATAAACAAAGCCTTAAACTATTTTTGGAATGAGGACCCCAGATGTCTAATATTTTTCAATACAGTGTTCAACAATTAACCCCTCTAACCAGAGTATAGATTTGATGTTAATTTTATCAATAAAAACAATAGCTGTATTGTAATATAAAAGTTATTCACATATAAAGTATAAGGCTAGCAAGATATGAAAAAGATATATATTTATAATTTAATATAAGTTCTTACGACAAAAAGCATTCTTTTTTATGTCGTAGGCGAATGAATAGCTTACCATAAACATTTAAACTTGTTTAATTTCTGTGTTATTTATCAACTATTATATTTATTATACCAGGTGTATATAAAAGTATAGCAAACGTTCTCCTCGTACAAATTATCATTTATTCAAACTCTATCTTTTCAAAAATATTAAATAAAAAATAAAATGAGAAGTCTGACTGAAAGCTTACGGAAATAGAGTAAAAAAGAAAACATAGCGATACGATATAGTAAAACGTTCTGAAAGAGTACGAGAGAAAAAGAGTATGGACAAAGAAAAGAGAGAGAGAAATAGAAAAAAAACCGAGACATTTTGACAGAGAGTGGCTATTGATTACTAAAAATCTCTTAATTACCCTAGTTTTTCTTGTCTCCTACGTATGTCAATATTTGATTTTCTCTAAATATTATTTAAGTAGTAAATGCATCAGCCTACCACCTACTTTAAGAAAGCAAAATAGGTTTTTAATACATGCGATAGACGATATCATTTTACGATTTTTTTTGACTTAGACTAATGATTAATGAAAAAGAGAAAATTCTTATTAAAAAAAAAAACACCTATAGGAGGAAGAAGAAGAAAATAGTCGTATTTAATATCTTGAAAGGGAAAAAAAAAGTCTATGGCATTGATTATTAGAAGATATAAATATATATTTATTTATTTTTCTCTTTTCTTTCTTTTCTTTCTTTTCTTTCATTTATTTTTATAGATATTTAAATTTCTTGTATAGCGAAATTATTTGTCATGTTGTTAATAAAACCAATTATTTTTTTTTTATATCATTCATTAGCATTCAGTGGAATCGGCCATTGCGTATTCCTCAGAATAGTTCTTTTGTAAACAACAAAAACACTTTGGTATCTTGATCTTGTCATCCGAAAATGATATTAGAAATGGAACTTTTGCGCTACTTCCGACGGTTGGAGCATACATAGCTGTATCGTCTAACGACTGTTTACTAGTTATAGTTATAGGCACCTTTGTTAAGATATCACCCGAGGATGTACAAGCTGTTAGTAACAGTTTGTAGCTAATTTCTAGCTGATTACTTGAAATTGTAGAAGAAAGATTGATGATAGGTATCGAAAATTCTGTAGAACAATTATTGGCTTTTTCTGGCTTCATTTCAGCTATTGAAATTATTCTTTCGTCAGAACAGAGAACGGTTGAGATCCTTTGTACTAACTTTGCAGTTATTTTTTTTATACTACTGTGAGTGTTGAGACTAATTCGAGTATTTAAAGTATCGCCAATGCAGTAATAGGTTCTAGATAATTGCAACTCAACGGTATGAACGTCACCACGATGAACTAAACTTTTGACTTCGTTCAGCTGTTTATAGCCGTAGGCTGGAACCGGAACAGCTTTTGGTAATATCCTAAACGGTAATTCGCATTTACTGTGGTATCCATTTATAAAGCAGGAGACCTCCACTTTGTATAGAATGGACAACCAACCTTTATCCATATAGACAGGCTTTAAAGTCGGTGGAACTTTACCCAAATGATCATAATTGAATGGCAATCGATAACGTCCATGTGTTAATTTGCAGGCAGACAGAATCGGGAAAGTATGACTTATTATCGGCCGGTCATAAATCTTCTTCGAACCCTTCCATTTCATAATGCCAAAAATTCGAACGTTGACCCTACTTACTTCGCAAGTGTTCCTACCGATTTCCAGCAAAATAGAACCACTTAGCTTCGTTTCTATATCCGTATTCTGTAGGCTAATTCGTAACATTTCGTTTTATAGCCAGAGAGATTCACCGACGAGTGCCACCATTCAAATCACTTGGAGCATATTGTCATAAAAATATTAACAATTCGATGTTATCTGAACATTCATTCAATAAATAAAATATAAAATTGCAGAAGAAAATAGAAAACATGAAAAAGACAGGGAGACAGAGAGAGAGAGAGAGAAAAAAAAGAAAGAATCTCCCTCCCTAATTCGGGTGCTGTGTTCAATATTGAATAGGGTCGTAGTGTTCTGCCGACTAATAGCGAATACGAATTCAAAGGCATTCATGCTTGATTACGTATCGTATTTCTCTACAATTAAGCCTATATATATATAGAACTATTTTTTAGCTCATACTGTTATAATTATTATTAAACGATTTTCGATTAGAAAGCACCATTGTATTTATTAATTTTCCTTTTAATACAAAAAAAAACAAAGCGTATTTTTCAAAAATTTATAGAGCTTTTTGTTTCTTTATTTATACATTAAAAACATTAATAAATTAAGAAAATTTTCCTAAATTTTTAACTTATCATTTAATGCTTTTCAGAAAAAATTCTTCTCAATAATATAAATTATTTGACTGGCTAATTGAGTTGCTTCATCCGCTTTTTGCTTTGTAAAAGATGTTTGCCCACTTAGAGCGGGATCTGGATTGTATAAAATTGAAGCATTGCCAACTAAAGTTTGTAGTTTATTGCTAATTCTCTGAAGTTCAATATTCGATCGAAATGTAGCTGCCAATGTTGTTAAATCGTGATTAAAACTGCAAACGGAATCCTGACTATATTGTGCTGCTTTTAATGCCTTTTCCCCAGCCTGGTGGGCTTTTAAGCAAGCCCAGGCAAATGATGGCTGAGTTACGTTTGTGTCATTTTTAACAGATTCGATATCGCTTTTGGCAAGTTTTAAAAAGTCTTTGGCAATTTCTATATGTGTATTCTGTTCTTTTTCTTTCTCTTGTTCCTGTTCCCTTTTTCTATTCTCTCGTTTCTTTTCACTTTTCTTTTTCATTTCTTCGTAAAAGTGCTGATACGCGCTATAAAAATTCTTTTGAAAGTCAGTACTTTTTGCGAACGGATTTCTAGGATTCAAGTTGTATTCTTCGTGAAAATTCGGATGAAACGTTTGGGGTCTAGGTAAACCGGCCTCTAGTCTCTCTACCTCAGCGTGAATATGCTGAGTAACTACTGTAGCTATTTGTTCGTTATCGACATTTTTATCTGGATGCCACTTTAATAATAATTGTTTAATAGCCCTCTTCTTTTTTCCATTTTCTAACTTCCACGAGTCTTCCATCTGATCTGAAATAGAATTTAGTAATTGCTCCAGTTCTGCTTCCTCTTCACTCTTTTCTTTTTCTTCAGATGATGGTTCTGAAGAATCTGAACTTTCTTCCGACTTCTCTTCCGGTGTATCTTCCGTTCTTTCGTCCTGCTTATCAGTAGCACTACAAGTTACCCGAACTTTCGGGATATCTGTCTCATCCATAGCAGGTTCATTTTCGCGTTTCTTCGAAAAGGTTTCTTCTATATTTGTTCTAGGTTTATTTGAAAACTGACTGAAACGAGACGGTCTTTCCTTTTTTTCCCGGGATTCATTATAATGATAGGAATGTGGTCTTGGTTTCTTTTCTTTAGCCTCTTCAGTCGTTTTAGGTGGTGAACTTTCTCTTCTCATATAACTACTTTCTGGTGGCTGTTGAGGAGCACTTTCATGCCAACTAGAAGTTTTTTCAGGGCTGAATTTTCTACCTAAATTAGGACTAGCTTCTTGTTCTGTATTCAAGTTATTTATAAAATCTTTCCAATAGTTACTGCCCCTAGGAGGGCTTTGACCAGGGGAAACTCCCTCTGTAGTCTGCCACCGCCTCTCCATTTTACGTCTCGTTGCTCCCGCTCTCCTAGTTTTAGCTGTGCCAAAGGGATCACTATCATCTTTGCTCCCTGAACTGAACTTTGGAGTGGGCTTTTTTGTTTCGGGAATTTCAGTTTTTACAGGCATTGGATGAGGGGGAGACTCGGTCGTAGACGTAAATACTGGCGTGGGAGATGGTTGTCTTTTTACCCTAGGCTCTGATCTTTCCCTTGGCTCTTTAGGAATAGACTCAGGGTATGGTTTCCTTTCTGTAGTTGGAGGAGGCATTGATGTTGGCCTGTTAGATTTTACTCTATCGAATTGATATATATCCGATTGACTCAAATCAACCTTCCGATTACCAATATCGACAATATAAAACGACAGCATTAACCCATCGTCATCTTCAACGTCTTGTCTTTCCAAGATGACTCCGTAAACGGCAGCACCATCTATAACTACTCCGACCCATTCTCCTTCGTTATATTTGTTCATTGTCTGACCCAATCGCAACTGATCCTGTTTCGAAACTGGTAAGCCAACTGATGGCAATGAAGTACTTTTGTATGGACGAACTTGTAGTTTATCAAGTATAGCTGAAATTTGAGATGGAGAGCAAGTCAAAATAGGTGGTAATAAATGAATAAGAGATCGAAGAGTTTTATTCTTGATGAATTTACATAAGGTTTCAGCTATATTAACCAACATTTCTTCTGATATCGACGCTGTTTGAGATATAAATAATACGTTTTCCTTATAAAAGCAATTGAGTTCCGTTTCGCTTTGAGGTAATTTTTCTCCTCTGTGTACTAAATGAGTGACAATCTTTTCTACACTTTGAACATTTAACATTTTCAGCTTATTTTTAATAAACTCATGATTGGCAAAATGCTGACGGTGATTAATTATCCTAATGATGCCGTATGCAAATTCATTGCTAAAGAGACGCTCTTTCATGACTTTAGCAATTTTTGATTGTGTAGCTATAAGACTGGTTGTCAATTCCTCTTGAACAATTTCCGTCAAATTAACAGGTCTTAGATGTTTTGGCAGGTAGGATATTAAATCTTCGTGATTACCACATTCCAAGCCACATTCATTTAAATCCATAAGTGTCTCTTTATCCAAGTACAGGATACGTTCGTTTAAACGCATTTCATCAATAAAAACTAGTTGGTTAGATTTGTATAATTTACCTTGACTGGATGGTAAGTATAAAACATCCCTTACTAGGGATGTACATGAGATTAGAGAGAATAAACCTTTGACTGATTTTAGGGAGATTTGAAGCTCATTTGGATCCATGTTATCCCCTCCCGTTGTTTGGTACAATGAATTAAGAATATTAGCAAAATGATCTATTCCTAGCGAATGTTTCATACCAATAAGAAACAATCCTTCTTTATATTCTCTTAGTTCATTCGGTAATTGATATAAATAAGGTTCCATTCTATCCCCAAACTTAAATAGTGTAACTTTAATAGGTTCGATGAATTGATTTCCAATAACTATGCATTTAGATTCACTTAATGATAAAAGCATTTGGGATTCTTCTTCACTTATCCGACTACCGGAACACTCTTTTAAATAGCTATAAAAGGCCAACATACATTCTTTTTTTGTTTCATAAAAGTTATTCTCGTTGCATACTCTTTTCATATGTTGTACAACTCTCTCCACTTCCGGTCGTCTTTTAAAGTTCATTATTTCAAAGACTTCTGTTTGATTGTCGTTTGGATATGCCCAATTCGGAACAATAGCTGCTGTTGTCCAACATAGAAGTTCGTGTTTTTTTATAACTGATTTCTCCAGAGAAACATATCCTCCCATTTTAAATGGTTTTGATAGAGCTACAAGTTTGTCTCTGAGCTCACAAACAGGTAATATTTTACTCAATTTTAAGGCCTCAAGAATTTCTGTATTCTCCATGTAACTTACGTCTTTGTAAATTTCTAATAGTAATTGGCGAACTTTGCTTTTTGAATTTTCCTGAGGTAAAAGTGATAATTCGTGTTCTACTTCGCTAATAAATGATTGGCCTAGTTTTACAGTCATTTCACTCTGGAGACCAGCATTTTTCAAGAGCCTACTCCATTGAATATCATCGAATGGATAGGGCGGTAAATGGTTTGGTCTAAACATAGCGAAAAGAATATTTCTTGGGTCGAAAAAATAATTTGCCTTCTGTAGTCTTTCCTTAGTATCTTTCATTATAGCAATACTCTTTAATGATTTTTCCAGTTTCTCATCATTAATTTCCAAAAGATACTTCAAATGAACAGACCGTTCCTTGTCGTTCAAACTTTCAAATTTACTGAATATAAATTCCTCGTATAGTTCCCTAATAGATAATGGTTTACAACCCAATGATTCATATAATTTCATAAGCTTTTGCGAATATAGCAGAAATGTTGCATCCTGTTTCCAAATTTTAATTCCTTCGTAAGGTGTAGCTTTGGGAAGAATGTAAAATGATCCAATTTCCAAAGATACGAAAGAAGAATCACTCGTAAAATATAGTGGTAATTTTTTCATCATCGATACAGCTTCGGGCTCATTGATCCACTCGTCAATGATAAGGCGGAAGTAGTTAAGAACATTCATAGCATCGTCGTGTTTAAGTGTTACACTTAAGTCAAACCGTCCAAGTCTATAGTGAATACACTTAAGCATATCAATTGGTTTGTCCAAATTAGATGTCATTGATCCAAGATAATCACACACATTCGACGGTAGCAACTTGTAGTCCAGCTCTGCCAATTCCAAAGCTCTCAACGAGTCTCTTATCGAGACATTCACCACAGAAACGTGACGAAAGTCAGCCACAATATGTCCAAGATTTATAGGTACAAGGTATTCTCTAAATTTTTCCCCATCTTTGACTAGAGCCGGTATTAGGGCCCATCTTTCAACTGGTCCAAGATCATTTTCGTATAAAAATTTCCATACATCTCTTAACCAAGACTTTTTGACATTCTTTGGCCATTCAACAAGTCCACTCGAATCTAGGTAAATCTCTTGATCAAGAGTTTTTGACAAGTAATTTGCCAATTGTTCAGTATCAAAATTATTGATTAAATGATGACTATTTAAGTTTATGTGCTGTTGGAAAGTATCTTCAATAGCCGAATGTAAGAATAAGTTAGGTAGAGATGGTAAATACTGATAATTCTTATTTAAAAAGATTATTCGCTTTTCTTGAAAGACATCTAAGGTTTTATCACACGTTAGTATGAAAGGTGATCCTTCTAAATCATTTTTAGCATCTTCAGTATCTTTTAAACAATATTTTAAAAGAATCTCTAAACTTTTAATGTTGACAATAACCGTATTAGCAATCTTCTCAGGTAGTCGAGGCGAAATCTCCTCTCGAAGATATTTTCGAACAATTTTTGGTGACAAAACTTTAACATTTAGCTTAAGCTCATTAATTGTATCACATACAGTATTTGGCAAGGACAATAACTTCATACCACAATTTAATAGAATTCTTTTTAAGCTATCGTCTTTCTTACAGGTAGTACCAAATATAGGTTGGCTATCAAATGATAACCACTTAATCTTAAAATGATCTTGATCATCCTCCGTAACAACAGGAAATAATGGAGTTTGATCATTTTTCATCCTTTCATATATAAACGTTACAAGGTGGTACCAATATGAATCTTTTTCTCGTGGACAAGACGGAAACAGTGAATAATAATTCGAAATCTGAACCAATTCTCCAAAAGTTATCAGACCGCAATTTTCTTCACCGTGACATTGTTGAAGCGAAGGAAATAAATGAACAGGTATTTTATTCATCATAGATACATATAAGGGTGCCAAGATATGTTCTAATATATACATATTCCATTCGCACTTGACACCATCCTCCTCAATGGGCCATAAATTTCTCCTGGAATCATGTTCAAGCATCCATTCCGCATTTACGTGAACAGGAAGGGGGACATTAGGTGCTAAAGGTAAGTGAGAATATGATTTCCTTGGTCTATCTCTATGTTCATTAGAATTTAGTTTAGCAGCAATAGAGCCAGAAACTGTAGGATGTAAATCTTTATTATCAGAGATTTTTGACGAGTTCTTGTAAACTTCAGAAGAAGGAATAACGGGAGATTTGAATATTGCCCATTTTTCTTTCAAGCCAGTACTATCCTTCAATTGAAGAACATGTGAATTATCATCGTACTCTTTTATCATCGTCTTCGTTTCGTGAGTCTTGACAAGATTTTTACCTTCACTGCTAATTGTCCATATTCTCAATTGTCTTAGATTAGATAAGAAAACAAAACTATCATTAGCTTCAGATTTGAAAGCGTTTAAGAGTTCATCAAGCAAATCTGAATTTATAATATCACCAGATATTTCAGAGGTAGCAGCGACTTGTTCATTTCTTAATGGTAGACGCAAAATAGTATAATTGCTCTTAGGAAATATATCTTCTTTTGGAAAAACGCTAAAAATATCGGGATATTGCTTTTGAAGCTCATCGATATCTTCGAACTTTTTGCAGGGTTTATTATTGGCTACCTCTGAAATGAACGACATATGCGGATCAAACACATAAAGTTGCTTCTTCTTTTCGGTTTGCGTTAATAATAAGGGAACGTCTGTTAGATAATACACCCAGTTAAAATTCCCAAATATTGAAGTTGAAGGATTGACACTATTATATGCAAGTGATATATCTTTGTAATCGAATGGCTTATCAGTTATAATTAACAGGGCTGCACCTTGGAGACTTTTCCATTTGTCGCTAAATATTTTCCTACAACCATGTTGCCTTCTATCGTGAACCAGATCAATTGACGTACAGCCTGTTAAATCAGCATTTCTAACTAACTCTTTGAATATGCATGAATGTTTAGGATAAACGCTAAGGGATCTTTGTATCATCCATGTAGGCCTTTCAGCAGATGTACACACTTTTACTGGTGTGTCTTTGTTAAGTTTTAATTGACGAAGAAGGGCAAAAGGTATGTGTGGATGCCATACGTTGTTTTGCTCATTTGAATCCCTTAAGACACAATCCGAGTTAGGTATATAAACGGAGCCATATTTGGAAGTCACGTCATTTAACACCAATCCATTTTCCGACATAGCTTCGTTCAATAACGCAACGACTCTTAGCGCCACCTTTAGTTGATTTTGGTCTAATGCAGATGCATCATACATGCTTTTTAATTCGGCCAATGCCTGGACATAATCACCAATTCCAAACATTTCGGGCACATCAAGGGCTTTTAAAAGTTTTTCATATCGTCTCTTAAATCCTTCTGATAATCCATATAGACAAGGCGGACACACTTGATTGAAGTTTAAAGCTACTTGATTAGAAAATAAAAATCGACCTTGAGAAAAGATGCAAGGTTTACTCCTTATTTTTTTAACAATATCCTCAAAATTTGGCTGCTCTTGTAAGAAATCATAAATAGCATAGATAATCTTTTGGGTCTCGTCGAAAGCACTTGCGGTTTTAATAACACATTCCAATTGCTCCAGTACATTAGTAACAGATGGTCTTAAAGTGAACAAAAACTCTTCAACAGCTGTTCGGTGTTGTTCGTCCACTAGTTCAACATCGAATACTGGAGCAACATAACTAACTAATGGCGAATATATGGATGAATAAACTTTATTAGGAGCAACATAGAATTTTTTATGGAAATCCCAAAGAAATTTTAAGCTCTCCAAAGTTTTTCGAAATTTCTCAGCTTCCTCTCTCTCAGTTTCAATTTTTTTAGCTAGGACATTCAACGCTAAACGAGTTTTCTCTTTAGCTATCTCCTTTTTAAGGTTTGGTATGGTCTTTAACCTTTCGGCTATATCTGTCCAATTAATTTCTCGCCGAAGCACGAACTTTGAACAAAATTGGGCTAGAGGTTCGTAGACAAACTTCCCTTCTTCGACTGAGTACAACTCACCCAAATCGCTTAAACGATCAATTAAATTTGTTAATCTGGCAAACTTTTGACCATTCGGGCTAGTTGGTATACATGGAAAAGTACCTAAAGCTTCATTAAGGTCCTCATCTTTTTGAGACAGTGCTCTGATAAGAACGTCGTTACGAATTTCTTCCCTCAACTTGTGAGAATTTGGTAAAAATATCTCTCTAAAGAATCTTCTAAAATCATACAACCTCTTTTTAATTGTGCTAAACACGTTTGCCTTCTCTAATCTTGTACAAAGAGCCTCTGGTATTTCAATTACTGTTTTCCCAACAAGAATTTGTTTCATAGCTGCCACAACACAATATGGCTGGGTTCCTTCCGGTATGAAATAAGAACCACTAACATTAGCCCAATTTTTACCATCAGACCAGATTTTTGGAGCTGATCTATCCTCACTTGTTACTCGTTGAAGAAATTCCTCAACCATTGACATCATTATTGGCTCTGTGGACGTCGGCCAAAGGGAGTAGTATGGCGTTGGTCGATTAGAATTTGCTAGAAACAGCAGTAATTCTAAATACAAATTACATAGTTCATCGATTTCAATTTCATCCTGGAACGTTTCAATTTTACTATAGTAAATATATATTGGTAATCCGTCATAAGGAGCCCGATTATATGAGGAATTTATTAGGGCTCCTTCTTTAGAGAACTCGTAACCGTCCCGTTGTTCAATTGTAGTAACTGCCACAGATGGCGCATTACATCCATCTGTTATATTCATTGTTAACCAGTCGGTTGTTGTTGATGACTTTCCAGAATGATGTGTGTCTATTTGAAAGACTGATACGGCTTTTGGCCAATGAGGTAAATTTGCTTTATGAATTTTTCTTATCAACTTTAAATGCTCACAACTATTAGGACTATCTGTAAACGAAACAATTTTTTACCAGACTATTTATAACTTAATTAGCTTATTCAAATTACTTACTTTTTAATATCTTAATATTTATAGTCTTAACATAATTGCAAAAAATAAGGAAAATATCATCGATTTCATTAATTAAACTTCTAACATTCTCATCAGATAGAGGTTGATTTGATATTTCAGAGATTTCTGCCTGTTCAGCTATACGTAAAGGCAATCGTATCAAAGTTCCATTATAAACTTGAAAGTTATATCCAAATACATTTTTATACAATTCGAACTGATCAGACAACTTTTCAATCAGAGATAAATGCTTTTTAACATCCAATTGAACCGCTTTCTTTCGCGGAAGATAGGTACCTTGAGGATCAAGAATAATTAATTGATCATCTGTGGCAATTGAAGGTGTTTCTGTGATTGAGTAGACGCAACTAAAACCTAACGAATCACTAAGGTGATTTTCAGCAGTAATTTTTTCTATATGATCTCTTGATAATGTTGAATTAAAGTGAAACCAAATTGATTTTCCTTGACTTAGAGACATTTTTTCAGTGATTAAAGTTTTTTGTTTCCAATTTTCTCTAGTATCATATAAAATATTCAATTCATTTGCTTTACATTCTTCGGCCAAAGATAAAAAATATCGAACAACCGAAGTTGGAGTTAATTCAGATATAATTTCTTTCAGGATTCTTGTCCCACCGCCAGTTGTTGTTGTATAAATATCGTCCTGTTGAATAGGTTTTGCGATCGCATTTTCTATTTTAAATGCTATGCAAGTATTAACGGGAACAGATTGATGAACAATATTCTTTCCAGGTATATTTTCACCATTTGTTGAATAATGACAATTTTCCGCCAAATCCATTTTCAATTGTCTCTGATTTTCTGATTTAATAGGTACATAGATAGAACTCTTTAGTTTTTCTAAATGTATATCATCGTATCGTGACTTTATTTCGTTTAGAATGGAAATTGCTAAATGAAGATCTCTGCTCATCTCAACGTTAGCACCAGCTTCGTGCTTTCTATAAATCTTATATAAAACATCAGGCAGGTAACAATCATCTTTTACCCCTAAATCTGAAAGATAACGCCTGAATTGCATCATTTCTAAAGGTAGAAGGTAAATGAAGGGTTGCAAATCAATAAAAGGCCTTTTAAAGACTATATCCTCCACAGCACAATACCCTTGACCATTCCAAACCCATTTTTCTCCTTCAAGAAGGTTGCTAACTTTTTGTATAGGATTCTTAAATAATTCAGAATAAATTTGGGTAGTTACATATAAATATTTTCCTTTCTCTGTTGCTGAATAACATCGGACAACGTTTTTTAAATGTTGAACAATATCTTCGGCAGATGGCGTTTGAAACCATAGTTCACTAATATTCCCAGGTAATTCTTGACAGCAAGCTGATTTTAAAGACCCAACAACATATGAATATTTGAACTCGAATATATCTATAGGTCTGACTATTTGTTCTTCACAATGCCAGTCTAACGAAGCAGGATATTGGGGAGGTCTCTCTTTCAAAACGGGTATCCAATGTATACCAGCTAATTTAGCAGAAAGAGGCGCGTCGTGGCACAGCTGGTGAAGTAGAAAAGAATTTCGACAAACGTATTCAATAAGAGCTAGGCTCTTTTCAACATCGTTATCACACACAAGTGCACAACATTCCAAATCTTCGGGTTCTACATATTCATCAGTTCTTAAGCCCACTTTTCTTAAAACCTGCAAGACTTCCGGTTGTCTAAAAGGGCCCGTTGGAAAATTATCCTCGCCTTTAAATACTTGTTGTAAGACTATTGAATCAGGGTCATAAAACCTATCAGCAGTCATTAAAGTCTCTCCTTTTGGAATAAATGGGAGCCCAGCAAGAGCGCTTTGAAAAGTTTCTGTCATAGTACAACAATAATTCTTAAGTATATGAATCATAACCTCGGTAACTTCACCAATTTTGTAATAAGCACTCTCTATCGCTGTAAATACAATTTCAACAAAGAAGTCTTGGTGGCTAAGTAATCTGACTCCCAATAGAGTGGCTAGACTATCAGCACATGGAAGCGCCGACAAATTAATTACGGGTTTGCATAAAGGAACTGGTAAATTAATAGACTGTACAGCAATATTTGTTTCGTTAACGCATATAAAATGGCCATCTAAAGTCTCAAATATAGGTAAATTACGTAGAAATTCTCTAAGACTACTTTTTCCAATGCTATAATCTAATTTCATAAACAATTGACGTAAAGATTTTTTCTCATTTGCAGTTGTCGAAGTAAAGAATTTTTCAAAAAATTCACTCTCATTAGATTTGCATAAATGTGCCAAAGTTGAACAAACTCCATGAGAAGTGGGTGGTTTGATGTAAAAATTACACAGATGCGAATTTCCCGATAGATATGAGGGCAAATTGGTTATAACATTAGCTCCCATCCGTACTAATATAGTTTGAATATCCTCATTTAAATGCAGGTGATGTAATTGTTTAACAATCATGCCCGATGACGAGGAGAGACGAACAATTTTTCTGTCTATAGGAATAATTGGTAGGCCTTCAAATCGGGAGAGGTCAAATGGTGTAAACCTATGAATATAGAACCAAAGTTTAGCCAACCATCTCTCAGTTTCTTTATTTAGTTCGGGAATATTAATGATATATGTTTTTAGCAGTTCTGCGATAACTGAAATATCTAATATTCTAAGTTGAGCAAAGTGCCGACTAGAAGCATTTATTAAACTTTGTTTAACGTGCTTTACTAAGTCCACACGCATAATCCTTTCGTAGGAGGCCTTTGGTAAGATTTCAACATCCTCGCTTCTCTTTGCGACATAAATTTTTCTCTCAGAGGATTCGAACTTTACAAAAGTTCCATTTTGAAGTGGTAATAGAGGCAAACCGTAAAGAAAATCGACATCCGAAGTACAAAAGTAGTCTAGTAGATCTAGCTTACAAATTTCGCTCATTGCCGTTTGATTCCTTATTACAGTAGCTAAAAGTGGTCCATTTACTTTTCTAATGCTAATATTACAGTGTCGAACAGCTTCCATCACATGATCAGGTATATTAGCTAAATTTAAACCGCAGCGAACAAGTATATTACGAACGTTTAGAGGTAGTTTTGATGTTGTATCGTATACACCATTTTCAACCGTAACCCATTCTTTTGAATGAGTATATATGACTGGATGTTTAAAGATATTTCCATAAACTGCTGACAGAGAGGCCGTTGATGAGCTCTCCAGTCGAGGGAATGCTCTATACACTTGTTCGGTTGTAATTAGTCCTTTTTTACAAAATTCTATTGAAGCAAGCACAGTTGCGGCATAGGCAACAGGTACAAGCTCACTTACAATACATTTATTCCATATTAGTCTCTTGTCCATTTGAACATCAGCTGAACCATAATATGATCGGGGCCAAAGCATAACTCGTTTTGTTAACTCTAGAGCAAAACGCGCATTCACGTGAACTGGTAAGTTTATAAAGTTTGGATGGGGTTCCAATGGTAACAACGCAAAAGTACCTCCTTCCATACCGTCCGCTTGAGTCCATACTGTAGAGTCATCCAGTGTTATAGGTAAGGCTACAGAGGCGTATGGATAAAGGGGAAGCTCCTTTAAAATATTTTTACAAATGGCTGATAAATTCCTGACAGTTTTGTAAGCTCCAATAATCCATTTATAAGTTCTCTCTTTTCCTGATTTAAGTACGTTTACTATAATTAAAGCTGATCTAGAAATTTCTTGAGTATTCCTTATGTCATTTCTAAACTCCCTGATCTTTTGTAAGCATTCAGGGGCTAAATGAGCACTTGATGACGAACAAATTTCATCTCTTCTTGTTTCTAATAACTCTACAACTTCAATATTATTCATAAATAAAAAAGAAGTATGCAAATGTCCTTGGAATTCGTCTATAACATATTGTAGGCTTTGACTTGTATAAATTGTAGAAGAAATTTTAGAAGCATTCTGCCTGAGGACGAATCTTATAATTGTCCCATGGAATCTACCATGTTTAAGGGTACTTTCATTACAACCAAAGTAACCATTGAATAGGTTAAATAATTCAGGTTTTTCATTTAATTTGAACGCTTTCGTTGTTGATGCATTATTCAGAGGTTCAATTATAGCTAATTTTCTATCACTTAGTACATGAACTATATCAGTTAGATGAAAAAGACTTTTAAAACCTAAACCAAAGTGCCCTGATTTTGGATTATCTTTATGTTTTGTAGGATGTTCGCATAAATTACGAAAAGCCTTCCAATCAGTAGTACTAAGAGACACATCATGATAAATATAAACAGCATCCTGGGATGAATCAACTAGTAATTTAAATATTCTAGCGCCGGTATCTTCGGCATATTGTAGAAGTTCCTAAATATAGTTAATAAGAAAAATTTTAGGATTAATAAAACAGAATAAATAACAGAATTGGGCTATTTATTGGCAACAATAGAAGAATTAGTACTTACATACAGAATTTGTCCATGGCAAGGATATTGCTCTAATATATTCCTTATGTGATAAACGACCGAAGGTAAGATAACACCATCATTCAAGTCATCTTCCGTCATTTCAACTAAAATTCACGTAAAAATATTCTTTAAATCAACACTTAGTGTTGAAAATGATAAAAGACCGACTAAATCCCCTACGTTTTTTATTATCATACGCTTATACTACCCGATAAAAGATCGGCCTAAAAAATATTAATATTCCATATTTTTCTATAGTATTAGAATAGGCACAGTATTTAGCGGGCCTCGACGAACCTGTATTTGATCGTTTTAACCACGGATTATTGTGATCGTATACATCGAAATGATCATTTTCTTCGGAGTGACTACGACTCCTTTTTACTAGTTTCCTCAGCCACATTCTCAAAAAGTGAGCAGACCATACAATAGTTCTCCTTTTCAAACCGACTTACTAATACCAATATTGAATTAGACTAATAATATCTTAAGTAAGTGATCCCTGTGCAAAGTCATGTAGGAGCGTGATTTCCCTAAAACATTCAAGAGATACCAACAGGTATTTTCTTTATGAAAAAATTATTAAACAAAGCTTTTTTTGCCCTCTCTCCCCCCCTCCCTCGCTTTCTTTTCTTAAAATTTTCGGCCTATGGGCCAAAGATACCAGACAGAAAACTGTCAATATTGAGAGGGTATTCAATGCTGCTCTCTGTAACATACGAAATCAAAGACTATATGGTGAGGTGCGTTTTTATAATAAGAATGATAAAAAGGAACTGTAAATGGTCTAATAACAAAAAGAGATATTCAAGAGTATACTAGTTTCGAGTGCTTGATGATATCTAAAGAAGAAAAACGAAGATGTTCTATTTGACATGAATAGGTCTATTCCGGAAAAGCTAAATACAAAATAAATACTATCTAAACATTATCTAGGCTTAGTCATATCTTTTCTTTATATTCACCCCCTTTGCTATCCCTCCCCCTCAGTTTTTTTAAAAATATTGTTTACAATTATCCAAAATTAAAATGTTTTTCAGGTATACCTAGGTAAAAATATACACCTATAACTTGTCTAAACATGTTTCCCTTAGTTTTACTTACTTCTATGAGCCGGATTCGTAGTATTTCGTCTCCCGTAGACCTTGAGATGTGCATGTCTATCAAAGGTATCCTGATTTCTTGGCTTATTAACAAAACTTATATCCGTCCGTATTCCTGGTTCATATCTTCGATGCGAGTTAAAGCTAGCTGACCTTTTAAAGTCCCTTGAAAAAGAAGAAGTTCTATCTTCCAATAGTGAGTGTAAAAGGCTTGATGAAGATGGAGCTACTCTTACACTGCGTCTAAGCGAGGATAATGTAGGTTTTATGTAGGCAGGAACATTATTTGTAGTCCTTTCCATGTCTAACTTTTGTATATTGTCAAGTCCCGGGCGTAAATGAGCTATGTGTAGTATAATCAGAATGTATTAGACACAGTACGCTGGTGTTCTGTATAGATATTTAGCCTGTTCTGACTACGAAAAAGCATTGTACACCTTTAGAGCGAAACTGAATACTATTCTGAATAAAAGCTACTTTTAACCTCGACCAACGGTAACAGTCAGTCTGCAACAACAGGTGGCATAAACCATGCTTTGTAAAGTAGGGCTTTAAAAAATAGTTTATGGTGAAATAACTGACTGTATTAGGCCATATTGATTATATGAATTCTGAACGCATGTGTTTCCATATTAAAACTAAACGGGGGGAAAATTTGTACAATTTAAAATGTTTAAAAACAATCTTCATTTTCTAGGCCCGTCCACTTGACGCTCATATTCCATAGCTCTAATCCCGTCTTATCATTATCCATAGTTTCATTTAAATTCTTCACAAGTTGACAATTGCTAAATAGGGAATATATTATAGATGTAAATTATTTTTTTCTTTAAAGTCACCTATATTAATACGCTTTTCTAATTAAAATAAATCGGTCAAGGCTTACTCGTAATATCCACCAGATGTCAGGCCTCTTTCTAAGCAACAGTATAGAGTTGTCTGGGCACCTAGTCTAGAAGATGTGGCTAAAAATATCCTTTTGAAAGGAGATAAAATGTATAGAAGAGTGAAAGGTAGATTTAAATGCTTTTTAGCAATAGAACCCAAATTCGTTCGAACATGTCCAGGGTGAACGGCAAAAGTTTCTTGAAAAGGACCAAGTCGCTTAGCTAGTTCTCTAGTGAATAGGAGATTAGCTAATTTTGACCTCATATATGCTAAAAAAGGATTATAAGCTGATTTTTTATAATTAATATCTTTAAAATCCACATATTCAATTTGAGAATGAGCAATAGAAGACAAATTTATGATTTTCGCACTATTATTTAAGGAATCTTTTAATAAATTTGTTAGTAAAAAATGACCAAGGTGATTTACGGCTATTTGCATCTCAAATCCATCTTCAGATTTCCAATTCGGACAAGCAAAAATAGCTATAAATAAAGGCATTTAGTCATGTTTTTTTTATTGTATTGTATTCTATTGAAAAAAAAGAAGCCATTTTACCTGCATTGTTTATTAAAAAATCAATTTTTATATTTCTCTGTTTAATAATCTTTACAACCATCCTTATACTGTTAAAAGAACCCAAATCCACCATTAAACTTTCTATATGAGGATTTCCCGTTAAATTCTTTATTTTTGTAATAGCAATATTTGCTTTAAGATTACTTCTACAAGCAAGAAAAACCGTGCATCCTTAAAGAGATATGGAGAATAAAATGACCAATTGTTTACATAGGTTATTTATTTAAAAAAAAGTAAGAAAAATACATACCTCTCTTTGCTAAATCTAAAGCTGTTTCATATCCTATACCTGTGTTTGATCCTGTAATTAAAGCTATTCTACCACTTAGCTTTCTTCTGCTTTTACAAAGCCGTCTTGAGCCGCTTACTTTATACCACCAGATTAAAATTAAGAAGGAAAGACCGACTTGAAACGATTAATTAATTAGTATACAGATACATTTAACTTTTAAAAGCTGACTACCTAGTGATACATTCCAAATCATACTGTATTGTTTGTAGGCAGAAGTTTGTATGGGCAAGGATTCCTTATTTTTCCCCTTATTTATTTTCGTATCGTAAAGTAGATCAATTAACGTAACAAATGTAAACATTGCGTAAGATATCGATGGGGAATCTACCTTCATTAGCAAAATTTGGCAAAATTCCAATTTTTAGTTTATCATTAACTTGTCACTGATTCTATAACAAATAATCTAATTTCAAAATGTAAAGCAACCTGTAAGACATCCTTTAAATATGACTCATTTGACTTGTATATTTTACTATTAAACAATAAACGTGAAATATCCTAAATACTTTATAATAAATTAACACTTTAATTGAATATAAAAGTAAAGAAAAGAAAAGAAAAAACAACTTTTATACTTTTATATGTTTTTTATTGATTAATCTGCATTATTTTGTAAAAAAGTCTCATTTTTCACTTTTATCTTTATCACGATCCTAAAATCTAATAAAATCTGACATTCTCCTCTATAAACATTGATGCTGAATAAAATAAACAAAGATGGAATTAACTTGGCTTATAAATTGGTTTGTTGTATTTCTCATTTTTAACTTATCTATGAGTCAAAATTGTATGAGCTTTGGTACGTGACGTAGTGATGATAAATAAACAATAAAAGAATATATAAACCGCAATTCTTGCCATTACTTTTCAGTTCAAATTTTTCATTGGTTTTGAACAGTCTTGAATCTTTTTAAGCATATTCTTTTATTCAATTTTACCTGAAAAAATGACGAATATTCAAGCTTTTAATTCTCTCATTTTTACTTTATTACGTTGGTTTTCTGTTCTTTTTACTTTTATAGAATTAACATTTCTATTTCTTTTTTGCAGTATCTATTGGAAATAGTGACGCCTTCGTAAAACCACAGGATACTGTCGTTGAGAGGGGTGTAGATGTTGAACTTAAATGTTCTGGTGAGAGTGCAAAATCGGTTCAATGGTGGATAACTAAACTTCCAGGATTTAGTTTTCCACAATTGTTGTCCGAAGGAAATAAAACTAAGGAGGATGCTACAGATTACATGGAAATTTCAGGATTTTACAATTTAAGAATAAAAAATATCTCGTATATTGATGGAAATTTATATTATTGCAAGTACCAAGCCACTGACCACCAAGCTTATGTAACAGTACTGGAAAAAATTGATATATTACAAGAAGATTTCAACAAAACCGAAATGGGCAAAGCCGCTTGCAACATAACGTTTGGTACCCTTAAAAAAGTGATATAGCCAAACAAAATATGAGACCCGAAGCTTTATTGTATTTAGACAACCAACTACGTATAAATAGAAGCCAAGACGATCCATGGACGATTGATGCTGATCCAGGAAAAACACCAGGTCAAATTAGTATGGAAACTGAGTTTAATTTTACTTGGTCAGAAAAAGTAAGGATGCGCTGTGAATTTCACATTAAAGAAATCTCTTATAAAAAATCTGTGGAGAAGTATATATATATCTTACGTAAGAAGAAGAAACTTTATATTATTTCATTACTTTACAAAAGATTTTAATCAATTTTATTTTCTTCCAGACCCTGTGAGTACTGTGACAGTAAGCCCTGATAAGAGCTCGTACTTAATCAATGACAAGATAAAATGCGAAGCTAATGGCTACCCTTTACCTACAATGTCTTGGAAAGGAATAGAATCCGGTGATAAAAGAGATATTAATGGTGATGAGCTAGAAATAACGGAAAAAATGCTTGGAAATAATAAATGGGAATGTAAAGCTTGTCACTATTATAATTCCAAAGAGAATTGCGTAACAAAAACAAAATCTTTTAAAGTTATTAAAAGCACTAGTGACGCTAACCGAAATGTTTTTAATTTCTCTGTTGTCACCGTTATCTTAGCCTTTTTGAATTATTTGTAAATCACAAATGCTATAACGTACTATAACGTTTTATATATTCAGAATGCATTGTTTCACTCTAAAATACTTTTTTTATTATAAATACTTTTATTTTCTTGTTCACAAAACAATTTTAGTTTAGTTTAAACGCTATAAGGTTTGTCATTCCACTGGTCGAATCAAAATCTGCATTTTTGTGACTTACCACTTTTATGACATCATTATATCGAAGATTGAGAAGTGCTGATCCGCTGATTACATCAATTCCGGTGTCGAATGAGTAATATCTTAATATTTCGAAGACAGTTTTATCATTCACGAGGACGGAAACATCGACATTGTAATTTGCTTGTTGTCCGATGCTGATATATATATAATACAAACCATCTGAACGAATATGATACGTGTTTGTTGAGAAATTTGCATGAATTCCTTGACCAGAGCTTTTTACATTGAATCCTATCAATTGAGTTGTATTTTGTATACCAGTACGTAAGGTACTCGCTGCTGATATGTGATGGGTATCCCTTAGTTGAAAAATTGAAAAAGAATTTCTATTACATTGACTTGATAGACTACCAGATAGTATGTCTATCGTTAAATAATCTCTTTCCCTTACAGTAATGATAAAAGATCTAGTAACTGTTTCTATTCCCTTCGTTGGCCTTGTTCTTTTCAAATAATAAGAGTTTCCGGCGGATGTTCTCACCAATAATATAAGGGAGTCCCCTTTTAGAGTACAAGAAGTCAATGTTATCAAATAAGTACCGCTCTCACTTATACGAATCATCTCGTTGTCGTAACCAATTCCACATACTTCATCGATAGCTAAAACGACCCTATCCGGATACGACTTGCTTTCTATCATTGTTCCAAAAAGATATTGCCTGGTAAGATATCTAAATAAGATCATATTTGTAAGTTTTGATAAACTATCGCTGTAAACTTGTGTCAGCTCTCCATCTATTCTCTCTTCAGCTGTCAGAAAGAAATGATCTAAATCAACATCACGAATAAGTTTAGCCCAGTTAACAACTGAAATTCCATTTTGACCCACAGAGTTAAAAAACAAAGAATGCCTTCTACGTCTAATCTTTTCTCCTTCCATTAATTCGGAGGAATGTAAATGAACATTTATCATTCCTTCGGTATTTGAGTGAACCCCGATGTTTACATTCATAAAATACAACTTATCATAAGCTGACGTTTTCGCATATCTACTTTTCGAAGTTGTAATAAGTGAATCCCAAGAAAAATCACGGGAAAAAGTTTTCGTTGAATTCATAAAAGAGTAAAAGGTGTTATAGCTATCCAGCGAATATCCTTCGCATCTTTGCCAGTAAATAACTGAAACTAAAAGGAGAGAAATTGTTATATATATTATAAAAGAAAGGATTCCTATTTCAAGTTCAAAAGTTAAATACCAAGAAGAAGAAAATTGAATGGAAGATTTCTCATTTTTCACTCTCTTTGTAATGAAAATTTAACTTGTTGCATTTTATATAATTTTCCCAAAACATAATAAAAATAATTGCGTTTCAAATTACAAAAATATGTAAAATGCGATAATATTCGATTGAATAGATTGAATAATTAGAAAAAAAATGTCACAATAGATAAAATATATCGGTTTTTTTATACTATCTTTTTATAAATGTGCAATTTAAGCAAACATAAAAAAGGAATTATTCAAAAGCTGTTAAATTTTATTCTGGTTAGAGGATGGGAAGAGGTTAATAAAGTTTTTGATTATATAGTATCGTATATGTTCAAGACAGTGTATTTTTCATTACGTTCTAAGCGTTTGTATATTTGATGATAAAAAAAATTAACCTTTCCGATGTTACAAAAAAATAACTCAACCGGTATGAATCACTTATTAAAATCTATTCAGAGATATCATTCAAATGTTGTGTAAATATTACTATTACAAAGATGCGAATGATTTTTATTGGGTCAATGATACTTTCTATTGTAAACAGTTACAATATTGTAGTCATATAATCAAATCTGCTAAATAAATAGCGTAAAAATTACCTTTCCCTAAAATATATTTACTTAGAAACGTAGGTATATTCCTTGGAATTTTTGTGAATCTTTCTATTCATTTGAGTAGAGAAGCTTTGAGAAATTTAATTATATTTATCCACATGACTCTCGCTTGTATACATATAGCTTTTCAATAATATAGAACATGATAAAAACTATTATTTATAGAGAAGAATTAAAATTTTCCTCTTTTTCTCTTTACAAATAAAAGAAAAACATATATTTACTTAAATTTATATTATATTTTATTAGGATTTTAATATTTACGCAAGTAGTTTCTTTTCTTTTAAGGTTTAACCTATTTCTTTTGAAGTGTTTTTTCTTTATTATCATACTAAAAACATTCATTCACTTGCATAAACCCTTTGTCTAAAGAAATAATCTACCAACTCCATTCTCCGCATTCAAGGTCGTCAGGTTTCTGACTTTTTCTTAAAGACACTTAAAAAATTGTGATTAAAGCATTGAACTAAAAGCAATGACGTTATAATTGGCACAATTTATTGATATCACTATCTATTACAGTTGTTTACTGCAGGGTTAATATTTGTAATGAACATCTCCCCACCTCTTCCCTATAATAAGAAAGAGACTTGTATTTCTTTTTCATTTTCCTTTTACAGTTCACAGTCAATATCAAAAAAAGTTTTCTTCAGTCCTTCTTTTACTTACCCATTTTTTATGAAAAGAATTTCTTTTCTCTCCCTTCCTTCCTTTCCTTCTCTATTTCTGTCCGTCAGTCGCTTTATTTAACTTTCTAATTTAGTTTTTAGGCCTGTAAGTTGCAATATATTTTACCAACATTTTATGTATAGCAGTATCATATTAAAAGGTTTTTATCAGTACGTGTATATATTATATTCTATAAAATAGCGAACCGAAAACGTTACCTAATGTAAAACATACATCCTATCATTCCTATCTTAAATCACTTCCAAGAAAAACTTATTTCGTAACCTGGATGTAAAAGCACTAATTTCTCCTTTTTGAGTACAATTATGGTAATTAAAAGTGAAGAATTTGCTGTAATCGTTAAACATACAAGTTTACATTGTTTTGACATGGTTTTTTTAAGAATTTATTTCTCAATGGCCAATTGGATAAGATAAAATCAGTTAATAATGATATTTGGTTTAGAATTTTTCTTGTCACATCAATTTCTCAAAACAAATAATGTCAAAATGCCAAAGAAATAAACAAAGGCTGTATATTATCAGATATAGAATTTTAAATCTGTATAAACTTAAATCTAAACAACGTACATTCCTACTTGGAATAAGACTAGGCTAAAAGTACAACATTTTATATTTTAGACAATAGATGAAGATGATAAAAAATAAATGAATAATCTTTTTGCTTATTGATTAAAAATGTAAAATTTACAATCTTTTATCAGTTTATAATAACCTTTTATATAAAATACTATTCAAATATAGCTTAAATACAAATTGTATAAAAAGTTTACTTGCTCTAATATATTGTATTGTAGTGTATTATTGCTTCATTTTGTTTCTATAATAATACAAAACACATAGCATGCTCTGACAATTAAATTCTTTTCTCAAAGTTCAATAATCTATAGACTTCCGGTTGAATTAGTTTTAATCGTTTTCTAGGACAAAAAAATTACTAATAAAGTTGTCGACTTATTTAAAGCTCCATAACTAGACATTGCATTAGAGATAATTCTCAAAGAATCACCCTGGGAAAATTTTACTATTGCTGAATTAGCTAAAACATGACCATCGTGCGTTTTTGCTGAATATTTTAATATTTCGAATATGGTTTTTCCATTTTTTTGAACAGCCACATCAACTTTACTACCTTCTCTTGATTCTATTGTAACATAAACATAATAGCGTCCTGGTATATCAATAGTATAAGTAAATGTGTTATTGTTCCATGAATTACCAATTGATATATGAGTAACATCGAAGGAAATCTCCTTTTCCTGTTGTACATTGCTTTTATGACTCGAACTTGATACGTAGAGACCTGGTCTTGTTTTAGACACACTTAGTTTTAAAATAGATAAACTACTAGTTTGTTGAAGTTGGCCTTCCAACAAGTTAAAAGATAATGTTTCTTTAATTTTACATTTCAATAAGTATGACATCGATATTAAATTTGATGGTGAATCACGATAGTTATTTCTTAAAGTATAAACATCACCATTACTACTATTTACAGTTAGTAGAAACTTTGTATACCATTGAGAAAAAGCTGACACAGTTAAAAGGTAAATACCATCCTCAACTATTCTTATATTTGAATCCCAAACGCCAATTGTCGATGATTTCAAAACAGTAAAAGTCATTTTTTCCGCCGATTCAGAATGTTTCATTTGAATCAAGCCATACACTGGAGACTGATATGAAAATGACGAAATAGACGTCATTTTACATAAATTGTCACTGTACAAATTCATGAATTTCACATCTATTTGACAATAATGTGCTTGTTCACTTGCAATTAAAAAATTTATATTGATAGCAGAAAGATCTGATTTGTCTATATATTTATAATTAATTTTTTCGATTTTATTCGAACTATCCTTCCCATTGGAACAGCTAAATGGTATGTGAATTTCACCAGAGTTGCGTAAACTAATTCCAAAGTTTAAACTTATGAAATGAATTCCATTGTCCAAACATAGCGTAAAAGGGCAAGAGCGTCCTTTAGTGTAATAATGATTATTAGACCACGATATACCACCAACAGAGTAATATTTTGACGAGTTATCGTAACAATATAGATTAGGTTCAGCTTTATATGAATTTTGATTGTTTCCCCCATCAATTAAATTGCAATACGAAAGATGGAAGATTCCTATTCAAGTTCAAATATAAAGGTATTATATAATTTTTAATATTACTAGTATATACTGTTTACTTACCATAAAGACAAACTACTGCTAGGTTAATCATCTTTGTACGATGCTTAAATGATACTAAAAAGGAAATTGTCTATTTATACGTATGTGTTATGCTTAACATAACACTTAACACTTAACGGAACTGAAAGCGAGATATCAGTTTCCTTAAGTTTATTTTTTGCATTAATAATTTATTGCTATTTTTATTGATAAAGATTGCATAAGAGAACAACTAAACAAATCGGACCACGTTTAATGGCTATGAATCATTTTTAAACGAATTATATCGTTTTATTTTGATAAGAAATATACCATAAAGGTTGTTAACTTATAATACACTCCATAGTCGGATTTTTCATTTGAAAAAACTTCTAGTTTATCCCCCAAATGCAGCTCAACCGTTGCTGAATTTGATACAAAATCTCCATTAGTTTTTGATCTTGACAACTTCAAAACTTCAAACATGATTTTATCATTTTTCATAACAGAGACGTCAATTTTGGTATATTTTTTTGTCTCTATTGTTACATAAACAAAATATTTCCCCGTCTCTTTTATTGTATATTGAAATGTTTCATTATTCCACTCATTACCAATTTGATATGCTTTTGAGTTAAACTTAACTTTACTTCTTTCAGTAGAGTTTAACTTTGATTTTGTACTAACTAGATATAAAAGTGGGGATACTTTCGAAGGATTTAGTTTCATTATTGAAATGTTATTATTGTTCAAAGGGTCTAGATTTCCAGATATTAGATTAAACTCTAATATATTTCTTTGTTTCAGTTTTATAATATATGACATAGAAATTGCTTCAGCTGCAGAATCAGTTTCAGTTCTTCTTAGAAAAAAGCGTTTATGTTCTGCATAGTTGATATTCATATGAAAATCAACACCTTTTTTCTGATTAACCACAACATTTAAAACATAAAATCCATCTTCGGTAAATCTAATATGAGAGGACCAGAATGATATTTTTGAACAATTCTTACCCTTTATTTTCAGAAAATTCTCTTTTGAACTACCCGAAATTGTACCAGTAAAATATGCATTTGATCGATATTTTATTATCGATATAGATGTTAACTTAGATAAACTATCACTGAAATGGTTAAAATTTCCTTTTCTAAGTGATATGTAGTACGTTTGATTTTCAGCTAGCATCAGTAAGTTTTGAGAGCTTGCTACGGATATTCCTTTGTCTCTACTAGAATTTATAGAAACAGCAAAGAGACTAGAAGGCACTAGCTTTGTCTTAATTACATTTCTTTTACGATATCTGCCATAATTATGATCATAATAATTTTCTTTCGTATAATACTGTTTCCTTATGAAATGTACGAATTCGACTACTTCATTAGTGAACAATTCAAATCCAACATTAAAGCTTATAAAATAAAAATCATCGCTGGGAATTCTAATTTCATTATTTAAGGTTTGGTTCTCAGAAGAGTCAAAGGAAGTATTGTTTGTCCATGTAATATTTCTGGAAGATAAAGTTTGTTTATCAGAGAATTTGTAACATATTGGTTCAAACGTGCCAAATGTAGCGATTTCCTCCGAAATACATTCTTTTTCGCCAATTATAAAAACTGAACAATTTTGTTAAAGCTTTTAAATATGTAAAATATGTTTCTCTTATTAAAGACTTACAAACTAAAGATAAAAGTAGAAGTTTTCTCTCCATCTTTACGGGATTACTAAAGAAATTTTAGAATTAATCCTTATATAGAAAGACAGAGGAGATATGGATTACTGCTTTCCTCAAAATCTATCGAAATTCGATGCAATTTCTAAGTAATAGATAAAAAGTTTACTTTTTAAAAAAAATACATTGTATTGTATTAATGCATCAATAGTATAATACTGTCTATTCAAGGATTTAAATAGAAATTTAATGAAGACTCTAATCAGCAGAAGATATTAGAAAGATTATTAAAGTTGGTGGATAATTTTGAGAATCGTAATTACATCCTTTTTCAGATACAACTTTTATTTTATCCCCTTCATAAAGGAGATCTATTGCCGAATTAGAGAGAGTATCTCCTCCAATTATTGATATAGAAAATTTAATTACATGAAATAAAATTGTATCATTCTTTATAACTGATACTTTTAACTTATATGATTGTTTCGATCCAATATTTAACGAAATATAATAGTAGCCTCGTGTTTTTATTGTATACGTAGAATTACTTATATTCCATTTATTCCCAATTTTAATAGGAAAGAAGTTAAATGAAAGAGTTTCCTTTTTTGTAAGATTTTTTATCCATTGTTTGCTTTGTGCGTATAAAACTGGTCTTTCTTTAGACGCGTTTAGTTTAAAAACCGAAAAAATGTTACTACCATAATTGAAATCAGATTCACCACTGACTAAATCAAAAGTAAGGATGTCTCGGCTCTTTCCTTTAAAGAGATATGAGAAAGAAATAGTTTCTTCAAAGTGGTCGGACGACGTTCTTTGTACGCTAAAAGCTTTTTCAATTGATGAATGCTTGATATCCATTCTAAACTTTTTGCCTTTCTTGGAAGAGATTGTAGTACTAAGAAAATATATTCCATCCTCTGTTAATCGTATATGTGAAGACCAACCTCCAATACCGATTGACTCGGTTAGAAGAGTTTGGTTATTCCACTGCGCAAGATTACCCCTCGCCCATATGTCACTTTTGTAACGAAAAATTAACAATGAAGTTAATTTTGATATAGGTTCATCATACAGTAGGAAATTATTCGAAGGCACCAGAGAGTAAGTTTTCCCTCTTTCTAAACTCATATAACCAGAAAATCCAGATACTGCTAGAGATCTGTAAGAGCCCCAATTAAAAGAAAACCGAATTTTTTTCTTTAAGCAAGCTATTCTTTCAAACACATTAGACATTCCAAAAGAGTACTTTACTTTGAAAATTTCGCATAAATCTATACTTTCTTTAATCAGTGATAATATCCCGAAATTAAAACTAACAAAGTAATTCCCATCTTCTTCAACAGTAAAGTTTTCATTAAAATTATTACTGTGTAAGCCTATAGATTTATTTTTCCAAATAAGACAGTCGTTAGCATGGTAATAGATTATATAAGTAGGCTTAGCTATTTATGAAATGAATAGAAAGAAATTTTATAAATAACTACATGAAAGAATTGTTCATAATACCTTTTAGAAAATTGTAATAAGGGACTTTAATAACAGATAGAAAATCTGTAATATAAAATATACAGTATTATTTTATCAAGTAGTTCTAAATTGGATTAATTTGATAATTACAAAAGGTAATAAACGCAGAAGATGATTGCATCTTATTTTCTTACTGTAGAAAATCCTATAAGGATTTATTGTTTGTTTATTTGTTTGTTTGTTTATCAATAAGGTTTTTTTTTTAAATTTTTCAACCAAAATATATGTTGTAGCATCCAATTTTTAAAAAATATGCGACTAATCTACAGCAGGGAATTTAAAAAATATCCACTCTAAATGCAATTTTCTATCAATTCTAATTTATTGTTTGTATTGATTGTTTGTTTTTATTATTAATATCATTATTGATTGATTTCAAATAAGCAATAGATATTTATTAATTGTATTCAAAAGGGAAAGATCTATAATCCATAATTTCATTGATTTTCCTTTTATAGAAAAAAAGATAAACGCTTATTCGTTAATCCATATATTTTATTAATACTAATAATTTGAACGCCTAAATACAAATACAAATTACATCTAACTTGATTTTTCTATAATAGGTTGAATCACGGAATCGTTTTTGTTTTGGTTACAATATGCACCATTTCATTGGATGCGGATTGTATTTTTTAGATGCTGGTCTTCTCTTTCTTTTTTCTGTTTAAAAAGTATTAATTACTCATTTATTTATAAATATACATATAGATACATCTATTTTTTATTTTGATTTGTTATTCAGACAATAACCTTTGCTTTTAATAGCTATATTGCACATAGCAACTGTTCCTATTCTATCAGTACAAGGTCTCATTTCTAATTGTTTTCTTGTAAGGTCAATTAATCCGCACATAGCACCAGGATCATTTGTAGAATGGCCTCTTGTCCAAACTCTATTAATTAAACCAAGCCAAATTTTGCCATATCCTGCTAAGTTTTCTCTTAACTGTACCCTTTCCTCTTCGGTACTATATTCAACCAGCCTTCCTAATCGTTCGGTGCAAAATTCTCTTGCATCTAACCAAGTTCTTCTTCTTTGACCAGAAAGTAGTTTAATACACCTACCATTGATATCCGGTACAACGCCTTCAATTTATATATTGTATCTTGTAGAAAAGAAATATAAATTAAAAGGAGAAAACTAAAAACTTACATTTAAACTGAACGAATTCGCTACAATCCTCAAAAATAACATTATATCGACCTCCTCCATATGATAAGGATGCACATTGCGGTTTTTCTTGGGGTACTCGAACTTTTTGATCAAACGACAGCCCTTATGTTGAATAAAAGAAAGTGTATTTATATTTACTTGTTTATATTCAATAAAGCGTATGTTGTAACATAATAATAAATACGATAAGATCAATAAAGAGAGAAATATACCGCTTTCCCAATAAAAAGTTTTATTTTCCTTGTTAAACTCTGAAAATCTTGGTTTTTGGGTAATAAAATTAACCCAGAGTTTATCTTGCCTTTTATCTTTCATCGCGTGTTCAATTTTAACCAAATCTTTCATATTCTCTTTATACAATAGACCCTTTTCTTTGGTACTGTTTGTGCACAGAAGTTGCGCCTCGTTCCAATTCATACTAAAGCTCCTTTCCTTGACAATAAATTCTTGCCGAGTCCATTGACATTGAATATAATCGAGTTGAAGGGAGAATATTAAGCAAAAGATTAAAATAATTTCCCCTTTCATCTTAACACTTCCCTAATATCGTCTGGTTAAGAAAAACTAAGGAATTTGTTCTGTGTTGACAAACTTTAAATAAAAACCTCGGAGACAAACGACATATACGTAATACAATACTTTTAATTCATACAAATGAAGACAGCGTGTTTGTCAAGTATTTTTACAGACAATTTTGCTATTTTGTTTAAGATAAAGTAGAAAAATTGCATATATACAATTTCAATACCAGACCATTGTTCCCTTTTTTATTGTTTAAAGTTAAGCATAAATAAGTCAAAGTTCTGTTTTTATCGTTATTTTTGTATTCTCCTTTTCTGTCTTTTTTTTTAAAAAACAATAAAATCTAAAGTATATAGAAGGAAGATGATACGCTCAAAAGAAGCTCTTTAAAGAAATATAGATGGCGACACGAAAATATATATCTTTCCTTTTAAAATATAACATTTAATAATTTCATATTAGTGTAGTAGAAAATAGACAATATAAAACGAACAGAGAGTACTGCAATATCCGGTTAAAACTACAATTGCGCTATTTCTAGATTTTTTGTAAACAACGTTCACTTTCCCTCTGGTATTATTAGATATTAAATCTCTTCCGGTCAGAGTTGTTTGGTAAGAACTTTTAGGTGTAAAAGGCTGATTTCTGTTTATATTTGAATATTGATCCTTTTCCTTTAAAATTTTTGAAAGAGGTTGCTTATTAGTAGTTGAAACGTTACTTTGAATTGTTGTTAATGATTCAATTATTGTTGTTGGTTGTGGCGATGTCAAAGATGTTCTATCTTTAATAAAACTTTGAGAGTGTAGGGCTGAATTAAGCATGCAGGGAGATAAGGGGAAATATTTATCGAATAATCTATCTATGATGCCGCTTCGCTTCAGCTTAACTAGGCCATCGTTAATCGACCTTATCAAATCTTTCGAATCCTTTTTAACTGCGTAAGAAAATTCCATACTCTCAATAATTTCATCTTTAGCTTTTAAACCACATTTTCTATTATGATAATTATTGGTTAAATATAAAGCATTCAATGAATCTATTATTAAATATAATTTCTCCTTTTTCAATCTATTTAAAGCTTCTTCTATTGAGTGTACAAGCATAAACGATCTATTTTCTTGAATAACATGCCATAATTGTTTCAGAAGCGGATTCCTTGAATATTTTATAGTTTGTTGAGCCGAAGATTTATGAATTATTATGAAATTACTGCTATTAAGTAAATCCGAAAGATGTATTGATTCTAGAGAACTATCACCCCATCCAACAATTGCTAAGGACGAAAAGAGTATTGGTTTCGTAGCCGTTAGAACCTTCTCCAACCTCCTCGTCACTTTTAATGGAATTGCTGTCATGATAGCCTTCTGAAAATGATATATTATCAGTGACAAAAAACATATTTTATCAATTATTTTATTTAGATGCTTTACTAGAATTCCTAACATGAAAGTTAATTAATTGTTCTTACCCCCTTTATAACATCGCCTATTAAACCTGACCATTTACCATTTCGTAATTTCCTACCCATTCTGCCTTTCTGTTCTAATACGATGTTGAATTTAAATGGTATTACGCTTGATAAGTGATGGAATAATTCGGGTGTATAACCGGAAAACTCAACAGTAGACGAATTTTTGGTTCGTACGTATAAATAGGGTGGATTCTGTGGAAATCAAAGAATAACATTATATACTTGTATAATATATTATACAGTTAGTTTTGATAAACTGTGCTAATTTCTTTCTTCTTATTATCGTATTTTCAGAGAAGAACTTACTTCAATACCAATTGCCTTTATAACATTATCCATTCTTTTCAATGACGCATTATTGATTGGAGTTGTAATTTCTCTATTCTTTTCAACTTCCGTTTGTACTTGTGTATTTTCCTTTAAAGATGTTGCCTCAAGATCTTTCGTATAAATAAATTAAATTACTTCTCTTACAGAAAAATACAGAGAATATGAGAAGAGGAAAAGAGGAAGATAGGAGAAGAAAGATTTTCAACAATAATTAGTAGTTTAACACTATTGACTAACCGATAAGCTTATAAGTTCGCGTAGTTGAATCGAACTTATAAATATCCTTTGTAGGATGAAAAGATGGGGTAGTTGGTAGTCCAGGTCGAATAAAATAATCCCGTGATTTTACGCATTTATCATTCCAATATTTCCTTCTCAGACTCGATAGGAGACTACGGTTTCCAAGTAGAGATCTCAGACCTTTGTCAACCCTTTTTAGCAAATGTAAACTTTGCTTGGAGGCAGCAAAAGCATATTGAAATGTCTCTGGAAATTCGCAGACTATATGTAAATCGCATCTACCACGTTTATTAATGAAATAGTAGGCATAAGATGACTCAATGACGAACAAATGTCTTCTTGTTAGAGCTCTATGAAATCCATCATATTCATTTTTTACGTAATTTCTGTAATCCTTTATATTTTTATGAATTATTCGATAATGTTCATTTTCTCCCTTTTTGAGCATTCTATGAACGAAACTACCATAAATACAACTAAATCTGTAACGATGGCCTCTCAGCGAATCGATCGACAGGGTACCGAACTTCCTGGAGGCTACAACGACGAATTTAAATTGTTCTATTGGCGTTGAATAGCTTATAGATTTGAAGTATTCTCTCACTATAGGTAAAGGTGCTATAGAAATGTTGCATTTCTGAAATATTTCATTTCCACAATTTAATTAAATTACCAATATCATTAAAATAGGAAAAAGGAGTAGTTGGATAAGGTCAGAAGTAATAAGAAATTGTATAAAGTCAAAGAATGAGAGAAAGTAAAAAGTAAAAAAAAGAGAAAGAAAGTGTATATGTGTGAGAGGGAAAGAGAGAGAGAGTGTGTGTGAAAAACGAGGGGGGCGTAGAAAGAGTGAAAGACTATAAATTTCAAAATAAAATATTGGCATAAATAAAGTATCTCCATAATTCTAACCTGATTAATTAATTCACGAATTACGCAATTCCATTTATCATATGAGTATTTTTTGCAGCTTATTCCGTTACTTATCCAATTTAGAACATAATTAAGGTGTTGACTCCTGGCAACTAATTTTAATATATCTACGTGATAACCATAAAACTTTTGATTTCCACCCAAACTTGGATCGTAATTTATTTTGATGTAGGGCTCAATCTGTAATTAAACTTTTAACCTTAAAGAATTTTTGCATAATTATAGTATAATTTAATAAAATAAATAAATTTACAGGAAAAACAGCAACTTTTGCAGCATTCTTTGCTTCGTTTAAGATATCTGGTTGAGTTTTTACTGGAATAAAAAAAAAGATATTGATATTAACCGATTAACACAAGTTGAAGAAAATTTTTTAATTTATTGACCTTAAGTTATCAATAGGAGAAATCGTTTAGGAAAAGAAAACAACTAGTGTTATTCTATACGATATTCCCTGATTAACAAGGATTTGTTGGGCGATACTACATAAAAAAATAGTCTTATATCGACTAAGTTGTTCAACTATAAAAAGGCACTGAATAGGGCAAACAAAGGGCAAATAAGTGACTTTTTTTTGTTAAAAAAAAAGAAAGAGATTGAATATGAATGCCGAAGTGGAAAAGGAAAAGGTGAATGAGTTAATTTGCAATAGCTTGAATCATAAAAAAAATACTTATAGTTGAATATAGTGGGAAAATCATTACTTTTTTTATTTTATACTTAATTAGAATTGAGGAATTGTCGAATCGAAGAAATCAATTGCCTGTTTTTTGTGTCACCGTAACGCAACATTCGTAAAAAATTCTATCAATAGAAACTACATTGCCAAATGGAAAAAAAAAAGATAAAACCCTAATTACTCAATCATAATCTTTGCTTTAGGCCTTCATTTTCAATATAAAAACTCTTTGAAAAATATCCATTTTAATATTATGCTTAAAACGATTCCAAATGGATTATAAAACTAAGTCAACGAACTGCAAGTATCCTTTAGTTTAAGCTCTATGGTCTAAGCAAATAAGGATGTTTATTCTCAAAGGATTATCTATTAGAGGAAAACCGAAATGGAGAAGATTTACAGGGAAAATTAGATGCTTCGATCGCTTATAATTTGATGCTATAAGATAGATTTATTGACTATAGCAAACCGCTTAGAATATTAAAGAGACGGATGAAGAAATATGCATTCTCAACACATTATCTATTTACGATAAATTATATACCATGAATAGCCTATAGGATGACAACTCTTGCAATAGCTTTTCTATACATCATGTACTGAAGGATAGAAACTAAGTAGAAGAAAAAATGAATTATAAATATAGAAAATGTGTTCACCTAGACAAAGGGGAAAAGACAAAAAATATGATAATCAAATATGTAACAAAAGAGAAAAGAAAAGGAGATAAATAGGTAAAAAATGGTTATTTTTATATAATCTCTTCATTTTAGGATTTACTTCTTAATTAGAATACTAATAACTGAAGGAAAAACTGCTAAAACTAGCCATTATCTCTTTTTTATAAATATCGAATAGCCAATTAATAATACCTTTTTTATATAATAAAGTCTATTAAATCTAGTGATTTCTTCTGTTTAAAACAAACTAAACTCATAAAGAACTGTAATAAAAAAAGGTATTTTACTTTTGTTAAATATAAGAGACAGCTGAACAAACTAAAAGCATTTTTCTAGTCAAATAAACACATATTTACAACTAAAAACAATAACAAAGTAATACTTCTCCTCTCCTTATCCAAACATTCCGTACAAGTAAACATATTACGCAATATCTATACATTTTTATATGATATACTATTAAATATGTGAAGATTATAGATAATCTCTCTTTAAATCTTGCATCCGAAAAGAAAAAACATAAAGAAATGTTAGGGAATAAAATTGGTACTTTGTCTATTCTTATCAACTTCTTTTGATGTAAAATACAAAATCTCTCATATCAATAACTTAATAAATCAGTTTACTTACCTCTGATTTCCAGTAGTATGGAAATTCCAAAAAGGAAAAGGCAAAGATATTTAATCATCAATCCTCCGATTCTTTTCATTTCAATTCTTTTCAGTTTTGTTTACTTTTCTATGCAAATTATCTTAAGATTAATATCTTACAAGTGTTTTTCTCCTCTTTAAATATTTTTAGCTCAAGTAAAAAATTATAGATTTTCAAAGAATAAAGAAACAAAAGAGGCTTTAATCGTGAATATAGAGTATAGCTTCATCAAGAAAAGTTGCATGTTCATTGAAAGAAATCTAGCGCACTTCTGGCGCGAGTAGCGTTTGACTTAAATAATATCCCTAATCAATACTTTTGCCTTGTCAATAAAATGAGAATCGTTGTGGACTTTTCCTTCTCTCGCTGCCCCCTTTTTTATTCTTTCTTAAAGTACAAAAGAGAACCCCCATGTTTCTTCTTTAGATTCTCTCTCATACCCTCCTACCCGTTTTTTTTTCTTCGATTACTTTTTACATCAGCATCATTAGCTTTTCCTTTTTTCTCTCAGTTTCGCTCATTTCTCGTTTTTTCTTTAAATATTTTTTTCAGAAAAAAATTTATACAAAGCCGTATTATGATAGAAAATATACGGGAACAGTATATATATATATATATATACGTATATTACCCGCCTGTAAATCTATCTACATAATTCGTTCTCTTCCACTCATTCTTTCTTTTCATCTCTATTCGACTTCTATTTCCTACTATCTTATTTAAATCAAAGAGGAGAAGAAAACGTCATTTTGTACAAGACATGCTAGATTCGTTTGTAAAATTTAATCTAATTTTTTGCTATATTTTTGTTAATTAGCCTACTTAGCTATGAAATTGCATTTTCAAAAATTTATAAAGTTCTAAATACAAATATATTGTTACTATAAGCTTCTATAAAACACATATATATATATATATATATATATATATATATATATATATTGTAGATATATGCTTATACTAATAGTTTTGAACACTTTGTTATGTTCATATAAAGATTTTTTTTACTATAGTACTTTACATCATTAGTTATATTAGTCTATTAGTAGAGTTGTTAGAACAATCGCTTGATCAAAGCGACATCTGCTGCGTTAACTTGAAATTAAAAGCGATGTAGAATATTTTTGGGTAATATTTAGTTGGCTAAATGCGAATGAGTGTAAAAGGATGTAGCTATATACTGTATATATATATATATATTAGTGTATATATTAATATATATATATATCTTCATTTTTTACTAAACTTTAGGAGAGTTTTTCTTCTTGATACTCATTAAATCAATTGAATAACTGGTCCAAGAACCGCTTTACTTCTCACTGAAGGCGTTCCCCTATAGCTGAAGGGTATGGAAGAGTGCTTAGAAGAGATTATTATGTCTCCTTCCTCTTCGGCAGTTAATTCTCTTATGCGAGTTATCGCACTTAAAATGCCAACCAACTGGAACAAAATTAAGTATATCGTCTTTGTTTTTATTGCTATTTCATTTATAATACTTAAGAAAAAAATAGAATTACCTGTAAAACGATACATACGACAGACAATAGCAATATCACTACTATATAAATTGTCTCTATTCGATCGTTTATAGCTTTATAACAACCATGATAAAAATTTGAAGAAGCTGCACTCGCAGACAGCACGCATCCGTGAAAGATTTCATATAAATCTTTATTCTTAATAGCGTGATTGTAAAACTTGACATTACTTTCCTTTAATTTACAACAAGAAGGTGGCACAAGTATCTAAAGTGAATGAGTGAAAATAGACCTGAGATAAAGAATAGTTAATTAAAAGCGTACCTGAACGCTCTGAATTCCCAAATAGGGAGATATACTTGTGAAATTCATATCAACGACGCTGTTCCATTTCTTAAACTTTTTGTAGTTCTGAGAGTAAATATTACCATTCTTTACACCGCAACATTGATAAGCTATCTGAATTTTGTCAATCGCTATAGAGAGATCATTTTTTGATACGCTAAACTTTTTATCTATAAACGAAAAGGAGCATCCCTCGTAAGAATCAAAAACGAGCTGTTCTATATACTTTTCTAAGCCTTTTTTGAAATTCTCCATTTTTACAAATACCGTTACAAGAATGATTACATGAATCAGAGTTACTAATGAGGTAGAAAATATGTAAACGTATAGGCAGTAGCGATTATTGGATAGACCAGTAATTGAAATAATAATAATTATCATTGATATGCAAAGTATAGCTATCATAGTATCATTTAATAATTTTGGCAATGGTATATGTTTTAAAGAATTCTCTATATCTTCATCGAATGATAATATCAATCTTCGAAACTGAGGAAAGTCGGCGACCGAGTAGGCGGTCATTATAAGCATGATGGCTCCGCATTGCTGTCCAAAATTAGGACTATTACTATTATTTTATTTATTATAGTATATAAAGTATAATTATATAAATAATCAATATATCTGTGTACATATATTTTTGCTTTAGTATAAATATACCATAAAAATCAGGCTAACTGTAACCAAACAACATCTAGCAACTGTACATAGCATTTTCTTTATACAAACTATTAATACTTCTTTATTCTTTTTACTATTTCTACCAAAATTCTTTATAGATTTTTAAATATTCGAAATTTCTCTTGTAAACTTAAGTATTTTTATTATTTATTTTGTCTTTTATTCATTTATTCATTAGTTTTATTAATTTTATTAAAGAAAACAAGTGATTAAGTAAACTTTATCTTTATTATTTATATTGATTTTTTACGGATAATTTAATTAATTAATTGGTTTACTATAAATAAACATTTGAATAGCAATACTAACAATAATAATATCAGTAATAATAATAATATTGTGCTTTTCTCTTCAGTTCCGTTCTCATTCTTTCCATAGTTCTATCGTTGAAGAAGAGTTTATCACTTAAAAAATAATCTGTATAGAGCTCAATGTAACCTTAAAGATTATTAAGTCAAAAGCAAAGTATCGCAGATATTTTATAAAGCAACTAATCCCTCAATATTCCGTCTTTTTCCAAGCTTTATAAAAAAAAGCACACGTATTCACACACATAAAGATTCACAATTAAGAAGGGAAAGAAAGTAATGTTTTTTTCTAAATCTAGTATATGTTCGATAGTGGAGGACAAGAGATATAGACAAAGTGCTTAGTCTTTTCTTTTTATTGAATAAAAATAACTCTACATACGGGAAAAAGGATAAAAGATATTCGCAATGATTTTTTTTACACTTTCTACGTCCACTTTTAGTGCTTTGGTTGGATTCAGAAATGATAATAGCCCTTAAAACCAAATGACAGTTTGTTGGATAGAAACTGACAAACACCTTTATTTCAGGTTGTTTTCTTTTTTCAATCAATAATTTACTAACGTTAAAAGTTGAAAACAAACCTCAGAAACTTTTTCATCTTATGAAATGTAATAATATACATTTACACTTAAATAAATGAACATTTCTTTTATGTTATACGGTATCATATTATTCGAATAGATCAAAAATATGATCTTTACTCTTCAAATATCTACAAAATTATAAGCTAATGATATAAATATAGTAGTAAGGTTTGTGATATCATTTATGCTCTTTTATTCAAAGATCATCCTATTTAATTGTACTATACTAATTATCATATAATTATATCGACTTAAAATCTAAAACTATATATCTTTTAGGTATTTTTTCTTGTAAACAACAACATTTCGCCTTTTTTCAAGCTTGGAATTTGAAATTGATAGCTTTGAAAGGTTAGGTGATTTAATATAACTCTTTTCCTCCTGTAAAGGCAGATAATTCATTAGATTCTCTCTACTTGCTCTCTCTTTCCTTTTTAATAGGATAAGAATTATTGACAGAACCATTTGAAGAATCTGTAAAATTAATTAGCGCTATTGTTGTTATTATAATTAGTAGCAGAATTTATTTTAATATTCAATTTAACTATAAAGTCAATAATTGTTGTTTTTTTTACCATAGAAGAGATAAAAATTGCATAGGCTATCCGTATTCTAGACCCAAGCTGGACTCGTAAATAATCTCCCAACGCACCTTTGCATCCAGTATAAAGGTTGGCGTTGAAATTATTCGGCTGTACTAGACATTTTTGGACATTGACAAATTTCAGATCGTAAATGTTTGTTGAGAATTCACAATCCTTTTCTAACTTGCAGCAAGAAAGTGGAATTTCTTTCTATTATAAATTTTTTATAGAATGAATTCATCTAATTATAATTTATTTTATTGATGAAAACAACTCACCTTAATTTTAGATGTTATCATAAATTCCCCAATTTTTCTTTTTATATTTATAACTTTATTCCATTTTGAGGCTTTCTGAAAATCTTTATAGTCATCTATGCCACAACACTGTAGCTTTTTTTTTAATGATTTGATTGTGATTTGTTATTATTTTTTAAAAAAAAAAAAAGGAATAAGAAAAAATAAGTAGATAATTTTACATTTCGGAAAGTAGATGGAATTTTATTAGCTTACTCCCAGGGTTAGAACAAGCCATAAAACAGTTCCGAATTTTCTTACTACTTTCACCTCAAACTCGTCTTTTAAAGTATTATTCTGTTTTATATATATCCCTTCGAAAGAGTGTATTAAAATGTGTCTTAAATCTGGTTCTATTATCTCTGAAGCGTTCCCTTTTATATTATAAATAAAAATTGTAGTTAATATTAAGAAACCAATCATTAATGAGTGTATTGATTGAAGCAGAGTTCTTTTCATAAATGACCCTATAAAACCAAAAATTGATGTCAAACTGATAAGAATAGATACTGTACAAAGATATGTTAAAATTGCAAGAACAGTATCAGGAATTTCGAAATCTTCTATTAGATCCTTTATTAGGTTATTAGTCTCCTTTCCGAAAGAAAATTGATCCAGAGTCCACTTTACTACGTATTTGTGTTGTTTAAGAAAAAAGATTAATCCTGAAAACACCGACAAAGAAATGAACTGCAAAGAGAAAGGATTCTATTTGTACATGTTATTTTAGTAAACATACTGGAAAATATTTATAAAGTATATATTTACATTATATATATATATATATATATGTTACTTTTATTTATTATCATAATTACTGTATTATACACATTTATGATAATTATCTACATCTTAAAGAATTAATAATAGAAATACTAACAAAAAATATAAAGTTTATAAGAGATAGTAAAAGAGTGACACTGTGACGGAACCAGGTTAAATCCATAATCGGTTTTATTTTGTCTCTCTAATTAAGTAAAATTATTTTGCTATCAAAGTTTTCAAAATAATTGCGTGACGAAAAATAGATTCGACAAGCCTTAATTATAGCTTTCTATATAAACTAAGAAAACAGAATTCCAGAAATAAAAACAAAACGCTGCAAAACTTGCAAACTGAAGAAGAAAATAGAATTTCTTTTTTCTCTCCTTTTTTTTACCTAGTTTTTTTTTTCACAAGGATTATTTTAAACGATTTCCAGATGTTGAACAGGAAATGATTTCTCTATAATAAAAATGTAATTATTAAATGAAAAAGGTGGCGAAAGAAAAGTTTGTAGGAGATTTTATTGGTTCATACGGAAGAAACAGGAATAAGAGATTATCTCCAATTCCCTTCTTTTATCTTAGGAAGAAGGAAAAAAAGTAATTTATATAGATTAAAAGATTTGTCTCATGAATTATTAATTAAGAATTAAATAGATGAGAAAACCATAGATGTAAAGTTATAATAGAAATTGCACATAAAATAATTATTAATTATATTTCTTAGTTCAATATGCTTTTGTTTTAATTTTCTTCAAAGAAATACATCTTATATTGTAGTTGTAAAAGAATCATTGATGAAGAGTTTTTATTGTGAATTGAGTTACAATAAGAAAGAAAACAATATTCAAAAAGTCACTTTACTCTTAGTAATGTTAATCATTTTTAATATTTACAAATATTTATACCTTTGTACTAATTCACAATTCTTACGACAGAAAACTGTGGATTATACAGTAAAAAGAGATGTCAGGTGAGTGCTTTTGTCTTTTACGCAAAAGGAAGAGAACTTTGTACGCCATATATATCATTTTATATCAGATTCTGTAGTATGAAAGATATGAGCAAACACAACAAGACCTCCCAGAGGAAGAATTATCAGAAAGAGAAAGGTGCAAAAGAATAAATGATCTATCACTTCCGCTATTTTCTTCCACTCTTGTGTAATTTTCTCTCGTTTAGCCTTCTCATCCGCTGAACCTCTTTCGGATTCAGTTTCGGAACAAGCGCAAACTTCTTTCATTGGTTTGCATTCGTTTTCCGATGGACTTGAGACAAAGGTCATTGTAATGGAATTCCGAAGTTGTTGTTTAGTATGCCAATGAGTATGGCTCTTTTGGCATAATAGGGGTGCTAGGCAATCGAATACGAATGATTGCAGCCATTTGGGCGGTTTCTTCTCTGAACCTTTATTATTAAATAAATCAAGAAAAAAAACTAAGTAATTCCATCGTTAAACGGTAAAGTCAACACATTAACAAGAAGAGAGCAATGCCATTTCCAGTTATTTATAGCATTAATTTATCACTCGCACTTACCTTTGAAATGCAGCTTCAGAACGATTGTACTAGCCATAACAGACAATGCTGTAATTGCCATAAAATACATCAAATAAATAGCAATAATTGGTACTGCGTCAGATGTATCCGGAACCTTTTCGGCCACTATTAGCAAGAAAACCTAGAAATACAATAAAAGAAAACAGAAAGTAGAAAACAAAATGATTGAAAAAGAACAGCAGAGAGAAGGAGGAGAGAGGAAAAAGAGAATTTATATAGATAAAATTACTAACTGAAAATGCAACCAGTATTGAAACACCAAGATTAACTTTCTCTCCAGAGTCGGCCGGTAATAAAAAGGTCATTAATAAGACAAAAGAAAGCATCTGAAAATGAAGATATCTTATTTTTTTCAATTGTTAGATGATGAGACTTTATAACAGGTAATAAGAAAATTTCAACTAATAACTTACTATACATGGTAGTAGGATATACATAAAATAAAAAGTATATTTTCTCCTAATAAATATACTGAAGAAGACTTCCGGAAATTGTTCATCCTGATAATATTTATACTCGACGTTTTCGTATCGTACAAGTGTTTTATAAACTTCCCATTCTCCGTGCTGTAGATACGTCTCCAATCCAAATCTGTTAAATTGTTGAAAAGCGATACAAATCTAATATTAACAAATTCTCTTTTTATAAATCAATCCACTATTCCTTATTCGTCTTCGTTTTATTCCTCTTTCTTTATCTATTGACTATATATCTATATACATATAGAATAAATTGACTGTATATAAGTTATCTCATGATAAAATAGTATCATAAAATTCTTGTTCTAAAACGAAGCGAGACTTTATAAACTGATCCCCAGATGGTCACTTATCAAGGGTGGAACGTATAATTTTAATCAACTTAGGCCTTCTTAACTTACTCGTGTTTTGAGATGTTAAATTGTAGCTTCTCCGAATTATAATGCCATGTTTCCACTTCCATTGTACAATATTGATTATCGAACGGATAGTAATTCATATCAAGGGCACAAGTAAAAGCAAAAGTACCCCCAGGTTGCCATCTGGCTTCGCCTGTACTCCTGACTGTAATCCAAAAGTGACGGTATGTTTGAAACATTCTATCCGCCCTGAGATAAGAACAGTCATTAGTTTTCAATAAGAGTTTTTAATAAAGTCATGAATAAAAGGTTAAAATAATGAACCTAGTGGTATTAAGGACTATTTCATGATATTCTGTCTGTTAAGGGATTTAAATGGATATTTGAGGTCAACGAGTCTTTAGAGTGGGTATTTGTAAAGGAATCATTCTCCATCTTAAGTGCATGAAACCGTTAAATTCAACTACTGATACATCTTAGGATTAGATTAGGTTCGTTCAGGCACAGCGATTCTCTTGAAAGTCCAGCGGAAACGAATGACACATACAGAAAGAACGAAACGACGCCTATCTAAAGCTATAATCAGCAAAGTAAATACGCCTCTACGCTGGTCGTCTTATTGTCCTACAAATACACAAATTGGAAAGATACTCGCCTAACGCCACTACCAAAAAAAAATGTCACTTTTATACAACATGTTCTATACTTACGAATTACCAATGGCCAAACTAGGTGTCCATATGTGTCTTGGATCGAGCACTAGAGATGATATATTCCCATACTCTTCAGGATCCCACATTAAAAACTCATCGAGCTATTTATTTAATATATTGAGATGATCAATTAATTATTAATAACAAATTATTATACTGTAATAAATAAAAAGAACTCCATACCCATTCTGCCGTTAACCAACCACTAATTGCTAATATTTGACGCTTTTCATCCTGTTTAAAATATTCGAAAAAGAAATTTTACTCTAAATGTTTCCTTTCTTTTCCTTCTCTAAATACAAGTTTACATCGTTTTATTTCCTATTCATAGAGCGAAACGATATATTAAAAGTATAGAAATTGTACCTTAAAAGAGATTAATATTTTGTGGAGAATTGCTACTAGAGGATAAAAGATGGAGATTGGAATTTTCTTAAAAAATGAAATAACAATAAAAAACTCTTGGAGAGAATATCATAGGTAGCCATTTTCCCCCCTTTTTCTCTTTTATCTATTTTTTCCCTATTTTACCGTAATGCAATTCTATCTTTACTTACTAAATCATAAATTTGCTGTAGGGAGAACCGGATCCTTACGACGACGGTTTCAGAAGAGTTGTACCTTGGTCTAACTATCGGATCATAGTTGGTCAAAAGGTCTTGCACAAGATCGTATTCAGTAGAAAAGTGAACTGAAACATAAGAAGAGTTTGTGGGTTTTTAATTTCTCTACAATTGTTTACGCAATCGATAAGATATTCGGCGTTTATATAAAGAAACGGTTAAATTTATAAATTTGTATATATCTATTTACTGCATTCATCGAATACAAGTAAAATTATATAAATATACAGAATGAATATATACATATTCAACTGTGATATAGAAGTTAAGACGAATTTTTCAAGGTAAACTTGTTAAAAGTATTAAATAAAGCTATGTTTATTTTTAGAACGAATAACTTTCATTTTTTCCATTTAGTTTCCAATTCAGATAAAAGAAAAAGATAAAACTAAAAAAAGAGAGAAAAAGAATTAACAGCAGAGAGGAAACGAAAGGGAAAAAAAGAGAGAAAAAACCGAATGAATATTTATTATGTGATAAATATACTTATTCAGAAACAGAGGTAAAAATTAAATGAGCTATTATATATTTAATCAAAATGCCGTAACAAAATATATCAAGCCACCAAAGTGCTTTTTCTATAAACAACGAAATAGGAAAGGTTCAAAGCCCGAAGGGAATCTCTTTATATTGAATAAAAAAAGATTTAAAAGCATACAAACCTTTAGACTTTTCTCTATTCTTGGTCTTCTTCCTACCTTTTTTCATTGAACAAACCCCCTCAAAGAGTACAAGAATTAAAAGTGAAGAGAGTAACGCTACCGACGTGCGCATATTGTTAATAGACAGTGGAATGCATACATTCAACGACAGGTGTCGCTAATGGTAAAACTGTGAAATGATAAGACGCTTAAGTATATCTAATAAATATTTTTAAAAGTCAACTATATCACTGCTAAATGATCAGAAGACTGTATAATGATGACGAAGATGGATATAGTTGTTTAATTGGGTATTGTGAGAAAAAGTAAGATAGAATATATGAGAACAACGTCAGTTGACGACTAACTTACCTTAAAATAGAATTTTTTAATGGTTTTAATTATTATACAGATTTTATGGTAAAATAGTTTACGCATTCATCCCTGTTTAATGGGCCTTCTAAACTTGTCTATGAATTTTTCTTCATATTTTCTATTTCTTTCTTTTAGCAAAATCTAAAATCCTATTATTTTTCTCTTTACCCTCATCCGTATCTCACTCTCTTTTCTTTCTCTATACACCCATCCATTACATAGTTCCTGCTCGATGAGACTATTAGTCATTTGCTTTTTCATTTGAGGAACGCCTCACCGTCAAATAAGGTCACGACACCGATTTGATTCCACAGATAAGATTTCTCTTACATGCTTGTTTTTAAATTATTATTCTATGTAGTTTTTGTATGTTTTTATTTTATTTTTTTGTTTGTTTATATATCATTATAGCAAAAGAAAATGGTAAGCGTAACAAGCTAACGAAACATATAGCAGCAGTTTTCTAATATTGCTTCCGGTTTTCTCAACTCCAGATCTTGTGAGAAAAGGTATGGAGCGACCTGATTTGTGACTTCCATCACCCGACCAACTTGCAAAAACTCTTGTAGGACTACTTGCAGCTCCATCTATCAGCATTGGCATGATTTGAACGGTGGCTCCACGCGTTGGTATATTGCTCATATCAGCTAAGTTTTTCAATGTGTAAACATTATTATCATATAATTGACGCAATGCCAAGAGAACGGACGATTGACCTCTGTCAACAGACGGAGCGTCGATTCCCACGCCGTAAATTTTTCTATTATGAACAAGCCACGCAGCAGCCTCGGCATCCATACCTGGCCAAGAAAGTTTCATAATATTTTTATCCTTTGTTCCGTAATATTTTTCAGAATTTTTCCAGTAATTCGACCAACCGGTTTTTATAAGAACAAGACCACCCTTAGGTATAATGCCATGCTTTTTTTCCCATTCGGCGATATAGGTTTCTGTGAGTCTGTAATTCCTGTTCCTCCTGCATTCGGCTTCAATGTCAATTACGACCGCAGGGAGAATGAGTCGATCAAATGTTAAATCCTTAACTGAAAGACCGTTTGAATTAAGTCGACGAGGCGATTCTATATGAGTTCCCGCCGAATTATAAATAACGAAGTGAGTCTCAACAGCCCTTAAAGAAGAGGTGAAAAAATAGGTTAGAAATTTACAGTTGTACAAGATTTATATAATAATAAAAAATAATAATAAACGCAAAACATACACAATGTACATTACAATTTATAATTGTCTTTTCTGCGTGTTCCGGCAAGTATACTTTTATAATAAATACAATTTTATGTTTATACTGTATATATATATATATATATATATTATATATGTATATGTGTGTATGCGTGTGTGTGTGTGTGTGTGTGAGAGAGAGAGAGAGAGAGAGAGAGAGAGGGTTAGTAGATACATATATATTTGCATATTAATCTCACGTACAAGCTACATCTGTTTGTATAAATGTCTAATCATTAAAAATGTATATTTACAGAATCTAAATAATAATGCGCGGCTTCAAAGTCATCAATTATTTATTATTACGTATAAAGAGAAGAAGAAGAACTATATACAGAAAACTGTCATGTCCTTTTATTCACTTCTTACATATTGTTTACTGTCTTTAAGCGTCCATATAAGGCGTCTATTATTAATATTTTTCGCTTATGTTATATTTGGAACTGAATATATTATACGTATATATAAACATATATATATATATATATATTTGTATATTACTTACCAATATTTATATGCATTACTACTCTCTTCGCCCTTCAAGTCAGCTACCTTCTTCTTTTCATAAAAGGCTGACTTTTCAGAGAATAACGGCGTATGATAATTGAATGGATGAGTTAAATCCACTATTTTATCATTCCAAACTCTATCGATATTAGATTTCTTCGACTGTTTGGGTGTCTGCTTCACTGTTTTCTTTTTCTTTGTAGTAGTATCACTAAGTATGACTAAAGTCATTAAAATTAACAATAGTAATCCTCTCATCGTTCCATATGAAGGGTAATATATGTGAAAACTTTGAAAAAAAATTAAAACTTGGCCAATCGTATACGTTAAAAGGTCGATATAAATATAGTATAGTGATTGTCTAGCACACAAAGCCGTCAAAGAATAACCTTTTCAACAATTTTAACTTCGTCAGCGCCATCTTCCGTTGTCAACGTGGAAAAATATATCGCACATTATACACCTCGTTAGAGAGATCTCTCTGTCCCACCCCCCGACCCCCTGCCTTACTTTCGTCCCTTCCATTTCTTGTTCTCTGCATGCGTGTGTCTTTAAACTTGATATTTATCTCGCATTATTCTTGTAATCTACTGCAAAGCAGAAGAAAAAATTAGGGCGACCTCTGGTGGATTAAAACTTTATAATATTTTTTTCCCATTTAGATCACTAAACTCTTGTCAAGTGTAATTAAAAAAACGAAAAATCATTAATTGGTTGTAAAGATTTTCAAAGAAATTAATTAATAATTAAGGATAAATTTCGTTCCTCTTTTTATAACTTTCTGAGTTCTTAATGATTTAGAGAGAGGAGGCGAAGGAGGAGTTGGCTCATTAACCAAAAAATACCCATTTCTTTTCCCTTTTTTCCGTTTTAACACTATTAATTCACTTGCCTCTGTCAAAATATTTTTCATTTTTTTTTCAAATAGGCCTAGAATCAATTTTATAATCTTATCTTGTTCATATAAGTTATATATGAGTAGTTTTCAATTATCTTGTCAAACCATAAACCAAGTATACTTAAAAAATAATCATTACTTTATAAAAGTGCTAATAACAGTTTTCTATACTATTTTTCATTCTCTCTCTCTCTCTCTCTCTCTCTCTCTCTCTCTCTTTCACTGCCACTATCAACGTACTAATACATATATGTATATATACACTGTGTATATCCTTTTTAATTGTCAACGAAAAAAAACAGACTAGGCCTAACTTCTTTCATTCAACATACATAATCGGTGAACAATGTACATATAGAATTTCAATTGTTTTTCATATAGGTAGAATTATGAAAGTTATAATTTTTTTCCATATTTATAACGTAATTGTTTATACTAATTGACCTTTTTACAAGATAGGAAAAGCAAAAAAAAAATGGAGGACTCTTCTTTTATTTCTTTTTTTCTATTGCAAACTGTTTCTTTAATACAAATCGTACTTTTCCTCGACGGAATAGTCAATCTAACTAACTATACAACATATATATATATATATATACGCCTAGCAAAAATCGATAGGACGTCCACTGCAACAAGATGGCGGTGAAAATAGCGTTTAGAAAACTGCACTATTCTGTTAGATTTTTAACAATTTCAACGTTATTTGGTTTAGTATCTTTGACAACACCTTGTTGGGCATTATTTAACGTTGATGAAGGATCTAGTTCAATATATTTCGGGCTTTTTCATCTCTGCTTAAAAGTGGATGTATGCGACTATATAGGCGACTTTACAGATCAGATCCCATGTGAGTATTTTATTAAAATATTAAGATAATCTTGTATCTTAGATTTATTTATATTTTAATACATTTTTTTAAAATTGATTAATTCTTCTTTCGATTCCAAATAGTATGGTATAAACTGCTTTCTGGAGCCTTTGGATTGGGAGTATCAGCATGCCTTGTATGCTTGATTGTGTTAATGGGACATAAGACAAGAATAGGTTTACGAATGAGCCTTGCTGCCAGAAAAGTCATTTCAATAATTCTTATATTTGCCAGTAAGTATAATCTGATTTTCTCATTATTAAAACAAATACTAGATTACTGGATTGTTTGAAATAAACCAGAGACTATAATTTAACAGTAGAAACAGTATATATCACTTTAAATTTTGTTTCAGTTTCTCAACAACTATTAGCACTCTACTTATTTGGCGCACATATACAAGATGTAGGGGAATTTCTCGTTCAATCACCCAAATATTTAGATTTACATGCATCTTTCTACGCTGGAATTATATCAGCCTTCCTCTGCTTATGTTCAGTTATAGCTCTTTGCATAGATGATTCAATAATATATGTTGAAGAGAGATGCCAATGGTATTCCCCACCATGTACAGATCAAGGATACAGCTACGAAAGATTAAATCAATAAAAACTATTACTTTCGACACTTTTTCCAATTGAATAACAAAAAAAAAGATAAAAAAGAAATTCTTCTCTTCTCTAAATCCACCGTTACAACAACTGCCTACTTCTTCTTTCCGTTTACAAAATCTACTCAAGAAAAATGACAATTACTATTACTACGTTATTATTTATTAAACTTAATTACTATTATTATAATTAGTTCATTTTAAAGCGTTCAAACTTTAAAAATAAAGCGAAAAAATGATAATAATAGATATATAAATTATATATATATTACTGTATAACTATACTTGTAAAGAGTATGCAACGAATACAAATGAAATGAACTATGTAGAGTTAAAAGATATTATAAATTTAAGAAAGAATATTCTCTTTAGTTCGCTTTCCCAATCGATATATTTCTTTTTTGCTTTAGTTTGGTTTTAATTGATTAATGTTTATACGTTGGAATGGCAAAAAAAAGAGAAAACCGAGATCATTCGATCCATCTCTCTTCAAGTTTTTCACCTCAAGAGGGCGCTTTTCTCAAATACTTTTTTAGCTCTTTCTCTCCCCTTCATTCTCATTTATTAAATCTTCCGTTTTCTTCTGTCTATCCATCTACTTCTTTATTACGGTTCTATTTAAATTACACTTTGGAACGAATACCATAGACAGCTCTTTCTAATTTAGTACCAGTTTTTATTTCTAGAAGCAAGTTTAATTTCTCTTTCATAAAAGTTTACATCTGTTGAATTTCAATGTATATGCTTACGTGTGTATGTGTTTCTTTTATTAATCATAAAAAAGCAAAAGTGTGCGCACTTCGTCAATTGAATCGACCTGCATAACTAGATTTCTATATAATTTTTAACCACAATTACAAATAAGAAAATTAGTAAGTACAAATATTTAAAATATATATAGATACATAGATAGATATCTTTGTAATTGATACCGATATATAAATTTAGACTATATACAGCCCAAATCAATGGCTTATGCTTTTACTATTTGTAAATAATTAATGATTTAGATCTTTTATATATATTTTCTTTTTCAATTGATTTAGTTTATCATCTTTTTGTATAGTTACAAATATTCCAACGTATCAGTTTATACTATTTAAATAGAATAAAAGGAGTAAATTTTAAATATTTAAGGTATGTTTTTTTGTTCATACTTACTACTTACTGCTTTACAATTTACGTATAAACACGATACATTAATCCCTTCACGAACACTCCCTTTCAATTTTCATTATCTTGAATTAACCATCGTCAATATAAAACTGTGGAATAATGTACACTTGACCATATGTGCGTTATTCATCATATATATATTCTACTAATACAGGCGAACCAATAGTCATACCAAAGAATTTTTTGAGAACTCAATATTATTGAGTTCAATTTGTTTTTCACACTGTTAAAGTAACAGTAATGATACGTTCGAAAAGTTAAGGTGAAAAATATCATTATTTCTTATTTACTTAGAAAGAGATATTATCAACATTATAAGCTAAAGGAATAAAAGAAGAGATTAATCTTGAGTAGAATTCTTACGACGAATAAAACTAATTTATTTATTCATTGTAACTATACAATTTTAAGCTAAATCAATGTCTGTTTTTATTCTTTCCTTCCTGCTTATATTAACCTTTAGCATATCGGAGAAAAAGACTACTTGTTTATGGTATAATTCTTCTTTTGTTTAATATAGTATTTTTAATATATAGGTTGTGGTAATAAAAGATGTGTGGAGAGACAGTTTCCAAAATATTCCTATTTGCTATTAATATTGGATTTGTGGTATGTTATTTTTCTCTTTTTTATGTTTGTTTCGATGAGCCTATTTATTTATGTTGTTAAATATACGATTTTTACAAATTCTATCCATAGTTAATTAGCGCTGTTGCTATTGCTCTCGGAATTCTTGTAACAGTATCCAAAGATACTATTACTGATCTATTCGCCAAAATTCCATCTGATGTTAAATCAACTGACTTGGATGTTACCTCTATATTGTCGAGTGGAGCTTATGTTCTGATTGGAACAGCATCTGTTATATTTGTAATATCATTTATGGGATGTTGTGGAGCATGGAAGGAAATAAAAATCTTTCTCTATCTATATTCCATTGTTGTAAGTGTTCTACTAACTATTCAATTAGCCGCTGTGATTCTTGGAGCAGTCTTCCAAAATAAAGTTGAAGATAAATTGAAAGATTATATGAATACGACTCTTATAGAGGATTATAAGGGATCAACGTACGATGATAAATTTAAAGTTGCTGATGATACAGTTTCGTTGGCATGGGATGGAGCTCAAATGCAGGTATAATTCATTCGAGTTTATTTCTTTATTTTATGACTTACGTACAGTTCTATCGATTTTAAAATAATACTATTCAAAATATGCAACTCGAAATGAACTCTTTTTTGAAATCAGTTTGAATGTTGCGGTGTTGATGGTGGAGGCGATTTCGAAACAGCAGAAAAGTGGATAAGGGAATATACTTATAAAGGAAACACAATAAAGGTAATTTTAAACATTAAACATTAAATTAGCTTTTTTTTATTGTTAATTAAATATACTCTTTCATATTTTATCATAAATTCAAGGCTAAGATACCAATGACGTGTTGCAAGGCAAAAAATCCAGATGTTTTTCCAGGCAAAGCTAGCCAACTTGAATTTGTTGATATACAAGGTTGTCTTCAAAATCCTGACGCTAAAAATTCTAATTCTGATAAGGGATGTTACAATTCCGTAAAAGATGAATTAATAAAATACGCTAAAATAATATTGGCAATCGGAGCATCAGTTTTCGTGTTAGAGGTGAGATTCTTTTTTTTTGTTAGTAGTAATTAAATTAGTTTAAATAACTCTATAAATATTTACTAATTAACAATTAATGAATAATTATGTTTCTTTTTTTGTCTTATTTCCCAAACAGTTAATTGCCATTATCTCAGCATGTAATCTTGCAAAGAAAATATAAGAAAATCTTCCAAAATATTAACTTTTATTGTTATTAAACAACTTTAATATGAACGAATATAATCTAACCTAATAAAAACATATCACAACGTATATTTTCAATTCTTCTTTTTTTAAGTAAACTGTATTTTTACACAATCTTATAAGCAGCACATCAGGTAAAAAAGAATACAATTAGCTCATTATTGAAAGTTAAACATACAAATTTATTATATAAATAGATAATTTATACTGATATTTTCGTTTTTACATATTAATAATCGCTTTGATTACACAGTTTTGTATAGTATCTATATACAGTAGTATATTTTGCAACTTAATGTGTTCAATTCTAACTTGAACCTATTATCAATAATTAATTCAATCTGTAGGGGGCAAAAAGAAAGTGAATAATAATTAATTTTAGTTATCTTTTTCTTTACTAAAAAACACTAAATATGGATTAAAAAAAAGGTCATTGAACTGATTTAAAAAGTCTACAATTACTGGAGAATTCATGCTGTACGAGTAGTTTCTACATTGAATATCTGTAAAATCTTTCTATCGATATATACAGGTTAATTATAATTATGGTCGTCTTTGAAATAAGACTATGAAGTAAATAATTAAACAAACCTTGTATCACATAATACAATAATATTCAGATTTTGTCATTATTAATCAATAATGATAATTATTGATTTAACAAACATGATAGTTCGTTTTGAATTGAGTTCTATTAGTATAGAATGGATATAAAGAGAGGAGTTTGTTAAAAAGAGGTCGCGTCTATATTTTCAACTAGAAAAAGTTTGTTTTTAAGATAGTTTAGCTTTTCACCAATGTTGTTTTTGTTTTAAATTAGAATAAAATGTCAGCCTATTGTACTTTAAGGATGAACTGTTTATATTTTGTAAAACACTTTAAAATAGTATAAATATTTTAGAGATAGTTCGACAGAAATTAGAAATTTCTAAATATTTATATTTCATAATAAAAAACATAATTTTGGTTATACCATTTTACATTAATATTTAAAATATGTTCTAATAAATTGACAATAAAGTGGAGCTTTATTATCCATGCAATAGAGTAACATTAAAGAAGATTCTTAAAAAGCTTTGTTCACAAAATTACGAAACCTCCGTTCATTCTCTTTTGAGCAGTTTGATGTAAGATTGTTATTTTGATTTGTTTTTTGGCACAAAAAAACAAAATCATAATGTCTTCAGAAACAAACTTCTTTTTACGCTTTGTTCATTTCTTATTAACTATTCAGATGATAGTAAAAGATATATGAAAAAGGCATTTATTATGAAAGTTTTTATACTTTTTCAATTATTTTGCTTAACTAGCCTCAATAACTCCGCCTGCTTCATTATTATTTTTCTTTAATTGTTCAAAAGAAGCAGCTGTACTCTTTGCTAAAATTTAATATTTTAAAACTAACGACTATTAGCATAGTTAGAGGAGATCTCGGAAATTCTCCGCCTTATTATTGAACTGCTTCTCTGTTTGTTCATTAGTCAGTCGGAGAGAATGAAGCGTAAACTTTACATGGGAAATCTTACTACATATGTTTACATAGGATATTTCTACTTGATTGTTATTCTTCTGCATTTAACACTACTTGATAATGTGACTAGTTCATTTGCCCCATCTGATAACGCTTCAACAGTTACAAAAACCCAATCTATTGCACCGACCTCAAAAGAAACGAAAAAAAGTACTGTAGCTGCATCGACAAAAGCGAAAAATGAAGAAGTAACATCAACCACGACAGGTCCAGATCAATCATCAACATCAAATTTCCAAAAGTCAACAATTGAAATAACGACAACCGTCGAATTGACTACCGAAAAATCTACAACAAAATCGAGTATCAATGTAACTTCAGTTGCACCAACAAATAATTCAGCAGTTGGAAACGCTACGCAAAAGTTGACAACTTTCTCGCAACAAAATAATTCAAGTAGTGAAGGCTCAAGTACGACAACTGGTACAACCGATCTCCCTAATACGACAACTGGTACAACCAACCTCCCTAGTACAACAAATGGTACAACAGGTACAACGCAAACTACAACAGAATATACAACAACAGAATATACGACTACAGAACCTTTCCCGACTATCCCGAATTTCCTAAGTGAACCTAATATTTCTTGTTCCTCTCCTCAACCTCTAAATGATAAATATCAATTGTTAAACATACAAACTAACTACGAATTTGACTTTACCTGGAATGGAGTATATGTTTTTCCAAGTAAGATGTTCAAATGCTTCGGAAAATTAATAAGAGTACTAGGTCCTTCCTGTAACAGCAGAGTCGAATTTGGTTTGTTTTGATTCTTAATTATAGCAACAAATTCTAATGAAATCCTCCTTTTCTAAAATTATTAGTTATGGGTCAAATAGACCATTCAAAAGGGCTATTTTCCATAAACTATCAGAAAGAATTTCGAAATGGTGTCATCAATCCCGATAACACTTTCTTCAATCGAGGCTTTGCTATTGGTATAAGAACTGTATCTTGTAGAGAAATTTTTAAAAGATCCTGGGAAACTACTGCATTTCACTTGTATGAAAAGTCTGGTAAAAGAGTTGCCTTATCAGAAGTGCTAACTCTAAATCTTGATTTAAATATTCAAATTTACTTTGAGAATAGTAAGCTCTCTAAGAAGTAGAAAATCATTATTCTATTAACATTTCTTTTACAGCAAATTTCGGTAAATTTCAACATTTATTATCAAGTACTTCGTCAAATTGGTCTATTGATAAACTTAAATGGTGGAGATTATATCTACGTAAAATATTCTTCGTTCAAAGAGTTACAGTAATGGCATATAAAGAAGGTTTTCCTAACTACACAATTTCAGTTAAATAGTTAGTTTAGACACTAAGTTTTTGTTCTACAGATATTATCAACTATAAGCGTTATCCTTTCTTCTACGATACATCTACCGTTGTCAGCAGTTGTGTTGAGACAAAACAGCAAATGGGACAGAGTTGTAAATCTGACCTAAGTTGTGATGGATTTCATACAAATGGTTCATATTGTTCTAAGCATCAGATTTTCTCTGAAATAACCAACGGAACACTGGCAATTAGCAAAGATAAATACATGAATAGTTACAAGATATTAGACGATACAGACTGCTGTTACGAAAAAACCGCCTGCGAACATATGGACCTGTTAGAAAGTGAAAGTTCGTATTTTATATCTCTTAAACCTTATTTTCTTATAAATCAATTGAACAAATTAACTTAGTTTCTTGTGTATTTTAATCTTACTAGCCAATTCCATTAAGTTCAACATCTCCGTTACGGATTTAAGTATGACTGATAATGTTGCCTCAACTTGCTATTGGGTCGAGAATAGATATTACGACTGTGACCCCGCCAGTGTTGGAGAATTAGTTACCGTAATTGAGAAAGAACTTCATACAAACTTTACAGTTTGCAATATTGAAATCTTTGGTGGGGAGAGTAAAGATTGTAAGCAAATTTGATCAATATTTTAATAGTGAATATTACAATTTAACGATAAAACTATATTTAATTTAGCTGCACATCCGAATATTGCGCTTGGAAAACCGGTTTGGTCTTCTATATCAGCAACCGAGAAGACAACAGCTACTTTGACAACTGACAATATTTATCGACAAGGCTTTCATTATGATAATGAATGTTGGAAAGCGGGAACGGAAAATTTCTGGTTAATTATAGATTTAAAAGCTACCTATAATGTAAAGAACGTCCATGTTGTGAGGGGAAATTCGTATATTGCAAGTTAGTTAAAAATACTTTATAATAACGTGTCAATCGATTACTATTAATGGTGTTATATTTATTAGCAAATGATGTTTTAAACATATCTCTATTTTACTCAATCAATCCGGACGCCAATTTATCAATCTGCGCTATTGTTCCCTTTTCAAATATGACCCTTGGCTCAACTAATATTTTCTCGTGTAGTTTACATACGGTTGGTCGTTATGTTGAAATATCTAATGGACCAAAAACACATAATCTACTAACTACTGGTGCATTTTTTGATATTTGCGAAATTTTTGTCTATGGAACTCCAAACAACGCTCAAGGTACGTTTGGCCTTAGTTTCAATTTTTTGATTGTCTTAGAAAGTATAGACAACTAACAATCTACATTTCTCTTAAACAGATACACTGTTGAAACAATATATAAATGTCAATTCTTTCGTTACCCAAAGTTCAACACCTTATCCACAACATGCAGCAAATAAAGCCGTCGATATTTTCTCTTTCAACAATATTATATATACAAAGAATATAAGCTGCAGTCAAACTAATGAGAGAGGTAATAATTGGTGGGGTGTTGATTTTCAAGAATTAGTTACAATTCAATCAGTCTCAATCTTACCAGAGCATTCAAGTAAGTAAATATATCAATTAATTGTTACATATTCTATATCTTATGCCTTTCTATTGATAAAGAGAACTTTGAAAATATTAAAATATATATTACAAACATTTGGCCATATCCATCCGAAGATTGGCTTAATAATACGGATTATACGGAATGTTTATCAAACGATACCAATCATACTGATGCATTGAATGGGGAACAAGTTACATTTTATTGCGATAATAATCCTGTTGGAACTCACCTGATAATTTCTGGAGAGAATAGAACAGTAATGATATGCGATATTGCCGTATATGGTTGGGATCTGAAAAATGTGAACGGAGTTGAAGTTCCTGTTGGTTAGTTTTTTCTCTAATAGATTTAAATTTTATGATTCAAGTCGAAAATTAAAAAAATTACTTTCTTGTCTATAAACAGAGTCTCTTGAATTCACCGGAGGAACTAAACATAAAAATACTTCTTATTTAGTTGACGGTGAAAAAGATAGCTGTCTAACGGTTAAAAACTATACTCATATTTTCATTCTCGAATTGGACCATAGGAACAACTATACTCGAATCAATTACTTTAAAATTTCAACGGGTGAGGATAGGCGTTTTAAAATATATATATCCAACGACAGTTCATCCGATTCTGGACAACTTTGCAATCAAAAAACTTTTGTATATAAACCTGGAAATTTAAAGCACTCTTGTTATCGAAAGTCTGTTTGGGGTAGATACGTTATTATAAAAGATTTTTCTGGTGACAAGGGTATATTTGGGAAATTTTGTGAAATAAGAGTATTCTCATTCGACCTTGCTTCTAATAGAAGTGAACCATTTAAATTTACTCTTTTAAGTAAAAAAACGCACTTGAAAGAAAAATATAGATATACGGGACAAGGAATAGAGTCTGTTGAACAGTGCTCAGCCATCTGTTCATTAAATGCTACTTGTTTGGGATTTTCCTTTCCGCCATGCTACTTTACATCCCACTATCCTACTCTTACTAAAGAGATTGAAACAAATGACAATGCTTTTGTTGCACGAAGTATTCAAATTAGTAATAAAAAAGCGGACTGTTTGTAATAATATATTTTTACATATAATCATCTTTAACAAAATAAAGTAACAAATACAAACAGAGAAAAGGAAAAAAGAGACTTTAATAGATTTGTTTAGAGAAGATAAAAATTAAATCAAAAAGTTCTTTTTTTATCATAAATGTTCTATATTATTTCAATATTTTAATTCTTCCAGACATCTAAGTATCTTTCTTTGGATAAGCTGCCAAGAATAGCATGGATTAAGTAAAAAGATGTTTCTTTATTAGGTTTTCACAAGCCTATATTTTATTTAGAAAGAAACACCTTTTTTTCGAAATGCTCCGGCAGTTAATTCAAAGAGTTAAGTGAAATCAATTGATTTTTATTCTAATAGAAAAATATTTGTTGCTTATATAGAATATTGTTTCATCAGTTATGTATATGACATTACTCAAGATTATTAAAAATGAACTTTTATGTGGCTATAAAAATCTTTCATTTTAACATTATATAATGTATGTAATAACCTATTCTTTGTACTAAAAAACTTTTCTATTTTTAAAATATACAAACCGATAGATGTCGCCTTAAGATAGTAGATATCTTTTCTTTATAGGCAATTTGGGAACGATTCTTATTTGATAATAAAAGTTGAATCATCAATATCTAAAAATAAGGCAATGATTAAAGTCTTAAAATTGTAAATGAGAATCTATTGAAAGAATCAATAAAATCTAAAGTGTGAAAGATAAACTTTGTCACGAATAGAATCATCAATAAAGCAGCTATAGCATACAAAAGAACCTATTTTGAAGAATCAGTTGTCATACTAATCAAAGGGCATACTAAGTAGGAGTGATAAATAAAACAGAAAGAATTCCATAAATATTTATTCAATACTATTCAAAACAGAAAATAGCAAACAAGTTTATAGCTAACCAGTTGTGTTTTTTCCTTTACTTTATTAATATGAAATTATTGAGAGGGTGATAGTAAGGAAAAAGCTAATTAGTTATTGATAAAAGTGAAAATACTATTGATAAGCAATCCGTCGGAATAACAATTATTTACTAAAGAGTAGTAGTCAACGAAAAAGTGTCCAGAACGAGTTTCTCACTTTTGTCAGCGATTTGGTTAAAGGACAATTCGTATTCAGTCATCCAGTAAAAAAAATAAAATGTATACTTTATTTAGTTAAAGATCAATTGTGTCTCGTTTTCATATAAGAAAAAAGTTAAACAATCGTGCAATATCAACTATAGTTGAAAGGGAGAAATTCATTTGTAAATTTGTTAATTGTAAATAATAAAAAATATATAGTTTCTTTTAGTTTATATTGGTTCACCCAACTCCTTTGAGCGTAAAGTACCAGCTTCAACAGCATTCATTAAAGTTGCTCTATATTGTCCTTTTTCCAATTGGTGGAGAGCGTGAATAGACGTACCTCCTGGTGAGCAGACATCGTCCTTAAGAACTTCCGGATGTTTACCACTCTCCAAGACCAATTTAGCCGCACCCTGAGGTGTTTTAATACAATTTTATATAAACTTTGGTATAATGTTTAATATTTCGTTTTTTTTTATTATTCCATTTACCATTAAAGTTTGAGCAGACAACCTCAAGGCTTGTTCTCTGTTTAAACCCATTTTTACTCCTCCATCCGCCAAAGCTTCAATTGTTACAAAGGCCTATCAACTTGAAAATAATTTTAAAGGCTGTTTTAAATCAAATACTCACATAAGCTGGTCCACTTCCGCTTAGTCCGGTAACAGTATCCATCAAAGTTTCTGGCATTTCTTCAACGAGACCCACGCAATTTAACATTTCCGTAACTAAATCAGCATCACTTTCATTAGCATGCTTACCTCTCGTAAAAACACAAACACCCGATTGAACTAAACAAGGAGTATTTGGCATTACTCTAATTACTCTTGCTTTTTCCGGAAGAAGCTAATTTTTTACCAAAAAAAAAAGAGAACCAGTTGTTAATTAAATAATTAAGTAATAATTCATACACTTTCTATTCGTTGTGTTGTAACACCGGCTGCTATAGAAACGAATAATGCCTTTTCTATACTTGATTTATCGTTAATTTCAGTTAAAATGTCTTTAATTATATTCGGTTTCACAGCTAAAAATACCACTTTATTTTTACCAACGATATCTACATTACTTTCAGCAGTTTTGATACCAAGGTCCCTCTGTGTTAAATTGTAATAATAGTACTAATATACAGTATAATGTACAAACACTGCGCAAAACAATTTGTGGTAGCACTAAAAATTTGTACATAATCTTTTTTTTTGGTACGACTGTCTTAAAATCTGTTGGAAAAATAGTATATTATATTAGTAATGATGAGTATAGTCATTTGAGCAAAATATATCCAAGATGCTCAGATTTCTTGCTCTTCTAAATCAAAGATTTTCTTTTATATATATTACTTTTAAAATGTGACGACAAATATCTGTCTTCCTTTAAAATCTACTTATTAATCTGCATAATATTCTGTATTTTTTTCCTTATTTGCCAAATACAGTCTGTATCTATCTGGTATGGAATCAATACAGCTTTTAATAAATAGGAGGCTGATACAATCAGTTCAGGCCTCAGAGATGGCTGTTTTCAACTCTACTTCCAATTTTCCTATACTCTTTTGGCCATCATTCCCCAGATGTTTTCAATAATGTTGAAATCTGAAGAATTTTATGGCAGTTCATTTTTTTAATATCTTCTATCAAAAAGATTTTTGTTTTAAGAACCCTATGTATAAGGGCTATATCCTGCAGCAGACTACATACTCAGCCCAATAAATGCATAGGAAGAAGTCTTCCATTCATAGGTAACAACTCCTCCCCATATCATCAAAAGTTTTGGCCTTTTTAATATTTTTCGATATTTTGGGTTATGTTCATTTAAAACATCGAATTTTTTGGTTAATGCCAAGCAGAACCAACTGGTGTTTTATTCTTTTAGCCGAAATCTACTTATTACTGGTAGTGCTTTCTATCTTCTTCCTAATAGTTCCACTGTGAGTTTTCTTTCTGATCTATTCTTCATCTTTAGGCCATAACCTTCTGGATTGCTGAGGAGTCAAGAGATTGTTGAGTTATGCCTCTTCATTTTTTTAGCAATATCTCTTGCAGAATTGCCTTCTTCTGATAAGACGAGAATTTCTGTTCTCTCTTCTAATGTCAATTTTGTTCCGCTAGCCTAATCAACACATGGTGACTATTTTGACAAAATGTTGCAAAATGACTCATATTTATCGAGATGTTCTAGAAATAGGTCTGATTATCCTATGTTTAACAGTTACAATATGTATTTTCAGGAAGAGAAATACGTGCTGCCATATTTTTAATATAAGAAGAATCTTCGATCTAAAATTTTAAAACATCTGAGCATTTTAGGCACATTTTATGCACATTACTATATTCATCTTCATTAGTACTGATATATAATAATCAACAAATCTGAATAAAATCGCGTAAGAAAAGATTATATACAAATTTCTAGTGCGATCGCAATGTTTTTGCACATTGTATACGAAAGCTCTAATTAAATTTATTTATTTTAATTAATTAAAAGCATTTTCAATTACTATACCTTTATTTCTCTCAACTTTGATCTATTGAGGTCACTAGCAGTTATTTCTGATGGTTTTACAAGTGCTAACAATAAAATGAAACATGTTTATATATAATTAATACTGTAATATACTAGTACAAATTAAAATTCTATTTTTAAATGTTGGCGGGAAAAAGAAGTGAAACATTCATTGAAAGAAAGCCATGTGGCAACTATACTTTTCAATGACAACGCAATAATTTTAAGATGCAATATCTTGTATAATATTTTACAATAACGTAATAATGAGCTTATTATAATGTTAACGCTCTAACTATATGGTACTCTTATCTATTAGTCTTTTGGATAGATGATTGTATGAAAGAAGACGATGCAAAAAAACAAAAGTCTCATAAACAGTTTTTTATCAATTTAACAAAAATAGCAAACGCTTTATTTGGATATTTTAATAATTCGAATGATTAATACAGTAATACTCCATAGAGATACTTACAAGACTTTAAAAACCCCTTGCATAAGGCATAGGTCATTCGACCGGCACCAATAAAACCCACTTTCATTTCTAATTTTAACGAATTGGAACTTTCGACTCAGATGAGTAATGTAGATATGTAAAACGTTAATTGACCTTGATCATATGTCAGTCTAGCGCCATCTTTTGGTTGGACGATAGTTCTAGGTGTTAATTACCAGGTGTCGAGTTGAATACTCTATTAATTCTAATTTACAAAAAATACTGATTAGATAACAGTTTTACTATGCCATTTATTGTTGTTTTTTAAATAGAAATCATAATGACGATATCCAAAAACAACATTTTCAGTAATAATCTTCGAGATAGCTTAACCACGCTGAGCACTAAATATTGAGTTGTGGGTGTTTCAAGTCGTAAATCAGCTGGATGCTATTTTCAGCTAGATATTAATAATATTTTATTGTTAAATTACTTATATAGACCGTCAGCAAAAATCGATATTTATCTATGAGCCAGTTTCATTTTGTACAAATGTCTGTTATAAATATATACAGTATTATATAAACTATATTTATTGCTATTAATAATAATAGTGTTATATAATGTTCAATAAAAATAAGCCTATATATATATATATATAATATATATATATATATATATATTGTGTGTGTATGTGTGTATGTGTGTAAATATATTATAATATATATATATATATATTTATGTACAGTATATGTGTTATTTATAAAATATATAGACGAACGTTTAAAAGCTAGTTATTCATTCATAAAAATTGGCACCTTTAATACTATGCATCCATATATATCTCTCATCATTCATAATTGACAATTACAAAGCAGCACATTTTGAAAAATAGAATGCTAAAAAAATGGCCATATTACTTTTTTATATTAATTAACATAAACCTTAATGTTTTCTATACATATTTGTATATTACTATATTTTTTTAAACATCAGTCATATTAACTTTTTATTGATTTTTATCAATAGAACTTTGAACGAATGTTAAACATAAAGAAAAAGATATCGGAGTATACGGCTTTTATTTTTATTTCAATGTAAAGAGACGATCTACACTGATTGCTTATATTCTATATTTAAAAAGAAGATACAAAACGAGAGGAAACCCTTGGCAATTTACTATGTCATTTTCGTCTATCGTGGTTATTGACTAGACGACTGATACAAGAAGAGGGCGCTGTTAGAGAATTTCCAGACGGCATTTACACTTAGACGAATCCGTTGAAAGCACATGTGTTCTTAACTTTGAACGAATAGCCGAATTATTTGAAAATAACATGTGCCTCTCAATTTGCACATTTATTAGAAAAGGTTTGATTATTAATATTTTCTATTTATCGGATTTTTTTAAATCATATTTATATAGAAAGACAGAGGAAATGTATATTGAATACTGGTTTTTTTAATAGTATTTTTCAATTGTAAGAGAAAGGTTGGCTTCTTAAACGGATACATGATCTATATTGAATGTTTGAATATTATACGTAATTTTTGTTGTTGAAGTTTTGGCAGGGTTTTCAACTTGTAATAATCAATGTTTTCTTTTCATTTGTCGGACGTATATATATATATATATACCATAATATTTAGGTAATGTTGTATAACTATTTGAGGCCCAATTAATCAATGTATAGTGTATGCACAGGTTGTTTTAATATATCATTATTTTATAGAAATGTATAGTATTTATATATACATATATATATATTAGTATATTCGCTTTATATTCTAACTATTAAGATTCCTTATATGTTGGATTTAACGTTTTTATAATACTTTGGCTTGGTAAACTCTCATAAAGGTTGATTGACGTTAAGCGAGCTGTAATGTCTGGAATTTATTATAAATTCAAATTTCTCATTGCTTTAGCAATGACAAAAATTAGGAGTAGATGAAAACACATGACCTTTTCTTTTTTTTCCCGTATGACTCATTCTCTCAGCATCTAAATGGTGCAATTGTTGGCAGGATTGAAATTAATCTTTCCACCACGGAATTTTTTCGGTCAAAATTCTTTTATTCGTAGTCCAATCATTAAAAATACTAATACTCCCTTAATTCAATTTTATTAGAAGAAGAGCGTTGTCTTCTTCTTCCTCTTTTCTAAAAAATTATATAAATTAGCATAGGGAGTCTATAGTTTCATTTTTCCATGAATCATACCAAGCTTACAAACGGAAAGTATGAAATACGGATCAAATATTTATCCCTTCTCTTTCACATCTGCTCTTTGGTATTAAAAGGGTTTCCTATCTAGATATTATTAATTATTATTGTTTCTAAATAAAGCTAATTATACTTGAATAATCAAGACAAACCTTGGAATAATTACGCCATTGTTTATTAAACTTATAAAGCTTATAGGCTAATTTGAAAGTTGCGCGTGGGTGTCGAAAAAAACACGAAGTTTAGAAGAAAGTGGCCGATATCGATTCATAAATACGTTTAGTTTAATGTTTAACACGTATTTACCCGTTATCGGTGTATCCCCTTTGTTTGTCAATAGTGTATATGAGCAGACATCACGATTATTTTCCCAGACATATTGATTTTTTTTTTTAGTCATACTTCGTTCCCATTAATTTTATGCTTTATGTTTTCCCTTTCCTTTCCTTACATTTTCTCACCTCTAAGAAAAGTCTGCGACCGATTATTCGACTAATGTGTATTGAAAGCCGAGTTCGGATACTGAATGCATTGAACGCTTTGAATAAGAGTGGCAGCTGGTCGGAATACCATATTAAGGTCGTTCAGGGGTCAATAAAGCAATTAAGAAGAATTATATAATATAGTTAGTCGAAATAAAAAGAAGAACACGAAGAAAAAAATTAAGGTGTTATCTTTTTATCAAGAAACCTATACTAGTAATTTATATGTAGTAAAAAGAAAAAGATTTATCCTCTCTTTCTCTCTGTATCACTTTCTCCCTATCTCTCAATCTCTTTCGCTCTCTTTCTCTCTCTCTCTCTCTCCCTCCCTCTACTTTTCATAAAAAACAGTTTTTTTAATACCATTTTACTACCACATATTTCCCAGTTAATCGATAACAATGAAAGACGTTTTATAGATAAGTTATGATTGTGAGATATTTTGTAAATCAAAAGAGTTATATACTATACACCTATAAACTTGGATAAAAATCTTTTGAACTGAAAGACGACCGCTAGATATTTGTTGTAAAAAGTATAAAATTATTTATACGGAAACGTGAACTTAATTATATGGAAAAGAATAAAATGCCTCAATATAAAAGATTTAAGAGGAATGTCAAAGGGTAACGCCTTTGCACCTCTGAAAAGTCAATAAAATTCCAGTATAAACTACAACTTTGAGCCGATTTACACACTCTGAAGAGTCATACTAGTCTGGAGTGAAAATAGGCTCGTTACAGCCACTATAACCTTTGTCGTGATGTAATTAAGTAGTATGAAAAGATTCAAAATTGGTTCAATTGTTCCGGAACTAATCTATCAAAAACTTCTATCTAATGAATGAATCAAGCGATGGTATCTCTTCTGAATCGATGACAGCCTTAGAACCGTCAAAAGTCGTAAAACTTAGAGCAATACTTACTAGACGCTTAGGCAAGTCGTTCTCTGATAAAAAACAAGATTTTATAAGTGGTAATTAAAAAAAGCGTTTGATCTTTTAAATTGGATTATATTGAAACTCATAAGTTTTATTGGGTAATAGATGAGTAAAGAAAGGCACTTGATTAGTAGTAATTGTTCGTTTAAAACCAATTTATTCCGTTTTATTCACTACATTTCACTTGGTTCTGTTAAACCCAAGATGTCAGGCCAAAATTTTATATTCAATAATAAGGAAAGTTTAAGAAGAATCGTTACTTTTAAATTCTTTTTTTTTATATTAATATATACATATATATATCGATAATTGACAAAAGTTATCTACTTTACGGCAACGATGGAATTTCGAGCCGTTTTAAAGTTCAACAAATAAAAATATATTATATGCAAATGAGACAAAATTCCTAATCTATTTTTATTGTTGCACTCAAATTACTCGGATTAAAGATTAATAGTAAGGGAACAAATATGTGGAAATCATTCAGCTATATATAGTAGTTTAATAGCCCTTTGGAACTTGTTTTATGCTCTTTGGAGAGCTAAGAAACGAAGGTGTTAAGAAAACATACACGGATCCATTTATGACCCTAGTATTTTCATAGCCTCATATCGATTTGGATCGCTACCGCTCTGACCACTTGAAAAAAAAAAGTAGAATTGTTTACTTTGAAATTATTTGTACATTTTTAACGTATTTGCATGAGAATTTAGAGCTTGTTCTAACCCTTTAAATTTCTACCACCCCCACTTTTTTCTTTTTTTATATAGCTCTTGCGATCCTACTCTCCGCCTACTTTATTTTCGCCTATTTGTAATCCTACTAAGGTAGGAAAAATTCCAGCTTTGTACTACAACGCTTTCTTACTGACATTAAAGGACAATAAATGAATTCTTCGGTGTTTTTTTTAAGTTAATGTGTTATTTTCTTTTCTCTTTTTTAAAAAGACAACAATTTAGTCCAAGTAAGAAACTTATTCATTCGTTAAATTTCAAAAGAATATTAAAATAATAAATCTGATCCCGTATCTCTTTCTCTCTCTCTCTCTACTTTTCAATCTTTAAACCTCTCTCTGTTCACGGCCAACTTTATTTCGATTTAATTATCTTTTTAGATATTAAGAGAAATTCGTATCTTCCTATTGAAAGTGAAAGTTAAAGAAAGAAAAAGTTTCTTTCATATGAAGAAATTAAAATCATATATATAGAAATTTTTATATCTATCCTGTTTGCTCTTACGTAGGGTTGGCGGTTTAATGCAAATATTGTATGTTGCGTGGATTAACCTGCTCTATATTTGTTCTTTTATTCTTTGTAGTCGAAATCATCTTCAAACAAGCCGAATTGGATATTTCAGCCATAGTAGTAACCCTTATTAAAAATCCAGATATTTGAAAAAGAGGCGGTGAGGAAGAATGATCAGAAATATCTATTTCATTTCTTTCTTTCTTCTCTTTTCTTTATTTCTTCTTGTCTCTTCTTTCTTTTTCTCTTGCCGAAAGCGACTTTTAATAGTCGGGTCTGTTTAAGAATTGTGGCGCCTTTCTACTTTCAAACGCCCAAACGTCGAAGGAATGTAATTGTTTATTTAACACCATTTAACTTCCATTAGAATTCAAAAAGTTACTTCTACGATGACTTATAGAATCTATTCATTTCATTCAATACTTTAATTCTCTCCAATGATTACATAATCCTAAAGTTAATTCTAATAGGAATTGTAAATATGCGTAAACTGACATGAATGATTGATTTTTCAACTAGCAGGTATTTGCACTAAATCGATGTTAACTTGTTTTTTTTTTTTAAAAAAAATAAATAAAAGAAAATAATAAAAGATAAATAAAATTATGGTATGTCTCTTTTTTTTATTATTATTAGTAAGAATACTCATAAATATGGATTTTTTTTCAATTTTCGAAACTTAAGAGTATAACTTGTACTCTATATTTTTTCTCTCTTTTCTTTTCCTCTATTCTTTTTCTCTTTCTTTCTTTCTCTTCTTCCTTTATATTTTTCTCTTTCTATCTCAATTTTTTTTCAAATATCTATTTGAGATAGATATTCAATTCTTTTATTATTCTAATGATGTGTTTACTCAACTTATTTTTTTCATTTATTAGGCGTATTCTCTCATTAACAATCTGTGAAAAGGGGATAGATATGATGATTTATTATCATCAACGGTTTTTTGTTTCATACAACTCGGTGGCTCTCTTAGCGCTCTGACACTCATTCATTTTTGATAACGAATCTGATAAGGAAAAAATGCTTGACGTTAGACCAATTCTTTCTCTACGAGAGATATGAGATGTATTGTGTTTTTTTTTTTTATCTTGAAAAACTGTTGTAAATTATTGAGAGGCCTTGCTTCCAGGTTTTGTGATCATTTCGTTAAAGGTTTTTTAATTAGATTTCTTATTTTAAAAGGATTTCCCATAAGGTTAGGTGGTAATGACTGTCGAGTACAAAATATATATATATTTTTAGATTATTTATAAAGAATCAAGTTGCTTGTTGAGCGATTTATTTGATATTATTATAATGGTTTATTTATGGCTGAGAATAGGTATAAAGGTGAGCAGTGGTAACTTTCGTCAAAATAACCTTGTATAAGAGTGTAAAGTCGTAATTTTTATATTGAATAACTGTGGAATCAAATATATATCAACTATATTTTATGATTTAACAGTTGAATAGACTTTTTTTTTGCGATAAATTCGTAATGAAATTCATTGTATCATTCTTTCCTCATCTTTCTCTACCTCTCTTTCTTTCATTTATTATCGTCTTCTTTTTTTACCTATTTATATTGAGAAGGAATCACTTTTTCGTATAGGTTTACAGTGCGAAAATAACTTGAAGAACACTTTCTGTCAACTGGTGCTTGTTTTCTTGGCCTGCTTAGCAACGGCGTTAGCCAAACCAAGTAAAAAAATTTAATATTCCATATGTTTAAATATTTTTTTTAATAACTTCCACTTTATTTCTTTACCTTTAGCTAATTTTAATTCAGAAAAGTACTTTAAGCTACCTCTTGATTGTTATGATAAAGGAGAATTCGGTTCCGTTAAAGAGTTTATTATAAATGGTTTTTATTACTTTTTATATTACAATAAAGTTGTAATTAAATAAATTTACAGAATCGTTTCTTATTGCCAACAGATTATATTTATCTATTCGAATTGAAGCCTTCAGAATATGAAAAACGATGTAGAGATAACAAAACTTATGTATTTAATGGTGAAAACCAGTCGCATGATAAACACTCCGCATGTAAGCTTTTGCCTTTAAAAAACATTATTTTTTACTGTGTAACTTGTTTATTAATATGTATTTTTTATCCATGTCATTTTATAGTTCAAGAGCTAATAACTTCGTCTAAAAGTAAAGTTGTTGTCGACTATGGCAGCGCGTTGAATCTCTTCTGCTTATTTAAAAATTCGTTAGTTAACATTACTTTTGCTATAATAGTCAATTAGAAAAAGATAATAGTAATAATTATTAATAATCCTTTATAGGTCACCCGATATTATTTGGAAAAAAGATAATAAAAAACTATTAAAGAAGGAGAAAAAGACTTATGGTAGTATCTTAAAAATTGCGTCAGTGAAGGAAGCTGCTGTGTATAAATGCATTTCATCCAATGTTAGTCAAATGTTTGATGTAGAGATTACTGGTAAATATATATTCTTTTTATTAATTAAATTCAATTATCTCAATAAGTTTATTAAGTTTTCTTTGATGATTTTTTCCCTCATTATTCTTTTATTAAAAAGGGGGAGCTATTGAGGAATTAACGACGATTAATAATACTAAAGTGGATAATTCACAATTTCAAGTTAAGGGCAAAACTACTGCCACTACTATTACTACTTCTTCTTCTTCTCCTTCTACTACTTCTACTACTACTACTACTTCCTTTATTAATACTTCAGACATAAAATATAATTTTACCATTCAAAATAATATATTGGTTAAGAAATCAACCGCTACAACACAGCTTCCATATAATATAGGTATTTTTTATTATCATTCTATATTTAATAATATCTCGATTATTTCTATAATATATCTCAATAATTAACATTGAGATTTACGAAAACCACATCAATTGGCTTTTTTATTACCTTATGGTTGTTTTTTTTTTATGATTTCTAGGTAAAAGAAATAAGTCTGTTGTAGATAACAGCAACAATAAAACAGATATTTTCTCATCGCAAAACATCATTTATTACGTATTAATTGTTTTGGTGCTAATTGTTTTAATTATATCAATGGTTGCCGTCTATTTAATAAAAAAATTAAAGAAAGAAGTAAGAAAAAGAGATATAACGCCAAGAAGCGTCACCTCGTAAGTGTTTGTTTTCTATTATTAGAGAGAACGTAAATAGACGAAATTAAACATAAGCTAGATAAACATAATGATTAATTGTTTCTGTTTTCCAGACAGGAGATTCTTGAATCAGAGAGTTGTTTGGGCACATGACGTTAATTTTTATAGAAAGGAATTCTTCTCTTTCCTGTAGCCAAGAATTTTGGTTCATACTATATTTGATTACTTGAGATTATGTACATAAAAGAAGCTAATGTTATTATTTTTTTTTTTTGTTTCGTTATGAGATTTGTACTGCAGAGAATTGTAGAAAATTCGTATAGTGAATATTCAGTATATTGAAGCAATTGAATATTAAAATTGTAAAAACAAATAAAAATGACCCTTGAAATTTAGAATACAAATAAAACAGTTAATTCATAAGATGTTTCGAGTGAACGCTTTGTAAAATCTCAATAAGATTAATTCAGTTGTTAATAGCTAAGTAGCTTCTGCTAAGTAATCGCTTAATGAATCAAGTAAGTTTCGGAATGATGGCCTTTGTTGAGGATAAAATCTCCAGCAGCTTTCTATAATCCTTTTTAACTCATTGTCGCAATAAGATGGTAGATTTAATCTTATTCCACGACTTAGAGCTTGCTTAACTTCTTCAAAATGGAATCCTTCCCATGGCGTTTTACCTCTCATAACTACCTCCCACATTAGAACTCCGAAAGACCACTGAAAAAATTCGAAAAAGAAATTTTCCATTACTGAATTCTTATCTGATTTTGAAGATTAATAGCTAGAGAAGAAAAAAAGCATTACCACATCACTTGCACTATTAAAATGTTGTTGAAATATGCTTTCAGGAGCCATCCACCTTACGGGTAAAGGTCTAGGATTAAGAATCTTGTAATAATCGCTGTTCTCTATTTTCCTTGTCAATCCGAAATCGGATATTTTGACTATTTTTGATTCGTTCAATCTATAAACGAAAAAAAAACACAAAAAACAAACTATAGTAATTTCTTATTTAACTTTTGCATAAAGCTTTGATTGATTTATATTTACAGGCAGTTTCGAGCAGCTAGATCTCTGTGTACAAAATTCAAAGAGCTTAAGTACTCCATACCGCAAGCTACTTGCCGGCAAAAGTCCGCTAATTCCTTCAGTGTTATTTGCTGCAGGACAAAAAAAAGAGAAAATCTTTTAACTATTTTTCTTCCATTCTTATATTCTTTTTCCCGTGTTTTTCTTTTTAAACCTTTTATTATCTTTGGCCTATACTAACCAGTTTTTCATCCGAAACGTAAGTTTTTAAATCCTTTAATTCCATATAGGGAATAACTACCAGCGGATTATTTCGAATATCAAAACTAACACCTATCGTATGCAAAACATTAGGGTGATTTAATGACCTCATAGAGACAGCTTCTTGCAATAAAAAATCAGGAGACATCTCGATATTGCTTCCCTTTACGCATGTTTCACATTTCTTCTTTTTTACAGCTACAATTTGGTAATTGCTCGCCGATCCATCTTTTAAGGATACAGAATATAATTCCGCCTTACGAACGCACGAATAATTTCCCGTTCCAATACATGTATTTTGCACTCGTAGACAATCGTTTGGAATGAACATTTGAGTTATTTCCTTTCGTAAACTTTCGTCATAAGTTCGAAATGGTGGTAAAACTTCGACAACCGCTAAACGAATAATAATAATGATAAATAAGAAAAACGTTAAATCTACTTTAAAAAGATTGATTGTTAAAAAAAAAAAACATACTATATGAGAGATTATCTTGGTACACAGTTGTTGCTAGAGACTCAGAGCTAGATGGATTATTTTCCGTATCCGATTGTTCCGGTACGGATTTAGTTGCAAGACAATTTTCAGAGCTCTCAGAAGGTAATCGAACTTTTCTACCGCCCACAAACGAATATTTATCTTTGTAATACTTTATAACAAAAATCACGCTAACGCTTAGCATAATTGCCAATAGAAGACCAGGAAATATTATAAACATTACTCCTAGACATAAAAAAAAATAAGACAGAGTTGAGTAACGGCAATCATTCTGATTAATCATTAAATATTTACCTAAATAAGATTCCTTACTTTTATATTTCAGTTGAGATGTATCATGCTTAATTAATTTAGATATTTTTGCTGAAGCAGTAACAGTATCGTATTTAGTTTTTACAATACAAGTGAACGATGTAGTGAGCGAAGAATCAGATATTTCCTGAGCGCTTACCACTAAAGTACAGCTGTACAAAGAAACAAAATAAAAGATGCGTAATCTGCTTGCAATTACCTTCTAAAAAATTATAGAATAGTTTACTTGGAATTTTTTAAATGTCTTGAAGGATCAACTTTAAAATACGCAGTGTCCCATTGTATAGATACTTTCAATCTATGATCTGTCTTTGGGATACAATCGAATGAATAGTCATTTCTAAGATAAGAAAACGACAAATTCTTTGGTTTGACAACGATCTGTGTTTTTTCTGTAATATATCTAACAGTATTTACAAGAGGTAAATGTCAATAAGAAAATTACAACCGTATACTGTCAAATATCCTATTTTCCTATGAATTCCGTTTTTGTTACTAACTTCGCAGGCAATCGATGCTGGCTTTGTAACGTTTCTCAAATGAATAACCTTCTGGCCTAGTAATTAACAAGATATTTAATTAATTAACTAATAGCAGCTAGATGTATATTTTTGCCACCTTCCTCTTGTTGTTTTCCGTTGATTGTAAGGATTACATTTGTATCTGACGGATAATTATCGCATTTTATGCTTACATCATCTCCATAAAGTGCCGAAATGTTTAAATTATTCCTTACTGTCGGATGTGCTATTGATAGAAAGAAGAGATTAGTATAAGGTTTAAGGAAAAGATTAAGGCATAAAAATAAAATATCAAGACTGTTAAATAAATATAGAAATACTTAAAAATAATTTACTAACGTATCACGTTTACTTTATAACTTATATTGTTCCACGTTCCAGTAACCTGATCGAACCACGAAGAATTCCATAATCCGGCGTTTTCTCTATGTAGATAATCAGACTCAAAAAACAATCCGTTTCTCTCAATCCAATACTGAGAATAATTGACTCTACGATAACTGTCCGATTTGTACATAGTAAATAAAGGATATGGAGATAATTTATTGGCTCTTTCGAATGTCCATTTGAATTTGTTTTTCTCCCTAGAAAAGTAAAATAACTCTCTATTTATATATTCAATTAATTATCAGTCAAAATAATTAATGTAATTACGATAATTCGCAAACAAGACTCGATAATGTACTATAATTTCCTTCTAGAATATTAATTTCTGTCGTTGAACCATTTAATTTAACATATTCTTCATCGTCCTTACAATCTTCGCGAAGCGGTTGCTTTGTTGCGTCAATATTTATAATTGTACAATTATAATTATATTTTGACTCTGGTTCAGATTTCTATTATGTTTAAAACCAACAAATATTATTATGAATAATAAAGGAGCTATATAAAATGAAAGATCTTCTTACTAAATTTTCAGTTTGTGGTATATAATAACAACAATATCGACCAGAATGATTTGATTTTAACTTTGATATCTTCATTGATGCTAAAGTTCGTTTATATTATTTACTATTTAACCCATTTAATATATTTTCTTTACCGTAGGGTGAATTTGGTCGTTGACCAAAAATTGTTTTCGTATAGAAGGAATATTTATCATTTTCGTTGCTTGGATTTATTCCAAGAACTCCTCTATCTGTTCTGTATTTGAAATCTGCTGGTATACTGCACTCTAAGTTTACCGGAGAATTTCTTGGCAAGTTTAACGTTCTGATAGTTTTATTCGAGTATTTGTAAGGTTCTTGATTGTTTAAGATATCGATTAATAAGATTGTTTAGTTAATTATTTAACAAGGTAATATTTACTTACGAGTTTCAACTATAGTGATAATAGAAGATTTAGTCGAACCAAGCTCATTTGTGGCAATGCAAAAATACTTTCGTTTGGAGCCAGTATAAGTTGAATTTTTATCAGTTGAATATTTTCGAACGAGAACCATAGATGTATTACCAATTAATTCAATTTCATTCGATTTCATTTCAAACCATTGAAAACTGTATAAATATAGAAAAAAACACAAGGGAAAAACACTTTATATATATATATATATATACAGTATATATATAAGCATATATCAATACAATAAATTACTAACATAATATTTTTTGAGCAACCATCTACTTGGCAGTGTAACTCAATCAAAGGTACATAATTTTCTTGTTCTATCCTCTTAAGTTCATTGTCATCAGGCGAGTAAGGATAAGTGTTCAATAGTTGTTCAATAGTACTTTCATGAAACCAAACTCTATTCAGCTAAGTGATAAGAAATTAAGATTAATAATTTTAGAATAAAAATTTAATATAGATCTTACAGCTTTCTTCTCTAGATAAAACTTTAGATCACTATCATAATTATATTCTATTGTTGACGAACCGGATCTTGAGCTATAAGTTGTCGTTAAAGAGACATTACAGTACACTCTGCTTAAAATGGGCGGACAAAGATTAGGAAGGGCACTTATGTTTCCCTTTTCTTCCGTTTTTGTTCCATTTTCCCAATCAATAGTCACAGTGAAGCTTGTTAATGTTCTCTCTTTCAATGCAGTTACAATACTCTAAAGAGAAGAAAATTGAACAAAAGTTGAATAATCTATAAAACTAATTACATCACACTGTAAAATATATATATATATAGTCATTTATTATGTCGTTAATTACCTCCTGATTGGCGTAAGAGAATACTTTCAAGTTGGGTCCCAAACTAATACTTATATTACTCATTCCTCTTTCATAGTTCCACTTGAATCTTATAAGATTTCTTGCGTAAACTTGACCAGTTATGTTCAAAGTATTTTGAGAATCTACAAAGATAACAAAGGACCCTCTTAATATAATTAACGAAACAAGAAATTCAAAACCGCCGTATTCAATATTAGAGATTAAACAATGTCGAGAGAGGAAGTTATTCAACTACCAGCAGCCTCTATTGCGCTTGTGTAAACACATGGATCTATATTTGTAAATGAAGTACATAATCTTATCACTAAACATTTTTTGACACAATTTTGTTTATAAGACTCTTCCTCTGCGCGTAATATATCGGAAATGTTTGAAAGACGCTTTGTGCTCTGATAATAAGTGATATAGCCTACTAAGAGTTAATTATAATGTACACCGCATAAGAATCAATTGAACAAAAAGTAGTAAAAACTTTTTCAACTCCGTTTCCTTTTCATTCAAATCTTTTGAATGAGGTACGAAGTATAAGATTAAATTCTCGTTCAAAAGTCTGCCATATACGTTTATATATACTGTAGATATATATTTTTTATAGTAAATAGAGTTGTACACTTTTATTAATAAAACAATAAAAAAAAGACAACTTACCGGAAACTTCACACATAAATAGAATATGTAGAATAAAAAGTAGTTTGATTGGCGTTAATCTCATATTTATTTATTATTAATAATTAAATGAGTATCTCTATATTTCTCTTTTTTCTTATTCTCTCTATTATATATGAAATAAAAAGAAAACTTTTCCGAGTGATAAATTCGCTCTGTCTCTGCTGTAGTTAATTAATCTGAATACATAAAGCGCCAATTAGTAAATTGTTTTGTTAATTGTCAGGCGAGTTCATATTATTTCGCTTCTTTTTTTCAAGTTTCTTCGCTCTTTTCCTTTTTTTTTTTACTTTGATTCTGGGTAATGTTAATTCCAGACAATGCATTAACAGTATATATATATATATATACTGTATATATATAAAATACAATATATCATAATAAATTCTTTAAACTAACCTGACGTTACAAAGGACCATGAGAAACTATTTATTTTTTGTAGTCTTTCATAAAAAAAATTGAACAATTGCACTAGATGACACGCGCATGCGCATTTTATTTTACTAACCAATTAATTGCAATAAGTTAACTTGTTTATCTATTACATACAGTATACCATACAAATGTGTGTACTAAGAATACGGTCGTATCTGGTTGAACGTTATTTTTCTCTTCTCTTTGAATAAAAACAATAAAAAAATGAACAATAATATTGAAACTACGTTCAAAGAAAAAGCATTAATAATGAATTGTTTATTCAAAGACTATCCATGAAAGTATAATGAATACTCTGAGATAAATCCAATTGTTACAGAGAGTTGTTTATCACAGAATCATAACTTAGTTTATTAAATATTGAAATATATAATATATTCATATTTTCCTATCAAAAAACTGCTCTTCCACCAAAAAGCTTAATAAGGTATATTAGTAGTATATTAATAGTCCGTTATTACTGAAACTTCCGCTTAATTAGTATTGTCAAATAATTCAATTATAATTAAATTCTCTACTCCAACTTCTAATTTGGGCTTAAATGTTATAACATTTAATAAATCTCTGGAGTGTCAACTGCTTCTTTTTATCATTTTAATAATAATTTCAAAAGAAACCTTTATTTGGCGATTAATTGAATTATTTAATGCTTAACAACTCTACGAAGAAACATATATCTCTCCGTTAATCACTGATTTTTCAAATCGGCTTAACAATAAGATATTGGATTTATTTAATATCCGAATTATAAAAAAATCCTTCGGTTTGTCATTAAAATAGCCAATTTCTCTTTCTTTTTCTTTTAAACTTGATAAAATTTTGAATTGTTTTCAAAAGTTGATTAAATGTGACTCAAATTAATCGAAAGGTCTATCAAAATCAAGGATTTTTACATTCCTCGATGTGGATTCTGTAACAAATATTCTATTATCATGAATAGCAATTGCTTGTGGCTCGTTGAGTCCGTCTTCCCATGACAGATCGTAATTTAAAAATATGCCATTTTCTCTTTGAATGCTTACTATTCTGTTGTTATTATTATCGGCGACTTTAATTGTCGATTCCGTTAAAGCAATACCGGCGGGATTATCAAGTTGATCGTTATTTTCCCCTTGACTACCTCCAAATGTCCACAAAACACTGGGTAGTCTGCGTACATCGAAAGCATACACGGAGTTCTTAAATGCGTCAGAGACATATACATGTGGTAAAGAAACCGCAACGTAATTAGGCTCAGCAAGTACGCTCCCATGAAGCACTTCAGTAACAGTATCACTTCTGATGTCGTGCAAGTAGACGCAAGATGCGACAGAATCGCAAATAGCAATTTGATTTTCATCTATTGCTATCCCTCGAGGTTCGGTCAAATGACGGCCTCTACTATGAGTTTTACGTAAATGCATACCATTACCAACATCTATTATTCGAACTGTAGACGATTTAGGATCAGTGCAGTATAGGTTATTACCCATCAAACAAATATCCCATACGCTGGCCAAATTTAAACTTTCTGAAAAGCTGCCGTCCTCAATACAAAGCAATTCAACTGTTGATCTCAAATTGTCAGTTAGGATAAGACTTAACCCTCCATCAAAGCAACAAACACCTGTTGGCAGTGAGGCTGTTTTCGGTAAACATAATTTAAAAGTTACTTCCTCCGTTATTTTCCTATTATCCATCATGTACTGTATTTTCTTTAAGGTGTGTACGGTTATCGATCAGTTTGAATAGCAGACTGCCGGAATGGTGAAATTGATTTGTCCCTACCGTATAATGCTCATTGATCGTCGTATTACATATCTATTTCAAAAAAACTTGAAGGCTCAAACCCTCTAAATATATTTAAAAGAGTTTTGTTCAAGTATTCTAACCAGTTTAATTTATTCATATGCGCTATATTACATATGATTCTGTTGACTTTAACTTATTTTCCACAGATTTTCTATATGCTTTCAAAATATTGAATTAAGATGAAACCTTACCGAAAGGAAATCTATCAATTATAAAATTTTTATATACTTTCAAGTTGTTTCATCGATTTTGCTTTGTTTTACAGTTTTCTCTGTCTATAAATTTTTCATATTTATAGTATTGTTGTATTGGCGGTAATCATGACAGAAAACATATGAAATTCTACTATATATGTTTGGTTTGTACAATTGTAACTTTTGATATCATTAAAAGTTTAATTTGGTCAAAGCATTACAAAATAAGAAAAAATAATAAAATATTTAATTCAATTTTGCTCAGAAATCACTTGAAATTATATTTTCAAGAACAATAATAAAAATATCATTTTTAGTACGTTAATATACAAATTATCTTTTGAAACACCCAAAAGATGTCACTACTAGACGACAAAGATATTAAACTTGTTTATAAAAAAAACTTGATATTCTGACTTCCTTTTAGGATCTCTCACCAATTTAAAACTTTGAACGATATATTTGCTGACAAAGGGCTGGGTTGTAAAAGAGCAAACACAAACAGAGTTATTTTTTTTCTTAAATAATTATCTCCATATAGTTATATAATATTCATCCACATGATAAAGCATTTATAATATGTATATAGAGCATATGTATTACATATATTGATAGATATTATGCTGATTGTAGGTATACCTATTCATTTTATATACATATACATATATATATATAGATAAGATATATATAGTATATAACTATATGTGTCTATCACAGAATGGTAGAATAAAATTACCAGTTTATTCACACAAAAATAAAAACATTTTCTTATTTAAAATAATATATTTAGCACAAATATACAGGTTGCCTATATATCTACAACTTACATACATATAATAAATATATATTTATATAAATATGTAAGATCATATTTATATAGATATATTTGTATTATATATATATAGTACATAAATAAGCTTGAAATGAAATAAACACTAAAATGTGCACAGCTTGTCTTTTTATAATTTGCATTTTGTATGTAATAAATTCGACTGTCAATGACAAGCAAACGAACTTTGTTTTGTTTGTTTAATTAACCGACGGAACGAATATCCAGCTCAGTTCTACAATCTCTTTCACTCTTCTAGTATACTCTCTCTTATTCGATTCGAATAATTGAGCAGCTTCATTATTCGCAGGGCTTTTTGGGTTCGGTTCATCGAGGAGAGACTGTATCGAAGGAGAAGAATGAATACGGAGAAGAGTGGAAGAAATCTCTGCGACTGGTCATCGTTTTGAAACTATCATTTTGAAGATGTTTCTGGTTTTTGGGCTTGATCATCGTCATCATTATCATCTTCCCAACTTTCTGATACTATCAATTGCACCTTCTTTTCATATTCACGTCTATTTTCACGATATAAAATAGCCGCTTCATTATTGGCGGGAGAGTTGGGGTTCGGATCGTGTAGTAGTGACTGTCAAGAGACCAGTCGCAGTTTTAACCGACGCAAATCTAATCTATTTTATAAATACCTGAATACTTGTTAATACCGCCGAAACGTCATATGTGGGGCTCCATCTATTCTGCAGGATGTCTAGGCATATGCTTCCGTCCGCGTAAACTGTGAGAAAATGTTTATGAGTCATCAACCAAATTTATACGCAATAATCATAGCTACCATTTGGATGAAACATCTTGGAAACAAATTTCACTTGTGGTGGCCTATTTGGATATTCTTCTGTGAACTCTATAGATAATTTAAACGTTCCATCCTCAAACGGCGTGTCTTGAGGGCTACAAGCAACAATTGTAAATGCTGTCCTTATAACCTAAGGGAATCGTATTATGAAAACTTACCCAAATATAACAGCATTCCAAAACATTATATTGTTATCCGAAGGAGCTCCGCTTATACCTTGTGGGGGATCCTCCTGCAGCCTAAAGAGATTATAATTTTTTATTTTAAATCGAAAGAAAGCCATTGTCGGCCATTTTGTACAGAGAAGAAATGATAATCCTACTTTTTGAAATCCCTCATTAGACGCCGTCTAGCCGGAGTTGACATTGTGTTAGGCGTTTATATCACAATCTATATAACTATTTTCGAGCATCAGTTTGATAAATCAGCTTGGTAAGAGGGAGTTTTTATTCCAGAAATTTCGTCAGTAGCTTAACACATCCGGGTTCTTATTCTACTGAGCAAGTATCACAAAAGCTTTCGCAAAATGATACTGAACCATACTAATCTGGTTACGTAGTCCAATTGCAGCGAATTGCATGCTGTACTTTAAAGTTACTTTTTTTCTGGCTTTACGCAACACTATAAATTGCAAATGACATTATTAAGCAAATTTTCAACTGCAAAATTAGGTTTAAAGATAACCGTATTATGCACTACCACGACAATATGTGCTTTTTCACTATACCTTCTCTTTAAAAAGAAGTTTGATCCATACGAAGAGGATAGACTAGCAAAAGCCGCCATGCAGTCGCAATATACAAGAATTCGTATTAAAGTAGAACAAAGGAAATGTGGTCATATAATTGGAAAAGATGGCATGGCAATAAAAGCTATTGCAAAGGAAACCGGCGTTCAACTTCACTTTGTAGACGAACAAGACGAGAGTAAAACAGAGAGAACTTTGGAAATATGTGGACTACGAAATAAAGTTATAAAAGCGGAGCTTCGAATTCAAGAGATTCTCAAGAGCATCCCTGATATTAAGAAAAAAATCATCCATGTTCCAAAAAAGAGTGTTGGATGTATAATTGGAAAAGGTGGAGCAACAATCCTTCGTATGAAGCAAGCGACTTCCTGTAAAATATCAATTCAGAAAATTCCAGTTGAGTCTAAATTTAACGAAATTGAGTTAGTAGGGACTGAAGAACAAATAGATAATGCCAAACGCTTAATATTTGACGAAGTACAAGAAGATTCAACGAGGCGTTTTCGTCAAATGCCCAAGGAGACTGTTAAAAAATATATGAAAGTGGAAGATATGATACCTACAGAAATTCCCTATAGAAAAGTTTTTATATCTGCTATTGATAATCCTGGACATTTTTGGTGTCAATTTTTGGATAAAGATGACGGGCTAACGCTGGAAGACATAAACACTAAGATATCCGAATCCTTGAGTAAAGACGATGGAGAACTACCTTGTCTGGCAATTGGAGACATGGTTGCAGGTAGATTTGAGTTTGATGATAAATGGTACAGAGCCCGTGTAAATGATATTGCTGATAATAAAATTGATCTTTATTTCGTGGACTATGGAGATTCGGAATGGGTAAGGTTTCCGGAAGATGTGCGTAAATTACCTAAAGCTGTTGAAAACTGTGAATACCAAGCTGTAGAGTGCTGCCTAGCTAATGTTATACCTATAGATGAGTGGACAGATGAAGCAAGTCAATTCTTCGAGGAGCTTACAGCTTGTGCTAAATGGCAACCAAGATATTTGGTTGAATATAAGCAGAAAAGTGAAGACGGCTACAAACTAGTGTCTTTGTTTGATTCACTTGAAGGACAGCCAAAGTGTCTAGAAAATTATCTTGTCCAGAGAAACTATGCCATCTTTAAAGACAGATAAGTTTCTATTGCCAAAATAAAAAATCCAGAAATCATCATAACTATCGAATAACACTGTCGTTTACATAGCGATTAATAAATACATTGTACAGAAACTGAAAGGCACATCTTCATTTTTTATTCGTGAAAAACATTCATATGGAATGGGTATTCGCTTAATTAAATATCAAACATGCAAACAGTCATACTTTTCAATACGTTTTTACAAAAAAAATTGACTACACTGCATAATTTTCCAATAAACTTAAAGGATGTAATCATTATAGAAATATATATATATACAAATGCATATATAGATACATATATATTTATGGATATCTATCGAACATTCGTTTCTTCGCCAGAGAAAATTAGGCAGTCTAGAAATTTGAAGTCCTAAGTCGATTAGTAACAAAGTAATATTTCAATAACAAAATTGGACTAAAGACTAGTTAATCTTTGCGAGCCTTTGCTCGTCTACGGGTACTTTTAGCGCTAGAATCGCCTTCTTGTTCAGGCTCGTTAGGCTAAAGAAATATAAGATAAAATGATTTACGAAAACTTATAAAAATTAAAACTTACGGTTTCGTCGTCTTCATTAGTGGCATCTAAAGCACTCTTGGAAGCTTTTTTCTTTGAATCACCTCCGCCCTCAGTTTTAGCCTCTGCTTCGTTTTGGGTATCGCTTTCACTCTTGTCTTCTCCTTCATTCTCCACATCCTCGTCAACTTCATCATCAGCGGTTGGCTCATCAGTCTTTTTTTTGGCTAACTCTTTAGCCTGTAAAGTAATAGCTTCCAGTATATGAAGATATGCTACTTTATAATACTCACTTTAACTCCTGGTCCGCTATTCGGGCAACACCAGACAGAAAGCAATACAATAGGCAAGAGCACGACCATTATATAAACGGCGTATAACCATTTTCTTTCTTCGGCAGCTTTAACCAGCCATTGGAAAACGTTTTCACCTCCACTAGCGGTGCTTAACTCTTGAGTATGTTTTAAAGTATAAGTTTCAGATATCCACTCATCCGCAACAGCTTTTGAGTGAGTGATGAGGAAGTTGTCAAAGACAATATTGTCAGACATAGACCACAATTCCAAGCCAACAGCACCTATTGGAGTCATTTTATATGGTTCCTTATCTTCGAAATAATTAGGATTTTCGATTATACGAGGAGTCCATTTTCCCTAAAAAAGAGTTAAAATATATCTAAGTTGCATTTTTGTATTGAATTTCTTACTTTGTAATCGGGATTTGAAATGAGAGGAGCCTTCCATTTTCCTTTGTAAGCGGGATTTTCAACCATGGGGCGAGTCCATTTTCCGCATCCCGGAGCAGATTCACATTTTGGGTTATCTGATTAAATTATCCTAGTTAATAAAAATCTACAGCCCTGAGCTTAAACTTACTAATCATAGGTGCTTCCCATTCGCCATCCATATCATCATCCCAATCTGCTGGTTTTTCAGCTTTTGGGTCAGCAATTAGCTCACTTTCTTCTTCCAACCAACCACTGGGCATTGTGGCATCAACATCTTCAATTTTTTCAGGTTGAGTTTCATCCCTTTATAATATTAATTGTTACAATTTTGTTAAACTAGGTAAATAAGCATTATCATACCAGTCTTCAGGTTTTTTGGCTTCTGGGTCAGGTATTCTGGTTTTTAATAAAAGATTACATATGAAAAAAAGATTTAATTCAATATTTACTTTTCACGTTCATCCCAATCTTCTGGCTTCTTATCTTCTGGATCGACTATTTCTTTCGGAGGGTTGACGGCTGGTCTACAAATTCACAAAAAAGTTTTAAAACATTCGTACAAAGAGACAAGTACTCACTCAAAATCCTCTAAAAGGCTTCCTGAATTAATTAAAGTTTGATCGATGAATATTTCAAAAGTGTTATCGGCATTCACAACTGGAAAGTAAATGTTACATTGTATTTATTGAAAAAAAAAATAAATTATTTATTTTACCCAATCTGTACAAATGAGTTTTCTTATCAAAAACATGTTCAAAAGAGGTAGTAGGTTTTTTGGCATGCTTTTCCTCATATTCGCCAGTAACCGGGTTTTTGTGCCGGAAGATAAAATGCAATTTGCTATCTTGTCCGCATCTATCAGGCCCAAACATTATCGTATATGGAGTTTTATCCATAAATTTGCTCTGTTTAATAGCCAAATAGAATAAAGTTAATTAAAATACAGAAGGTATACTATAATGAAAATAAAAAATATTAACCAAATCTAAATTAGAACTATCACTGAGCAATTTGACGTAACCACCGCCACATTCTTGACCGTTTTGAAATTTCACTTCATATCTGTATGCATTAATGGTTTATATTTAACGATTAATACTTAAAATTCTATACTACTTACTGAACGATAAGTGGCTTCCCATCGAATTTGAATGACTCTGTCAATTTGGAAGCGATAGCATGATGCTTAGCTTTTGATTTCAAATGTAAGCCAAAGTCTCCTTTCAAGGCAGCTTCTCCTTCTTCTACTGTCCATTCTCCATCATATTTGGAAATAGACTCGTCAGCATCGTCCTTTTTGGCCTTTGATAATTTCCACGTGGATCCTAATACATCAGCACTAAGAAACGATTCGTGAAAGTAGGCCGGTCCAGCCAATTTTGGAGGTTTAAAATCAGGCTTTAGAGAAAGAAACAGATGTTATTGATGGTTTACAGATTTAAAATGAAACTTACTCTTTCAGATTTTGGTACAATAGGCTCTTTCGGTTCATCTATAGCATCATCCTCAGTTTCCATTGTTTCGTCGTCTTCAACCGTATCATCATTTTCAATTTCGCATCGAACGCTCGAGAAGGCTAGTAGGCCTACTAGCAAAAGAATGAGAAGGCTCTTCTTCATTTCGTTTCTGTTTTAAGAGGGCAAATTAATTAAGATCTATCTTATAATATTATTCATAAACTAGTATACTTTAAAAAAATTCATAATTCAGTTAATATTACCTTTTAAAAAGCACGTTTTACAATTCGGTGAAACCGTCTTGTCGTCTGCTTAAAGAGTAAATATTATATTAGGCAGTAGCTGATTGGTTTAAATATGCAGCGGAAGTAGAATGCCGTGGCGTTCGATTGGAAAAATCTAGAACAAATGGCGTTGAAAAGACTGCTAATTTATGTAATTTTCTTTACTTTATAAATAAATTCTTTATTATATGAGAGATTTAACAAAAAAATTAATATTTGTTGTAAAAATATTGACTTTTTTGTCAACGAAGTAGCCAATGAGCAGAGGTTTAACAAATTAATCCTTCGAAACAAAGAACTATCTTGGTAACCCTAGCGTAATTGTATTAAAATTGGAACAGTTATATGTCACTTTTTTTATAGCATACATGACATTTCCATGAAAAATGCATAATCATTGTATATCTTTTACCAATTTATTTTATCTCCGCACCTCTACTTCCGTTGAACTAGCTTCCGCTTTCGCATAAAAGTCCCAACGAAAATTTCATATTCAAAGTTTAATTTAATGAAAATTGTATCTCTTTCGCTAACTTCATATAATTAAAGTTATTTAGCATATAGAATTTCTTTGAACGAAAGTATTCAAATTAATGCAAACTTTGTTTTTAGAGATCACTGATAACGCAAAATCAATATCACTAACACGTAAAAATAACTTCCTCTCATTAAACAAAGAATAACATCGTAAAAGCAATCTAAAAGTCATTTTACAACTGATAAGTCGGTTTTTCAACAATATTTCAAAATGGAAAAGTTCATTTTGAAGCTTTACTTTAACAAAAATTTTAGAAAGAGTATATTAGAGTACCCAAGTGATATATTTAAGCGATGTAATGAATAGAGGCTTTAAGTTATTCTTTTGATACTGTGTCACTATTGTAAAGTCTGCACGATTGAGTGACTTGAAGCAGGTAATGTTCATTAGACTTCTTTTCCCCATACAGTTTTATTTAGATTGAGATTCATTAAATGACGTTTTCTTTGTTAGCATGCAGGAAAATGCCATAATTAACTTCATTCTCAAAATAGAGAAAATCGAATATGAAAATTTATAGGAAATCTCTAAAACTGTAAATTCCAGTGTTTAGCACAGATTTCCTTTCTGCAAGTTTAGAAAATTATATAATTAAAAAGTATACTAAAATGAGACATATCATACAAGATACTTAAATGTATTATAAATATTGAAAGAATAAATTATCTTACAAAACCAACTTGGAATATTTATTAACGTATAAAGCAATTATGATTGTAAACATCTTTTCACATTGGAATTTGTATGTTTCTCGTGATAAATTATCATTGTGACATAATAAACTTAACTTTATATTATTAACTAGTATAGGCCTCACACGATACCATTAATCACTTAGCTTTTTATTTTCATGCTGTCTCGTTAGTTTACATTGCGAAAAAAATATTTTTATCTTTCTCGTGCATTTGTGTTTTTGTGGAGGTGGAGGTAGTGGCCTAGGCTTTAACCAAATTGGTTCAAGCGCATTGTCGCTTTTGAAAGTTTGGGTGAAATTGTTCATGGAATTGACCATTTGTCTTTTGTTCTTAGGATCTTTACCCAAGTTGTCTTGTGATTCTATTAAGGTGCTTTGTATGTTTTGATTATTTCTTGACGACCTATCACGATAAAGATTGTTGACACATGAATGAGATTGTTGTTGAAAGATAGGTAATTTTAATGATGAGCAAATATGACAAATATTTTCTGCTATATTTATCGTGTGAGGCTGTACTTGTCACAAGCTATCAATTTGCAGGCTATTTGTATTTGGAACATGCACCAAGCAAGCCCCAGCCCTAGCCTGCTTCAAATTACAAACTTTTTCCCATTCATCTGTCTCCGGATCGTACCGTTCAACGATATCTAAATACTGACAATCAAACCCACCAACTACATACAATTTACTGGCTAAAACACAAGCACCAACAGCATCTCTACCCGAAGATATAGGAGCAATAGTTGTCCAAGTATCTGTTTTCGGGTCGTATCTCTCTGCTAAATCTAATTTAGTAGATAATGGATCATTAGATGGTGCACCATGCCCTCCAACAGCATATAAAAACATATTTAAAGTTGCCACCCCTATACCTCCTCTCCTTTTATTCATTGGGGCACAAACTGTCCATCTATTGGTGTGCGGATCAAAGCACTCCATTGACTTTAAGCAAGATGATCCATCTCGTCCTCCAACGACATATAATCTGGAATCTAGCACAGCTACACCAGCGCAACTCCTTGAAGTTGTCATGGGTGAAACATAGTTCCAACTTCGAGCGCTTGGGTCCCATCTTTCAACTGTGTTCAAGTAGGACCAACCATCATGTCCGCCAACCGCATACAAAGGACCATTTAATTCAGCAACACCTGAAAAATAATTAATTAGTAATATAACAAAAGAATATACTAGTACTTGATTCGAAAATTGAACTAACCCAATCCATGTCTGTGAGTATTCATAGATGGCATGAAAGACCATAGATTGCTCAACGGGTCCAAACATTCGACTGTGTTCATTGTCTTCAAACCATCTCTACCTCCAACAACGTATAATTTATTATCCAGAACAGCTACACCGAATTGTAATCTTCTACCAGACATTTTAGCAACAACTTCCCATTTGTCACATCGTAGTTGGTATTTTTCAATAGTAGTACAGCCACTATTAGGATCAGTTCCACCAACAGTATATAAATGACCAACTGTTGACTTTCTCGGTTTCGTTCTGGAATTCTTTAGAAATAAAGAAAAAAATAGAAAATAGAATGAAAGCGCCAAAAAGAAAATTCTATTTATTTACTTGTAATGATTGCCTTCTCTCTGCTAATAAATGATATTTGAGAGCTTCAACAAAAAGTTTGGAACATTCGCTGTTGTTTGAGACCAGACCATGCGATTGGACGTGATCAACTAGAAAATTTGGATTCAAAAGCGGTAATCTCAAAAAATGTAATAAATATGGAACGTGTTGTTTTCTTTCCGCTTCATCATATTGAATCCATTTAACTAAAATATCAAAAACTTCTTCTTCCGAGTTAACATTTAAATCATCCGAGGCAAGAATCTGCCCGAAATCCTCTACGTCTAAAGTAAAGAATTCCTCATGATGTACAACATTAGTAAAATGATCCTGTGGGATATTAAATGAATAAAACTAACAGTTTTCTGACAGTTGCATAAAATATAAGTACCATAAAAAAATTAGTTGCAGCCTCGAATAATTCGGTGCATGAGTGGAGGGAGGCAAATTTACGAATGCCGATACAATTGGACAGGTGCAGTTCTTTCATTAAAAAGCTACAACAATAATCCCTAACTTTATCCAATTGCAGCATGCATGCCGTAGCGAGTAGAGATTCAACGTTATCTTCTTTTATTTCTAATACACCTGAAATATTCAAATATAAATTGTCGAATTAGAATAGTTAATCAGTTAAATGAAATAAATTACCGGTATAAATAAAACGGATGAGAGAGAATAGGGCATTTGGATCAACATTTTCAAGGGTAACCTTATTAAAAGAATTAAATTATAACATATAAGTAAATATTTGAATAAACGAGAATTTTCTGATAAGTACTTCACTTGCAATTGATTCTTGCATTTTCCCACTGAACATTGCACTAAAATAATCGCTTGCAACTGACAAAACTAATTTATGAGCGCCAATTTTTTTGTCTCCAGCTACGAGTATAACATCACATAATTTTGAATTGCACGCATAATCAAACATTTTTCTCATCATGTCAACTGAGTGTTCAAAGGAAGAAGATTTCGTTTTCTCTTTCTTACAAAATGCCTCTCCCCTTAAAAATTAAGCACAAAATTTAATCACAACTATTCAGTATGAATCAAGAATTTAAATTTTCAATTAGAAATAGACCAAATTTGAATAATCTTTTATACACAAATCCAAAACTATTTATTGATATAAATACTGATGACTTTGCTATTTATAGTTGGACTAAGTACCCATATGTATTTAAGAATAAAAGTTTAACATAACTAACTTTAATTGATCGAAAAGTTCCCCCGAGTTTCCACCTGATAAAAGCAAAGATGAAGAAATGAGTAATTTCTTTATGCTTTACCAACCTCTTTGAGTCAGTTGATCACACGGAATAGTCAGAGATTTATGCATGATGAGATGTTTAATTTATGAGTCCAGATGTAAAACTATTTCCTGAATATATCTTGAACAGACGAAAGAAAAATCTATCCCCATCTTGGCAGCTGACTGTACTGCGAGCCCTTGAATGAATTTACTGATTAATATTTAGTGCGGAACACTATTCCAGATTAGTGGAATCTTAAAATGGCGTCCGAAGGTGATGATAAAAACCAAAAAAAAGGTTGAAAACTATATCAAACTAGTAATGTAATGTAATTATAACAATTATATTTGTAGATATTTTATATAATGAACTCTCTATAAGGAATAATAGTGCTATACTGGAGTATTCTAGGACATCCATGTCTGCTCTCTCAGGCGGTGCAGCGGGAATCTTAGGCTTAACAGGGTTATATGGGTTTATTTTCTATTTCATAGCCTCTTTGGCTCTAAGTGTAAGTATAAATTGCGTTAATAGGCTCTAAAATTTTTGTCTACATACCATCATTTAATGGATTACAGATCATTCTATGGATAAAGATTGGTTCTGACTGGAATCGATATTTCATTAGCAAATGGACAATTCTAACTAACGGACTATTTGGTGGATTATTCGTATCCTTTAAAAAAATATTAGCCAAATCTAAATAGTTGCTTAATTAACATTTAAATATTCTCCTTAACGATCATTTTTGTTTTCAGACCTATGTACTATTCTGGACTTTTTTGTACGGCATGGTTCACGTTTATTAATTTTTTACGATAAAAATCACATGTTTCGTGTATGATAAATGGAAATTTACAAATAACAGTTTCAGAAAGTTTTTCAAATATAAGCCAAATAAATAAGCATAACAAACATTATAAACGTAGTGAAATGTATCAACTATCTAATAAAAAGAATTATTTACATAAAAGCACAATGTAGGCTGAATCGTCGCCAAACATGCAAATTTTTCTAACTAGAACGAATAAAAACATGTACATATATATATATATTTACTTTTAAAACCAAAACAATTTGGCATTATCAGCTTGGAAAATATTTAAGCTGTCATGCAAGATTGGAAATTTTGTCCTCTGGATATTATTAATTCACCAAAAGGTGTATCCTGTTCAATATTTATAGCTTGATTCTTCTTTAGAACCAATAGAGTGTAGAATTTTGAAGCCACCTTTAAAATAGAAGATACATTTAATGATTTGCTTTTATAAAATATCAAAAAAACTAACCTGTTTTCTATTGTTCTTTAGCAGCAATGAACTAAACGATAACTTTTCGGAGTAATCCATTTTAGAATCAATCATTCGAATTAACTGATGTGTTCTCTTGCCCCAACGTCTTTCTTCTTGTTCCTCTTCATTTTCTTCTCCACCTATTGAATCTCCACCAACACTTGGTGGAGCAACGCTGTCCAAAGCCATATCAAATATATCTTCCACTGTACCCACACTAGCTGGGTTAATATCAACGTCGGGAGGTAATGTGTCGTTTATCAGAGGCAAATCTGAAATATGTGCCAAAGATTCGTCTTCTCTTGATCTTTGAAGGGTTGAATCTTGATCAATATTTGGAACCGACAAAACTGAGGAATCATGTCTGACTCTTTCCACATCTGCTAAACTCCTGTCGTTGACTGATGAACGGACTGAGGCTCTATTTCTAGCTGTTTCTATGTCTCCAAAACCACCTGGAACTTGTAATTCGTTGCGAATATCATCGTCATCATCACCAATTGCTCTGGTGACCATACTGTTGATAAAATGCTGTAAAGAAATAGTTTTAAATTATTAAATTAAATAATTAAACTTTAAATAGCAATTACTTGATTTATAGTTTTTGAACAAATTGGATCAGCCGACAAGGCAAACAATTTTTCAACACCCCCAGTTTCTTTCCATAACATAAGGCGTTTTGTTGGAGGAGCCAAATCAAGAGATGTAGAAATATCCCCGGTATCGGAGAGTTGTAGTTTCATGGTTTCAGATGAGATTCCTTTTTGTTCATCAACGATTAGACGTCGTTTTCTCTTTGTTCGCCTTTCAACTCCACCTAAATCGAAAAGTTATAATAATTGAAAAACAAAATTATAAACTTTACTAACCATGGACACTCGTGACATCTAACGGCTCTAAAGCAAACGCTTCTCTATCATTTGTAACAAGGGTAGTTTGATCAGGGACAGCACTTCTGTCTGTCATTGCCGTTACGTTTGGTTGATTAACAGTTGTGTCTTTCGGTGCACCGGTAGTCATGTCAAAATCTTTTGGAGGCTCAGAGGGTGGCGCAGGATCTTCAAAAATGTTGCCAGTTTCGTGGGTCATAAAACCACTGCCATCTGCTCCAATTAAATCTGCGTGTTCTATATTACCAAGATCGTCGTTGTTATCATCGTCTGATGACAAGTCGTCAGCTGGACATGGGTCATCATCACCTAGAAAATCATAAAATGACATAATATATATCCGAGATATGAGAGAAATTCCTTTAATTACCAATATATTGCCCTAGATCATCATCAGCACCTGCTCCACCTATATCCATTTTGTCGGCATCAGATGAATAGGGTTGCAGGAAATTTTCATCGAAATCTTCTCGTAACATTTGACTGTCATCAAATTCCATATCACCTCCTCCAAATTCGTTAAATGAGATCGTCCCTAAATCTTCTTTCATTGTAATATCTTCGGGTTTACTTTGATTAACTGAAAGTTGGGCTTGGACGTCGAAATCGCTAAAGGAATGAATATGTGGCCCATTAAAAATACTTTCCTTTTTAAACTTTCGAATAACTTACGCTAAATCTGCCATAGTGGATTCAAAATCATGAAAAGTTTCTGGAAGAGTAATTGCTGCAACAGAGGCTTGCTGTTGTCCACTGGGTAGATCAACCATTCCAGGACGGAAGGCCATTTTAATTTTAACAAAAGCTTCATTGCAATCAGCTAGTAAATATTTTGCTTTTCTTGAGTATATTCTTACTACACCAAGAAGCAAGTGTCCTGATGTACGTAAAGCCATTTTAACCTGAAAAAAATTAATGATCCCATATTGTTGGTATGTCGTAAATAAAAATATTTCAACATACCTTTGGTTGTAAGATAGCTTGAACACTGTTGTTGATATTCGTTTCAAAAACATGAGCTTTAGTTAATTTCTTATCCCAATGGGCCGCTAACCAAACTTTGGCTAGTGGCCCTTTTTTGCTTAATACGAAATGTGCATAAAACATCCCGATTTAACTGGTTGTTTACAATCTGTCGATAACAAATAATAAATTGGAACCATAATACAGTAATTTTATCAGTTTAAATACTGAAATCGGTTTCAAGAATATTCCAGATTAAATTCTAATTCAATTATACAAATGATGAGAAAAAGATCGGTTGTTTATGTTTTTACCTGATTGGAAAATCCCAGAAAACGATCAGTTGCCGCATAAAAAAACCAAGCATCAAAATGGCGGTAACGCGCTCAGCGCGTGCAAGATTAAATCATGATTCCACTAGATGGCACTATATGACCCAATCGCTTAAATATTACGAGATAGCTTTATCTATTCCGTATCCCATTATAATTATTTAAATATATTATATTACTTATAAATTATATCAGTCTTCTACAAAATTTTGGTTAAATTATGGCGAATTTGCGCTACAATCGCGACTTTATAACTTTCTGTAATTGGTTCATAATAAGTTCGTTGGAGGTGAAGGACACAAAAACGGGCGCGACTTTTTTCAAAAGAAAACGACTGATCAAGAGCACCGTTACTCTCTTTTTAGCATGCTCATTCGATAGCTACTTACTCAATCTTGAGTAGATGGCGACACTTGAATTACCATATAAAATATTATGGTATCCTATTTATCTAAAAATTGTATATAAAGCAATATGGCTTAATTGCTTAATTGAATATACCTTTATGTGGAAAACCAGATACAGACGACCTCTTCTAGCCTTTTAAACTGTTGACAATCCGACTAACCCATTAATAATCAGTTATCTAAGAAGCCAGAGCTAATAAGTACAGAAAAAAATACCAAATTGGGTCAAAAACGAAAGTTTAGAGTACAAATATATCAATTTAGCACCAATAGTAATTAACACAATTGCTACAATCAAAAGACCGCGAAGAGGACAAAAAAGTTTGTTTGTCAAATTGGTATTTCTAACAAAAGGCTAAATTAACAAGAAAAAAGAAAGTATCATTTTCATCTTTAATATGAGTATTTTATTCACAGAAACAACACAACCAGCTCCTTCAGTTACCTATAACTAGCTACTTGAAAAGTTACGCGATTTTATCTCCTATAATCGAAGATAAAAAGAGGGAGGGGAGATCTATCCAAGATAAATTGTTTATTTTTCAAATTAATCCTTCTGTTATCTCTCACTCTTTATTTTTATTCCCTTTTGTTTGAATTAGTGTTGTTTCACATTGATTTTATATATTTTAACAATAAGAGATTGAATCTTTTGCTTTGTATATATTTATCTTAAGAAAAAAATAAATATCTTATATACAGTAAATTACATTGTCAATATCACGTGATTATAGTAATTTTAACTTTTATCCTGTTTTCTCTTTATTAGTGACTAATAGATTTTTGAGGATTTTTGTGGTTAATCTTCAATCATTTGAATTCTTCCAACTGTTCGGTAGAAACGGGATGATTCGCCAGCAACTTCAAGCTTATCAACGATATATTTTGCTCCCTCTACACGTAAGCTTTGTGGAAACATAACGTACCAATCGGCTGTTTTGATAGGATATATTTAGTTTGATTAATTGATAAAATTAATTTCTATAAATGATAACTTACGTTCAAATGATGGACCAATTGGTTTGACCCGTAACTTTTCACCATCTTTTACGCACTCCAGCATAATACCACCCTTGGCCTTGACTGTGTTTATGGATTCAACACGAGTAAGGGGAGCAACAAGGGGTACATTTTTCAATATGTTTTCAATTCTTTTTGAGGAAAATTTATTTTTGCCTCTTTTTTCTAACATACTCTCTATAGATTCCTTAGTTAAACTCAATATCGTAAACATTGCTTTTCCAATAAGATAGAGACGACCTCCATAGTATTTGATGGAATAAGGTCGGTGCTTCACCTTTAAATTGTACAGTAACTTTTCGCTTTCTTCCTCATATACAAGAACACAATCATCGCTTCCTGCAAATACAAGACCATCTCCCTTGTCACAGCAATAGATGGTATCGGCACCTTTATCTTTATATTCATTGAGTATCTTTCCAGTTTCGGTGTCAACTTGAACTACTCTATTAACTGCCGCTACCAAAACTTTGTCTTCCCTCTTTACGCCGTAGTTTACGGGAGATAGGCCTTCTTGCTTCCATATTTCGTCTCCGGTCATCTTTTCCATTTTAGAGACTGCACCAATGGTTCCATGATATATAAAATTATCGTCCATAATAACCATCCATCCGTCAGTTGATTCCATTTTTTTCCACATTATTTCTCCTTCATAATTAACTAATGCAACATAACCGTTTTCATCACTGGCCGCAATAATTCCGTGTTTAACATCTAAACTATAGACTTTTCCGAAGTCCTCTATTTTGCACATTAAACGCGGTGGACCATTTGTCAAATCATATAAACCTCCATCATTTCCTCCGGCATAAACGAAACCACCATCTCTTACAATACATCTGACACCTTGATCCAATTTACTTCTTTTTATAACATTTCCTCTATGATCAAGTTCTATAATACTTCCCTCTTCATCACCAAATAGAATACGATCCTCATCAATATGCAATCCAAAACCTGAACTATATTGACCACCAGGCAATGGAATTTCTAATAAAGTATGAGCTTCCATATTTTGAGGAATTGAAGGACTTTTGGCAATGAAAGGTTTAGAATCTGTTTTTGTAAGTGTTGCTATTCTCTGCACTATTTTATTTTTTGTCATCGTTTCCTTTGCTTCTAATGCAGAGTCAATATCAAGAGTATCTTGCTTCGATAATTTCGGTGGAGTATCTTTCTTTTTCAGTATTGATCTCGGTGAAGCTGCATTTGTCTGTTTTCTATTTTTCTTCGTAGGTTTAGTTGGTTGGCTAGTGACTCTAACTACTTTCTTATTTCTTGAGTTGCTTAAACTTCTATTCGCCTTTCTCTTCCTTGAAGGGGTTGCCTTGGCGACGGTGTCAGCAACTTTTACTTTTTTAGGAGATCTTGATCTTTTAATTGCTTCATTTTTATCAGATGTTTTTGCTTTCCTAGAATTTATTCCAGGAGCAGTGATTTTCTTTGATGGCCTTCCTCTCTTTAGTGTTTGTTTTTTATTATTTTCATGAGATTTAATAGCTTTTCTGATTTTTTTAACATAACCACGACTTGTTTGACGAGAAACGCAAGATTCTATGAACTTGAGTGCTGATCTGTGACTTTTATGACGTCTTGTTGGAAACGTTCTTCCCGGATAACCGATTAATCCAGCTATAACATAGAATTAAGAAGACATCGATAAGTTAAAAATCGCAATTCATTTAATATGTTTTAACCTTTTGTAACTGTGCACTTTTCATCACAATCGTGTAATTGTATTTGCCAAAATCTTGGCTTTTTAGGAGAGAAGGAGCTCGATTTACGAGCCTCTATCTCTAGATATTGATGATTTGACATATTCACAAGAGCTGTTCGAATGTCTACTGCTGTACTGCTCGTTCACTCGCTTATATATACTTTGAGCTTAATATGCAATATTATTGATCGCTTACGTCACTTCTTATTTTATATCACAGGCCTGATTCAGGCAAGTTTAGATTCGCCTATTGTCCGTGACCTTAAGTTCTGATATGATAAAAACTGGTAATAAATTGCGCGGAAATTTTAAAATGGATATTGATCACCATCGGTACTCTTGAGAAAGATTTAGAAAGAAAACTATAAATTGTTTATAGATGGTTCCCATCAGACGGTCGGATAATTTGGCATGTTTTAAATAGGAGATAAAAGAGCGCGACATCCCATAGGGATCGGTCGGTAAGCAAGAAAGACAAGCAACTGAATAAATAGTGTACACGCTCGGCGGCATGCCGGGCATATGTTCGGCAGATTGTCGATGTTCTGCACTTAACAGCTTGTCTTTTTTATATTTTCTTTATTTTCCTTAGCCTATCCACGGTAAAATGCTATCATGACGTTCCGTATGGAAATAGCAAATTTTCTTTCTTTATTGAATTGATATAACCATTTCCGGGTAACACATTTACTAAAGTCATGTACAAGTATTTACATTAGTATACATTATTGTTTTATTCGAAAAAAACTCCAAAAAAATCAATATCCAAGTTTTTATATACCGTAATGAAATAAGAAAAGTCTTATGTAATATTTATATATATATATATATATGTGACACATTTATATAATTCAGAAAAGCTGCTATATTATGCTTAATAATAATTCTTACTTAATTTCATAGCTTCTCCTTTAGAAGCAAATTCTTGGTATATCTACAAAATATTTTAAACTTGTAGCTTATTCGGGTGCCACAGGTGGTATTTTAAATGAGCTGGCGAGACTATGTGTTGAGTAGAATGCTCTCGTGCTTTCATCCTCAATGCTGCAAGAGAATTCGACGACCTTTCGTTCTCCTCTGCCAGAAAATGATGTTGTAGAGCAACAGCATTATGTTGTAGCGGATTACTATGCTGCAGACCGGCAATAAATGGAGCCTGGGTATCTATATTGGAACTAGAACTTAACCAGGGGGTCGATTGAGCCGTCATATCTGGGTATGATGGTGCCGAGGCTACTGCAGCAGCGGCTGCGGCTGCCATATTTCTCATAACCTTTAAATTATTTAATTTATTAGCACCATTTAAAGAAATAAATGTTCAAATACTCTAAATTATACTAACCTGAATCTGAGAAAATCGTTCTCTTTTTCTCCACTTTGCTCTTCTATTTTGAAACCAGACCTATGTATAACAAGGTATATAAATAAGACATTATACCACCTCTAGTTTTTTATTGATAAGGAGTTGTTTTAATTGATAAGAGATCTATTTTAAATGACAAACAAATAGTTAATTAAATTGTAAACGAGTGTCAATTAACGCATTTTTTCTCCAAAGACAGACGACGCTCGACTCGAATTGATCCCCGGGGCATGCAGACACTGATATGCCATGCAGCCGGGTCAAGAGGTTTCGGACGCTACTTACATTCATAATATCAACGCTTTTGCTTCAAATAGATTTTCGATAGAGATAAATATATAAAATTCGTTTTGAACTGTTCTTTACGTAAACAATTTATAGACGTTTCTTTTTTATATAATAGAATCACGTGAGAAATTCTCCATATAGAAAGCATACGAAAGCCAATAGAGAACCCTTTTCTAAACAATGGCAGTATGCCAAACTAACCATCTTAATTCAATTAACAAAGATCAGGAAGTTGAGATGAGATTAAATCTGACAGTATGCACGCATTTGAGAATTGTAGCAATGCATATGGTCTAATAAATTGACCATCCTTTCAAATAATTCTTTCATATTTATTGGTTAATAAGAAAACTAGAAATACTTGGATTGATTCTATTTAAACTCTTTGTTGAAGACTTTACGTACATCTTTATTTTATAGGTTTTGAACAAACATTGTCAGGTTTAGTTAGGCTTTTTTACGATTCGTCAGTTTGCCACGTGTTTATTCTCAAGTAAGCACGCAGCGAATACGTAATAAAAGGCAGGTGTAGAAGGTAATTATCAGTCAATTAAACATAAATAAAGAAGCGAACCGAGCAGGAATTAGAGATGCTGCTTGTACTAAAATAAACAGATGCTACGAAATCCGAAACGCTAAAACAAACATGTCATCTACATAATTGGTCATGTTTTCAAGGGCTTATTTAGTATATTGTTTAAAATAATCATCCTTATATTTTGTTGATGGTATCTTAAACGTTTCTACTTAGTGTTTCTTGCTTATCGCAGAACTACTGGGGATGCATACAAAATATCGTACTAATGAAAAAACTGCATAAATTAGCCACAGTAATATGCTTTTCTTTTAATTGAAATGAAACGAAAATTAATAAATTCTTAAGGGTAACTAAATATGGAATCAGAATCTAAATTAGAATATAATAAGCCATTTATCCCTCATCATTACGGGAGTTTCTTACGGGATTACGTAATCACAAATGACCTTATGATTATCGTACAAACACATTACGGTAAGAATTTTTCTTAAATTGGATTCACTCGACTTGCAATATCTTCTATAATCTCATTATGTGATAAGAGCATCTTTTATCTGTCAGCAAAGACCGACCAGTCCGCACAGCGTGTTTGGTGAACATATGTGCAAATGCTGATAAGACGTTACGTTAGTCTAAGTGTAAAATCCACAGCTGTATACCGATTTCAGAATAAAAATACATATGCTCATACGTAAATTACTGTTGAATTGTAGACCTATGTGTATAGTTTAATAGATTTATGCCTCATTTCAATTGGTTACGCCACCTCTCCAATCTACAAAACGTATAATGTAATGTTTATGCGATAGGGTGTTTTCCTTCACTGACCTTCGACTCTCGAAAACCAAATATAAGGAAGTTCGGTTCAGTAAGACCAATTAATATTAACTAGGTTGTAAGTAATCGATGAACAAATCTTTTTTTACAAAGTTAGTAAAAAAACGAACTACAAATTTCAGGAATTTAACATTGAAGTTTTCATTTGGCCTACCTGAACTCTTGCTTCAGTAAGATTACACCTGCTAGCGAGTTGTTCTCGTGCGTAAACGTCAGGATAATGTGTCTTTTGAAAAATTCGTTCCATCTCTTCCAATTGAAAACTTGTAAAAGTAGTTCGATTACGTCTCTTCTTCCTTTTAGAAATCTCATCGTCACCAACATCCTCTGTAGCCTCCAAACCAGTCTCTTCTATCGGACTATCCATGTTTCCTTCACCCAGAATATCTTTGATCGAGTGCCTAGAATCTCTCTCAGACATGCCACACCTTATCTTTTATCTAAACTATCTACAGCCATTGCGCCGACTTTGTGAATCCAGCCCCGCCTCTACCCAAATCAGAGCCAATCAACGATCAACTTAAGTTTGAAAAGCATTGACCATTCTTTTGCGCCTTTTAAACACCCTGTTTATCTTACTGCAAATTAAATTTACGAAGGAAGACTTTGTTTATTTGACACACACTTTTTAATTTACAGTTTTATTTACATTTTATTAGTATCCTAATCTATATTAAATTATACATTTTATCAAACGCGATCGTTTGTTGAAGCACTTTGAATATAAGGAAGAGAAGAGAAGAAGAAATAAACACCAGATAAAGAATACTGGAAGGCATTAGATAGACGCTTTCAGAAATTTAAGACTTAAGAAAACGAGTGAGATAATACACCCGCTAAAATTCAACTATTCGCAGATTAGTTTTATCCTCTCTATTTAGTTAGGCCTACTTATGGATTATAATTAGATTTCTTTTCCTCACCCTTCTCTCCCTATCTCTTTTATTTCTTGTTCTCCCTATCTGCTTCATTTTCTTTTTTTTGTGAAAGAGGGATTAAAAAAGAAAGCAAATGATAACTAACAGAAGAAAGACAAAGACAAGGAGAAAGTTGAAAAAAAGGGATTAGTGAATAAATTCCAAAAGGGAAAAAAGGAAAAGGATAAAGAAAGAATAATTAACAAAAAATCTATTAAGTATTGATAAAATTCTTTATAAATTGTTTTAAATATATTTAGGAAATATTGCAAGCAAAGAAGTAGAATAAGTGCGTAAATAAATATGGGACCTGAGAAGAGAAGTTGTTGTTTCTTATCTAAAACTTTGTTTGGTGTGAAATAAGGTCGTTTTATAGAACAATAAGAGAATAGTTTATTTGAAATACTGTATACTATATCTTCCTTTACAAGGAAAGAAAGAAGGAAGGAAAGAAAGAGGAAGAAAGAGAGAGAGAGAGAGAGAGAGAGAGAGAGAGAGAGAAAGAAGGTAGAAAAAGAGTAATAGAAAAAATATATAAAGAAGAAAAGATAAAGATAGAAAAAAGTAACAATAACTCAATTTAACTCTATCTGCTATTTCTTCATGTTTAGATTAGAAGGTTGTTTTGTTTTTCTTTACAATCAACTAGGAATAAATTAACTGTTTATTACTGATTTTTCATTTTCCGAATAATTTAAATAATTAAGTGATGATAAACATAGTATAACCATGTATTATACAATATAAGAATAATGAACATTATTGCTATAATAGCCTGCTTTTATTACTGAGTCCAAAAATTTAGAGTCTTTTGTATAGTTTGCAAAGACCAACTGAAAAAGTACCACTAGAGAGATCCATACTATACAAAACAGATGGAGCCACTCAATGAATAGCAGCGATAAGAGTTCTTGTAAAAATGTGTAAACTAATAGCTTGAATCTTCACATATCCATTGTCATATTTATAAATGCTACATGTCGTCTATTGCATATTTATACGACTATGGGTAGAAATTTATCATGGGATTGCTATTCAGAGTCATTATCCACTACAGTTTCCAGTGCTGTGTACTTACCTAATAAATCAGCCATTTTAGAAAAATTTCGCCCTTTTGCAACCTCGCATGGAGTATATCCAGCAAAGTTCCGCATATTTATATTGATTTGTGGATTCGACCTGATCAATTTATTCATAAAAGAGGAATCATTTGACTCTGCTACTAAGTGAACAATAGTACTTCCACACTTTCTATTATAATCATTTAAATTAAATTCCCTTGTTGATTGGAGAATGTCTAGTACAAGTTCCTTATGATCATTCACAAACGCCAGATGTAATGGTGGATTTCCATCAAAATCAGTTATGTCAAATGATATTTTTTTTCCACTGTTTAGAAACAAACGAAACATTTCCCTGCTACCCAACAGAAAGCAAAGAGTAAAAGGTGTTCTTCCCTTAAGATCCATTGCATTCACATTTGCATTATATCTAATAAGCAAAGTAGTCATTTCTTCTTTAAGAAGCTTTACTGAGATATGTAAGGGCGTTTCCCTATTGTAGTTGAAAATGTTTACCAACTGGGTAGAATACATTGATAGTAGCTTTTTTGCATAACACAAATTATTCATTCTAACTGCTTTATGCAATACTGTCTCTCCTGTTGAACTTCGACTAGTTAGAAAATCGCATCTTGCTTCTATCTTATCACCATTGTCTGCTTTTCTCTTCACAGATAAACTTCCATCTCTTGAAGCAAGTATAGGATGAGAACCATTATTACAAAACTGGACATCTTTCTTATCATTTCCGCTCATTTTTGTCATTATTTTCAAGCCAGTGTTGATCTGACATACAGTGTAATTCTGAATAGAAAAGAAAACTAGGAATATTTTGGAAATCCCCTTTCAGACTTTATTCGAATGCGATGAGAAATAATTTTACAGAATAAGATATTGCAAAAATAACATGAATTTTTCTTTAAATATCCTACATATTAATGATTATATTAATATTAATTACAAATTTCTCATTATATTAATAAAACTTGTCTCTAACAGGATAATGTTTTATTCTTTCTCTTCTAAGAATAGCAGACATTACGTACCAAGGAAAAATCCGTCAGTAATTAGTGTTAATTAATACAATAGCAGTTTCGTAACTGCATAGCTTAATTAGTTGTTATAATAATGATTGTATATGTGTTCATTACTTTTAAATCTCCATTTTAAATAAATTTTTATTAATATTCTATAAAAAGAGACGAAAATAAAGAATTATATTTCAGAAAGAAACTATATCCTTCTGTATTTGTACAAACAAATTTTAAACTTGTTTACTAACTACTTTATTCAAAATTAATAATCTATTTGTGTTTTAACGCATTTTTACTTCGAAAGTTCTTTTTATCTCTGATAACACGAAAATTTATCTTATTTCTATCAAGATAGAATAAAGCTTTTAAATAAAAAAATTCTACTTTAATGTTGTATTTGTTCTTACTTTTTTTTTTCATTTCTCTCTTTATTTTTATATTTAAGCGGCTTTTTCGCAATCGTAAAAAAATAATGAAAAAAAATGGAAAAGGTTGAGAGTTGGATCAATTCATTTTATAAGACAAGCTTTTAAATGGAATAATCCATCAAAATTTTATTAAAATTGAAAATGTTCTCATTAATAACATGAAATAATCAATTAAAAAATATTCCTTGCTTAAGAGTTAATTCAATTTTTTTCTCTCCAATTAAGGGGTTTCAACTATCAATCATATATAACAACCCTATTTATTCTTTTATATACTGTATATAATATGTTTGACAATCCATCGCAAACAATTTAGATAGAACCTGATAAAGGAATAGCCGGTAACAATTCTATGTATAGGCGTAATTTCTCGTTTTGGAGAATTACAGTGATGAAGGCCTATTTGTTCATTCTAGCTGCTTACAGATAAAAAGATGCAACCCTTTTTTCATTAATACCTGCGCTGCATTTCACTATTTATTTTACTTGACATGAATTTGGACCACTGAAAGGTATAAATGGACCAAATATTTGCAACTCTTTAAGTGCTAGGAAGTAAATAAGCGACTATTGAACAGAATAACAATAAAACTGCACCTGTATCTGCTGATCAAAAAATAATTACTATTATACGTATGCATTTGAAATCCTAAACGATAACTAAGCAAGACATTGAACGAATATGGTTTTAAAATAAAAGTTTTTTACTTCCTCTTTATTCGCCTTGAAATTAGAATGTCATGTTCAGCGGATTTAGCTCTATTTATACAAAAGTTAGCTCTAACGCCTACGTGGTTATAAATCGAAATGGTAATATTGGTGCTACAATATTGATTATTTTTAACAATCATCAATGTATTGATGAATTATTTTAGGGATAGTGGAAACACAAGTCTGAAATAAATTATATAGCAAAAACAGATTTATTTATCGAGCAAAATGTATGCTTTCTAGCTGTAATGCGCAAAGTAAACTCAACTATATACATACTTAGCATAAGGACAGATAGGCCATCATTAAGATTCAGTGTACTGTTTCATATCTCTAATTAGTATTTTTCCCCTTTAAGGAAGGTTGTTATTAGGAAAACGCAACGAAAAGAAACAATCTCTACAATTTAGTTTTATAAATAACAGGCAGCATATTTGTATTTATTAATATTTACAAATCTGTTGCTTTTTATTAAAAATCTTTCAAAGATTAGGGAAAAAATTGATAACTAATTATCTGATTAATCCATAATCGATTTAACTTTCTCTTTTATACATTCTTGAAATATAGTATGCATCTTTTGTGTAGCTTCTATGCAGAGTTTCATCGACTATTCAAACAAAAAGTATATTAATTAAACGAACAGTAAAGTTATCCGTTAGACAATCCAACGTACTTGATTTAATACTTTACTACTTAGGCAGCCCACGTGATTTAAAGCTGATATCTGTTTTAGAACAGGTAAATACGCAACTAGAACCTGGCCATTTTCCTCAGATAAATTACTTTCTTGATGTGAATATTCTTCGTTCAATTGTGGATCGACAATTAAATTTACTCCATCATATCTCTTTAAAGGATATCGATAAATAAGAAAATAGATAAAATGTTATTATACATACGACGCATGCTGCAACAGGAATGTCATATAATTCTATTGATGCGTCTACAAGAGCCAGCGATGCACAATTAATTGCAGCAGAAAAGGCTAAATAAAGGAAAATTTTTAATATAAATAATATAATATTCTTAGAGGAAATATAAGAACCCACCACTTCCATCATTCTCTAAAACCAAAGCAAATATTTCCACCCTGGCTTTTGGGAATTTGTTCTATTTATCGAGAAACGTGAACTTTTAGAAAAAAATAAAAGAGGAATTCACATTGACTTACTAAACAAACTGCTGGAGACAATGCGTTTAACAACTGCTGTGAAAGCTCTTTTTCTTCATTATCGCTTAAATGGCTCCTTCTTTGAGGACATGAAAACGTTGCAAATTTAAAATCACAACATAATTGTCCATCCATTGAAAATTCATCTCTTTTCTTAACTTCCCTTGGGCCGTAAACTGAACAAATCACCTTTGTATTACCTATTTCAATATATGCCGAGCCCTGGGCTTGTGAGATAACTTTGAGTTTTGCGTCTGTTTAAAAGAGATCAATTTTCTGAACCGAAAAAGCAGTCAATTATATTTTGTTTACATACAAACATGACGTAATTGAGTACAGAGTCGATCGTCTCGACGTTTGTTGTTGGAAATCTGCCAAAAATGTATGTTGAGCGATAATACAAAAGCCTAGATTTATTGAAAAATGCCTCTTACCAAAGGCAATTTTTTGGCAGAAATGTCTTCGATTAATGTCGATGGACATATCGACGTTTCAGGGACTGGTAAACGCTTAGTATCAGTGGGCATTGTAATTTTTCTTTCGTAAAATTTTGTCTGTTTCAAACATGTGAGGCAGCCATATTTGTTTATGAAAGAAATATGGTTTCTAGTGCGCACAAATTCTAAGATTTGCAGACTGGACTAAATTCTTTACGATTTAAGTAGGTATACCTCTTTTTAACTTTGACATGTTTCAGCCATTTATAAGGTGGAACACAGATCCAGTTGTTCTAATTTAGGAGAATGGAAAATTACCGGGATAATACTGTCTATGGAGTCAAATTCGCAATAAAATTTTAAATTTCTCTCTTTTTATAGTTTGATTTAACGCGATATTTGGTAATTTATCAATGAGAAGCAATGTCTTTCGTTTGCGGAAATTGTACAAGGGCAAGAATATTGCAGAACATTAGACCTTCGATTAGGACTTACCGTAATACTGCAAGCGCACCAAATAGTGTCAATGAAAGCGCAAAACAGCAAGTTAAACACAAAAAACCTATATACAAGCATGAAGATCGTGATGTAGTTTGGCATAAACCGGAAGGTTTCGATACTGGCATCAAGATGTTTAATAGCGTCACTAGACGGAAAGAAGCCCTAATTTTACCAAGAGGAAGAATAGCTACCTGGTATTCATGCGGTCCGACGGTTTACGACCATGCACATATTGGACATGCCAGGTTACTTTTTGAAATTCATTCAAAATTAAACTGATATTATTAAAAGTTTTCCCATTATAGTGCGTATATAAGAACAGATGTTATACGCCGAATAATGATTAATATGTTCACCTTGGATATAATTATGGTACTTGGTATTACTGACATCGATGATAAATTAATTAGAAAATCAAATGAAGTATATCATAAAATACTAATAGAAGCAAAATTAACTAACATTATTTATATTTCTGATATTGAAATTTTCAGTTAGGGATAACTTACTTACGTTTAGCAAGACAATTTGAAAGTGAATTTTGGAGGGACCTAACTAAGTTAAAAGTAATTCCACCCACAGTATCGACAAGAGTTACAGAACATATACCTCAAATAATATCCTTCATTAATCAAATAATGTGCAACGGTTACGCCTATAGAACTGTTGACGGGTCTGTTTATTTTGATGTGAATGCTTATGGGAGATATGGAAAATTATGGACCCATAAGATGGATACAGAAATAAGGGAATCTGGTATGCAAAAAAAGGGCTATTACTTTCGCCGCTATATCTTTATAATTTTTCATTTTAGCTGACAAAGAAAAGAAAAGCGCTAGAGATTTTGCATTATGGAAAGCAGCAAAACCTGGCGAACCATATTGGGATTCTCCATGGGGACTCGGAAGACCTGGGTGGCATATAGAATGTTCTACAATGGCAAAGTAAGAGTGGCGGCCTTTCAAACTGAATAGTATTTAATAAATGTATGTTTACAGCGCTGTATTCGGTGAAAAACTTGATTTACATTCCGGTGGTGATGACCTACGGTAAAAATATTTTTTTTTTCTTTTCATTTATTCATTAAGAGAAAAATTGGATTTTCTTATTAGATTTAAGCCTAATAAGACAAGTTATAATAATAATAATAATAATAATAATAAATAACAATATTAATGATGATATTTCTAGATTTATTTTTTATTTTATTGGGTTAAAATTACTTTTTTAGTCTATTATAGTTATTCTAATCTCTTAGTTCTAATAAAAAAACTATGTGTTCAGATTTCCCCACCATGAAAATGAAATAGCTCAAAGTGAGGCTTGCTTTTGTAACGAGCAATGGACAAACTATTGGCTTCATCTAGGACATTTACATTTGAAAAATGATGCAGAAAAAATGTCAAAGTCATTAAACAATACGGTTAGCATAGCAGAACTACTACAGAAATATTCGGCTAATCAGTTCCGTCTGTTTTGCATGATGAGGCCTTACAAACAGAGTAAGTTTGTTGCTGTAATTAATTATACGTGACGCCTTTACGAGCGTTTTATACACTTACTGCTTAACGAGTAGATTTTAATGCACTTAACACTTTCCAGCGATTGAATACTCGGATGCTTCTATGGAGAAAGCAGTTCGTCTGTATTCTTACTGGTCCTCATTTGTCAATAACGCTGACGCCTATATTAAAGGTCAATTGGTTTGTCAGCAGTTAAATGAAAATGTACTTTGGGAGTGGTAAGTTTTGACCCTTTATATTATTTCCTTTCTATTGGTTTTGATGTTTCCTTTTAGCCTATCAGGAACACAAACAAAAATAGAAAAGGCTCTGGCGGATGATTTTGATACACCAAGAGCTCTGACAGCACTGGAAGACCTTATCCGTATAACAAATGCTCAATTAAGTAAAAAACTAGTTACTGAGGTTTGTAGAATGTTGCGAGTCTGTAATTGAAAAGCTTAAATATTTAAGTTCCATCCAATGAATTATAGATAACTGCTAATACGAGAAGCCCGGCAGTCGTGGCCGCTATAGTTGCATATGTACAAAGAATTTTGGACTTATTTGGAATAGAGATTTCAAGGAAAAGGAAACAACAAGATGGTATCGAAAGAAATTTCGATAATGTTGTTGAAAGTGTCGTTAAATTTAGAAGTAACATTAGAAATTTTGCATTGACACTACCAAAGAGTTTGTATAAAATCAATTTTTATTGCTTATAAGATATATCATTCCTTTTGCTTAATTGCATAAAATAGATACGTGACTATCTTAATTAATAACAGAAAAACAAGACGAAGATACTAAAAAGGAATATAAGACACAGATGAGACCACTTTTATCAGTTTGTGACGAATTACGAGATGATTTACAATTAGCAGGCGTACAAATACAAGTAAATTAAACATAGCTTCTGTAATTATAAGAGACAGGTTAGACGTGTTTTTTTTTAAAGGATCACGGGAATGTTTCAACATGGGATTTACTCGAAGTGTCACCCATCACGACCAAAACCGCGCTGAAGAAGGCAGTCAAGAACCCGAAGCCGCTCTAAATGAAGTTCGTATTGTTATACACAAAGAAAATAATATTACTGCAATAGGAAAACTCCTTTACAGCAATTTTCTTCCTTAACCTTAGATAGCACACCGAAATCTCTATGACGATTTCTTTTATCCAAATCATGCAGACTTTGTTGAAGATTGATTGAAGTTTTAATCGCTGAAATAAACCAGTTCTTTAGAGACTCTTCGTAAATTGTTATTGGAAGAATTGAGATTATTATTGATTGTACTGATAACATTAATAAGTGGATATCAAAGAGATAATTTCCCAGTATAATATATCAATTGATATACATAAAGCAAGATTTACAATTTAACTGGTAAATTTGTTGATACTACTAGTAAAGTTATTCAACACTATTGAAGAATAAAGACTTATATAATGTGCATCTTACTTAGTGCAAAGAGCGAGAGAAAAGAGTGGGATAGAGATAGAGAGTCTATGAAATAAATGCCTCTTATACTTTATCTTCAGATTCTCGTCTTAAAGGATTTATTAACTACAATTACAAATGATTTGAAGTACTATATAGATCCTGTCTTTATTTCAGGCAGTCAATATTTCTCGCTGACTGCTGTCTGTTTTATTTTCTCGCTCTCATCTCCATTATTTTCTTTTTTGTTCAGTCCTTTTCCTGACAGTCTTACACCTTTCCTTTCTCTTTTTATCTTCTCTTCCTTATATTCTCTTTAATTATCTATCCCATAAATGTCATTAAAATTAAAGTTTCCTGTAAAAAAAAAAACCGCAAATGAAACAGATTGATCACCTTTTCTTCTCACTACTGTATAATTCTTTTCCCTAGATGGAAAATTAGCGTCTAAGAAAAAAATGAGAACCGAAAGTAAGATAGATTTACAAATATATTTGAAAAAAAAGAAAAAAAGAGAAGTCAACTGTAATTTTAAATAATTATAGCATCGATTGTAAATTGATCTAGTTAAATTAAAATTGCTTTATTTTCTTAAAAGGGGGTAATATTAATTAAGAGGTAGGGGGAGCGTTCTTAATTGACTAAACTTTATCCAACTAACTGAAAATACTAGGAAAGAGAAATACTCTTTCGTATTAGATTGAAACTTATATTTCTAGTTTAGGCATTCATGATTCTTAAATAATTGGCATTAAGAACTGTCGGTAGCAGGTTTCAAACGTCTGAAAAGCGATCGGTTCGCCTGCTGGAGACGTCTTAATGTTCACCAATCACGGAATTAACTAGATCGCTTACGGGGTTACGAGAGGGGCGTACTGAAAGATGGTCTTTCAATGTTCCTCACGTTTTCGGGAAGCCGGTTTGGACAAGGTTCCGCCATCGAATAATCAAATTTCGTTAATGTATCAAAAGTGGCCGGTCTATTACATTATATAGTAAATGATATTGTGCCTTTAAAACGCCGTTAATAATTTATCAACTCACAGCGACAGCCTCACGCATGTAAATCCGTTGAGAACGTATGTGACAGTAGACATTACACTAATAGGTTGCTGGTGGTATTAAGCGTCAGGCCTACCTATGTATTGATAATTTAAAATATTATATTAATTATAAAAGTTGTTTAAAAGGGAGACTATTTACGTATAAGACTATTTACAGTATTAAAACAATGTGCAAAGTGTTTATCTTTGAATATACTGTAGACTGTATGCTTTATATATGTATTATATCTATATATATACCTGTATAGATATAAATATATATATTATATATCTAAATATATATATCTTTTCTTTCTGTATATTGGTATCGATTTGTCCTTCCTAATTTATAGGACGCCTTTAAAAACTTGACAGACGCGTAAAGCGTTACTTTTTTTTATCAACGATCCAGCGTTTCTCTCTCAATAAGTAGATTTGCATCCCATATACAGTATAATACCAATTCACACAAAAGTATACATGTAGCGCAAATAAACGCATTATATGATTACGAGTGCTACCGCTATTTGTATAGGTTAACATACAAATACATTGAATAGTTCACTCGATACAATACCTTTTTGTACCGTCTCCTTCCCCTAATCAAGTCGTATACTAGGCTATTCACATTACTATAAAACGTGTTTTCTTCATTGGCGTGTACGATGCTAATCGAGGTAATGAAAACACCTGCGCTGGCGAATTGTTCGGTTTGTTCTATTAGATAAAAGAGAAAGAATAATGAGATTTGTCTGTGACGCTTAATCGTCCATAGACAGATTTTACATTTATATTTTCCCATGTACATGCGATTCCAGATTCTATTGTAAATGTCAGGGGCGCTGTGAAAATCTCGTTGACATTACATATGAAGCGTCTATCGATGATAGGCCTTCGTCGTCAGCGATAATCGCCTTATTTACGATCATCGCAATGTAATAAAAAGTAGCCAATCGGCCCTTCACTTCTAAAAATATAACCTGAGAGAATGACGATAAGGGAAGTATATTGATGAAAACAACAGATTTTCTTGATCAATGGCTCGTTGATGAAATGGTCGATCGATGTGAAAGTAGAAAAGGCGTTTGAAAATTTCTATTTGAGAGGAATTCTTATTTAAAGAGGAAAAAGTCAATATAAATTTTCCTTAATGACAGCTGCAGGAAAAATTTAAAATAAGATAGATTTTACTGTAAAGTACTACCTCTATTGACTCTTTTTCCTTTAATATCGCCTTTAAGACGTAAGAATAAAGTAATCATAAAAGGAGTAAATCCGAATCATTCCCCTCTGGGCTTAGGGGTATACTATACTCCGGAAGACTGACAGCGAATAGTTCCCTAGATTAGCAGGTGTAACATACTTTAGATCAAAAGCTATAGAGGTTTGTAGCATAATTGAATTCTTTTTTAAAAGATAGTAATTCTTCCTGCTTAAATTTAAGAGGCAAAGAAATGAGGCGGGCATGACCAAAACGAATTAATAGAAGCAAGATAAATAGATTGTTGGGGAAGAGAAAGAAAAAGAAGAATAGAAAAACAAGGAAGTGAAGGAAAAGAAAAAAGATGTTTTTATCAACATCTCGTCAGCTAAATCTAAGAGGGCATTTTTTTCTTTCCGACCAACCACTCATAAAGCTCTCCACTTTTTGGCCCTTTGTGTATTAATCTACACAGATCGTGTTGATTAAATAAAAGATGCATAAATGAAAGAACTGAAACTTGCCATTCTCTTCATTGTTTGTATAATGAGAACAAAATCGGCTATATAACGAATTTATTAAATATTGTACTTGTTTTGTATTGAAAAAAGCCGATTAATGATTAATGCAGTGGTAAATTTTTGTTTTTATTTAATTATAGACCGGTCACTAATAGATATTAAGTAAGGAAAGTAAAAGATTCATTTTGTGATCGTATAAAGAGCAAATTCCATTATTTTTATTAATATTATTATTTCACCTTTACCATCCGTCTATTGCTTTATTTTTGTTTATTTACTCATCTATCTCCGTCTTTATCTTTTCCTCTCTCTCACACTCTTACTCTCTTCCCTTCCTTCCTCTCCTGTCTACATCTTTGCCTAGCATTCTCTCTCTCACTCTCTTAATGCTGTTTCTCTTTTTTGTTTTTTTGCTTTTTAGTTTTTCTCTAGAAAGCACTACTTTCATTCTGCCTCTGTTCCTCTGTCTCTGCTACTCTATATTAGGAAGAAAGCGACGATAGACATGTAATCCCCATACATTCCACATCTTGCTTCATTTCTACTATTACAAATTATTTTAAGTTTTCTGGGTAAAGCAGTTTCCTTCTTCTGTGATGTTTTCAATTATGGGTTATAAGTTGTTTGTAGGTCTAAAAACTAAAAAATATTAAAGGCAACCTGTTTAACTGAAATATACTTTGTACAAACATATCGTACGTGTTACTTTCTATTTTCTTTTGTGCAAGTCATATAATAATCCGAATAGCTCACAAGTTATATACAATCACTGTGTGGAATAGATTTTTTTCTAAACTCACATACAGTTTGTCATCAGCTCGGAGCTGCCGTTCATTTCCGGGGGAACAAAATACATTCCTTTTTTTTTCGTAAGCGTTTTTCTCAGTTAGTATTATTTCAGATTGATCCTTTAGAGTAGTAAGAAAAGCTGAGACGTTTTTCCACACCCTACGACCTACCAAGTTCAATCTGATAAGAGAAAACTATACGTAGAAGCGCTGGAAGAAGAATCCCTAAGGACACGATTGCATTCCAACTAATTTCGTCTTTTGAAAGTAATTGAACTATATAGGGTGCGCTTTCCTCTCCAGTTAATTTATAATTCAGAGCCTAGAAGGTCTTGATACAAGCATCATGACGTCAGACCGTCACGTGACATCGGCGAATTCAGGTAGAATGGCAAACGCCGCGGAAGCGTCAAAACGTTCCGCGTGGCTTTCTACCCTTTTAGCAAAAGCATCGTTAAAATCTTCAGTTGATAAATCATCACCTTCACCGCCTTCAAAAACTGTTAATATCTATCGGCAACCTGCAACTGCACGTCGGAAATCTTACAGCCAGCAACATTCAAATTCTGAACCGAACTCATTTGACGTTCCTCCAAGACCAGCTCTCCGCCCTCCAAGGTTACGAGTAAGATCGAGCACTGTTTGCACGGATCATATTCGCAGTGATGAGTCGGACGATTCTACTGAAGATGACCGAGAAAAGAATAAGTGTAGTGAACAAACTAACGAAAAGGATCCAATTATTAAAGATAGAACGTTCGAAATATCAGAAACTCATTTAAAACTCACGGTAAATTTACAGCAAAGCGTCGAAAATGTCCGAGTACGCGTATTAAGCGGTGGCGACAAACTGATCATTGTTTACAAACACTCGGACGAGGAATGCCACTTAAATATCAGATTACCGCTCTCTGTTAATCCATTTGCAGTACGAGCAGTTGCTAGTGCTGAGAAAATAGTGGTTGAGGCACCATTACGGAATAAGATTCAATAGTTTTTTTCCTTTTATTTTTATTGCAAAACAAACTGAAGAAAAAAATACTTGTAAATTCGATACTCACTGTACGCGAGATTGAATCGATATGAACAATAACGCGCTATGCCTTTCGCACACGTCTTGTTTTAACAATGATTTTAATAAAATCTTTTAATCTAATAAAAGATTGCATATCTTTATACATCTAAATACTAAAATAATTATGTGGTTTAGATGCAAATATATAGAAAGAGTATATAGTATTTATATTTATTCTTCTATGCATATATCTATGTAAGCATCGTCTTTATTATGTTATAGGTTGCGAAAGAATAACTACCTACTCAATTCTTTCTAGAAATATATATTCTTTGATATAGACACATCAAGATATATACTTTGTTGTCTCTCTATGTCTGTCCATCTGCATATATATATATATATCTCTTCTCTTCTCTTCTCTCCTCATCTCTCTCTTCTCTCACTCTATCTCTTCTCTCTCTCTTTCTCTCTTCAAGATTGCTGAATATGCAATATCTTGTGCATTTAGCACCATCATCTATACTGATAATTATTATGGTAAGGAGCGTTGTTACACTTGATTCTCACCGAGCAGACGCATGAAGAGAGAACGGAAACGCCTATGAGGTAATTAAGAAAAAGCAACATTCGTAAAATATTCATATAAGCGGTGCCTTTGAAGGAAAAGATTTGTCGCAATCGGCTCTAATGGACGAACAATTTTGCACTTATTACAGTCGGGTAGTAATCGTTTTCAAATAAGCGGACAGAGCGCCGTTGCTAAGTAATTAAGCGTCGATTAATATCGAATGGCGTGTCTGCATGCATGCGCAAATTTTTCAAATTAGACGTCTAAACCCTCATTTTTCATTTTTAAATATTAGTGAAAATATTCCTACATATAAATGTAGTATACATAAAAAACACAGGTATAATGTAACTCAACAGAATCAATTGAACGCTAAAACCGTGCACACCTGTATAGAATGTTTTTGCTGTTGGGGAAAATAGACGTCACGGTCGAAATTTTTTCAGTTAAAAAGATCATTAGCAGAAAAAAAGGCGTTGCTAGCTGCTTTGACTGACTTCTGCTCTTATATTCAATAAAGAAACACGCCTAGTGTATAGAAATAAGCGGTAAACAAGCGCAACGGACTGTCCCAAGATGAAACGGGGCACTTGTTCTGGGAGATTTTTTCTGCCTTCGGCTACTGCAAGAATAGTCAACAACTGCATCGCGCCTTTTCGTTTTTTTCCAGTTTCTACGAAGACGGCTGCTACACATACTAATCGTATCGAGGCAGAGTAATTGACGGGTTTCTCTTGCCAAAAAATTTGAACGTTTTAACAGATGGCGCTAAAGAGTTTACTTTTTCTGGTCCATGAATTGTACTATCAATTTCTCAAGCCCATTTAAACATATGCATGCTTTTAAACATAGGTATAGTGTGTGCAATGCATATAGGGTTACACAAAAATATACATCACTACTTAAATGCATTATTGATAAATTGTGTTCGTTTAGGCAATTTTAAGAGTAAAAGTGAAGTCACGAGAGTTTTAAAAACAACGGATGAATAAAATCCTGCTGTTGGAAAAATATTGAATATGAAAGTATTAAGTTCGTATCTTCGCTGATATCAGATACTATAAATTGTGAGTACTTCGCTTTCTTATCCCCCCTATGCTGTACCATCAACGAAATTCAATATAGTCGTAAAAGCTACCGAATTGACGACGAGTCTCGTTAGTTTACAAATTCTTACGAAATCAGTCGACAAGAAATAGTCAACCTCTCCTAACTTATCGAGAAGCAAGATTTTAATCACTCGAGTTATCGGTAGCGGACTCGTCTTATTTGTTGCTTTATAGCTAATTTCTTTTTTTGGGGGGGGGGGATCTATGTCTTTAATAATCGGTTTTTTCTTTTGCTGAATCTGACTAAAGGACTTAATTATCTTATAGGAAATACGAGAAACTGATAAAAACAAATGCGACATTCATCCGTTGAACCACTGCAGATTCGAGGTATACTAAAGCACCCAAAAGATACCTTTCGTATATCTTATTCGTCTACGGATACACTATCATTTTCCACGTCGGGCAATAAGCGGGTAATTTTCGAAAATATATCCGATCATCCGCTAGTAATATATTGGAACAAGTGTTGCCAATTGGACGAGGGCCTGTCCTTACCCAAGCGTTGCCGATCCACTCTTCTTAGGATCTTAGCTATCATAGGAACTATAATGTTATTATTTAGTCCAATATTTATTGGTCTTATTTTGATTAATTTAAATCGTCAAGAGATTATAAACGATACATCAACTTCTGCAATTGTTATTCTATTGATTATTCTACCAATTGCTCTGATTCTATTCGCAAATTGTTACAAATGTAAAAGTGATAGAATTGTTGACGAATAATCCATTTCCCATGTAATAAATAGTATAAAGGAAATATCATTTAATTCTATATAAACAGTGAAAATCGTTGATCCTATTCCTTATTATCATATCTTATTGTATTTATATTATGTTTAGCTGATAGGAAAATCACGCAAAGTACATACTCTTTGCATTATTAACGGTTGGTGAAGATGGAACTGTAACAGGCGACATTCGAGAGATCGAAAGTTGGGTCTCAGCTTCCGGTTGACACTGTGGTGTCTCTTTGCTAACTTCTATCAGCGGTTGCCTTTTGTAGTAAATTCTACTGAAGTTCAGATAGAGGGAAACGCCTAGTGAAAAAACTAGTATAATTGATCCGCTAATAATTAAGTTTCTGTCTATTCTTTCTGACTTCATCAAATTTTTCATCCTTTTAGTAACCGCAACTTTACAACAAGTAGGCTCATTTCTTATTATACAACAAACAGACGCCTTTGTGTCATCGTTGTTGAACCAATCGCACTCTATGTACCTGAAATCTTTGTCGTCTTTTCCCATTATAGGAACGTACGAATGGAACTTCAATCTCCTTCTTTTGCAATTTAACGATGATTCTTTGCAATTTGGGATTTCTTCCTCAATCTTCCTTATTTTGTATTTACACAGTTGAGGCGAGCCGGAAGAAAAGGCAACAAGCCAAGAAATAATTATTGGTTTTATCATAATCTGCTAGGATTTTAAATATATAGAGTTACGTAATAAATAATATTCGAACAGATTTGTTTATGACGAGTAAAAAAGAAGAGCGAAAGGGTAATGACATTTAAGAAGGTCTATTATTACGGATTATCGCTTGCGCTATTAAGAAGGATATCATCTAATCGGATTAAAAACTTGAGCGTTAATCATTTAAAAACCGTAGGAGGCCTAGCTTCATTATTTAACAGAACAGTTAAATGCCCTGGACTATTGGATTTTCCTTCACATACGGATAGTTGTGTAGAGAGTTCTACAGGAAAGTTGGCATGTTGCATTTTAGAACACGATTACGAGAGAAGACACGATAGGGCAATAGTTAATTACTGCTGGGTGATTTTATTTTTATCTTCCATTATTTTTATGAACTTTATGGTAAAATTATGCGAATATTCAGGAAAAAAGCAAGATGCTAAGGAAGCGCTGAAGAAATGTTTATCAACTGTCTATTTTCATATCTGGGAATATTGTTGTTGTTGCATAAAAGGTCGTAGAGAACGATTACCGGAAAGAAATTTACTGCAGCGTCGATATTACAAAAAAGCCGACGGTCAGAGTACGCGTCAACTTAACACCGAGTAACGTTCGTCAACAACAGTTTCCAGTCAACGAACTCGAATAATGCAATGACGCTTAATCAAGTTTTACAAACATTATGGAATGCAGTATAAACATATAGAGTAAACACGTAATGCTGGTGCGGTTAAAAGGCACAGTTTAATTCTGCTTAACGGTTTCTTTCTGAGTTTGTTGCTTCGGAAAACATTCGTAAACAGCCTTTTTCGCTCCTTTATTATTCTGCAGATAAGCGAAGTAAGTTCTCCTCATATGCTGCCTATTTACCTCATGAATATCCTCCAACTTGTCTAGTTCCATTCTATAAATGTCGTTCTTTGTTCTACGGTATTCATCATTCACTCTCGAGTCAGCGTTAGCGCTATATTTTCTAGCTATTTCTCGCCTAATTTAAATATACTCTCTCTTTTATAATTAACTTATTTATATCTTAAAGTTATATTACCTAAGTTGTTTAACCTGGCTGAAATCTATTTTCTTCGTTCCCAAATCGTTAGCCGGAACTTGAACAGCCGGAAATTTTGGTAAATGCGTGCTTCCTTCCTTTGGCGGTCTATCGCCATCTTTTTTCCTTGGCCTACAATCGACTATTCGTTATAATGTTCTATTTACGGAAATTACGATAATTTACAGACTTTTGTTCTTCCTTTGGTTGTACTGGTCTCGATTCAATTTTCGGCAAAGGTTTAGCATCCATTTCGAGAGCTTTCCATGGATCGCATAGGCCTATAGCTGTCTCTCTTCTAGAATATCCATGTCGTACCTCGTTGGGCTAAACAGAATTGACTTGTTTTAACAGGAACACAACAAAAATGTATTGGTATTCTATTTTCAAATAACGTACCATTTCAACTAGACACGTGGCCAAATGCATGTTATAGTAGGGCTCTAAGTTATTAAAGACATAAGGCGTGTGTTCTTTTCTAAATGGGAGAAAAGAAGAAAAGTATATAGAATTGGAAAACGGCAAAATAGAACGTCTAGACAATTGCAAAATAAAACAAAAAAGAAAACATTTTGTTTATGAAATTTTATAGAAACTAGCTTGTAATTACTAAGATATAGTGCATGTATGCATTATATATATATATATGTATAAATTTATACTGTATATAAGCTGTATAGAATCTTATGGCGTATAATTTCTTTGTTTAATGAATATACTAATTAATACTAAACATTTATAATTGCGAACGATTTGCAAGGTCCTTTGTATAATGTTATCAATAGTACTTTTACTTAGCTTAGTCAGAAAATAAAGAATAATGCCATTACTGCAACAGTACAAAAGTTTTCTGTTTCTTTTAAAGCATATTCTCTTTTGGTTACTTTATGCATAATTATTAATTAATAACGAGCAAGTAAAGTTTAATCTAAAATGCGAAAAAAAACATTAGGCGTCTTTTTTTCAGGCTAAAATTAGTTTTGTGACGCTTTAGCACTGGGAAATTGATGTCTAAATTGTTAACACGTGACTGCAATATTTTCTGAATAATTGGGATTAAACATTTATGTCCATTACGGAAAATTTCAGGAAGAACTACCATCTTTCGAAGATATTGATGAGCAAAAACAAAATGCCAGCCAACCACTTTCGTTGTTTGCTAGAAGCTTTTTCAACTATATAAAGCATATATTGTATATACATATATTTTGTAAGAATATACAGTATGTATAATATACAGTATATAGAAAAGTTTGTATATATATTTCATTTTCCCTCATTTCCTTTGTAATAAGAAAAGATTTTTCAACTCACTAACTAATGAAAAGAGGGGAGAATGAATTATAAATGCAATGGCAAAATAGGCCTAAATTGCTCAATAATGTTTTCTTGACTGATTATAATTATTTTTTCTTTTTACTATGGCGAAATGTATGCAGATCAGGTAAATCAACAAATGATTTACAAAGGTGATAGTTTTAACAATGATATGAATTGAATAGATTGAAATATATAATAGACTTAAACAGTATGGTATAGTTAGCAATACATCTTGAACATGATTGAAATAGAAGCCTATTTTACGACTTCTTTATGCATTTGTTTTGTTTATTGTGAAATAGTGTTTTTGAGAGTTAAAGTGAGACTGCAAGTGGCAAAGAGCTTTAGTTTCTTGTCAGCAGTTTATATTGTATATATACTAATATATATATATATATATATATATAAAGTAAAGTATATGGGGTGGCCCTATAGAAGAAAGTAAAAGAGTAAGAATCGATTATGTCAATACCTTCCATTTCTTAATGTCTGGTGAAAATAACGTATCGAAAGAGAAGAGCGGATATAAGAAATAAGGGGTTACACGGGTTCTAAATGTTGTGTGAAGGTTTTAGCTGATTCCAACGCTTAGTTAAGAAAGGCAAAAGAGAAAATACGTACACTTTAGGCTTCTGGATTTTGACCACTTCCATATCTAAGCTAGTTTTCAACCTGTTTAGTTCTACTTTGAAGTATTCTTTATTTTGCGTTTTTTGTGATCCCCTAGCGCTGCTTCTCGCTATAAAACATAAGTTTTTATCATTACCGTTGGCTTTTGATATTGCTAATTGTAACTAATTGGAAAACAAACCAGTTCTTGGGGAGGCTTCATTATCCCTTTCTTTTGTCTTAGATTGCTTAAAATAAATGGATTAATGAATTTAGAAATGCTGTATATCAGTTTTCTCCTTAAGGCCTATTTGCTAAATGCAAAAAAATGTTCCCGAAAGGGAATTTTCTGTATTTCAAGGGTAAGAGCTGGTCTCGTCCCTTTTAATTTAAAATAAAGAAACGAGCCTTTTCCTTTTAACTTAACCCTTTAGTTTCTCTATTAAAAAGTTTTCTTATTTTATAAACTACTCAAAAAAGTTGAATAAAAATAATAAAAACCTGATCCTGAGATTCAGCCATGTTGACAATAAGTCGTCGTTCTTGACGACGGCTATTGAACGTGATTCATACACTATTCGCTCACTATACTAATAGGATTACGAACGCTTAATCAGTCAATTTATTATATAGAATTATTAATTTTTGGTTCAATTGAATATTTTTTACTTTTTTTATGCAAGTAACGTTTCACGCATCACTTTGACTCAAAGGATATTTCTTTCTTTTGATAATCAAACGTATTTAAGATATAAGAGAATCCTTAAATTCATATAAAGAGTACAGCATATAAAACCCCACTCAATAGTATATAAAAATTGCTATATTTATATTTACATTCATTTCGAAATGTCAATTTTAATATGGCAACGACATCTCTTGGGTTTTTTGTACAAAAAAATACAAAAAATAATAACTAATAAACTTTTATCAAAACTTCAACATGGAGCAAAGAGACGCTTATTTTAAAGTGTAATTTATTCTTTAAATAATTCGACATGAAGTAGGTCTAACAATCTCCTGAAATACAAAATATCTTGTGTTTGTAATCCATTGTCTCCTGTATTTATATCATATTGTTAGTTGTTACATCTTAAGATTATTTACTATCATAGAATAGAATAAGAAGATAACATCAACCTTAGATTTTTGCAAAGGCTTCCATGAAGTCAGCAATGCTGTCTAAAGAAGCAATTCCAAATTCATTTTTTATCATTTGATAAAAATATTCCGGTGCCTACAAAAGGTGAAAAAAGCCCATGAATATTTATCATATATATTATAAATGTTATCTGTATATATATATATATATATATATATACTTATATCTTTAAATATCTATATTAAAATGTAAATATATGCATATAGATATCTCTTTTCAAGTACTATACTGTATATAAACAGATCAGGAAAGAAGATAACATAAAATAACCTCTTTATGGAGCCTTTTCAAAGCGTCCAATTTCTTTCCCGTTAACACTTTCAATTTCCTTCTGAAAAAAAATAAAAGTATGATTTATTTTTAATAAAGACATCATGCTGATGAAATATTAACTCATGTATACAATATACAGTATACGCTTTCTAATATAAAGTATAATATATATTTATATATATGTATAGCTTACATATAAGACAGGTTATTTTCTTCTATCCAGGTATTGATTTCAGATTTTCCCCAACTTTTTACACTTTCAGATGGAGGAGTTGCTGTAGTTTGTGGTGCGTTTACTTCTTGTACTAAGTCTAACGAAGGTTGTATTTGTAAGGATGATTTTCCTCTTTCGCCTATTTCTTTTAATAATTCTTCAAATTTTTTTCCAATATCGTATTTACCAGAGAAATCAAAGAATAATTTTGCGCCTAACATGAAACCTAACCAACCATCTGGTTTATAGTTTTTGGTCATGATTAACGGTATAAATTCCTTTTTACAATTTAAAGTGTATTCAGCTTCCATTCTGCAATTTGCCGATTGTTTATACTTTGGAGACATACATACTAGAATAACTTGACTCTGTTCTACAGCCTCTGCCATTGCCTCTAGTGTTGAACCATTCATCTTTTCGATATCTAACCAAACGTTATATCCTCTTTTAGCTAATCCTGATTTAATTTCTTTAATTAAAGGTTGATTTCCCCACTGATAGCTTATCATTATATGCCCTTTTCGTGTTTTAGATCCCGCTAGATTTTGGGTGTCGGTGTCAATGAGCTTGTTAAAAACAGTATCGTCATTTTTCTTTTTTCCACTTTTTATAGCTGTTCAATGTTATAATTGTCAATTTAGTTAAATATTTACAAAATAATGTAAAACACACTAGATAAAGGGACGTTCATTTCTTTCCCCTCTCCCTGCTGGAGAAGCCATAAAAGACCTTGAGCAGGTTTTTGACAGGGTCGATCGCTTTTAGATAACCTTTCCATGCTCTCCTTCAAACCTCCCACTGCCAAGATATCTTTTCTTAATTCAACTTTAAAGGCTAAGTTCCAAAGAGCTTCGCAAGCCTCTGCGGGTCAAATATACATTTATGTATTAGATTATCATCATCATATTTTTTTATCTTCTCACTCTTCCTATTAGAAGGCAATTGACATGTTAGTGAATGTATTTTGCATACCTGAAGCTTCTTCATCATCATCAGACAAGGACAGCTTGTAAAGAGGTTCTATAGCTCCATTATCCACTAAGAGCTGTTTATTGCCATCGTTAACGGCTAACCTTCCTATTCCCTTTGCTAATTCATAAGCTGTCCATCCATCGTTATTGCCTAAAGATTCTAAACCTAATGCTTGTTTGAGAGACAAAATAGCGTAAGAAACTCCGGCCCTATTGCTGCTAAATTTATTTGATTGACTTTCATCAGCAACAAGGGCCATACTAAATGTTGCTAGTAGAATAACAATGCCCACTTTTGACGCAGTAAACGGTTGCATAAGGTCCAAAACATCAAACTTTTCTTTAATTACTTCTTTACTATTTTCATGAAGGAGACAGTTGTAAAAGACGCCCATTGCCATGCTTACTTCTCCAGATTTTTGCTGAAGAAAATAAACAAATTTTCAAAAACTATCAATGATAAGAAGTAACAATTAGGCTATTCTTTAATATCTTACGTCTGTATTTATAGGTTTCAGAGCTTTGGCATTTACGTCTTTGAACATATTAACTATAAAGTCTATAAAATCTTTTAAAGTAGACATTTCATATGCAAATTCCTCGCTTCCATCGGTAAAACTTGTATAGACATTCAATAGAATAACTTTAAGATTAAAATTTACTTTTCCAAGTGATTCTTGCTCAATAACTGATTGCAGTACTGTAAAGAGTTTTAAGTGCAGCTGAGACTCAATAAAAGAAATAGCAAGAGCTCTTTTAATCAATTTCACATTTGTTTTAGATATACTTGCATATTCACTAAAATAATCAAGTTGAATTAAATATACTAAATGTGTCAGAAACGCTCTATCATCGGCATATTCTTCAGCCTCGATTGTTGCACTCGCATTTTCAATATGATACAAAAATTTCTCCAGTGTTCTTCTGTATAAATTTTTAACTTTATTGTCCATTTGATCTGTATATCTGCTTGTAGTAAATGTCGTTTTAAAGTCAACGTTTGGATCAACAGAGAATTCCTTAAATTTCTTGACAGCATGACGAAGGGTCTTCATTTCTCTTAGCGAAGCCATTCTTTTTCTGTTTTACGTATAGCTGAGCAAAATATACTCGCGTTTGTTATGTTGCTATGTTTTCTCTTTGCAGGTCAATAAAATTGTATTGCAACCATTCAATTCTCGGAAAGAAAAAACGCTGACACTACCTTATACCCTTATTTTAATATTTGCTAATATGCAAAAATCAGTTATTGAAAATGTTCAATTCACTTTAGAACGTTTTATACTACAAGTAATCTAGCCATTTATTAGTGATCAATAGAATAGGGAATTTGTAGATGGTATTAGAAAATTGTTTGAAAAAAGCTTAGTTTAAGACAAACTAGATAATATAATATTTTAACAATACAGGATAGCAAACAAAAAGATATACAATTATCAAATATACTTAGAAAAGAGAGTATTATTGCAGTGTTTTTTTTTGGTTAGATATATGAGTCACAATGCTATATATATAGTAGTATACTATATATATAAACATATAATATCTCTTCTATGATATATAAACCCTTCCATCTTCATACCTATCTGCCATCTCACTTTATCATTTTTTTCGTTGATCCTATGATATGGTTAATTAAGTATTGACATTGGTTATTGTATGATTTGGTTGTTTATTTTTAGATTGTATTTTAATAGAATATATCAATACATCACGTATTATTTATAGTTTATTAAATGCAACCATAAAATCAATTAGATTATTCAAATTTGAAAGATTAAATTCATTTTCAATCTTCTTATAAAAATATTCCGGAGCCTAAAAATAAATTAAGAAAGAAAAAAATTTACATCTAATAGCTAAATATATTCCTACTATACTGTTTATTAAATCTATATAAGGGATAAAAAAAAATATTGGATCACGTGACTACTAACCTCTCTTCGTAAATTTTTTAAGAAAGAGAGCTTTTCCTTGGATAAGGCTACAATTTGATTGTTGAAATTGTTAGTATTATCTATAGAATATAAGTTAATTATAGAGTTTAAGAAAAATATGAATAGAGATTCTTTTGTTTATTACTTTCTTTTATCTTGTTATCCGCGTGAGTATTCTTCTTGGAGACATCAGACGCTATTTCTTCTTTAACTGGTTCATGATCCTGATTTACTGTATAAGAAGTAACAACTAAAAATCAGATTATAAATGATACAGAAAGAGAAGGAGAGAGAAGAGGAAAGAAGAAAGAGAAAGAAAGAGAGGTAGAAAGAGAAACAAAAGAGACGAAAATATAGAGAGATGAAGATTAGAGAGAATATGCTTAAAATGAATTTCATATAAGCTTTTAAAGTTTTTTTTTTACATATGTCATTAATATCTTTTAAAAACTTCTTAAGATGGCCGGGAGTGTTGATTTCTGAGAAATCGTAATATAACCTGGATCCAATAATTATTCCCAACCAACCGTCAGGTTTATAACTCTTATCCATTCTTACAGGTAAAAATTTCTTTTTTTTGGTTACAACGTACTCAGCTTCCATTCTACAGAAGGGTGATATTTTGTAGTTTTCAGAATAACACAATAATACTAAAGAACTCTGTTCAATTCCACAGGCTACTGCGTCTAATGTAGATCCTTGCATATTTATTAGATCAATCCAAATTTTAAATCCATGCCTAACCAGAAAGTCTTTAATTTGTAAAACAATCTTTTGATGACTCCATTCATAGCTGATCATAATGTGACTGCGGTTGTTGCATTCTCCTCCTCTCTCAATGCTTTTTAGCATAGGTCTAGTGGCACTACAAGAAATAATTGTAGTTAAGGATCTAGCCATAATGTTATATAATTTAACAGAAACCGTAATGTATCTTGGTTATTCTGATTACGCTCATCTCTGTATTCTTGATTTAGAACCCAGAGGAGACCTTGAGCAGGTTTATGGCAAGGTCTATCAGTTTTTGATAATTTCTTAATATTTTCTTTTAACCCTTTGACTTGGTTTATATCCCGTTTTATTTCCTCATCAAAAGCGAGATTTAAAAGAGCTTCACATGCCTCTAATAAAAATTATAATAAAAAATCGCATCTTTACTTATTTATCTCGAAAATATTAATTGAATGTGGGAGTTCTTATCGTACCATAGGCTTCTTCGTCATCCTCGGACAAGGTTAATTTATAAAGGGGAATTACAGCACCATTTTCAACTAAAAGTTGCTTGTTAGAGTCGTTTACAGCTAACCTTCCTATTCCCTTTGCTAATTCGTAGGCAGTCCATTCATCGTCACATTTTGTTTTCCTAGAACTAATCGCTTTTTCCAAACTTTCAACGGCATATAAAATAATAGATGCATTACTATGAAATAATTCGGCTTTATCCTCCCGTGCCACGTACGCAAGACTAAATATTGACATTAATTGTATGGAAGTCACATTCATACACAGCAAAGACTTTATGCTATCCACAAAACGAGTATTATCAATAAAATAACTTTTGCAGTCATCGTATCGGATAATATTATATATTAAAGACATTGTACTAGAAACTTCCTTTTGCAGTTTAATCTTTTTAGCCTATTCATAAAGAAAGATAATCTTTAGTAGCATTGTTAAAATAATTAAAGAATAAATAATAAACACATACCTTTTTGCTGTCAGTTATGATTAGGGAATATTTCTCAAGTTGATCTAAAAGAAAATCAATGAAGTCGCTTATGACCACCAATGTTTTTGAAAATTCATTGCTTAAATGAGCAAATCTTGTCAAAATATTAAAAATCCTTGAATACATCGAATTGTTTCCATTTTTCTCCTCTTTTGACATACTTTTATCTTCTTTCATATTTTCTAATAACTTAATTAAAGTAATTAAGAAATTACTATCAATATAATCAATAGCCAAAGCCCTTATTATTAATTTTCTTTTATATTTATGAATATTCCTGTAAGGTTCTCTCTTGTAAAAGCAAACCAAATTATCTAGATGCGTTAATATTGATAGATTATAGTTGTAACCTTCTTTTTGGATAATAGAATTCAAACTTTTAGCGATGCTTAAAAAATCCTGCCGAATCTGATTATAAGTCTCTTTAACGTCAGATTCCATATAATCTATATATTTATTGTTTGAAAGATTGTTACCATATTCTACGTCAAAATCAAATACAAAGTCACAATCGTCTATATTCATATTTGCCATGTTTTTTTTGACCTTCCGAAATGTGCTATATAGGAGAATTGAATTTTGGCTGTACTACTTAATTAATATAAATTATATACATACATATATAGATATAAATATATTAGAAAATTAACTAATTACATTATATATGATAACTATGTTTTTTCATGCTTTGGCTTATTCCTTTTTCGTATTGACTCATTGTTTTGGCATCCTAGATAGAAAACGTAAATAGCTTTACTATGATATCACTAAATGCCTTTTACTTTATTCTATATTTTTAGAATGAATATCTAATAAACTAGTTAGTCTATCTTGATGAAAATAGCCAGTTTCTTGTAGAAAATTCCATATTTGTTATCTTTTACTGCATTTCTTAATTTTATATGATAACCTTTATGCTGTAAATTACCCGTTTACAAACTATTTACGTCATGTAGGCCTGTTTTATGTGAAATAAATGGATGAAATGGTTACTTAATTAATCTGATTAATTCTATAGATAGCTGTTAGATGGCGAAAGAAGTATGAATTTCTACAAAAGAAAAACACAAGCATAGTGTCGCCATCTTTCGATATTGAGCGATAAATCTGAGTCTTTCAACGAAAGATGACGACACTGATTACACTGAATATCAACGCCCTCTAGTCTTATCTCAATCGTTCATTAGGGCGCGAACTGTTTGAGGGGTGACAAAAGAAGACGTCTAGACAGCCTTGTTCAATACTCAAGGATTTTGCTTGTGGAAGATAAATTTTTGTCGTTCATTGGAAGAAGAAAGCATATAAAAGGAACTTAAGGAAGAGAGGATCACAATGTAAAGATTATCAGAGACAATCTTTTAAAGAGAATTTTTTGGAACATGCAGAACTTTATCATCCTATTCGCCTTATTATCACCGCTTCTCGGTGAGGACAGGAAGGAAGTTCTATTAAAGGCTCAGTGCAGGGCAAATTGCGTTTCTCTGCTTTTGGACAATAGAAAACAAATGCAAGAGGTAAGAGAAAATTAATTTTTATTAAGATATAAAACATTATACACATGTGTTTATTCAATGTTTATTGAATATATGAATATAAATGGTTTTTATATGTTTATATGTATTTATCATAAATATTATATATTGGCCTGTACGAGTAAAATAATCCAAATCTCAACCGACCATTAGCAAGCGCAGAAAGACGTTAAAACCGCAGTTTCCACATCAATCAGCATAGCCGGTGTCCATTAGAAGGACGACTGTAGGCATTGATCTTAAAGTGGTCACGTGGCCCTCTCCGCCTATTTGTTACGTAATAAGAAGGCTATGAAATTTTAAAAACGGCCTTGGAAATATCCCAGAGGAGATAGCAGCTTCTTATACTCGGAAGTTACCTTCCTCCTATCTTGTAAGAAGAGAGAAAATCGGAAAAAATTCCAATACATTAGAGACGGCCTAAGACGTCTCTATATAAAAAACAAGCGTCTGTTGTGTAAATTTATCAATCTAAGGGAATAAAGAAGGCGGCGATCAGATAACGACTATGCATTAATATTTCATCTAGAAGTCTTTGCGGTAGACGCGTCCCAGTTCCTAGGCTAAATTGTGTGCGACAGATTATAGGATATAGTTCGTCATTTTGATTTTTTTCCACTGCACCAAAAAGGGGGCAAACGAGATAAGAATTAGGTTTTGGGAGCAAGAGAAGGAGTTCAGGAACGACAAAAAGTAGCATACAAGATACTCGACCAGATTATATACTCGTCCTCTAATTCCATCCGTCAATCAGGCTCCCGTCGTCTTTGTCAGGGGAGTAGTATTTTGCTCCAACATGCCTCTAGCCTATTTTTTTAAAACGGGAGCAAACTCAAAAATCTCTTCCCTTACACAAATAAACGCTTGACAAACGTATCGCCTTGCCGAGGAGAGCGGGCAGCAGCTGAGAAAGCAAACAACTTCGGACGTGCTTGCAAACTAGACGCGCTCATTAACATTTTTCTGAGGCCTTACCATAGCATATCTTCCCTGGCTAAGAGGATATTCTTTGATTATACAAAATTGTGTTGGAAAGTTATATAGACCGTACTAAACCGTACTTTCAATTTTTTTCCATATTTATTTTTAACTTTTACCTTTTCTTTTTTAATTGAAAAATCCGGTTTAAAAAAGAATTAAGCGTAGCGAGAAGTGGAGTAAAATTCTCAACACCTTCAAACAGTCACGTAGAGTATCGATATAAAAACTATCTAATTCTTAACCCGCCTCCTTTCTATTCTTGTTTGTTTATTTAACGGATTAGCCTATTTATCAAAGAGTAGGCTTTTCTTTTCTTCGATTCGGAGATTTCAACGCCTGTCAGAGAAAATCGGATTATAAGTTATTTAAGTTATTTCTTCTCTTCCGACGGTCAATAGTTCAGGTTGGAGAACTGGAAAAAAAACTGTGCGGTTGAGTGCACAAAACACTGCAATCCGATTCGACGGTACGGATAAGCCAAGCTAGCGCGTTAATCCGCTAGTTTAATCGGGCGTTGATTAGTTACAGGGTAGAATGTAGATTTTATGTATATATTCGGGCTTCTACTTGGACTAGTATGGCATCCCAACACCAACGCATGTATCACACTTCCAGAAGTGTTTTTCTTACGTGTTTCATAGGCCTATTGAAAAGTGAGAGAGCGTCTCCGCACGCAAAACTAATCGAGTTGCTAGCATCACTGAACCATCATTTAGTCACGACAGAAAATAGGCATGATAGAAAAGAATGACAAGACAGCTCAATATGTGTATGTATATAAGTGGAATGGGGATAAGAAGGGGCATAGAAATATAAAGAAGGGGGGATATAGAAAAGAGAAGAGAAGAGAGTGAAAATGCGGTTCACCTATTTTCGTTCATGGTTGATTGATGAAACGATCAATTCGTTAATAGAGAAATCACAATTATAGATATAAAAGGGGAAATGCTAATGGTCGTTACAGAAGAACGTTTCTCCCTTTTTACACCTATAAATACTAAATAATACTGTGAGCTGTAAAATTCTTATCGCGTCCAAATTGTTAATAGCTTAGCGGGGCGTTTTATTGCCGCCCTATGTAAATTGTACTAAATTACTATATGTTTCTTTTTTATTGCAGGTAGCTGCTACCTTGCGATCATGCGTCTCTGCACCGTGGTGCGCCTCGGTAAGTACTGTTGACCTAATTGCGTCTCTAATGCACAACCGATTCGTATGTATAAGCATGAATTGCAGACGTGCCCGATTAGGCGTCTCTTGTCAGGCCTACAGCACTAGCATTATTAGTTTTAGGCGTTACTGGAGAACATTTTCTCATCAAAGTAAAATGAATCAGTTAGGTCACGCGACAAAAAAAGTTTAAGATATGTTTGTTGGGTTAAAAGGCCATTTCCGGTCCTCTTAAAAGGCGTTTGTTCAAATTTGTACAAGGAATGTTCAGAAGAAGCATATGCGCTCCGAGTAGCTGGTTTTTTCTTTCTCGAGAGTTGGGGAAAAAGAGAAAAAAGGATTTTATAATTACCTAGTTGAATAAGTTAAGGCACTAAACGTCAATTCGAATTTAAAATGCCCCATCTGTCGGTTGATAAAATAATTGAAGAGCGGGACGAAGAAGTAGAGATTTCTAAAACATAATTTTCTTCTTACTATCACCTTCAACGGCTTAAAACCATCTGTCATATTAGAAAATAGGAGATGGAGAGACAGGGACGCATTAAAGTGGAATAATAACAACACCGGAAAGAGAATGAGATCATTAGCCTTTTCCATAGGCCACTTTTTTTAAGTCTTATTATTGTATTGTGAAAATTGTTTGTGAATGGCGTATAACTGAGGATTTATTTAGAAAGCATTTCCGCCACCCATCAAAAAGAGGAGTTATGTTCAATAAGAAACGCCTGCATAGCAAAAAATGATTAATTAAACATTCATTTGCATATTCGCGCACGCCGTTCAATTTGCATTATAATGAAACAGGAATGAATCAGCACCGGGTGTAAATAATAATAGGATTATTGCCTTTTGAAACTAAGCGTTCAATTTTATTAGGCGTTTTTTTATGAACGTTTCGATGTCGACCAACCGCTGAGAGTTTATTCGTTGAATGATTCAATGCGTTTATATTAGACGCTTTGGAAAAATTCTCCAACCGTGAAAGAATGACGCGTTCAAGGAGCCGTGAAAAATTGCGGGCTGGAAACGGAGTGTTTGGGCGTTGATAAATTGTTGTGTAATTTGATGAGAATGCCTTTGAAAGTGACGGGTGTGTTTTATTATACGTTTTTCATAAAAACTAATAGCGAGTTCAAGTGAAAGGGTTAAAAAGCGAAAAAATTAACGATTCTCTTATTCTCTCTTCTCCTCTATCATTCCATTTTTTTACATTCATTAGCAAACCTTATTAAGAATATGATTAAAGAGTAAAAACTGTTAAAGTTGCATAAAAAAGATAAAAAGAAAGTGTGAAAAACTCTTTCTTCAAAAGATCATCTGTCGTGACTGGTGACTCAACGCTCAATAATTAGGTGATTAAACGCATTCATCCGCCCGTTTTCACAAACAAATCGAATGAGCTCGCCTCAATGCATCGCGCATGCGCAAGATATTACCCACAAAAATTGAATGAGAGATTGTCTGCAATGCGCGAAGCGTGTCACTGTGCACGCTGTCTGCTTTATTTGCATTTAATCATTTGGGGATACTCTTGAAGCGTGTGTATGATGGAAAAAGAGTTGAGTGTCAGTAATTCGGATTGTATTGCCCTATAATAGATATCATAAATATACGGTCCTAACGAGGAGTCTGAAAAAACTTCTCTTTTTTCCTTTTTAAATTGCTTTTATGTCCAGTTTTAAATTGTTCTCGGTTTGTTAATACACCCAAGAGACGGGATTTTAATTCCTTTAGCCGCCCCTACCAACCGACAGGCCCCCAGGGCCGTATATAAAGGCGCTATATATCGTCTCCGCTAAGCCATTAGGCTTTAAAACTCTATAGAACTGTTGAAAAAGGATAAAAGTGATAAACCGAGTCAATGAATCGCCTAGAAGTCGGGTAATATTTATGAGTTCTTCAAGACCTTCAAATTGACCTCTTCCATTACCAATAGATATGCAATAAAGAAATGCCTTCGGGTTTTCATTTCCAATAGACTTCATATTTTTACATTATACATTCATTCAACAACATTCCTACTTTTTACTTTTCTTCCTTCACCTTCATCAAGTTCACTCATTTGCATATCACCTCTATTGACCTTACGTTTCCTCATCACACGGTGAAAAAGAAAGACCCTTAGGAATTATTACTTCAGGCCGTATCATAAAAAATAAACATAAATAAGTTTGCACTTAATGCGAGCCAGAATATGCTACACAATGAAATGATTCATGCACTTAACAAGGAAAGTATTCTGGGCAAAGATGCAAATGAAGACTCGTCATTTTTTCTTGCGCGTCGCTATTCCGTAATTAGTGCGTTTAAACGAATCCCGAGGGCGTCTCCCGAGGGCTCCGGCGGTCGAATTTTGTAATGTATGAGCAATCTCTGTTCCACAATATGGCACTGAATTCTTTTGGATAGTCAAACATGCTATTTATGCATTAAATCAGCTCTCGCTTCTTTTCATTCATTTCTCTTGCTTTATCATTCTGTCATTCTATGCTGATACATGATTAACAAGTTTCACATCATTTGCAATTTAAATTTGAATATGTGTTGAAAAGTGATTGAGAAGGATTTAGAAGAAAAGAGACAGAGGAGAAGAGAGATTTTGACAGGTGACATAACATTCCAAGGCGTCTTTTGTCCGTCGTCTCCCAACAGCTGCGCTCTCCGCGCTTATAGATTAACAATTAGATCCGTTCTATACACGCGGCGCATGTGCGTCTATTGATTACTGTTTGCATTGTTTGTAACGAATGCCCTTCGATTTTTTCCTTATCTCAGGCGAATCCAAAGAACGCCTCCATTAACGCCTACTTCTTTTAAGAATTAACATTATACTCCCAGTAGTATTTGGTTACTTTTTTAATAAAAAAAAAAGTATGAAAAGGGAAAAAGAGCTTGTAGTCTATGAACTTTTATCGAAAGAAATTTCTGGGGATGTAGGAGAATTTATATTGGTGACAGTTGCGCAGTTCTACGTCTTCGCTTCTCTTTTATTAATAATTTGACTTCAAATCCCTTCGCTCTTTGTAGGCCTATGCATATATATATATATATTTATATATATATAAGGAGGAAGTGGAGGTCGCCGGGGAATTGTTAAGAGTGTCAATCAATCTGTTGTGAAGCGAATTGCGTAATAATTTATAAGAATCGTCGCTTATATTCAGAGTGTTTCCGCTTTATTGAATAAATGTGTGTCTTGTCTGTATGGAAAATTTGCAGAGGCGGTAACAATCTCTCTTCAGACGCTTCTGCTTACGTATAATTACGCAATCAGCTGTCAAACTTGACTGTTTCAACTGTTTTGTTGTAAAGCCGGGCAATTTTAGTAGTAAAAGAAAAAAGTGGGTCAAAATAGTTGGGTTTCGTAATGAGTATAGGATAATAGTGGTCAATAATATCCCTTAAATCTACCCGAACAGCAGATGGCAGTAGTATGCTTACTCCTATTAATTTTCAATAAAAGTATTGTCCAGATGAAAAGTGGTAGAAATGTGAGAAAAGTGTTAAGAGCAACATTGAAATTTTTCACAACTGATCTAAACTAATATTTGCTCGGTGTTTCTCCTTCAAATTCCAAAACTTTTGTATATTTAAAGAAGAAATTTACTTAGGCCTAGGTATAAGTTATCGTGTATGCTTGCACTAATTAAAATATTCTGTAACACGAATATCTCGAAAATTACTGTATAAAATTTAGGGTAAATTATAAATAATAACATCTAGTTTTTCGTTTAGTGATAATTTGAATTAAATTGATATTTTATTTGCAGTGCCTGAAACCTTGTAGCGCAACATTCGAGAATCTGGAAAAGTGCTACGGAATGTGTCAAGTAAGTCGGCTTGTTTATTAGAATAAACGTCCGTTCCGAGGCGCAGTCTTCCTCTAAATAATTAGGCCTATAGAGCAGTTTGGTGTTTCGACTCACGATTCTGTTTTAATCAAGGAATTCGCTCATTTGCATTTTGATTTGTAAGAGTGGATTGCCATAGGTCCAAGCCTTGTGTAAAATGTATGACTTCTGTTTGCCCCCCAAATGTATACTTCTATTGCTACTCAAATAGTTTATCAAGTGTTTAGTTTGTAATAATTAAACGGCGGCGTCTCTTTAATGTAACCTTTATTAAAACTGGAAGAATCATACAACTCGGCAGGAAGCCATCTTAAAAGTCATTCGGATCAATTTCGAGTCTCTTTCAAAAATTTAATAAGGGTTAATCGCACTAAAAATAGTCTGTTGTAGTTTTGGGAAAAAGGAGAGAAATCTCTTTCCGTTGGCAGTAGAAGGGAAATTGACTTATATAAACAGCAGCTGTGCAATTTATTATTATATATATCTCTTATTGGATATTTTTGAAAACCATTCGTAGGTATTCATTAATTTCATTGAGTAAAATTGAACTTTGTAACGCTCTTATATTAGGAAATAAATAGAATCTTTTATTAGCGTACAATATACTATATAAGCTTAGACCAACAGCTAGGCATCCGCTGCTAAGAATAATAAGCCGGCAGGCTTCCGGGAGAGGCGTCAAAAGGCGTCACTTTCGCCAAACAACTCTAAATCGAATACGGAAGCGCAATTGCATTAGGCCTATGCCAACCGCCTAATAAAGCGTCAAATTGCTTGTAGGCCTAAATGAAATTTTTTTGCCCGCCTATTTTACGGTCCGAGAAAGTGACGCTGTAATGCTAAGGCGTCTACTAGCAGTAATTTGATTTGTTCAATGCTCGGCACGTACTAATTGTTAGATTGAAGCGCCTGTATAGAACCATCTCTTAAAATAGCCCCGAATTTGGCGCCTTTTCAAGAAGAGTTGGTCGACTCTTCTTAGATTCCATCTACAAGATGCATACCCATTACAGAAAATACATACGTATATAGTTATTTTGATACCTACCGACCTTCTTAATATCAAAAAGCTAAAAGGTCAATTTTACGTAAAAAAAATCTATTCTGCCCTCCAGAAATTCGAAGATGGCTGCTCTCAATCTTGTTCCTACCAAAATGAAATCCGCCGGGAGACGGTGAATGAGACGCTTCTACCAGCAACACCGCCTAAACCGAGCGTCTATGACGCTTTTAAAATTATATGGGACGATAATAATGTGCAAGAAAGGAGAGAAGTATTAGTTTACGTCGTAGAAGTGGCCTCTCACATCGGGCCGTTTTTCAACGTTGGAAAACTGTCGCCATGGAGACAGGTGCTGCAGGTGTCTGAAACAAACGGTTTTTTACCCGAAAATTTCATAAAACCGGGAAGGTTTTATCAATTTCGAGTTACGGCTGTCTCTAAGTATGGCTCTAGTTCGTCATCAATCCCTTCCGCCCCGATAAGATCGTTAAGAGAGGCAAAGGCCCCTTCGAAGCCAGTTAATATAAAACTAAATATAACTGGTGACAACACAGCTACAGTTTCCTGGGATCCACCCGTGAATACGGACTTACCTATTAACAGATATAAGATTTATTGGGGTTCTTTGTCCTATTCATCAAGCGGGAAGAGGATAAAGAGATTACACGAAAAGAAAATTTTGGCTAGCAGTGTCCGCCAATACGAGTTAATTAATTTAGAAAAGAGAAAAATTTACTACATAGAATTGAAAGCAATATCGAAATTGGGTAGAAAGAAATTGAAGGGTGACAGAATATTCATTGATTTTGAAATCGGAAATGAGAAGAAAAGTAGTCAAGTTCCGCAAGTCATTCGTCCGCTTCCAGTCAGTAATTTGACAGCTCATGCTCCAAAGATGATGCATCATGGTGCATTGGTTAATTTAACGTGGAATACAAAAGGTATTAGACCATAATTCCTTTTTTATTGAAAAACTTTGAATAAGTTAAATAATCTTTAAAATTAGATTTGGACAACTTTTTCGCGGTTTCTTGGAGAAGAAAAGTTTGCTTAAACGATTCTTCGGGGAAAATAGATACAATAAAAAAGGATACTACTAAGGTTCGCGCAAATATATAAATATATATTTTATTGCTCTAAATCCATTTACCTTTAATGATTTTGTGATTGCAGAATACAACTTATACCTTAAGCCGCCTGAAATTCGCTTGCACTTATGAAATTCATGTTCGAGCTATTGACGGAAGAGCAAATCTATCTAGCAGTCCTATAATTCTAAAAATTTTTATACCCAGCTGTGAAGAGCTGCAGGAAAAATTGAATTTACCAGCAAATGCCTGTCCAACAACAAGTTCACTTCCTGAACCACCACGAAACTTAGTGCACAGAATAAAAGTTACGCAAAGACATAATATTACCTCCAAATTAAGTTGGGATCATCCACATAGCGACACCCCTATACTGCAATATCGAATAAGATGGGGACCTACGCTGGAAAATGAATATGTTCCAACGTTTGATAAATATTTTGACAAATTAAAATTTTTAGAAGGTTCAAAAAATAAGTTTACGCTTACTGAGCTTAAAGAGAATAGAGAATATTTAGTTCTAATCCGAGCACTTTCTAAAGCTGGACCGGGCAAAGAGTCAACATTGACCTTCAAAACTCCCGATTTGCATAAACAAATCGACTTACGTAAACCACGCCATAAACACAAGCGTAAGAAGAAGAGGAGGAAAGAGAATGCGGGAGTTCCGTATCGCATCCCAATGAATAAAAACTTTTCAACACCAACAATTATTCGTAACCAACCTTGGTGGGTAAAAGATGGTGGCATAAAATCATCATTTCATTCCAGACTGTTAGTTAACTTTGTTTGGTGCTTTTCCGTTGCAGTTTTTTGGCTACGTCTTCCTTTATGAGACAAAAATTCCTTTGTTCATATGAAATATATTAATATTGTATATAAAAAGAATTCATCGTATATTTAAACAGTAATAAACTGTATATGCATTTCTATTGATTTTTAAATGAAAAAATATATATTAAGCCTATAAATGTTTACGAAATATATAACATTTAGTGTTATTATTTTGTTCTCCTTTTATTAATGATATTCTGTTTTTTTACACAAGAAGCTGAAGATGAAAATGTATAAATATCTTGTTTTTTATTATCATTATTTGTTTATTTATTTGTTTACCTGTTTGCTCTTGTTTTGTACTTTTATGATGATATAAATAAAAATTTATTACGTGTCTATCTAATTTCTATCATCCGTTTTGATCGCAGACGTGGAATGTAAAACTGTATTTTTGATGAAAGAAAATTAAGCCTAATCATAGGTTTTTCATTTCTGTATGCAAGCCAAAAAAAATTTTGTTTTTGCTAATAAATGATTATCATGTATAAGTATGGATCAATAAGCTTCCCTAGACTTGTATATAGACGTATACCGTATACATTTGTTCAAAAGAGACAGACGTAATTTAATCTTGAATAGGAATAAAAAATGGCAAAGTTGAAATAGAAAGTAATAGGAGAAGAACTCTAGCTCATAGGATACAATAGACTGGACTAATTAAGCGTATAAAATAAGATAGGCGGTAAAAAGATGAAAGAAAACGGCACGCCACACCTGTCGAAGCCCGAAGGATCAAGAGAAGAATGAAAGAACAACAGGATACAGAAAAACCGTAACACGCTTGAGAATCAATCATTTTTTTTAAGACGTTGTATTTGTATACATTTTCTACATAGAAATGCGGCACTTGTTGGCTGTAAAAACATTCCTTTTTCAAATAAAAATATTTTTCTTATAGCCAGAAAGATTATAATTAATCCGATTTGTATAATAAAAAGTTGTATGAGATACAAAAAGGGACCAATTTTTTCAACTAGCCGGTTTCATTTTATTGATGATGCATGAATAACTAGGGGGGAAATTACAGGCCTCTTTCAAAGGGGAAAAGGATTAAGTAGTGTGGGCGTAGAACGGGAAGAAAGGTTATCAGTCATAGGACAAATGGTCGTTTGTTTACTAACTGATAAGGCGTTATGAAGAGGATTAAAGAATTATTGGCTTTATGAAAACTTAATTTCCCTTTTGTTTTTCACAAAACTGCTCTTCTAGATTTTATTGTTTATAACGCCGATTGCGGATAAATATACGGTATGTATGTATGCGTATGTTATCAGTAGATGATAGGAGCCAATTCCTCAAGTGTTGTTGTTTTTTTTTTACAGCCTTAATAACGGCATCTTGTTCGTTAAGTGACTGATAGAAAATCTTTTTTGATAAGACTTCTCCAATCAAACGTGTATTGTACTAGTTGTAAAGAGAGTCATTTAGTGAAGAAATGCTCTGTGCATATCAATGAACGTTCAATAAATGCAGAATGTATAGAGGGAAGGTTTTTTTATGCGGATAAGTCACCAAAAAGGGTGTAGCAATAAAGGTCAAGTGGCATACTTTATTATCTCTGAGATAAGAGAAACTTAAAAAGGACCGCGTTAGATAAGAATAATCCGGGTGACCTAGTTGCAGAAACAATGAAAGATAAGATAATCCCTTCGGTATAAAATTTTCGATTCCTGTTTACAAAAGCCTCTGATTTCCCTTTGATTTTCCCTATTTTCCGGCTCTTACACATTTCAATAGCCGATAACCTTATCGAATTTAGAAAATTTATTTAAAGCGTTATTCCAGATAAAATCTTCTAAAGTTTTCACAACCGTCAACGTTATTAAAACAAACTACTCGACATGAACTTCCGTTCGTGGTCGTTATTTCTAATGAAATGCTTCTTCCTGTAATTTTTTCATCTTGTAGAAGAGGATGTTGAAAATTTATCTCTTAAAATATGTACAAACATTATCAATCTGCATAAAGATATTTCTCAAAGAATGCACGGAATTTCTTTGCGCAATTTGAAAATTGTATTAAAAAAAAAGAACTTTTATTAATATTTCATTAAAGTCATTCAACTATATTGAAAATCTACTAATTTAACATTTTGTTTTTTTAAAGAAAAAAAGAATATAACTGTTTTCTATTTATCAACATTTTATAAACGAAATACAAAAGAAACAAGCACAAGTCGATAGAATAATGTATATAGTTGAAGCCTCTGATCTAGATAGAAGGTTTTCGGCTGATTTCGATCGGGTTGTTGTTTCAATTTGGAAATAGGGAGTTTTTATAGTGAAAAGCTTCGTTTTACCATTTGTACCGAAAGTTTGAAATTTTACAATGTAAATAGAATCACTTTTTAAGTTCGATAGCAAAAAATGTTTAAAGCCTATCGGTAAAACTTGAACAAACGTCTTGTTCACGTTCAACTCGTTCCAGCTCAATCTTATTTTGGATAGATTAAACCTTTGATAGTTTTTTACAAACCAAGTAACATTTGCCATTACGTTACCAGATTTTATAATCGTCTTATAGTTTAATCTTATAAGATAATCAACGTGCGGACAAATTAATCGGTTATTGAGGATTTTGTCGCAGGATGGCACGTTTAAATTTAGATTAATCTTGTAGCTTGGAACGAAGTTCCTCTCAGCTCTCACGCTAACCGAATATCGGCATTCGTTCATTAAGGACTTGATAATGTAAAATTGTTTGCCAGTAACGGCTGTTTCGTGAAAATCTCCAGTTGAATTTGGCAATTTTATACAAACTAATAGCTTCCAATGAATAATAAAATCTACATCCTTTTCATGATAGAACCTAAAAATAGATAAATAAATAAACAAATATAGCTATATATATATACATATATCTATTAGACAAGAAAATATGACAAGTAAAGAAATAATATGTCAACATTTAATAGAACTTGTAGTTCTTCTTATAAAAAAAAATTGAATTTATAATACTGACCACGTGATATTTGCCCTAATTTGATTACCATAATAATAGGGTTGACTAAGACTAGCGGAAGAAATGGGCGGTGGACGATTCTTGACGCGAAATTGCGTTCCATTGACAAATATATTGAGCTTGAATTTCTTTGATTTGATAACTTTCTTTCCTCTCTTTCTAATTGATTGTATGAAAAATAAATATTTGACGTCTTCCTCAATTGGCGAAAGTGTGTAAGAATTCTTGTTAGAGCTTATTAATTCTTTAACAATTTCCCGCCGCCAATCGTTATTTTTTCTCCTCCAAGATATCTTGTAATGAGTAGCATATTGTCCAGGGACCCACTCTAATCTAACTTTAAACAATCCCCTTGAAATTGCAATTATTGATTTCTTAGTAAAATTTGAGGGTAGCGTTGGGACCTTTTGGTTATTGAAAGTGACGGGTAAGGATTCGATAGAAGGAGAGCTGGCTCCCTGTCGAGTAACCGCCGTAACCCGAAAGACATAGCTATTCTCCTCCTCTGCAGGTAGGTTTTCAAGTGTAATAGATGGAAACTGTGTCTGTAAGGCACAAATTTTCAATTTTACCAACTTACAACAACTTAAAAAGCAGTATTATCTTTTCCCGCCGTTTTATTAAGCCTATAATATCTATAATAGTATAAAGAAAGACTAGAGGAGTATCAAGGGTCCTATTGGTGTCTTAACCGGATGTATCGTCCTATCATAATTCTTTACACAGTCGGGATTGAAAAGGCTGTCGAAGAGGGATATAGAATGAGGACAAAAAGAAGAAATGCCGACGACTAGTCAGAGATCACGCACAACAAACAGGCGCCAAAACTAGTTTCCCTTCTTCATTTCCATAATTAACTGCCCCAGCCAAACTATGACAAACACGCACTTTTATCTGCTCTCCTACAAAAAGTGACGGCGTGTTTGTTCAAGAGATTCGCAGACGTCGGGTGATACATTTTTCAGCGCCTGGAAATGCTTTCGGCAAACATTGCCTAGCGAAGCAATTAGAAAGCTAGAAGTATGATAAGAATAGAATTGAAACCACATTTTTTTCCACTAGATTGCTTTTATAATGCCTCCCTAATTTCGTCTAATACATTATTAGTAAATATTATACCCATGTTTACGTCCTAAAAAAATTAATAATATCCATTTTAATAGAACAAGTTCTACATATAAAAAATCAAAATTATTCATAAATTAATTTAAAAAATATTATGAATGGATAATACTTACAAATCCAACATAATTCCAAACATCTTTTCCATTCCCATCGTTCTTTATCCAACTTTTTTCTACTACAAACAATATTAATTCCTCTTTGTTTCCAGAATCATGACTCCACACCACATGGATTTTACCGTCGCTTTCCTTTGCTATCGGTTTACCCGGGGATTTTATGGCTATATATTGCGGATATTAGTAGTGGCAAATTAATATTCATGAGATTAAAGAAAATGATTAATGAAGCGCTCTTACAACTTCTTAAAAAGAGGGGGGCGTTTGTTCTTGTTTGCCAAAGATGCAGTAGATGACAGCTGTATTTGCAGCCCTTTTCGTACTCCTATATTAGAATGAATTTACTGAAGAAATTGTTTGTCAACTGGAAAATTTATTTACTTTGCAATACCCTTCCCTGATACAAATTTCTTCATCTTTAACGTGCGCAAGACTACAGGGTTTCAAGCACTGCAAAAGTAAAATAAAAAGAAAGTATGAAACAAAAGAAACAAGAGTAAAAGAACTAATAGATGGTAATTAATGAAGTAAAATGACTAATTTTGCGGTGGGTGAAAGTGTGCGTGTTCATGAAGAAAGAATTAATAAACTGCGTGCACTTGATGTATATATATGAACGTGCATAAATCTATAGAGCGTGACATACCAGCTACAGTCAGCCGGATATAGCTCATCAACCAACTTACAAAGAAACAAAAAACTTGTATCACGTGACCGCAAATATATAGATGTATACGCTCACAGTACACTAACGCATACGCCCGAAGCGTCAATAAGTGACGCCATCAACGCCTAATCAAACAATCAGCGCAAGTCGTTGAAGCGTGACGTTTAGTCACCAAAGAACAGTAGCTTTAGCTACACTGTATGCACTAAAGTACTATTTTTTTTTCTTTATTGTGTAACCTTATATCCAACTGTAAAT